GGGGGTGATGGCTGATGTCCAACTTTGTCGTTTGTTGGCCACGGAAGAGCTCGGTGAGAAAGTAGGAGGATGAAGATGGACGTGTGAGCCATACCCTGAATACTAGCGACGATGCAGTAGGTTCCATGTCGGAGTAAAGCAACGGGCAGGGGCGACAGCCCGGCTACTTGCCGAGAGCTCATTCGCTTGGAGGTCCCGGGGCATGAGCAAAAGGGAAGGAGGCCTCAGAAAAGATCCTTCTTTCATTTGTTCATCCCCCCCTCGTTTTGTATGACTACCTACATTCAAATAGTTATAGTTTCTCAAAACTCGGACGCAGCTGGAGGAGGCAGGAAGCGGGAAATAGAGCAAGGTAGGGACGGGGAAGGACGATGATGAGAAGGAAATGGGTTTGGGATGGGACGACGGGACCCAGACCTGGACCCTTGAACCTTTGCTTCACAGTCAGATCACACAGTTCACTGCTTTCATTTCTTCTTCTTCTTCTCCTTCTTCTTTGCTTTCTTTTTTTCTATACTCCCTGTCTCGCAAGTTCAGGCCATGGCACGGCGTGGATGCAGCAGGTCTACCTTGCGGTCATGGACATGGCCGGCTCAGAACGCTGCGCTGCCACATTGTGCTTGAGCTTACCTCATCTCGATCAATACCCATGTCGGTTCGTGTCACCTCGCAGAACAACTCACACGTCAGCCCGTCGATTACCGACCTTGCCTACCCTGCCTATTCACTAGATGTGTGTTCCCGGCTGGCTGAATGCAGGATAAGGCATACGGCCGGCTGACAATCAATCGAGGGTTGTGGTCCTTGGATAGATATCATCCTTATGCCTCTTGTCTATTATTCAGATTCGGAATCTCGATCTCGACGTCAGGTGCCAAATCTGGAACCGGTTCCCACCGGTTGTGAACCATAGAGTAGGGAACAGTAAGGTTGGGCAGGGTAGGCAAAGCACGGTCGGTCCCTGTTGTGCCATGTGACAACGCGGCGCAGGACTTGCCTGGACTCCTCTTGCCTCTGGCAATGTAGCCTGCCACTGTGGGCTCCAACTCTGGGCTCAACGCTGGATCCGAAGCGGGCCGCGGAGACATATCCCTTAGCCAAGGGACCGTTTTTGCCGGTTGTCACTATTGGGCACAGCGGCACGGCTGCGCAGACAGCGGTACAATGGCGGCGAGGAGCGAGCGGTGCGAGTTGTGGAGACACGGGGGATGCAACGCAAAGCTGCATCGCTGCTGGAGGCGGCATGGGACACTACCGTATATACTCAACATATCCGTATTACGCTAGGGCCCAAGATAGTTTAGTGCAGAACCTCCGCTAGGCCTGCAACCGAAGGCGGTCACTCAGCCTACCAGCCGTTGACGGACCATCGGTCCACTTTTGCCAGCTGACACACACGAATAGCCCGTGCCGTAGCAGCACCTCTACCTTGTTTCTGCCACCACGCTAACCCCAATCGGAGTGCCATTAGGATTCTCTAGGCTACCTTGAGCCTTAGCGTAATACGGATATGTTGAGTACCTACGGTAGTGGGTGGCAGATGGGGGCGACCAGGAGCCTCCCGCTGTCACCACAGCTGAGAATACTACCTTGCCTTTGGATACGGAGACAATGTCGCTACCAATCGCCGGCCGCCGGCCGATGTGCCTTGAGCAGGCCTTGGAGAGGGCGGGAGCATGAGAAGAGTGTCGCGGACGGAGGCAGCGGGACGCGGGATGTGTGTTTTGTCTGCTCAGTCTCAAGGACCCCTATTTCCGTCACAACCGAAGCTGCGAAAAAGAAGAAAAAAGTCTGGTCGCTCCACAGTGACTGAGAAAATGCGTTGGTTTTACCCACAGTAGATGAGAGAAAAAACGGTTCTAACCTATCCAGCACCTTCCGCTAGACCGTCTCAAGAACGCTGCTGCAGGTGCCCAAGCCGCCGCCACAAGACCCTCCCTACATTAGACATGCCAGAACACGCGCTGATGGACCGGGGTCGGGCAAGCAGCACCTTCCCATCGCCCCCTGCTCACCCGTCCGGTGTTGTGCCTAAGGTACCGCATTCTCCCCTACGGTGCGGGATGCTTTTGTCCAGCACCTGTGCATACGATCTCCGAGGCTTTGGGTGCAGATGCCTGCGCGTATGCAGATGCGCAACAGGTAAAAGAGACGGCGGAGACAGGCCTGGAAACAAGCGATATCAGGCAAGCCGGTTCGCCCAGTGGCGGCAACGGTCGACGTGCCCGAATGTGTCAGGTTTAGGCGGCAAAATCGCCAGACGGGGAGTAGACTCGTTCCAACCGCCCATGCTAGCCACGGATAGGCTTAGCCCCCCATCTCATTCCTGACGGGTAGGGGAGGAAAGGATGGTACATACTAAGGCGGGGAGCAGGTCACAGAGCACACAAAAACGATTGGCACGTAAGGTAGGCAGGCACTGTATTTCGGTAGGACAGTATGGAACGCACACGAATTGCAGGTTTGCGGTTGGTCTTGCTCAGGAGAGGGGGGACGCACGGGAAACAGAGACTGGGCAGAGTCGAAGGAAAGGATGTGAGACGCGAGGGGACAAGAAGAGGAGGAGAGAGGGAGTCCATAGGATGCGAGCGTATGGTATGTACGTACTGTTTTCTCGGTGTTGGACGTAGGTGTACATTGCGATACTTTATCTTCCTTCAAACTCGCATCACAAAATGCAGCCAGGCTTGGGGGAGGGGCGCAAGCCGCAATTCGAGCCAATGCCGACCTGCGAAATCCCTAGTCGCCCGGACGAGCACACAAGAGTCCACCAACAGCCCCCTTCCGGGCGTCGCCGCTTGTGCTGCGTTGGGAAAAAACCTCGATCGATCACCATTCGTATTCCATGTCGGCCGCGGGTTGGAGAGCGAATTGCATTGCGATACCTGGAGGCTCCTCCGTCCACCCCTGACCAGAGTGCCCCCACATCGTCCTCCGTCTCATTCGCCGCTCGACTCAGAAAGTACCGTTGCCGCAGGTTTCGCCCGGAAAGGTACAAGCATGGCTAGACCGAGCTACACTAGCGCCGTCTATCTGCCCCAGTTTGCATCTCCTCTCCTCGAGCTCTGTATCGCTCAAGTACCTCTCCAATTGGGATTCACTCGAGGTCCTCGACGCACCGCACCGCATCGCTCCTCACCGCGTACAAGTAAGTATATACATGGTCCGACAGGGGGTGCTGGGTGCTGATCTCGAGTACTGTATACCGAGACCGCGTCCCCCCGAACCCGACAGACAAACCGTCAGCAGCGCCGGTGCTGTAGTGTAGACAGAGAGAGGGAGGAGAATGGAGACTGGGAGAGGGGAGACAAAGAAGTCGAGTGCTGCACCACAGGTCACACTCACCCGTGTCGTCTCTCGAGCTTCACCGTTCGCCTCGTCGACCAATCCTCCTCTCCACCTCTTCTCCAAGGCCCCCCTCGCCAATCCCATCCCACCCCAATCCCTACATCCGCCCTCCTTAACCCGTTATGGTATCCGTTTGCCTCCCCCCCTGTTAAGGTACTTACTTCATGTCCCGCCTTATCTCCTCTCCTCCTAGTCCTGCGCCTGTGGTCCTTCTTTTGCTCTGCTCCCTACTCTTTCGCGACTTTTAGCCTCTAGCAGCTCACTCGTCCTGCCTTATCCGCCTGACCACTTTGGGGGCGTGTCTACTCCCTATTTGCTCGTTTCGTTGCCTTTTCACCTCACCCTCGTGCCTTTTCATATTATCAACCCACCAACACCACTTCTGTCCTTCCTTCCTTCCCTCCCACCCCCAAACTCCCCTACCCATATCACTTCCGCTCCGCAGAAAAAAACAGGAGCGCTGTTGTCTTTGACGCCTTGAATCAACCTGGTTCAGGCGAGTAGGAAGACTCTGCCCCTACCACCTACAGGATACGGTTTATCGATATTCACTTCGGTTCCAGGCACTCACTGAGCTAATATGCTGCCGGTTGACCACGACTCTTCTTGATCTACACCCGCCCATCAAACCCCCTCCAGCCTCGGCCTACCGCTCCGCGACCCTCTCCAACCCCCCCCCACTCGACAAACATCACAAGCAGTGTTTCTGCTCTGCTTGTCGATTCAACAGCGTCCTCAAGAACTCCAACATGGTCGACGATTCAGCACTGGCCGCTGCCGCGGCCATCGTGCAATCCCTTGCCGCCGATGGCACGACGCCCATGTCTCTTCCCTTCAAGGTCGATGCGCGAGTCGAGCTCCCCGGTCGTGATACCCCCGCAAAACGCAGTCTTGAGAACGAACTCGCCAAGCTCGCCCAACGAATCGAAAAACTCGAGAGCCGGGCCCACGCCTCTGTGGCCTTCCCGGAGACGCCCAACGAAGTCCATGACTCCATCTTTGGCGACGACTCCGACGGCACATCACCATCATCGTCCAACAGCCGCCCGGTTCCCAGGCCCAAGTTCCAACGCGAAGGTACCGCCACAGCCGACCCAAGCCTCGCAGACAGCCCGCTGACTGACGAAGCCTTGGAAAGCTTGCAAGAGAAGGTCCTTGACCAGGAGAAGGGTATTTCCAGTGCCAGACAAGAAATCAGCAGCGTTAGCGCCCAGCTTCTCGAGCAGAAGGAACTCCAGGAACAAGCGTTCTTCAAGATCGAACAAGAACGAGTCGCCACTCTGGAAAGGGAACTATGGAAGCACCAAAAGGCAAACGAGGCCTTCCAGAAGGCCCTGCGAGAGATCGGTGAGATTGTTACAGCTGTTGCGCGCGGAGACCTCTCCAAGAAGGTTCGCATGAACACTGTCGAAATGGACCCCGAAATCACAACTTTCAAACGGACAATCAACACCATGATGGATCAGCTACAGGTTTTCTCAAGCGAAGTCTCCCGCGTCGCCCGCGAAGTCGGAACCGAGGGTTTGCTCGGCGGTCAGGCTCGCATCGAAGGTGTCGACGGCACTTGGAAAGAACTCACGGACAACGGTATGCCCGGAACGCAACCCGGCTTTTTCGTGGCAATTTGCTGATAAATGGGAACAGTAAACGTAATGGCTCAAAATCTCACGGATCAAGGTTAGTTCCCTCCCCCTTCCTCACCCGCTGCACGTTGTGCCGCTGTACTGACACCATGCAGTGCGAGAAATCGCATCGGTAACCACTGCTGTCGCTCACGGTGACTTAACCAAGAAAATCGAACGCCCCGCCAGAGGAGAAATCCTGCAACTGCAACAAACCATCAACACCATGGTAGATCAACTGCGAACTTTTGCCTCCGAAGTCACTCGAGTCGCTCGCGATGTCGGAACTGAGGGTATCCTTGGTGGTCAAGCTGATGTCGAAGGGGTCAAGGGCATGTGGAACGAACTAACGGTCAACGTCAACGCCATGGCAAATAATTTAACGACACAAGTGCGAGACATCATCAAGGTGACGACTGCTGTGGCTAAGGGTGACCTTACGCAAAAGGTTCAGGCGGATTGCCGGGGCGAAATCTTCGATCTCAAGTCAACCATCAACTCCATGGTGAACCAGCTTCAACAATTCGCCCGCGAGGTTACAAAGATTGCTAGAGAGGTCGGCACGGAAGGCAGGCTTGGCGGCCAGGCCACCGTTCATGACGTTGAGGGAACCTGGAGAGACCTCACTGAGAACGTCAACGGCATGGCGATGAACTTGACAACACAAGTGCGCGCGATTGCTAAGGTTACCACCGCCGTCGCGAATGGCGACCTTACCGAAAAGATCAGAGTGCCCGTGAGAGGTGAAATCCTCGATCTCAAGAACACCATCAACACCATGGTTGACCGTCTTGGAACCTTCGCTTTCGAGGTTAGCAAAGTCGCCAGGGAGGTCGGCACCGATGGCACTCTCGGCGGACAAGCCCAAGTCGACAACGTGGAAGGCAAATGGAAAGATCTCACCGAAAACGTCAATACCATGGCATCGAACCTTACGTTACAGGTCCGAAGCATTTCAACAGTCACGCAGGCCATTGCCAACGGTGACATGAGCCAAAAGATCGAGGTAGAGGCGCAAGGAGAAATACGGGTCCTCAAGGAAACCATAAACAACATGGTTGACAGGCTTTCCAACTTCTGCAACGAGGTACAAAGAGTGGCCAGGGATGTCGGCGTCGACGGCAAGATGGGCGCTCAAGCAGACCCAGCAGGTTTGAAGGGCCGTTGGCGTGAGATCACGACGGACGTCAATACTATGGCTAGTAATTTGGTGAGCTCGAACAGCCGGCCCTCCCTTCAGCCCAGATCTCGAGACTAACAAAGACGAAACAGACAACCCAAGTACGCGCATTCTCGGATATTACAAACCTCGCGACAGACGGGGACTTCACGAAACTTGTCGAAGTAGAAGCCTCCGGTGAAATGGACGAACTTAAACGAAAGATCAATCAAATGGTGTCCAATTTACGGGATAGTATCCAAAGGAATACGCAAGCTCGTGAAGCAGCAGAACTAGCCAACAAGACGAAATCGGAGTTCCTGGCAAACATGTCTCACGAGATTCGCACACCCATGAACGGCATTATCGGCATGACCCAGCTGACGCTGGATACGGACTTGACACAGTACCAACGAGAGATGCTGAACATCGTCAACAGTCTAGCAAACAGTCTCTTGACAATTATTGACGACATCTTGGATTTGTCCAAGATTGAGGCTCGCAGGATGGTCATTGAGGAAATTCCGTACACGTTACGTGGAACTGTGTTCAACGCCCTCAAGACTCTAGCCGTCAAGGCGAACGAAAAATTCCTCGACCTGACCTATCGCGTCGATAGCTCGGTGCCAGACCACGTTATCGGAGATTCATTCCGTCTTAGGCAGATTATCCTCAACCTGGTCGGCAACGCCATCAAGTTCACTGAGCACGGCGAAGTCAGCTTGACGATCAAGAAGGCCGATCCTGTGGTTTGGGCCTGCAACCCTGACCAGTACGCCATTGAGTTCATCGTAACTGACACTGGTATTGGCATTGCAGCAGACAAGCTTGATCTCATTTTCGACACGTTCCAGCAGGCCGATGGCTCCATGACCAGGAAGTTCGGCGGTACCGGTCTAGGCTTGTCCATCTCGAAGCGTCTCGTTAAGCTCATGGGCGGCGACTTGTGGGTCAAGAGCCAGCATGGACAAGGGAGTGAATTTCACTTCACGTGTCGCGTTCGCCTGTCGGACCTCGGCGTCGAGTCCATTGAGAAGCAGATCAAGCCGTACAAAGATCACGAGGTTCTCTTCGTCGACAAGGCGCAGTCCGGCTATGGAACTCAGATCAAGACGATGCTGTCCACCATTGGCTTGAAGCCTGTCGTTGTTGAGTCGGAGAAGAACCCGTTGCTCACCGGCGTTCGGGACGCCCAGGCCATGCCGTACGATGTCATCATCGTCGACTCCATCGACACGGCCCGGAGGCTCAGATCAGTGGACGACTTCAAGTACCTGCCGATTGTGCTCCTGGCGCCCGTTGTCCATGTCAACCTCAAGTCTTGCTTGGACTTGGGAATCACGTCGTACATGACCACGCCTTGTACCGCTGTCGATCTCGGCAACGGTATGATTCCTGCCCTCGAGAACCGCGCCACGCCGTCCCTGGCCGACAACACCAAGTCGTTTGAAATCCTGCTTGCTGAGGATAACCGAGTCAATCAGAGGCTTGCCGTCAAGATTCTCGAGAAGTACCACCACGTCGTCACCGTTGTCGGCAACGGTCTCGAGGCTGTTGAGGCCATCAAGAGGAAGAAGTTTGATGTCATTCTGATGGATGTTCAGATGCCAATCATGGTAAGTCCCGGGATTTCTATTTGTAGTCAATCTCGAGTGCAAGCTAATCCCACCCCGTAGGGCGGTTTTGAGGCGACAGGCAAGATCCGTGAGTACGAGCGAAGCCTAGGCTCGCACCGTACTCCTATCATTGCTTTGACAGCCCACGCCATGATGGGTGATCGTGAAAAATGCATCCAGGCACAGATGGACGAGTACCTGTCCAAACCTCTGCAGCAGAACCACCTCATTCAGACCATCCTCAAGTGCGCGACTCTTGGCGGTCAGTTGCTGGAGAAGAACCGAGAGAGGGACATGGCTCAGCAGTCGAGAGTCAAGGCTAGCACCAACGAGCATCCCCAGTCTCATCTTCGCCCGCCTCTAGAAACCAGATCCTTCACTTCAAAAGAACCAATTATGGGACCCAGCCCGGCCAGCCCAGCTTTGGTCTCGGCGGATCAGGAAGATCCCATCTCTAGGGCACGTAATGGCCTTTCCGACTCGCGCAGCCTAACAAGCTAACTTGGTTTCTTGTTCGTGCGCGCAGCTGCTACTGAGGTCACATAGTTCCTAACTGGGATGTGCAGGGACAGGCTCAGAAAAAACGCAAGTGGCGACCCGAGTAAACAACGACCAGACATCGTTTTTGTCGATGAGATACCCACCAAAGTTATATAAGAGCATTGATGGAGACAACACAATGGGCATCGCCGCTTCCCCGTTTGTACCCGACATGTCCCACATACCAGACGCATCATCTACATACACGACACGGCACGGTCTCCTTCCAGCGGCAGAAGGTATTCTCGGAGAGAATGGGCACCTTCTATTTTTCGAGTTTCGTTATAAACGCGGGTGTGCATAGTGTTCCAGCACACAAAGAAAGCGGCTAGTCTTTACTTGGTTGGTCACTCAAATCTCAAGATGGGTACGCACACAGACGGGGGCATTCGGGCTCCAGGGTGGGGGGAGGTCGTTGGGAGTTTTTATCTTTTGTTTTTCATGCTCTTGTTTATCAAAGGGGCAAGGGCAGGTGTGGCGCTGCCCTCATTCTTCACCTTCTCGTTAACCTTCCATTGTAGTTTTATTTATGGCTGCCGTAGTTGCGACACGAAGAACAGTTGTGCAGTCAGCAATGTGGACTAGTTGCTTCTGGCTCTCTGCAACGGGTTGAACAACGGCGGTTGCGGGCTTTGACTTCTGTGGCAGGTTTACCCGACCAGGGGTTGCAAAGTCGCCCGCCTCTGGTTGGGGTTTCACTGACAAGATGGAGACGATTGAGAAACGGGTTTCTGTTTTTCTCGAGACTGGGCATTGGAGGTGGACAGCGGGACGAGAGGGAGAGAGACGGGGTTGTGTTTATTTTCCCGCTTCGAGCGGGTTACCAAGCAACAAGGGTGTCATAGGATGGGACAGACTTTACATCATTGATATCAAAAAGGCCGGACCGTTTTGGTCCGGCCAAATACCCAGACTCTCGACGAGCTTCTTTCCCGTCTTGTGATTGTGGCCTTTACGGTATGCGTGCGTCTGGGGGAGGCTATTGGTATCCACCGAGTGCAGCACAAGGCTGTGAGCATCAGAGTGTACGAACAAGCACCTTTTGGTGCTTGAGGCTCGGGTCTCCTTTCCAGTTGCTGTTCTGGCCGCCCTATTCCTCCATGTCCATCCTCGCAGTCGTCGAGGCCGATGCTGACGGACTACCCAACACAGCGAACGACCCTTGACGTCGAGTGGGGGGGGGGGGGGGGGGGGGGGCGCGACTGAGTTACAACCGCTGAATGAAACAGAAGCTGTGGAGAGAAATGAGGCCGAGCTGAGTAGCAACCTCTTCCTCTCGTCCAGCCGACCGATACGTGTTGTGTGGTTAATGGTAGTCTTCATCCACCCCTCGTTGCAATGGTTTCTGGTGCGTGTAGTCCCATAGGAGAGCGCACCCGCACAATGGCTCCGTCCTCCACACTCGAATAAGTGGCTGGGTGTAGTTTTATATCATAGGTCTTTGGTTTGGAGTCTGAACAGCCGCGCCGACTGTGCTCGAGGTTCCTTCCCGCGGATCCCACCCCTTTCGTGCGTTCAACTGGTCTGAGGAGAGGACTTGCTTCAAGACATGTAAACGGTCAGCAGGGCTGAAGATGGCCAAATCCTCCTCCTTTCTGGTTATCTACGGAGACGAAGAGGGAAAGTTGAGATTTTCCACTTGAGCTCGTATCCGTAAGAACGGATGGGGTCTGTCGACAGCTCCCTCTCCATGGCCTCAATAACAAGGGTGCCGCGGTATGATCTCGAACGTACCAGCAAGCTGCATGGGCTCGACCAGAAGGGCAGACCTCAAGCATGGGTCTCCATGTTCTGGTTTTTTATTCCGACCACAGGCTCGGACATTATTGTCTGAAGAGATGGGATTCTCGTAACCGGATTCACGCCTATATGATGGCCCCCTCGACGGCTTAGAATCAGAAGTTGGATTTATTTGCTGGCGAGATCGGGCGGAGCACAACTGGGAGGAGATACGAGCTGTTCACGAAGTTCCTCGCCCTGTGGCAAGATACAACGAGACGAGAAGATGCGATGTGCGCCAAGGGAAGGCCACGGATAGATCCAGTCAGTTCAGAATAGCATAGGGTGAACGGTCACGTTCGGATGAATCAGAACTCGTCCGGTGACCATGTGTATATTTATATACTCCTCAAACTCTCTGAGTAACCTGCCTGAATATCACTTCTAAGCACAGCAGCATGATTCACATCGTTCGACCGCACCCTCGTCAGTGACCGTGTGAGGACACAGAGTTCGCTCCAAGTCCAGACCAGCCATGTAGACACAGACTGATCATGGCAGAGAGATAGATACTGGGGACATTGATGGGAGAAAAGAGGCTCCTGGCTTCCGCCTCAAGGAGACTTCACACCGGCAGAAGAACAAAGTCATTCCCGGAAAGACAGACCAACTATCCTACGCGTACGATCATGCCTGCTCTGACGGAGGTACGATGGGAAGAGGTCCCCGTGACCGTGGCAACAAGTCCCCGGGGCCCGGTCGCGAGAATCAACAGCCAGAGCCACAGCCTCGCCCAACCCCGCGATCAACACAACAACACAGCAACACCGGCCAACCACACCGGCCACTTTCGAGTCAGCAGCGCCTTCCGCCACCGGCAGGGCACATGGGGCCCGTTTAACCATGCAAAGAAAAGGAAGAAGAGCCCCTCCCTTCTCTCCCCCATCCGAAATCTGACTCGGGCCGAGATCTCGAGATGTCAGATTGCGTTTTTCCGCCGCCACGGGCACCATACCGGACGAGCAAGGGGGGTGGGAACGAAAGGCCACGCTGTATCGCCGGCGACCGCCCGCCCCCTTCTCATCTACCCGAGACCCCCTCCTCTCACGAGACCATAGGCGACTTGTCCCGCGGGAATCCCTCGCGGGCGTAGACGGTAATAACACAAAGGTCGCGCGCGAGGGGGGGCGCGCCTCGACGAGAGCCAGATGCCCACGAGCCAAGACAGGCCGGCCAGGCAAGGCTAGCAAGACGGCAGGAAGGAGGCCCAACGGGCCTGCGACCCCTCTGTGCCCGCAGGGACGAGTCAGAACGGACCATGTCGTCTTGGTCCAACCGATTGGCCACCAGTCTCACATCAAACGCAGAGCTGCTTCCTGTATGCGGCTCGCAAATGGGGACGCACACAAGCATTATTCGCCGCATATACACACACGTCCTACTGCCAAGTACCAGGCTAACAACCGGCTCCTCCAATCACCCGACATCCTCTCATCACGAAAAGGAGCCTTTGATCCGTGGTGGGGGGTGCGAGGGAAAGCTGATAGCTTTCTCGAGCCTCGGGGGGGGGGGGAATCACGACAGGGAGCTACGGTACAGGATAAGAACCGAAACACAACAGCATCTTTTCTTCTTCCTCGATAATTTGGCATATCAAGGCGGCGAGGGGGCGAGAATGGGAGTATCTGCTCCGGGGCCCCAGACAAATAGCTGCAGTGCTCGCGAGCACCCGTCGGTGTAGGCGAAGTACTATCAATCACTTGCAAAAGGAGACCTCGAGGGAGGAGAGCGTTGAGTGGTTGCTGGGCTGGATCTGCAGGACGAGTTACATCAGGCGAGTGGCGAGGATGCCAAGATTCCGGCATCTCTTCCGCCCACCAAATCCATCACATCTTTGCCGGGAGCCTCTCCAAGGAGGGAAAGAGAAATAAGCCCCAGAATCCACTCGGCCACGTGCCCGCGTCAATCTCGCATAGTGACCAAAATCGAAAAAAGGGACTTCTGCTTGCCTGCCGAATGGATGGCTTCAATCTGATGAAGGTCGTTGGGGGGGGGGGGGGGGGGCGATAGGATGTGGTCAATGAGAATGCATTTGATAGGCCGGCCGGAACAAAAGAACCACTAGAGGAGGGGGGTTCAGCCTTGGCCTTCTAGTATCCAACATTGATCGTCGCTTCGCGGCAATCCGGAGCTATCGGCACCTCGGCTGGGTGCAAAAAACCCGTTGTTTGCTCCTTTTCAGGACCGCAAAAGCCGATATCGTGACGCAACAGGAATGGATAGGCGCAAACAATGCTGGATCCTATCTTCGTGCGCCCAGTCCATCTCAATCTAAGGCACCCCGGCGCATCGAATACTCAAACCCGTCTTACGGTTTCTTCGCCGCCTCGTTAGACCCAGAGCCGTCCTTCTCTCCGTTAGAGGTTCCACAGTGGGTCGTCCCGTCCTGCCTCTTCAAGTCCTTGTCCTGCGGTGCCGCGGCGCCGTTCTGCTTGGATTTCTCGTTGGCTTCGAAAGCGGCAAGCAGCGCGTCGAGTCTACTCTCGAGGTTTGTCAGATTGGTCTCGAGCGCGGTGGCAGCCTGTTCGCCTCTGTATGCGGTTCTCGGTTAGTCTGATTCCTGGAACCCGCCTGGCGAAAAGCGGTCACGAGGGTGCATCTCGATGGGCAACGAAACATGGGAATCTGTCTTTTCGGTCTGGCCGCTTGGCTAGCCCCCAAGCGGGAGATGGAGGGGAAAGGGCAGTGGTTCCGAATGGCTGGCAACGCAGACTATTGGGTGCGATTTCGAAAAGGGCTTTGAGCGCCGCGAAGACCATGGGCCGAGACGGAAATGGGAGCATTAGTCCCGGGGGGCGTGAGACGTTGAAGAGTACATTCGCCTCCAAGCCCTGGGCGAACGGTCTGGACCAGAGATGATGGTCTAGAACTACTTCACCGAGATGGCATTTCTTGCGGGAGCGGTAACCGAATGCCATCATGGCACAAGCGAGTTGTGACAGCGAATTGGACATTGTCGTACCACAGTCCCCCATGGGCGCCTCCCCCTTCCCCAGATCTGGCGATGGGATCGTTGTCTCGCTTCGATGCGCCGTCCTAGACAGGGCATCGCGGTCGGAGCGGTAAGAGAGTGCCCGGTCGGGGAATGGTGTTGATGGCTTTTTCGGTTGAAACAGAAATCAATGCAGTTCTGCCCTTTGAACCATCCACGGTCGGGCACGAAAATTGCACGGCTGGCCCAGACTCGAGTCCAGATGCGGCAAGGAGACGCAAGTCAACGCCAAAACCCGAAGGGTTCAGGGCTGAGGGCGCCGTCGACGAGAAGGAATAACAAAGATGGAATAGCTGTGGCGCTGTCTTGACCAGGAACGGTTTAATGCGCATTGGTGGTGCTGCGCAGCGCAAGGATTCTAGGGGAAATTTTGGGCAGGTGCTCGCACTGCATTGCGCATTCCACGGAATTGCAGCTTCGGAGGCAGCTCCGAGTCTTGTCCAGGGTGCAGACATGCCATTCTCGACATTGTGGTAGGGGTGGAGGGGGCGCTTCAGTGTGTCACGCCAGGGGCGCGTGTACTAAGGACGTGCTGGCAGGCAGTCGCCCCTTTCGGACGAGGGACCGGGGAGGAGGGAAGGGAAAAAAAAAAGACGATGGAAAAATGCTCGTCAAATGGGCGTACCTTAGGAGGTCTCTATAGGCCTAGAACGCGCGCCAAACGTGGTCAGCCCTGGAACAGTGTACGAGGTAACGTATCCCATATCGCGCCACCCCCCTTCTGCCAATCTGCCCTCCAGCCTCTCTTCTGCCGCAACTACAGTGCAAGCAAGCAAGCCCCGACCGCTCAGGTCTGTCTCTCTTTGCGCCGCCGTCTGGACACCATCGTGGAAGCCGGACCCCACCACAACGCCTATGAAGCGCAAAGGAAGGTCCAGACCGCTTCGGTTCTAATGGACGGGGTTTTGAAAGACCGAGGGGCGTGCCCGAGAGAGACGAATGGGGCAGGATGCGTGCAAGCATGATAGCCGGGAGAGAAAGGACGGAGAGCGTGGGACCTAGGCCGTGGAAGCGGAATGGGGAGTTGAACAGAACAGAGGGAGGGGGAAAGGTTTGACGGGGACAAGCGGCAGGGAGCCCAAGGGGCCACGGCCGAGGTAGAAGTCCTGCGCCCTCAGTGTGATCCGCTCTCTGCTGGCCCCCCTTGCTCCGCCAGAGTCCCAAACCGCGTGCAGATACGGACAACACAACATACCTGGGCAATATTATCCACCGACGACTCGCCGTCGGGCCTGGTCGTTGTCGGGGAGGCGGACTCGGGCTCCTGAGACGCTGGGGCCATATTCGGGGACGGCGACGAGGCGAGCGAATCGAAAGGGTCGACAGGTAAAAAATAGCTGAAAAAAACGGGAGAAGGTGGCCTGATTTGGGGGTCTCGAGGGAGGAGCCGCCCTCTTTTTTTATCCTCTACCAGTTTTCTGTCCTTTGTCTTTTCGCCTTGAATGTGTCGTAATGTGGGAAATGCGGATACTCTTTGTTGCGATGTTCGTCGTCGACCAGGCTGCACAGCACGGCGAATCTGTAGGCTAGGGCAGGAAGCTTGCGAGAATTCTACCTTTTTCTCTCTGGGGTGGCTCAGGCTGCTGGGCGATCCAGGAAACGGGGACGCCGAGGGAAAGGCGATAACTCGGTGTCGTCTCAGGATCTAGTGCACGTGAATGCTGATGTCCAAGGATGGATTGAAATGGGATTTGTAGGGTCCTCGGGTCGGGTTTGTCGATGGTCAGTTTGGCCAGCGACTGAATTGCAGTGTTGCCCAAGCCCCTCACTCCCGCCCCAAAACACCGGGACACGGAGGTGAGTACATATTCGATTACATAAGAGTCACGTTCGAGTGGAAGTCCCCAGTCTTCATCACAACAACCCGGCAAGTGCTGCAGTGAGCCGAGAGCGGCCCTCACCCAAGGTTGGGAAATCTGTTGCTGCAGGTGGCTCGAGAAAGCTATATAAAATGTTAGCTGTGGTCTCCAAGCATCTAAAATCAGTGGCCCAGATCGTCTAGTTGGTTAGGATGATACGTTGTGGTTCTTCTATACAGCGATCCGTGTTGACGGCGGTTCGAATCCGCCTCTGGGCATTGAAAACATTCTTTTTTGTCTCTTTTTCTGCTGCTGCTGTGGATACACTTCCACATATCGTGGCCTCCCTTTTGCGCACTGCGTGCCGTATTGACCGACTCTCTCCGTATCTTGTCGAGGTTGCAATCTTGGCGACAGTCACGACCGTTTATGATGTTGCATTTGATGATTCCTTCCGGATCGTGATGACCCGTGCATCCTCGGATAGACTCGATTAACGCACCGGCACAAGTATGGCAAGGGTTGCAAAAAGTATCGCGGCCATTTCGGCTCAACCCCAGCACCTGACTCTTCATGGCCGATCGTCATTCGGTAGACGGATGGTCGATGGATGTTTTCCACATGGGCCAAGTTTGCGAGAAAAAGTATCGTTAGTCCAGACTCCCGCGGATGATCTGTTTGCTGTCGCATCCTGGGAAGACGTCGGCAGGTTGCTACCTACAGGTACCGGTATCTCTATCGCCGATGCAGCTAGACAGGTGATGGGTAACTTGCAAGCATACTTTACCATGTTGACCTTGCAGTTCGCGGCGATCTGAGATTGCCTCACCCTTCTCGAACAACGTGTTTGAGGTAGCGTGAGACGTGCGGGTTGCTTGGTCTAGTGAGGCAAGTAAGGGAAACCTAGGCCGGGCAGGTTCCTGACATTACCGTCCTGCGGCACCGCACCGTACGATGGTCTTTTGCAGATATGTGTGCCTGGCCGCACGTAGGTACACCTCTCCCACGGTCTGGGACATGATCTACCAACCACACCCCGAGGTAGGTAGTCACCCAGCCAGCCAGAAACTGCCCGCATCTTGTACCAGGTATGGTAGATGAGAGGCATGGTGAACTGAGAATCCAGTATGTTGTCGTTGCCGCGTTCTTGGACCCAGCGTTTCTCGATACGGAGTACAGTTACCTCTGTACAGCTATAGCCGCGAGGTTCCTCTGGCCTCTCACATCGCACTTCTAACCTTGCGGCCTGGCTGAGCCGCCCCACTTGGAGAGTGGGGCACCGGAAAACTGTCAACCTTCCCCCTACCATGGACACTAGCTTTTCTTGGGGGTCTCCTTTAACTTCTTCGATGCCGCACCGGTTTTCCAGATGACCGCCAAACCCCCTCCCACAGTCAGATCGGACTTTTGCTGAGTCTCATCAGGGACAATGATATCAGATCCCAAACAAAGCAAGATGGGATGCCGCCCCTTCTGACGCACTGGCGTCTAATCTTCCCGTGGACAATTGGTGGCATTTGCTCAATCTCGATGACTAGGAATGGGCGTTCGCGATCGAGATGTTGGAATTGACCGTGTCGCAATCGCTGCGTCTTCCCCCCTCCCCTCCCCTTCCTCCGTAACATACGGTTTCGATCCCGAGCTGACAGCTTGGGTTGGCTGCCCTGTCTGGTGGACTGCGCCCGCACCTGCTTCAGCGACCATGAGGCACTGGTACCTAGGGAATTCCGCACCAACATTAGACTCGAGAATCTTGTGAATCAGCATCAGCCCTGTTGCCCGTGTCCTGTTGTGATCGTCTGTGCCGTCTGCGATCGTAATCATCATATCCCGAATGACGATGCACTCTTCGAGCACACGTGCAAACATCGACGATGGCTGTCCCCGTATTGTTGTGGTGTTTTGTTTCCTCCTTCATTCTCTCACACCCATGGTCTCCGTTCCCTCGGCGCCTGGAGAAGCCGATCGCTACCCTCCGCCCATTTGCTGCCCGCTATTTCCCATCTTTGATGAAACCGTGGCCCACGAATGCCTTGCCCCGACGTCAGTCGGCGTGGTCATCGTATGAGGGACCAGAAGACTCGAGGACCCCAGTGTTTGGTAGGTTCCGCAAGCCACGCGCTGCATCGAATCTACGTCACGGCGGGAAGCCCATACTGAAAGTTGAGTCGGGAGGTGACTAGTGTGTTGATGCTCTGTAACGCTACTTGCTGGCTGGTACCGCGTTCCGCTGCCAAACCCTCTCTCTGCCCTCCTTTGGCAGCCTTTGATACGTCAACGCCATCCCCCGGTCGGGCCTGGCCTGTAAATCAGCAGCCTCCGAATGGTGGTTGCGTTCGGTCTCTTGGCCCAGGCGTTCCCTCATTCGCTTGAAGAGTCCAGAACGTTCACTGAACCTCATGGATGGGTAAGGGCCCATGATCATAACGATGGGTGCATGACGAACACCACCGCGACAAAGTCGCACTGGCTGCTGAACGAGGATATGTGGTGCTGCCGTTGCAATGCTCCGTCATCTCACTTCACTTTTCCAGGCTGGGAGGAGCTGGTTGATCATGACTGATCCGCTGATACTCCATCATCGCCGAAATCAAGAGTTGCCGTGGATGTTTAGTGTCTTCCTGGTGGGTGTGTGTTGTAATGTACACGCGTGCTATCCATGTTGCATGAAATGGGCTGGATTCGTTTGGCAGCAAGGGCGGGTTCGGACTGACAATGCTGGGCTGGTCCATGATACCAATTTGCGATTGCCAGCTTTGTGAGATGACCTCTAGGTGTATGTCCTTCGTTCCATGCCCTTGGCGAGAGGGTCTTTCGGTGTCTGGACGTCAGCTTGTTTTCGTTTACCTCGGATTCTTGTCCGCCTTGGGTGAGATGGCCCAGGTTCCAGAACGCTCTGATGGATTGTGGAGACGGGATAACCTAGAAAAAGGTGCATGTACCCTCAGCCTCACTTGGTGGCCAAATACCATCTTCAGCCGAATGCGCAATCTCCAAGTTCGCGATGGCTTTTGTCCATTACCCTCCGCCACACAGCAGATTTAGCCGTTCGAATGGGGGCTTTGGTTCTTTGCTAGCTCAACTGGAGACGAGGTTGCCGCTCATCTCAGGACCAGAGTTGCACGGCATATTGTGCCATGAGTAATCGGCATTGAAAAATCCGGTTCCTCTGCAAATCCCCATGCCATGTTGACCAGTAGAGCACCTGCAATTTGCTGACTGGTCGACTGGCTTTCCTCGAAGGGTATCTTTCGTATCCAATGTCGCAAGCAGCCTCTTGGAGTCTTGCAGTCCGACTTCTAGATCGCTAGCCGCCGAAACATTGGCGTATCATCTACGTGGTTACTCCTATCCCATAGGAAGACTTCTGCTAGCCGAGTAAGGCGCGGATGTGCAAACATTGTATCGACTTCGTCGCCGTCTGTTGTCTCACCCGCGCACCGTGCCTAGGATGGCCATTAACAAGGTGCGTTCCTCGACTATTGTAGCCTGTAGTGGCCAGATTCATCCGCGTGCGCGTGCTGCGGCAGGGGGGTAGTGGCTTTCGATCGCGGCACAATTGTTCGATTTCAGGTGCCTTTCCACCCTTGGCCTGATGCTCCGTCTCCCCGCAGAGAGGCGTGGCCCTAGCCAAGTGCGGTGGTTCAGTAAACTTGTTGCTCGACCGCTGACACGTCAAGAAGCACAAGTCTGGCGTATCTGGGAAGCACTGTCGACTGCAGCTGAATTCGACATCGAGATTCGGGTCTACGGCCAACTTTTTGGCTCTTGCCGTTTGTTTAGACCTGTTGCGGTTTTCGGTGTTAGCTTGCCTACAGGGTTGTTGGATAGTCCGACGTCGTTCCTTTGCGGTGTCTCCATTGGTGGCATTGCTCCCGACAACGTCCCTACGAATGTGATGTCGCGTCGTTCTCTTTATCGCCGAGAGCCACGGCGGTCCCGTTCTCGGTCAGTGAGATTGAATAATGGCATTCTGAAACCAATGAGTGGCAGAGGCCAGAACGGAAGTCGATCGTGGTCTGTCAGGAGGAAAAATGCTGCCAGAGACAGCGGCAAGACCCTTGCTATTCTCGAAGGGGCGGACATAGCAGCAGCAACGGTGTTGTTGATGTAGGTGCTGCAGCAAACCAATGGTCAGGCAGCACGGGGTTTCCACAGCGGCTTTCCCAGAATCGCGCGTCTGCAGGCGCTGCTGCTGCTGCGAGGGAACGGCGCGGGAGTGTATTGTCAAGATGAGGTAAGGTGGGAGGCGCTGTGATGTTACCGCATTCTGCGGAATGGCGTCCGTATGTGAGAGGTAAGGCAAGGAAAGGCATGGACGGTAAGGCAGATGGCCTCTGTGGTGCGTGTGTATGGGTGGTAGGTACGGCATCCGTGTGCCAATGAGAAGGACGACCAGGGAGGGAGTGGGTGGGATGGTTGATGGATGAACACCCCCCCTTTCCTTCACACCAGCACTCTCTCGCTCTCCTTCCTGGCTCTCTCTGTTTCTCTCTCCAGGCCAGCCCGGACCCATCTCGCTGTTCTGGCCTGAGGTGTAAAGATGAGTGGATGCCCTGCCGCCTGGGGCAGGATGGAAATGGAAAGGGGACATGGACCAGGCACGCGCCCCATGTACCGGTACAGCCCTTGCGAGTACCCCCAGGGCCCATCTCAAGCGGCCGTTTCCTGTTCCTGACTCGCTGAGAACCCATGTCTTTCCATCTCTTCCCAAAGTCTCCATATTTCCTTTGCTGGTTGATCCCGCTTTTATTTGCGATGAGCTTCCAGTAAAGATGCCCTCTGATGCTGGAATCCTCTTCGACTTCTCAAAAGTCGGTTTCTGCGATCAGACGCAAGGGAGCTTGTCTTGGGTACCTTGAGCTATCCATCAGTCTGTTGCTCTAGCTTCTCTGCTTGGGCCATGGGCATGCCACCCCGGATCACAAGTCTGCGGCGACGTCTGCGGCTACCCAATACCCAGTACATCAACACACGCCCACCCTACCTACAAGATTCCCTTTTGACACCTCTGACCTCACTTCTTAATCCGCGTCGATCACCGCGGGGCTGCTTCTTTTCGCCTGGTAACCGTCAACCGTTTACCTAACCCTCCGTTCTGTATCCCTTTCTGCCCTGAGAAGCCGCTCTCCGTCTTCGTAGACGGTCACCAACCCCGGTCTTTTCTTCACCGTTCCAATTCCAACCCGTGAGAGGGAAGGGCGAAAAAAAGACTTTCGCCGCCGGCTTCTCGCCTTCTTCCTCAACTTAACCCTTTTTCTTTCTTTGAACAAGCAACACTTGGAGCTTATTCGCTCCCACCTTGACACGTCCTCTGCTTTTCCCCGTCGTTCATGCGGCTGTAATCCGCTGAGCCGGCTCAGAAAACGCCCTCCTACCTGACCTGTACGTATCCTCTCCAGAGCGCGCATCCGACCCGGGTCTCGAAGCCCCTCTCTGCCTGGTCCATCCCGTTGTCCCACACCCCAAAGCTCGGTCTCCTTCACAAATGTCATCGAGATCCGTCCTCCATGTTGCAGCCACCAACTTGGTATATCCACGCCACGCTTGCCGCACACCTTCGCCTTTGATGAGCGTCCGTCATTAACCTTCTCAGCAAACCCAGACTCAGCATATTCTTCGAAGAGTCTTCACCACCACCACCACCATCACTATAACATCGATACTGCACCACATTTTGCAGTACTGTACGCCTGCGAAACAACGCCCGAGTCGCTCGACATTTATTGCCCGAGTGTATCGCATTCGCCGGTCGCTGCCCAACTTACTCGATTTGATCTTTGGGAGGAGGAATTCGACGACAGTAGCCTGAGCGCAGACTACCTGGAATTGTTTCGACTTCGAAGCAACACAAACCGACGCATAGTGTTTCGAATTGGCGAGTAAATGGGAACAAGTTGTTGGGAACCGAACCGAACGAAGATCGTAACGATCACACGCCGAGTCGTTAGTTAAATCTTACCGACGCTAGATCATTCAATCAACATCGATCCTCGATTTGTCGACACGCGCCAAACATATCGACAATCCTGAGGCACCACTTCAATCCCTCACCATGGCGCACGAACTTGAGGGCATTTTTGCAGAGCTGGGCATTTCCCAGTACCTTGGTATCTTTCTCGAGCAAGGCTTCGACACATGGGAGACAATACTGGACATCACAGAGTCCGATTTGTGAGTGCACCGCCTGGCTTGTGTGCTTCATCTTCGAGACTTACAGACTTTGCAACAGGGACGCGCTTGGAGTCAAATTAGGACATCGACGTGTAAGTTTAGGAGTGTGCAATGGTTCAACATAAACTAACAAGCTGGCCCAGAAATTGCAGAGACGCATTGCCAACTCGCGAGGCCTTGCCCCCGATGCATCGCTAGTATCGCCCACTAGAGCGACCGCCGAGGAGCCCAAGCCTGAAGCTCAACGGCCAGAGCAACCTCGACCCGAAGTCAAAGACGGCCCTGTCGTCACCAAGCGCAAGTACCGCCGGCATCCCAAGGTTCGTTGAGTCCGTCCTGTTGGCACACTCGTGCATGAACATTGCTGACGATGTGGGGCAGCCCGATGAGAACGCACCAGAACGGCCGCCTTCGGCTTATGTTCTGTTTTCCAACAGTGAGTTTTCCCAAAGCCAGCGACTGGTTGTTGAGTTGTAGTAGCTGATGATCCTACAGAAATGCGCGATGATCTCAAGGGTCGAAACTTGACTTTCACTGAAATAGCTAAGCTTGTTGGGGAGCACTGGCAGAATTTGACGCCGGGTGAGAAGGAGCCTTACGAGACATCAGCCCTCAAAGCAAAGGAAAAGTATAACCATGACTTGGCCGAGTATAAAAAGACGGCAGAGTATAGGAAGTACAACCTTTACCTACAAGACTTCAAGGCGAGACAGGCCTCCGCCAATCAAGGTATGTCCCTAACGGCCTCTCAGCCGTGGTCATGAGGTTAACTCTGATTTTAGCAAAAGAGTCCTCTAAACGCCAGAAGCTGGATACTGGCGCTCGGCTGCAGAACGGTAGTGCAAGCGCGACGCCGGGTAGCCTCAGCAGCACCGGGAGTGGCAGCGAGAGTCACCAAGGGAGTGAGCCGCCCCCAAACCGGAAGCAGCGAGTCGGTTCTGTGGTATCAGTATCGGAGTCTCAATACTCGACGGCTGTCCCGACGCCAATTTCGCATCACCATGCCGTAGACGACTCGGTGCACTCGCCCACCAGCACTCAGTTCGACCGAGAAAGCTTGCACTCAACAAGTCCCCGTGCGTCCCAGACTCGGAGTCGTCGCCCAACCTGGACGGAGAACCAACTAAACCCAGACGCGATTGGACCCACGACTCACTTGCCGTCGCTGTCGGATGTGTTCAGTAATGGGCGAGGGGGGGGATGAATGGTGTCTCAAGATCTCCCGAGGCGAACGGATTCGGCGGCTTTGCACCACCACAACACCCGGGCGCTCCGATTCCACCGCCGTTGAAGCACGAGTATTCGTCAACAGGAAGCTCCGCGTCGTCCGGCTCGTATCCTCGCACTCCGAGTGAATCTTCGCTGCCAATCCATGCTTTGTTGTCCAACAAACCGCTAGCTTCGCCGTACGAGTTGCAACCGTCCCCCTTCACAACCGTCCCCCTGACGCTACAGGACCAGAAGCCAGTATTCACTGGCCAACCGCAAGGCTCCCATGGATCTATGAATGGTACAAACAACCATTCTTCGCATAGCTTTTCGCCGAAGCTAATAAGGTTTCAAGGTTACCACTCGCCGCCGCCTGCCCTGTTGCGCTTCCAGTCGAGTTCTTCGTCCGGAACCGAGGGATCCATTGCGTCATCCCACGCATCTTCGCACGCGTCCTCTCAGACCTCACTCGGGGTGCAAGAGAGAAGCGATCCAAAGCTCGATGGAATGAGCGCTTTGGTGCGAGCTGGCGAAATCGTTAACCGGCGGGTTCAATGAGAGTTGCACGGTATTGACGAAGGATCCATCGTCATGGACCTAGAAAAGTTTCCCGAAGTTGGCGACATCTTGCCGCCTTTTTCGACGTTTTGCTTCGATCTCTTGATTATATATCTTGGTTGGATGCTCGTCGGTGGGATGAGCGTGTTGGTCGGATCAAGCCGGAAGGCTGAAGTTGGTGTGTTTGATTATCTGAATACCCTCATGGATTGGCATCTTGTTGGGCATCGTTTCGGGATCTTGTTTTAACGGCGGCGTTAATTGGAAAACCTTGACCGGCGTTTGGGCTGTGCGGACATGGCATCTTTTCTTCTCCCTCAGACAGGGTTATGAGCTGCGTGGCACGACCAGACGATAGGGTTACCGTGGGATATAGGGATGGAACGGGTTGTTGCATGATATAAAAGCTCTCTGACGACCAGAGACCCCCCAAAAACTACAATTAGTGGCATGAGGAGCAGCCTCGAGCGAAGTGAATTAAGAAGAGATTTTTCGGAAAAGATGAAGGTGCAAAAGAAAAAAGAAAAAAAAAAGAAGGTGAATCGTGAACAATGTGTGAGAAACATAGATGGGATGGCATGACGTCAAAGAACAACAATGGAGGCAGGACGGACGGACTAAGCGACTTTCTCACCTAATTCCCCTCTCCAATATCCTTTCCTGACCAGGGAAGGGACGAACACGAAAACACCCTGCTCGCCTCATCTGGGTGGCCTGCTGATGCCCACACGCGACTCGAAAGGGTCCTTGCCAGTTTGAGGCGCCTGCAGGTCCATTCGGATTATCCATTCGTTGGATCAACGTTGAGCCGCGGACGCGCGCAACACCCCCTCCAAGATTTTGTCGAGCCTCTAACGTCATCATGGAGTCAACTTTTTCGGGGTCCTGACCTGACCTGACCAATCCCCGGCTTGCCTTGCCAGATGCTTTCTTTTCGCGGGGTGTGTTCGAGGGTTTCTCCAATCACTGGGCAGGGACGGCGAGCATGTCAAACAACGACGCCTTGGTCTGTTTGTTGCCGATCGTTGACCCTTGCGCGTACGCAGGTCGTGGAGGGGGAATAACTTCATTCACGAATCAGTCCAGATACAAGGAGAGTCATGAAGTGTTCGGTGCGCAAAGAGGAGGACGGACGGAGTCTGAGAGATTGACGAGGTTTTATTGACGAAGAAACGAAATCAGTATCGGCATAACGCAGGTATCGTGGAGACGTAGACGACAATACAGACGGAGACGCCCAATCCATCTCGTCCAGGCTCCCATGGGGTAGGTGCTGATGCTTCAGATAGGCATACACATACATGGACGAACGTAAGCCACTCTTGCAAGCCCGGCGAAGCCAGTCCCCGTCCGTGATGTAATTTGAATCCGTCCCTGCAAACGAGAGGATTCTTCTCTCCCAGATGTTGCTGGCGCACGCCTGAACTGTCATCCAATAATTATCCCATCTTTCAGTCGGTCCCCAAATGTATTTAATGCTCACTGCGATACTATCCGATTCGAGTCATTGGGAAACGGGTATCCATCTCAGACCAAAGTTGTTGGGGCACCGGACAAACTATGCGGACGGGCACGAGCACTAGTATCCGTAACGCCGCCACCCTCTAGGTTATCAAGACGATGGAGAATAGCCAGATTGAGAAACATGCGAAATTGCAAAGAGATTCATGGACGGGCCACTCAACATCATATCCCTTCTTATGCGTGTCTGTTTCTCTCCCTTTCATTACATAAGACGTCATACTAGACTCACTCTCCAGCTCAAGCCGCTCCGAGTAACATGCAGGCTTCAAAAATGGATTCTTTGCCGCCCAGTTCATTATTGAACGTACCCAACCCAACCGTACAGAAAAAAACCAACATGTCGTCATCAAACAAGACAAAACGCCCGATCTCGGCAAAACAACCCAACTACGACTCCAATTCTGTTCTTTTAGTCCCCTTTCCATGTTACTCCCCACCTGTGATCTCAGCTGTCCAATCCTTGCGGATGTTGAGTTCCGTGAGTTCAGGGGTCTTTTCGATGACCAAGCCCTTCTCGTTGGCGAGATGCAGCAGACTGATGAAACAGAAACTCGTCGAGATGTCCTCCATCATCTGCTTCGGGTACACTGAATGCAGGCCATTCATGACCTCGGTGAACCTTAGTGTCGTGTCCTTGGATGGTTCTTCGGGTGCGGCAGCCGCGGGTCCATTGGGCGGCGGTGTAGGAGGACGCGTAGAGCCCTGGAATCAGAGTCAGTACACTTCTGTAGCGTGAACGTAAGGCGAAAGGGTTGACTTACACTATCCAACTGTTCGAGGCCCATGCCCTTCCAGATCTCCTCTTTGAGCCGCCTGACATCCACCCTCTTGGCCACACGAGCGTACTGCACGTAATCTGGCCGGAGACGACGAGTTTGCGTGACTAGCGTGGTTCCGAAGGCACCGGTTAAGGCATTGGTAGCAGCATCGCCACCGAGCAGGGCCGTCAAGCCAGCTGCTTCGGTGGCACCTGCATCACCCTCAGCCATGGGCGAGAAGTGCTCACGGGCATCCGCAAACTCATCGTCTTCGTCTTCCAAGCCTCCGGCGAAGGGAAGAGCGTCGTCCTGGAAGAAGTTGGCGTCGTAATCTCCTTCCGGCAATGGCGTCTCTTCCTCGCTCTTCATCGGTGCCTTTTGCTGCGCCCAGAACGCCTCGTCCATCTCGCCTTCTGGTATGTCTCGGTCCGGCCCGGCAGTGCCAAACATGCCACCCCTGTTTCCCAAGACCCGCCGTCTGCTGAGGCGCGCCTTGGGCTTGAGGAAGAGGTTGAGAAGTGACTTGGAGTTAAAGTGCTTGTCGTCTGGCAGCAGATTACGCGATTTTGATTTCCAGTCCTTCTTGGGCATAGAGATGGCCGAGTTGCTGGAGGCCTGAGTGTACAAGACATCAGCCAAACTCTGGTCGAGCGGCGCAGAAAAGTCGATTTCGAAAGGCTCCTTCTCCTTCCGCACACGGGCAGGGCCTGCGGGCTTGTTGACATCCTTGATCTTTCGGATTCTCCAGTGCTCAGCACTTGACCAGTTCTTCTGCAAGGCCTGGTCGAAGTAGCCGAGAATATCTTCATGCATTTTATCAGCGCTTTGTGCGTGGGACATGGAAACGACAAAGTCGCCGTCACGTTGATCGAGCATTTCTACGCCATCGCCTCCAGCAGCATCTTCGCCAAGACCGGCGTCGTAGACCCGCATCTGCGGCTCAAGGGCGGCTTCCCTCGCCCAGGCTTCGCCGCCCTCGCCGAATGCGACATCCGCACCGATTTCAAAGCCGCCGAGGCCAAGATCGTCGTCGTCGAAGCCAGCCGCATTGTCGCCGTCAATGAACATGCCCGAGTTATCACCGAGTAAGTCTGGGGACTTGTCCTTGTCTTGGTCTCCTCTCCAGTCCTCTGGTGCTCTGAGGAAAGGGATGTCCATAGAGCCCGAGGGGTTGCCGAGGTCGAAATTCTTCAATGACGGACAGACGTCCAGCTCGTCGAGACGGCCCAAGTCAGAGAAGAACTTGGCACCCAGCGCTCCCAGGTCGATTTCGACGTCTTCCGTATTTTCCTCCTGCTCGGGTTCTTCTTGTATCGCCGAAGCATCTTGCATATCCGAGTCCTCGTTGTCCTCGTCTTCGGCTTCGTCGTTCTTCTTTCTTGTTTTCGAGGTATGCGCGTCGCCAACATCGTCGCTGCTGTCGAAGACAATCCGGCCCTGCGCATCGATCATGAGATGGTTGAGAAGCAGGCCCTTGGCACCGCCTTCGTCGAAGTCGGCGGAAGTCTTCTTGAAAAGGGGATCTACGGCGAACTCTAGTTCAAACTTCTTGAGCTGAAGGGAAGAGAAAGAAGGCGCAAGGGTCGCTTCCGAGGATCGCTGCGTCTGCTGGAGTTAGCATTTCGTCATAAACAGGTTCTCTCGCACATACCTTTCGCTTCGGCTTCTTCCTAACGTTGCCGTCTTCATCGATTTCCTCCTCACTCTCTTCGCCCTCAGCATCATCGCCTTCCTTGCCCTTCTTCTTGCTGTTGCTGTCCGCAAGGCCACTCAAAAGCTTGCCGGTCTCGGTTGCGACACTGTCGACTCTGCTGGTGTAGATCTTCACACAACCGTCTAGCGTACAACTGGCCTTCTGAAAGTTGACTCCGTCGCCCTCCTTGAGTAAGGACATGTCGTGGAAGTAGTCGATCAGTGCGAAGTTCCAGGAGTTGTTTGCGTTGATCTTATTATCCGTCGCCATCTTCATCCATTCTTCGAAGTTGGCAAGAATCGGAACGCGCTTCATAGGCGTGACCGCGCTTCCGCTAACAACGAAGCCCTCGTCATCATCGTCAATGACCTGCCTGCCACGGCTCCCGCGGGCATGTGGTGTCTTTGGGTTTGAGCCTGGTGTGTCATTCTCGAGGTCTTCCAAGCTACCGTTATTCCTGCGCAAAGGGGTCGCAGCGGCCGCCTTCAACTCGTTGCGCTGACGCTCGTGAAATGCGTGACGCGAATGCGCTCGCCGCGCCTTTTCTTCGGCATCATCGTTGAGGGGGATTCTGGATGTTTGTTTAGTCTCGTTGCTAGGCAAAACTAATGAGTCGCTAGGGTCGCAAACATACTTGACTGGTGAGTTCTTGAACGGCGATGCATTCATCGACCCGGAGGTCGCTCTGACACTGCTGGCGCGCGGTACTTGGGCCACTCGAGGCATCTTTGTGTTGTTGACACTGAGGTTGTCGTCAGATTTGTTGATTGTTGCTGTGCGGTGCTCTGAGTGCCGACCTTGTGTTTACTTTCCCCACTAAGCACGCCCCAAGCGACGGGACGCGAAACAACAAAGAGTGATGGCCTGGAATATTAGGTGTTAACACTATCCTTTCGGGCCGGCATGGGCGGGGAAGGTAAAAACCAGGCTGTCCGCTCGTTTCGTCCCAACATCAGCAATATCAATTATCAACACGTGACGCCATTCGTTATCTGCCGAGCGCCTTGGAACTGTTCTCTTGCAGTTGCCGTTCCAATTGGCCCCTCTCTCTTCAAGTTGCCGCTCCGATGATGCACAGCCACGCTACTAGGCGTTCGGGTGTGCCTTTCACAGGCGGCGGGCTTGGCTCAATCAGGGCACTGCCTGCAAAGGTGGCCAAGAACTTGCGACGCTCCCCAGTTACTGAGGTTCTTTGGCAGGTTTTCCCGGGCTGCCTCCCTCGGACCACATGAACCGTACATAGAACGTGAGAAGTGCTTGCATCTCTGCAGTTCAGCTCAAACTCGCTGCAGCCTTTCTCTTGTCTTGCGACTCCGTTGACAGACACCCGTTCCTCCTGCGCGGCGGAACGAGCGGCATCAAGCGCACGCCAACGCGACTGCAATCTGCCATGGCTTCGGATGAGCCAATTACATTCAGTATTTGACGTCAGCATGCCAGCAACCTCCAAACTTCGAGGGAGCGGCCTCCGTTTGCGGCCTTTCTACGCGACCGTTTTTCTGTTATCGCTTTTGGCATCCTGGTCCCTCTTGGCCAAAACCACTGAGAGACAGCTTCACCTGCAAGACACCTCACTCCTCGCCAAACGATCTGAGTTCACAGAATGCCGTGACGTCCACCGCGCCGACGACCAGTGCGCCTTTGTCAAGGCTCACTGCGCCGACGATGAGGCTGGTCTCCTCTCCTACCTGACGCTTTACTACTGCGACCTTGGCAAGGCCCAGACATTGGCCTTCGTTATTATTGTCTGCTGGCTCGGCTTGCTCTTCACCACCATTGGCATCGCCGCCAGCGATTTCTTCAGCGTCAATCTCAACACCATTTCCGCCATTCTGGGCCTCAGCGAGAGTCTAGCTGGCGTCACCTTCCTGGCCTTTGGCAATGGCTCTCCCGATGTCTTCAGCACCTTTGCGGCCATGGGCTCGAACAGCGCCAGCATGGCGGTTGGAGAGCTGATCGGCGCAGCAAGCTTCATCACTGCCGTAGTAGCCGGGTCCATGGCTTTGGTTCGCGAGTTTAAAGTGGGGAGAAAGACCTACGTCCGGGATCTGTCCTTCTTCATCGTCGCCGTATGCTTCACCATGGTGTTTCTGGCGGACGGCCATCTGCATTTATGGGAATGCATAACGATGGTTTGCTACTACATATTCTACGTGGTTACCGTTGTCACCTGGCATTGGTATTCGACAAGGCGGAGTCAGCGGCGGGTCCGGGAAGCTGCCGCGCGAGGCCATGTATACGGACCGGTGGGGCATCTCAACGATGAGCTGGCTCCGGAGCCGTACCGGGATGATCCCGACGACGAAGACCGTCACGTAACTTCTACCGCCGCCTTCAACTCCGGGGACATCAGCGCACTGGAAGCGGGACCAAGAATTGAAGTTGATGGTCATGCTGAGGACGAAGATGAGGCCGAAGACAGCGATCATGGGCGGCACGTGGTGGCAGAGATGGCAAGCAGCATGCGAGTGCTGCGGCCTAGAGGCAGAAGGCGTAACACCCTCACGCCTATCCGTCCTAGTTTGGTCGGCGCGTTGGAATTTAGGTCAGCTCTGGCACAGCTGCAAAAGGAAAGCAACCACAGAATGAGACCGATCCATGGCCGAGCATATTCGGTCAACCATCTCGGCGGTACCAGCGAAACGAATACAGTCCTGGGACCGCCGTCCGAATCGGGAAGATACACAATTGGTGCAGTCGAAGAGTTTGGGCAGAATAGGAATCGTGCCCTGTCATCTGGCGATATTCCGGGTTCCGTTAACAGCCGAGATCACTCTCCTTGGCGCTTCCCCCCCCAAGAGACCCCAGTAAACCCGATACAACAGGTTAAGGCCCAAGATGCTAGGAACCGAAGTCGATCACCAGCTTTCAAGATCGGTGGCAATCTGGCACCTCCTCCAGTCGATATGGCGCCACCCCAACGTCAAGATACAGGAGGCAGCGACACCCTCGAAACTCGACCGTTGCTTGGTCAACTTTCACTCCAAATACCAAGTCGTCAAGGAAGCTTCAGCGACAGGTCTTCGCCTGTGTCGCCCTTCCCCGGCTATACAGAATCGCCTCTTGTTCTGACGCCAGCTGCCCAGACTGAGCAGACCGAGTACTTCATGCCCCCTGGCGTGGCTCGTTTGGAAGTTCCCTTTGCGCCTTATGAAGCAGCTACTCCCAAACCCGTCAGGTGGTGGCCTTATACAATCCTACCCCCTCCACACATATTCTGGGCAACACTATTCCCGACTCTACTGGGTTGGAAGCAGAAAAGTCATTGGGACAGGTTTGTCAGTGCGATCTCTGTCCCAAGTATCTTGCTGCTAGTGTTGACGCTACCGGTGGTGGAAAATGAGAGCGGCGATGATTCTTTGGGTGAAACTGCCGTGGATTCATTGATGCGGGATCATGCTCATTGCGATGCTCCGACCCTAGCGACCGTCTACGGGAGTGCAGAGGAAGAAACGGAGTGGCAGCGCTTCAGGCGGAGCACCTTGACACATTCTCGTGTGCATTCCATTGATCATTCCCCGAAGGGTTCTCCGGCACTCATCGCCATCGATTCCCCGAATGGTGCGCGCGTTGCGACGGAAATACCCACGAGTCATCCGCAACACACCAAATCAGCTGCAGAAATGCCCTCGGAAAGCAGCCTTGTTGCTGCTGATGATTCCGGCCAGTGGAATAGATGGCTTGTCGCGATTCAGCTTTTCACGGGGCCTTTGTTCGCCATTATCATCTTATGGGCGAACATGAAAGAGGACTTCGATCAACCGTACAAGACCCTTATCAAGCTCATTCTCTATACACTCTTAGTGTCTACGATACTGCTTGGGTTTCTGCTGTTGACGACAAACCCCGATAAGAGACCCAAGTACCACTTCCTGCTGTGCTTCATGGGGTTCACAATCGCCATCGCCTGGATCTCCACTATTGCTGGCGAAGTCGTTGGTGTTCTGAAAGCCTTTGGAGTGATTTTCGGCATCTCTGAAGCACTCCTAGGGCTGACTATCTTCGCGGCGGGCAATAGTGTGGGTGACCTGATTGCCGACATAACCGTTGCCCGGCTTGGATTTCCCGTTATGGCCCTGTAAGTTCCTACGTGACCCGGCTTTGTCGAACGGCTATGTTAACCTCTTATAAGATCCGCTTGCTTCGGCGGTCCCATGCTCAACATCCTCCTTGGTATTGGCATCGGCGGCGTCTACATGATGGTACAGGCCGCCAATCACCGACACAAAAAGCACCCTGACAAGCCGTTTAAATACCACTCGTACAATATCCAGATCGGAGGCACCCTGATGATTTCGGCCATCACTCTGCTTCTAACATTACTAGGTCTTTTGATCATTGTTCCGATGAACAAGTGGGTAATGTCGCGGAAGATAGGATACGGACTCATCGTGCTATGGACGATCAGTACCATTGTCAACGTCGTCGTTGAGTTGACGGGGGTTTGGACCGACGTGTCCTATTCTTTTACCTTCTAACTTTACCATTTTTCTTTTTGAGCGTGCGTACAGACAGTATCGGTATTTATGCCAGTATATTACACGTATAGGTATACCCCAGCATAGCATATGACGAGAGACAAACGATTGTACGTTTTTCTGTATAGACAGTCTTTACCTATGAGTACAAAGAAGGGCACCAGGAAACCACATAAACATTAAGTCTACAAATACTATATTACAATTTCACCTAGGCAACGATTCTTCGTGAGACTTTGGTTGTTTCTTTCTGCTATTGGCCTCCTCGGGAATCAATATTTCCAAGGATGGACAGTGTTGTTTCATCTAGCGAGCATTTCTAATCTCGAGGTTTTTCGAAGTCAGGCACGGTCCTAACTTGCACGTTGATCACCATCTGATGTGTCTGCTTCGCACAGAGTTGCGCGCACGCCGTGCTCCTCAACAAAAGGTATTCACAGCCGAGTTGTGGCGGCTTATTGAGACGAACTTCGAAAAGTGCCTTGCGATGCCAAGCCCAGGGCTTCATCTGGTGTGTTTGCTTTCTCAGCTCGGGTGCGTATGCCAAGCCAAGCCAAACCATTTGTAGTATTCCGTGTTTCCAAGAGCCTATGCCTTTGGGGAACTGACATTTCGTACTTTTCATGGGATCTTCTGAGTGCCAGGTGGGCGGGAGCGAGATATAAGAGACTGTGGTATCGGCCACGACGTCTTGATTTCATTCCGACATGTCCCTCTACCATCCATGACCAAACATTGATCAAGTCATCAACCCAACACCAATCTTACAAGCCTGAGAATCTACTTAATCAGCAAACAACCGCCAACAACAAAATGGGAGGCTTCAACCAGTCTATTGATCTGGCCAAACAACTCGCCGGCAAGAAAACCCCCAGTCAAGACCAACAACGGCAACAGGACTCGCCCCAGACCGCAGATAACAGCCAGCAATGGGCGGAGGTTGGTAGGGAGACCCAAAAGGTCTTTGCCGACTACCAAGCCGACCAAGCCGCTGGCAAGGGCCCGAATTATACCAAGCTTGGTGACGTTGCCCAGAAGGCGTTCGCTATCTACAACAGTGGTGGAGGGGAAGAGGGAAATATAGCTAAAATTGGGAAGGGAATTACTTCTGGTGGTGGCGGAGGGTTTGAGAAGGCCCATAGCTGTGATGAAGCTGGGGATATTGCGGCTAGAAGTGGTGAGGGCCAGAGTACGTTGGGGACGAATGAGAGCGATGATGGTGGTGTGGGTAGGAAGAGGAGCCAGAAGCCTCTAGACGATCCACTGGGCTATACGGCGGTAGAGGTGAAGACAAGCCTAACGAGTGAAAGCCTCTCTGGGCAAGAAGCATCTTATGAGACGTCGGGGCTTGGCTCGCAGACTGAGCAAAACGTCAAAGATGACGCTATGTCAGAGAAGGCTGATCTGGACGAGGATAAAGTTCTCTTCACCGGCAGTAAGAGTAAGAAGCAGGAGGCTCCGAGTGGTATAGATGTTAACCAAGGTGGGGAAAATCCCCGTGATTTGACAAGTCTCCTCGATTCCCAAAGACTAACACCGAGTTCAATAAGACTCAGCGACACGGCCGGGAAGGCTGAAGGCAAACATGACGAAGGGGGATCTCCTGAATAGACCGCTAACAATGGTGTATGTTTCAGAACTCAGTGCAAGCGATTTTGATACGTCGACTGACCAGATGATGCTCTTAGGGAAAGACATACTCGTGTCGTTCGAACGACCAGGAAGAGTGAGTCACGGTCTGCATGTTTCAAAACAGAGGCGCAGCTAGACCTGGGACACCATAGTTTACAATGAAGCATGATATCTGTCCTTTCCAGCAAACACTTCATGGAAGAATGCCGCGCTCTTAATGGTATGCTAGCTCAGAGCTGCTACCTAGTTTTGACGAGGACAAGTTGATGACCGGGCCCAATCACCGAATCGGAGCGGTGCACGACCTCACCTGTGCCGTCCCGACTCCACAGTCAATCCCGGAGTGCCCATCCCTGCCCGGCCGCATTGAAGGGGGAATCGTTCAGGTTGGAAGGGCAGTGATCGACCACGGTCTAGCGTTGTGTTGGTGCTCTCTAGCCTACTGTAATCAATCGTCCCTTGCGCCTCTAGTGAACCTCCAAGGGTGCCCAGGAACCTCGCAGAGGCCACGATGTCTTCATTCGAGGTACCTCAGCACGGAGATACTGACCACGTTCCTGGACTTGCAAGGTAAACAACAATACCGTCATCGAGCACTGCCACAACCACCGTGTGGAGGACCAGCCGAGTCGTTTCGAAAACGATCACCTGGGCTGGCGGCTCTCATTTCGTTTCAATGCCAACGGTCTCGTATCGACCGCCCAAATTTAGCTGTGAAGAGCAAGCTGTCCTCAGCATCGTAAGGTCCATGCTGACCTTTGAAGACGATGACAGATCGCCTTAGTCATTTCATGAGATCTGTCAATTGAGGAACTGCCAGGTTCAGTCAGCGCCCAATTGACTCCATTGTCGAATCACATGTTCCAATGTCAGTCGTAAATATTTGATATTGGATATCGGCGACAAAGATATAAAGCAAAGGCAACATCGCCATCACTGGCACTCGTGGTTTCCTAGTTCGTTGCACCTGCAGCTCCAAACCCAATCAACCCACTCTATCCACCGACCCCTCTCCTGCCTTACAGGTACCTTGGAGGCCCAGACCCTTGAGTAGCAAAGCACCCCTTTGCCCCGCCATCCCAGAAGCAACCCCGCGCCTGCCACATCCCGAAAGGAGCTACGACCTTCTTCCCTTCCTGCACGATCGCCAAACTTTCTGACCGCCTCCTCTGCAAAATTCCCTTACCCAGCCCAGCTTTGGTGTGCGCATTCTCACGAGACCTCAGCCCAGCTTCGAGTTCACGACACCAAGCTCTTGAGCTTCTAACCTGACCTCCTTTCTTTGCGCTTTCACAAACCAATCCGTCGCAATGGCCACCTCACTCCCCAGCTACCCGCCTCTTAACGAGCGACCTCTCAAAACCACAATCTGCCTCTTTGACGTTGACGGCACCCTCACTCCCGCCCGTCTCGTAAGCTTCTCCCGTTCATCCCACCGATACCCCAAGCTCGTCTGCATCACGCTGCCTCCTCCCCAGAACTCTCCTAACCTAAGCTGACACCCTATCCTCCAGGCTGCCTCTCCCGAGATCCTCGACCTCCTCGCCCGCCTCCGTCAAAAGTGTGCCATTGGCTTCGTCGGCGGCTCCGACTACTCCAAGCAGCAGGAGCAGCTCGGTAATGCCTCTACGCCCGTCACCACCCTCTTCGACTTCTGCTTCTCCGAGAACGGCCTGACGGCCTTCAAGCTCGGCCAGCCCCTTGCCTCGAACAGCTTCATCAAATTCATCGGCGAGGACCAGTACAAGGAGCTCGTCCGCTTCGCTCTGCACCACATCGCCGACCTCGACATCCCCATCAAGCGCGGCACCTTCATCGAGTTCCGCAACGGCATGATCAACATCTCCCCCATCGGCCGCAACGCCTCCACCACCGAACGCAAGGCTTTCGAGGAGTATGATAAGATCCACAATGTCCGCCGCGACTTCGTCGCCAAGCTGCGCGAGCGCTTCGGCCACCTCGGCCTGACCTTTTCCATCGGCGGCCAGATCTCCTTTGACGTCTTCCCCACGGGCTGGGACAAGACGTACTGCCTGAAGCACCTCGAGAACGAAGCCAAGAAGGAGGGCGGCATCAAATACGACCAAATCCACTTCTTTGGCGACAAGACGGCCGAGGGCGGCAATGACTACGAGATCTATGTTGATGAGCGTACCATTGGACACTCTGTTACGGGCCCGGAGGACACCATGCGCATCCTCAAGGAGACCTTTGACTTGTGAACCGCGCCGGCGGAGTGCAGGCTCTAAGGTGAACGGGAGGTGACCTGCGGACATGGACGATTCGGATCTGGAGACGGACCGACAAAATGGGGGTATGGAAGGAGAAAGACCATGGGCGAGCTTTCTAGACTTGGGCTGTAACGGACGGGGAACAACAGACCTCTGCATGTCGAGAGCGGCAAACGACCTCTCGCGACTTGGATTTCGGTAGAGCAAATGGAATGAAATACAATGACCAACACTCTGCATCGCTGGGCCACATGTGTTGGTCAACGATCGGGACACGCAATCCAGGGACACGGCTGTTTTGTGACATGCAAATAAAAAGAAATTGTGGTTAATATCATCAGCTCGCTAAGCTATCGCTGGATACCTTGCCCTTTCTCTTCCAACTCGCCTGGAATGATGGGAGAAGAATGTAAAAAAATTATCCAAGATACAAAGGGGAAAAGTTGTTGCCAGCCCCAGAAGTCAACCCACCCCCCTCTCCCGTCCTCTAGCGACCAAACTCGAGATGGGGCACAATCACCGGCCCGTACTTTGTCGGCGCCGTGAAGGCACCGTCGCCCTGCACCACAAAGTCGACCGCCAGGCTCAGCTTCTGCAAGCCCTGCTGCTGGTGCTGCTGCGGCGGCGGCGGCTGCTGTTGGCCGGGGACGGCGTCGGGGTCGTACGCGACGACGGCGACGTAGTTCCTGCGGCCCATGAGCTTCTTGAGCTCGCGCGCGGAGCCGCTGGCGTCCGTGTGGAAGATCTCCATCATGTCCTCCTTGGTGTCCGAGACCTCGTGGTTGGACTTGTGCCCGTTCTGCGGCACGTAGAGGCTCTTGTTGTTGTGGAGGAGCTTGAGGATGTAGTTGCTCGCCGGCTGCGCGACAATGGGCGACGTGATGACCTGGTACATTGTCTTGTGGTCGCTCGGGTGCGTCGGGTCGTGGACCAGGCCTGCCCCCGCGCAGTTGACGTCTGGAAACATTTGTTAGAACGGCACTGGCAGTGCAGAGTGCGGGCGAGCTTACCTCCTGACAAGAAAGTCATGCGAATGCCCTTTTGCTGGGAGATGCCCTGGAGGGTCCGGATGAGGTACGTCCTCTCCAGGTCTTTGGAGTCGTGCGTCCACATGTCCTTGAGGATCTCGGCGATGTCGATCTCGCCAAACTGGTTCAGGACGTTGCCCATGAGGCCGGACTTTCCGACAGCCTTCTTCACCTGGGTGAAGCCCTGCGCCACAACGTCCTTGCCGCCGACGACGCCGGCCACCGAGCTCGTCACCTTGCCGAGCAGGTTGTAGGACGTGTTGACCACCTTCTTGCCAGTCGCAACAGCACCGGCCAAGCTCTCGACTGCCTCGAGACGAGGGTAGACGAGGGGTACGGACACCATCCAGATGCAGTGCTGCACGCTGGGTGGTAGCGTCGCGACCTTGGGGAATATGCCCTGATAAGTCGGGCCGGCCATGACGCGACTCTGGTTCCTCTCAGATCTGCAGTCGGGGCCGACAACAACCACCGCAGGACCAAGGTACTTGACAAAGTGCCACCCCTGGCCGGTGATGGTGAAGAGATCGGTGTCGTTGCTGACGTTTCGGAGAATCTCCACAGTCGTATGGTGCTGGAAGAGCAAGTACATTTCGACGGCGATGCGGCCGACGTTCTTGAACATCTGAGATCCTTGCATATACTCAGGGTACGAGCCGTAGCCATCAAAACTAAGGAGATCAGCCACCGAGGGAAACGTCTAGCACTGGGCTGCTTTTAACTTACATGTCATGGTCGTCGATCTGCAGGACATGCGGGATCTGAGCGAAAGCTTCTCTCAAGTAAGGCTGGTCAAAGTGGCTGGTGTAGTAGTGGAAGTAGGCGTGGGAGACATCCTCCTCGTGACGCGCCGTCCATTGCGCGTTCTTCCTGTTGTCTCTACCGCTCATCGCAAGCCACTGCTTCAGCAACGGGACTTCCTTCCACAGCCTGTCGCCGTAGATTTGATCTCCTAGACCAAGCTGGACGTGGAAGCCGCCGCAGTCGACGTTCTTCTGAAGAACGTCCTTCCACATGAAGCCCACGCCACCGAGCTTTGAGCGCTCGGATTGAGACGTTGACGCAGCAAAGTCATTGTTGGAGTGGGCGATGAACCTCCAGCCGATTTCATGACGACCAGCAATGACAAATTCGTACCGTGTACATCCCAAATGCGATGTCACGGCGTACGTCCATCGCTCTGTTCCGGCTTCGCTCATGGGCAAATCGATGTCGTACTTGTAGAACGTCCAGCGCTGATGTGTGAAGATATTGTGCGGTGTTAGCTGACGCGGGTTAGGTGAAAGATCGTTACTCGGGTGGATGTGAATCGTTGGTGGTTGCGGTGCGTCTGTGACGATCATGATACTTCCCAGCCATGAGCCCTTTTCAAAGTCCATGTTGCAGTATCGCAAGTAGGGACCGAAATAAACACCGTTGGTAGGCTGGATCCTGTACATATCGACGCCTGCACTCGGAGGCGGCCCGGAGAACCCAGCGGTTGTCGGCGTCTGAGATGCCGCAACGCTCATGATGCTCTCAGCATAGCCTGGTGTCTGAGGAGGGAACATTGGGGATCCGAGGGATTGCTTGCCAAACATGGGAGAGGCGAGGGGGTTGCCGTATGTCGACGCAGTAGGCGAAAGGGGCGCCGCTTCATGCTGAATCGGGTTGGGGCCCTTGGGGAACTCCCACTGGGTAGCCTGGGACGCCAAGTGGATGTAGTAGTACTGTCCAGAATTCTGATCAAGATGCGCAATCCAGCCTTCCGGCAACGGAGGCGGCGAAGACGGACCCGCACCTTGGAAGCTTGGAGGAGCCTGGACAGTTTGCACGACGGGGGCATTCTGTGCTGTTGAAGACTGCCCGTTCTGCTCCGGTCTCGGATCGTTGGCGAAAGCCGGATGACCTTGGAGAGAAGGCGACGCCAACCCTGCCGCAGCAGGACCGACCGTCGCGGGCTTCTTCGGAGGTGATTGAGCAGCAGATGTAGCAACAGACGGCGTTGAATCTGCTCTTTGCTGGGGAGGTCTCTGCTTCTCGGCAGGGTATGACGAGTTGCTTGCGGGAGTGACGCTCGAGTAGGCTGGAGGAGGGTCGTTCAAGCCTAGGCGCTGGTAGTCCTGTTCAAGTACGCTGACCTGGAGAGCTGGCTGGTCTCCTTCGTTCGCCGCCTGCTGGGGCGGAGGGCTGAACGTGGCCTGCGTAGGGCTAGTCACCGGGTTCATTCCCTGATACACCGTCGGCGGCCCATGAGGTTGATTCTCTGGGTTCTCCGTCGGTGTCCACGGTCGCGCCGGGGGTGGTGCCCCGCCGTACTGGGCTAATCTCTGAGAGGCTGCGGCGCTCTGTGCTTGTTGTGCCTGCAGGCTGGTCAAGGTCGCCGTGCCCGAGATACCAGACGCCGCATACCGGGCCTCGATGCCACCGCCAGGGATGACCCCGGGTTCCACAATCGGGGTTTCTGGCGGGGGTGGAGACCCCCGACTGGCGCGGGTCGTCGAGGTCGAAGCAGTAGAGGCGAATCTGTTCACACTATTCTGGCCAGGCATATCGAGATGGTCAGAGCTCTGAGGTGGTCGGCTCTGGTACTGGCTCTGAGTAGGCGGCGTGGAGCTAGATGCGCCGGCCGGCGGGGGGTAGTAAGGCTTCTTGGTGTAAGAGGGGTAATTTGTGTTCGAAGCGGCCGGACGCTGAGGCTGCGGCGCGGTCAAGGGCTTCGCGAAGAGACCACCTTCTTCTCCAACTGGACTCTGGGGAGATGTAGCACCCAGTGGCCTTGGACCTGCGCCGCGTCGTTCGGCGAGAGTAGGGCTCTTCGTCTCGACAGGACTGGCATTCAACCGCGGGGTGGTATCATTATAGTCGGAACCAAAGCGCTTCGGAGCGGTGATAGTAGGCTTGGTCGGTTTTCCAGGCCGGAGGTCTTCTTCGTCGGGGTAAGGCAGCGGGGCAGCGGAGCTCGATGCGCCCGGTGGCAGAGGAAAGGTCGGCTTCGTTATGAAGGAGGACGAGCCCGAGGCGGACGGAGGGGCGGAGTACTTGAAGCGGTCGTTGGAAGGGTTGGGGCTTTGAGGCTTGAATATTCTGAGAGGCTCAACCGTAGGGCTGTCGCAGTCCTCCTCGGCAGGTTTGTGAAGAAACAGCTCGGCGTCAGGTACGCCGCGACTGCGCTCCATGATGAGTCGTATCTAGGTTGAAGCCCGTATCTTGGGGGTCGACTTGCGCAGGTACGCGCAGGCGTAGTGCAGGACACGAATGACGCACAGCGAAAGCTCAATTCTGCAGGCCAGGGGGAAAAGTTATTTATAGGAGCTGTCGAATCTCGACGTTTTGTGCCTTGCCGTTGGATGCTTGAGAGGATCGCAGCTGATGGGGGGTTGGTGGGGTTCGAGTCTCACGGGAGCGGTCGCAGATATGGCCGGCCGGCTTGTCAGGCCCGAGAGATGGACGTAGGAGATGCGGCGCGGGATATGCCACAAAAAGGGTGAGATTCGAGAGAAGAACAGGACTTGGACTTGTCAGGTAGACGGAAGCGCGTTCATGAAAAAGATTAAGAACGTGACAGATAGGACGACGGAAGCGCCAGGTAGGGTTTGGGTCTGGCGGCGGGAAGCATTGGGCAGAGTGCAAAAAGCAGGTGTGGCATAGGATGGGATGAGACGGGGGTACTTGGGGGTTCGTCAGCGGCAGAGAGAGAGGGGTGGGAAACTCTCACGGCACAGACACCAAACACCACTTCGCACGGGAGGGCCTCGCCGGGCTGGCATGGCATTTGCAGGGGCCATGGACAAGATGGGCCTCGTGGATGAATGAGGGACAGCTGCCCACGACCGTTAGGAGCCGGGAGAGCACAAGTGGCTCGCGCACACTTTGAGGCGGGCGCCATCAGGAGCCAAACAGCCTGAAGCAACGTCCAAATGCTGCATAGTATGGAGCCCTGCATGGTGGCATCTTGCCTAGCGAAGCTTCATGATTGGCTGTATGTCGTGGGCGCTTAGAGGTTGGGCGGCAGCAAATGGCATCTTCACCTTGAAGTTGCAAGCGCCTGCCCTTGAATGCGAATTGCTTGGCTTGAGAATCCCAGAGAGCCTAGAGCGTGGTAGCGGAGCCGCTCGAGCTCGTAATGCGCATAGAGCGAGATGAGAGTGGTTTGTTGAGATGGGCAAAGGCGGCATCCTACACCCGGTGAGTCGAGATGCGCCGAGAAATAGGGGGTGATGTGCCTGCTCATCTGCAACTCTCGTAGACCATCACTTGATGGAAGCGCCGGACGAAACGTATGGAGACAGCATAAGAGTTGGAAGAAAGTTGAAGTGACAGAAGGTTGGTTGTGCAAAGTGAACAGTGAAGGGAACAGCCTTGAAAGATGGAGACAGCTGGGAGGGAGCCGAAGAGAAAGGAGAGGAGACGCTCGGATCACTTCAAGATAGTGGGGGATCGTTCCATGGCCCAAGCTTCAGCGGAATGATTATCTAAGCCATCTGGTCCCATCTGCCAGGCACGGCGTCGGTTGGTGCGGATCGTTGGTTTGCCTCCGAGAAGCTCCCCCATCATTGGTCGACCTCGGGGTTGTCGTCGTCGTCGGCCTTTCGCATTCATATGACATTCATTGTCGAGTCCTCGGCACCAAAGAGAACTCGGACATCTTGTCAACAATATCCCGGTCACTAAAGCCGAGCTCGACGCATAATCAGGGGCATTTGACTCATACAGCAACAAGACTGACGACAGCTCCACGCAGCAGCTGGACCTACGACACTAGCTGTGGATGAGGCAGTCTGGCGTGCGCGTCCCCTTCCCCTTTCGGTGGCGAGAGCACCACCACATTTCACCTCGATTCAAGTGTGGCAGTACTTCTACCGGTACACTACTCTTCCCAACGGATCGCCCTCCAGGACCGAATACGCCACGTTTCCCCACAGCGGTCCCCCTGCCAGTATCGGTCCCGAACTACAGGCCACCCAAACCTACTGTACACCTCAGCTCGCTCCCTCAGTCATGCCCCTCACTACCACAAGCTGCGTAACACAACTGACAGGGACAACGTCAAAGAACAGTTCCACAGGCAACCAACAAGACGCGGCTTTTGGACGCCTAGGCTGGCCCCAGAGCCATGAAGGCGTACGGCTAGCTTGGTCGCGGGAGCCATAGTGGACTCTTCTTTTACACCATGAACTTTGGGGCTCGGTATGGAAAGGCGGCCACCCTCCGGCTTCATCCAATGAGTTCTGGGCCGAGCCCCCTCCCCAGGACGCGTGGCGATAGTGTGCCTCCAATGTCCCTTTCATTCGAAACCATTCTGATATGTTCGACCCGGTAGCCAAAGGTGTAGTGTACGTAGCTGTGACTGGTTCGGCCTGGCTACGCAACTGTTTTTGCCTTCTCTCATGCTGGTATCAGATGGAGGCGTACGCATGCTCCTACCTTGCAAAAAACATGTCTGTGGTTTTCGCATGATATATAACATGACCCTTTCTTCGCTGTGATATCCCAACTTTCCTCCTTCTTCAGCTTCATCAGCTTTCCGACATTTACACCTCCTTATACATCTAACCCATCCTACACTTTATACATACCCTACAGCCAAGCAGTAGCAATCATGTCTTGGGCAGGGCCAAACGGCAACAATAACCCCTTCAATCGTCCAGGCGGCCCCCAGGGCTTCTGGAACTTTATCCACTCTCTCGACCCCAACATGCGCACCGGCGCTGGTGTTGATCACTCGGCCCCTTGGGCCAATCTCCCCGCGGGCTTCCCTTTCCACGGCTCCGAATTTGGCTTCGGCGGCGGCCCCGGCGGATGGGGTGCATACGGTGGCTGGGGTGAGCCTCGACGTGGCTTCGGCTACCGTCGCGGCGGCGGACGATGCGGTCACAGGGGCCACCACGGTTCCCACGGGCGTCACGGCATGGACGAGGCCGATGAGGCGATGCGCGATACCGAGGAGACCATGCGTGACGCCGCTGAAGAGAGTGGCGATATCTCCGAGAAAGAAAAGGACGACTCGCCCGACACCATCCGCGATATCCCCGACGAGGGCCCCGAGCACGGCCATCCTCATGGTCCAGGACGGCGTGGTCGCGGACGTCACGGTCGCGGACCCCCGGAGGCGACCCCTGGCGCCACAGCCGAGGTCATCCCCACGGTCCCCACGGTCATCGGGGCCCGCCCCCACCCCCTCCTCCCGGCCCTCATCCACCATTCTTCGGTCCTGGCCACCCCCATCCACCCCCGCCTCCGCCCCCGCCATACAACCAGCCTGGTGGCTTCGACTTCGCAAACTTGCAAGAGTGGTTGAACCAGTTCGCAGGTCACCCTTTCGCCCAGCAGATCCGCGAGTGGGCCACTCGTTTCGGGGGCCTCAATAACCCTGGCGCGGGCGATGGTACACGCGGCGGCCCCGACTATGCCGATGACGACTCCTCCTTCGCGCCGCCCGTCGACATCTTCGCTACGGAGAAGTCGTACATCTTGCACTTCGCTCTTCCGGGTGCCAAGAAGGATGATATCGGCGTCGACTGGGACGCTGAGAAGGGCGAACTTCGCGTTGCGGGCGTAGTTTACCGCCCAGGCGACGAGGACTTCCTCGCGACCATGGCATCGAGCGAGCGGAGGATCGGTATGTTCAGCCGCTCTGTGCCCCTGCCGCCCCCTGGTTCAGATAGAGAGGAGATTGATGCACTCTCTATCACGGCCAAGATGGAGGATGGCATTCTCATCGTCACCGTCCCTAAGCTGGAAAAGGAGTGGACCGAGATCCACAAGGTCGACATCGAGTAAACGATGTGTGCCAGCTCTGGTCAACAATATTTTATTTTACTTTTTTGGTGTGGAACGGTTTGCAATCATGAGGTATTCAGTTTCTGGAAGTAATGGAATTAAGGGTAGTTTTAGGATTTTGTATTAGGTAGCTTGGAAAGAATAATCGTTTTGCACCAAATCTTTGTTCAATCCGTCAACGTGACAAGCGCGACTTGTACTCTGCCTGTTACAGCTCAACACTAACATCTCCGCGTGATTCAATGCTGTCTCAATTGCACGATGCGGTGTTTTCTGCCTTGATGTACAGTGGAGCGTGAGACATCGTAGAACGATGGCAAGCGCCTTGGCCAGTCTCGATCAAGGCCTCGACTTTTCCACTACTAGATATGCAACGTAGTTACACAAGCCCGTTGCCTTGCGCAAAGTGCTTGACACCTCTTCAATTGATGAATCCAGCCCCGTCTTGCGATAGTGTCCATCGTGGGACAGATGTGCACGAAGTCTCGTCACTGACTTGCTGTCGTTATTGCAACGTTCGGGTTTGTCTCAATGGTCAGAGCGAGCATTTCTGAGGATGTCAAATTAGCGTCTCTGGCGCTTCTCCCAAGTGTGTGGTTGTTCGTCGCAACCGGCAAGCATTCAGACTAGTTTGAGTTCCCTTATCAGTCAGCGAGACTGAGCTGATACTACTACCCTAACATGAAAAATTAGGATGGACTAACCAGCGTCCAGTTATGATAGTCATCTGCATATCACGATCTTTGCACTTTCAATTCAACTTAAGAAGGAGTGTTAATTGAGATAAGCTAATGACTTTGTATACAGAATAAGTAAGAGTTCTGCTTATCTTAGGGGTCAGTATGAGCAGTACTTTACGCCTGCTTATGGTCCCACTGTTTGAAGGCCTCGACTGCCTCAGCAACCGAGTCTCGCCCGAGGAGATCCATCTGATAATTTTTGTCAACCCAGCGCCACCCGGTCGGTGACAGTCCTTCTTTTAATGGCACACCTCCCAACTCAGCATCCCGAGCCTCTTGTTCAGGTCCGTCTTCGACATGATACCATTTCCGGTTCGATAGCGCACCTGCTACATTTACAGTCGTTCGTGACTTCCGAAGCGACTCGTAAAGCTCAAGGATTTCAGGAATCTTTTGCTTGATATTGTCTCCAGCCGAACCCTTCAGGAGGCCCAGAAGTTTGCCCAGCACAGCGCCATCTTCTACAGCCATTGCCGCGCCTTGCGCCTGGTATGGGAGGCTTGGATGGCATGAGTCGCCCAAGAGAGCAAAAGAACCCTACGCCGTCAAAATCTCGTCTTTGGTGTTGGTATTGGCTGGGAATTCAACATACCTTCGTCCAAGTCGTGAGCTCTGGGTGAGTGCAGAGCTTCCACTTCAGAACTTTCGGTATCAGAGATATTAGCTTGGTTAGTCTGAAAAGTGTTAGCCTCTGCGTCACAATCATTATCGGGCATTTCTCATTATGCCGTAGACTGGGCTGTCGGCTGTGCGGTTAGACCTACGTTTTATCCCATCCGGCATAGCTTTCCCTCATCTCTTCAATGTCACCCTCAATGCGCTTTTCGTTGGGCTGCATATTATCGGGCCTCACTAAGACGAGGTTGAACTCCCTTCCTCCCTTGACGGGATAGAACACGGTATGTCTATCTGGGCCGAACCACGCCGTTACCTGCTTCCGGGCGCAAAGCTCGTCCACACGGGGGTCTTCCAGAGCTTTGAGATACTCGGCCGGAAAAACTGCTCGATACGCCAAGTCTCCGGTCTCAACCGCAGGCGAAGGCGATCCAAGAAGCTGGTTGCGGCAAACCGAGTGGAGCCCTATTGGTGTCAGTCTAAGTTCCTCGATTACGTGCTTGAGAAGCAAATTGGACCTATTCTTACCATCAGCTCCAACTATCACGTCGCCTTGGATATCACCTCCATCCTCTAAATGAACAACATTATTATTAAAGTCAATGCGTTCAACTCCCTTGTTTAGGCATAGACTAACACCGAGTTCCTCGCATTTCTGCCACAGCACAGCGTGGAAATCAGCTCGATGAATGACCATCCAAAGTTCGCCGTATCTACTCTGTGAATCCTTTGATAAAAATGTGTGTAGCGTCTTTCCGTTGGCATATCTGCGGAACTCGATCGCATCAAGAACGACCCCGCACTTCAACAACTTGTTCATATAGCCCAGCTGTCGCGCGACTCTGGCTCCGTTTGGCGGAATTTGAATCCCTGCGCCTATCTTCGCGATATTCAGCGTCCCAAGTTCTTACCTACCAAACGGCACGGGCCAGGAGCGTGTCTTTTCATGACTTACCGGCACAATCCTGTCAGCTCTTTCCAGAATCACGACTTCGAACCCCTCTTGTTGACAGGCAATGGCGCAAGCCAGGCCGCCAATGCCTGCTCCGATGATCAAAACTTTCATATTTAGGTACTTTTTGTTTATTTTATTGAGACTGTAGGACTTTATTGGGTTCTGGAACGGTGGGAACGGTGAGCCTGATGGTTCAACGTTGGAGAAAGGTAAGGCATACTGTTGGTCCATTGCCATCAGTGGCTAATGCACTACTTAAAGGGACAGTCTAGCTACATCATGCAATTTGCCTCGGGCCGTGGTGAACACTACCGCGCGGCAAGAAGACCCATTAGCCTTGTTGCATGCCATCACGTCGAACTCTAAACTGCTTGAGGTCTCAGTAAACTTCTCTTTTCTTACACACACATATGTCAGTACCTTTGGTTTTGAGTTTGTTTCGTTAATCAAATCAACTTTAATAATAGCCGAGGCGTTGAAGTCACGGCCCGAGCGGGATTGTCTAGTATCCGATTTGGGTACAGTAGTTTATTAATATTCAAGTGTGTTACCCCAAAGAAGATAATATCAACTTGTATAACGTTGGGGGGATGTAATAAAAGGGTCATTGTGCAAAAAGGTTATTTATCTCATTTGTTCATTGTCTCTAGAAACGGACTGCAGCTCGATATCCGGCTGGACGTTGTAAGACGGTTAGTAGTATCACTTCGAGATCAAAGTGCCACCCAACGGCGACATAATATCTATTTCGCTTATGAGACTTGTCTTCGTACGATAACCTACACAGCTCTCTCCTCATAGCTAATCGCTCCAAGCACCTGTACTTTTTTTTCCCTCGCTGTTTTATAGTTAACTATAGTTATGTTTTATGGTAATCAAATGGCGTCTGAGCCGCACTTCCGGATCAGGGCAGAAGAACTCTCACAGGCTTCCTTGACGTGTTTCTTTACTCACCTTTACTACAAAGAGACCATCTATCTGACTGCAGCTCAACTTAGCTTGAACCGTGGCCCAGGAGCGATTTTATTGGTCAGCGCGTCACTATATAGTGACACATCACTAGGAATGTTCACCTTGCCATGTCTAAGATACAGGCCTGGTTGTTTCCTTTGCTAGTTGCCAGTTGTCAATAATTCAAGGGACTTTGTGCAAAATCGGGCAAAATTACTTACAGTCATTGTGCTATCTATTTGATGTTTGAGCTCATCTGAACTACGTAACCCATTATACTCATCACTGGTAACTAACTGTCAGCAGAGGGTTCTTGTAATGCCAAGGAAGCAGGTCGACAACCAGCTTGTACCCAAAGCTTTAACTCGTTTAGGAAATTCTCACTTGGCTCAAACAGAAAGATACATTGTACAACTCAAAGCTGAAGTTGTCCAATATTAAAATAGCTATGCGCTTCAGAAAGCTATCCCTGACGTATTTCGATATTCTCATACATGCTGTCTGATAGTTGGCGACTAAATACCAACGATGGACAGAATTATGGTCAGATCATGATGATTTGAATTGACTAAATACAAATGAGTTTATGTCATCTGGAGGTTCCAGAGAAAATCCCATGAAGTATCGTCAAAGCTTCCGCCATCACTCATTTCGCCTAGGAGCCCAAACGCAGCCATAGATGGATCAAACGGTAATGAAAGCCCGTCATCAGAGGATGGATCGAGTGCCGAAAAATGACTAAACTGAGCATTTGTCTGGTCGCCGCTATTGCCCTGTCCTGTACGTGCCTCTGACAGAGGAATACCTCGAGGTGGTACCGAGGTGATCAGACACTGACGGAAACGCGCTACGTGGAGATCCAAAAGTGCAGCATATCTGGATGCAAGACGCATGTCGTCTAAGCTGCTGGCATGAAGCGATCGAATGCATTGCTCCAACACGCCGAGAGCTGCCTGGAGATTCGACACACACGAGCCCAGACTGAGCGCTTTGAGGAGAAACATAGACGCTTCAATAATGTGGAGGAAGATCCTGACAGGGCAAAACCGTAGTGTCCCCCGTTTAGCCAGCTTGTTGGAACTCTGGAGGATCTGGCATCCACCACCAACCACTTCCTGTACGAATTCGTAATCCGTCGCTGTCAAAACCTTTTGCGCACCTTGTGAACGTCCAACGCCGGCATTCTGGTCAGTCAAGAAACGATCAACCGCAGCTTGCATGCCGAGGCTGTTTACCGAGATCCGAAGGTGATGGTATTCTATGTTGAGTTCTTGGTATGCGTCTGGTACAAGAACTAAAACCTTAATCGTTAGTACACTATGCTGAACTTGAGAAACACAAACGGGTTTGCTAACGGTCTTCTTTCAAGTACTGATCCTTCCAGGCAACTAGCTGCTGGTGAAAATGCCTAATAACACTAACTTAACGGAAACTTAACAAGAGTTGACGAATTTCGGATGGGGACGGGAAGAGGGCATCGTTGATAGTGCGACATAAATGGGTCAATTCTATCCACCCCGTTAAAAAGGCGGAAGAAGAAGAATCAGTAGACTGTGGTCGTTCGGTCAGGCTGCGGCACAAGGACGTCGTCACCATTAATGCACAGCTTAGACGACCCGAAAGTTGTTCCACGAATATGAACAGAAGTTGACGAAGGCGGACGTTGCGTGAGTTTTGCGCTGGGCTCGATGGCGAGAGTGGATTCACAGCAGTGTTCATATCACATATACCTAACTCATGCGCCAGAGACATTGCACAGCCCAAGAGCATCCAAGACATCCGGTCTGACATTCGAGCTGGTGTAACAACATCTCCGAGCCACTGTGCCTTGGGGCTATTCCATTCGGCTCTATTCCCAGCAGGGTCGTCCCGCCTATCGCTTGCCGAGAGGAGAAGGTCCGAATCCCATCCATCGGCGTCGGGCGGGAAATGTATGGCCTTAGGGTGCCATTCGACAATGAGCAAAAGTGCCTGTATTGCACCGACTGCACGGGTTTATGCCTTCGACTTCTTCTCTTGCCCAAACATGATCCTTGAGATCAAGTGTTGGCAATGCTCCGAACGACGCTGATGAATAAGTGTTTCCCGTGAGACACCACCATGTCCTGGAAGCGTATGGTATCGAGATAAGATCATCAAAATCGTACAACATAACAGAGGCTCTCGTGTAATAAGTCGGAAGTGGGCTGCATGTCCTGGGTCTAAACCATGGCATGTTGGTGAGGATGCTGCAAGGTTTTTGAAGAAACTACTTGTTGTTAGTCTCTTAACCAGTAGCCCGTGCCATTAGGGTGAGAAGTGTAGCTACAGGTCCATATATATCACTGCCTCTTCGGCTGTGAACCAGCCCATTTTGATGAGTCGGAAACTGTCCCAAACTTGCAGTACCTCCGTTTCGGGCTGAGGGCAGGATTTTCGGTCAACAACTATTGTATGATAGACGTTACGCGGTGTAGCGTCCTCGTTAGCTAGCTGTGGTTCATGTGAGCTGGAGGTTGCTGTGTGCACACTCTCTGTATCCTGTTGTTCCGCCGCCCGGAATAAGAGATTGAGTGCATCGTTGCCAGTGGACACGATAGTTCGCATCACCGTCTGCAGATTAGTATTGAGATTGGTTGAGAGACGATGACGATGACGATAGGCCTTAGCACTTGGCGCTATTATCTTGCTTTGTATCGCAAGCGAACTTTGGGCTTTTTTGTTCCAGACAGGTCTGTCAAGTAGCGTCTTCAGAGTCACTACATCTGGATACCGTGTCTCTCATCTAGACACCGTGATGCACTGAGACTTGACGTAAAAGACACAGCTGGGTCTTGATTTCAACGTTGCCTTTTTTCCTTGGAGAACTGTCATAGTATCTGAGATGGACCTTTGGGCCACGTTCGCAGCACAACTGGTGTATTCTTTGAGAGACTCTTAAGACGTCAGCCGTATGTATTGCATCTCGAAGTTGACAAAGACTTTGGTGTTAATACTGTAGAAACAATCGACTATCTGTTCTCCAAACACTATGGTCCAGCTTCAGTCTTTCACAAGTTCATGTACAAGGAGCCTTAAGTAGTCCTCTTGGGGGTAATGTCATAAAACATGCTTAGCTTGAATCACTCATGAGATCACCAATTTGTGAACAAAGGTCTAGCTTAATTTAATGAAGAGCAGCTAACTACCTAGGTACTGAGGTATCCTTACAGGCCCGCCGTGGCCCCAATCAAAAACAGCTATACTAGCATCTCTGGAAGACGAAAAAAAAGCCAGAAAAACGACAGTAAGCCAATCCAACAGCGAAGATGCGGCTCGGGTTCCCAAATCATGCTTTTTCCACCCTCCCAGGCCGCAACAGCATCTGGTATCTCTCCAGCTCCCAAGTATACTCCAAACGCCACTTGGCCGAGTGCCATATCCAGGACCGACCCCCAACTTAGTCCAACAGAGAGAAAGAACGGTTACTTTACATGCCAAGCCTCCAACAGCTATGCGTCAATCGGATAGTCTTCGTCAAAACAAACGACGGGCACTATGCTTCCACGGCAACAGCTGGAGCGCTGACAGCTGCCGGCTCGGGCTGGTTGGCTTCCTCTTCCTCCGCGATCTCGCCTCCTGCCTCGCGCTCGGCCCAAGCACCCCAAAGGCCGCGCTTTGCACGTACTCTGATAGGGGCGCCAAGGGTCTCGCCTTGCTCGACCTTGATCGCGTCTTTCGTGGCCAAGACGAGGCATTCGAAGAACATCTTGGTGGCATCAGCTTTCGTCGTTCTCTGCTCTGGCAGCAGGTCTTGGAAGACCACAGCGGTCTTCTTGCGCTTTTCAGCGTCATTCTCAGCTTCAGGGCCGAAGATATCTCTCAGTATGTGCACAGCATGCTTGGTACCGAGCGAAACAGGGCCGCTGTCTTGGGGGTGCACAGCGGGAGCTGTTGTCTCGTCAAAGGCGGGCATGGGGCTTCCCTCGCGAGAGATAGGTCGAGCGGTGTCGTCGTCTCCTCCGAAAGTAATGCCCTCCTCCTCAGCCGGGATTTCGAGAACAGTGCCGTCGCCTGCCACGCTTTGGGCACCGAACCCAGCAGCCTCGACAGCAAAAGCATCCTCCTCTTCCACGACAAGACGAGGTGACTTGGATGTGGCACCATGGTCACTCTCTACATCGGCAATGCCGCTGTCCCGCTTCCTCTTCAACTCGCTGGATCGGCTGACAGCTTCAAGAGAGAGCATGCCCCTCAACTCGGGTGCCCAGCTGGCACTACGACCCTCTAGCATGATGTTGGAGACGAAACCACCGCTCTTTTGCATCTCCATCAGAGCAAGCACGAACGGATCTCTAGGCAAGAACGATTGAGCTCTGAGGATGTTGGCGTGGTTGGCCTGTTGGTCCTTAATGTGATTGCTGGAAAGCATCGTCTGTTCGTCTGGCAGAAGAATCTTTCTCTTCTTTGAGCGTTGAGGATGACGGACAACAGTGCGCTCCTGGTCCTCGTCTGGTTCGTAGAGATCCGTATGCTGAATGCGGGAATATTCCTCCTCAACCTCCCGTGCAAATTCCGGATCGATCTCTGAAAGCGGCGACTCAGAGATACGAGCGCGCGGCATGTCCAGAGCACCAGGGAATCCCGGTGCTACAGATTGGTCACCAGCGGGGAACTGGAATTCATTGTCGTCGCCCATCTGGATATCTCCCTCCTCGTCGGCAATACGAACGTTGTCGTCACCAAAGTCGAGAGCGAGACCTAACGAGGGTTCGCGTTCGGTTTGGTCCTTGCCTCGCGGCATAATGTCAAGCTCGCTGAACATATCGTCCTCCACCGAACGTGCGAGGGGTGCGTCTCTTCCCATTTCGATAGTCGTGTCCATACGGGTAGGGCGATCATCAATATCCATGCCGAAGTCAAGCTCAAGATCAAGATCTTCCATGGGCGCCAACTCCAGCTCATCGTCGAGAGAGTCTCCCTGGGTCAGAAACTGACTGTTGTTGAAATCTTCCTGCAAGTTGATATCGCGGTGGCTGACGCGACCCTTACGACCGACCGGAGTGGCTGTGACATCATCCATTTGCGACAGGAGCCAAGCGGCGTCGGGAGGCGGAGGAAGGTCAAGGTTGTCGAGTGGAGTAATCTTGTCAGGCAGCAGCAGCGCTTCGCGATTGTTGGCGTATAGGTTGGCAACTGCCATGTCGTGGTTATCGCTTGAGCGGAAGGCCTAAAAGCGTTAGTAAAGCGCGTCAAAGATACACCAGAAAGCGAGCGCACCATTTTGATCTTCATTGAGGCCTCATTGCAGTCCTCCAACAGGTATCGGGCCTTGCGGTTGTAAATTCTGACAACACCGAGGAGCAGCTGACCGCTCAGACGAAGGGCCATCGGGGCCTGGCCGGGCGTAATGATGGCCTCTACACTGTCCGGCAGGTTGGACTGCAAAATGTGCGTCTTGGAAAGCTTGCGCTCGATGTTGGCCGACAGCCAAACGCGGGCCAGCGGCCCGCTCTTTTGGAGGAGCGTCTCCGAATAGAACATGGCGGCGACGGAGCAGAGTAATGCGAGGGTGTAGATGCGAGGAGCAAGGAGCAAGAGCCACTGCTCTTAAGGTATTGAGGCAGCGACGCGCGCCGGGGTTGGAGGGGCGGGTTGCGGTAGCTCTGTAAACACGAGAACGCGTTGTTATGGGGAATCGGGTCGCGTTGGGGATGTAGCGGTCGGGTCGAGGTCTAACACGCGCAGGTTGTGAAGCGCGGCGACATGAAGCAAATGGTATCAATCGCCAAAGGCCGAAGAGTCACTTGCAGCGATAGCGGGAGCAGCAAGAGCGCGATGAGCAGCGATGAGGGAGATGGAGGAGATGAGCAGGAGGGGGAGTCAAGGTGCGGTGGTCTTCTCTCTCTTGACGCCGTGCCAGTGGACGCAAAATGACGGGGCTGGGATTGGGCAGGGATTGGTCCGCGCAGAATTTGGTGGCACCAGCCACATCACGTGAGAACATTGCTCCACTGTTGGACCATGAACTTGCTGACCCGGCGACCATCCCGGAAGCGGCGGCAGCAGGTATTTTCGCCTACTGCGGCACAGCGCAAGGTACAAGACAGACAGTGACCCCAAGCTCAAACGCCTTACCTAAGCTCTCTCAGGTACGAGGACCTGCAAGTCGAAGCAGGCACCGCCTAGGACATGCAGCTCGAGTTTGTTGCTTGGCCAAAGTACCTACTCAAGGTAGGTATCCATCCGTGTGTCTTCACCAGCCAACCGCGACAACAGCGTTCGCTCTTCCATGCAAATGGGCGCTCAACCCGGTTACAGCACTGCTATCTGTACTTAAGGGTGTTCCAGCTAAGGAGAGCTCACGTTTGTCGCAGGCCCATTTTGGAACAACGCAGATGAGATGAAACCAAACTTCGGTAGCGTCCTCTCTGGATTGTCATTGGAGGTCCCTGTGTCTCCAGCTTTTGAATCCCCAGTATGTACTAGGTAGGTATGTATGTACGGCCACCACCACTCTGTAAAACCTGGAAACCCTGCCTAATCTGGCCCGAGAGCACCTTGCTTCACCACGTTAAGATTGGACACAACCAGTTGCACGCCTCGAAATGCTCTCGACGTTCATCCAGAGAAGTCTCCCTCAGTTGTTACAGTTACCAAGCATTCGGGCTTGTATAGCCAATGTTTGCGTCTCTTTCTAGTATCCGCAAGTGCATGTATCACTTGCACCGCTTGCTGGAATAGTGCTGCAGACACAACACGTAACTATTATCGTATGGTGCCCTGGTAAATTGTCAGACGTTTGAACACGGCAATTGAATTGCTCACAGCGACCTGTCCCGATATCCCACTGGTCAGGCATTTGCGGAGCGGCGAGACTCTTCCCGAGTCCTTGTTCCAGGGCCCCCCTGTTCAACCGCCACGGGCCCGCCTAGAGACGCGTTGGCACGCCTGTAGGTATCTGGGACTAGATTTTGGCCATGCGTTTGCTATCCCTGCTAAAGGCACACGTTTTCTCAACTCTCACCACGACATCCGTTTGCCTTCGTCCGTCAACAGCTTCCGCGAAACTATGTCTTTGGACCAAGCTCCTTGCAATTGATACCCTGGCGATAAAGGACCTTTTGTCCTTCGAACACGACCGGATTTCGAGATTCGACGACACAGTCTTACGCCTAGGCGCATGTCTCCTTTTCGCCTTGCCCACTGACAAATGATCGGCACTGGGCGTTCTGCAACTATTCGAAGGTCGTGACCGAGGTATTGCTGCCTCGTCATACGCAGAGATGCAGTGGCCCTGGCACAAGAGAAAAGACTCCGACGATGGCAACGCTCTGCTGCCTTTGGCGGCCAAGGTGCCGAGCATCAACGGGTTGGCCATGGACCTTGTAGAGAGGGAATCATCGCGGTCAAGGCCGGAACACTTTCGAACCACTTCGGCCCAGTCGAGAGTAGCCATCCCCTTGACTACATAGTGTTGTTGAAAACGAGCTAATCTGGTGTTTGCTTAGAGCATCGCCGACGAGTTTTCTTCCATGAGCCCAGCAGAAGCTGCCAGCCGGCTTCAAACATCACTGACTCACGGCCTGTCTCCCACCGAAGCCTTGAACCGACTCAGCGACTATGGACCAAACGAAATCCCCCACGAACCCCCCGAACCTCTATGGCTTCGATTTATCAAACAATTCCAAGAGCCGCTTATTGTGCTTCTGCTCGTCTCGGCCGGGGCCTCCATATTTCTGGGTAACATGGATGACGCGGTCAGCATCACGGTAGCGGTTACCATCGTCGTTTCGGTTGGCTTCGTACAAGAATATCGGTCGGAAAAGTCAATAGAGGCACTCAGCCACCTGGTCCCAAATCACGCCCACCTTGTTCGGTCAGCCACCAGCAAGACACCGGGCAGCGCCCGGACTCCCACATGGCCGCCGCAGGGTCCTATGGATGGCACCGAGTCGGTCGACTCTACTACGCCGGGCGAGGAAATGCTAGAGGCAACCTCTTCCAAGGTCATGGCCTCGCAGCTTGTGCCAGGAGACCTTGTCTACTTCACTACGGGTGATCGTATACCAGCAGATATCCGGGTCACTAAGGCAGCAGATCTCACTATCGACGAATCGAATCTCACTGGAGAGAATGAACCGGTCCGGGTCACGGCCGAAACAAAAGCACGAAGTCTCTTGTCCTCTGCATACGGGGCCGACACCCTTCAGCTTCCGAGTCCCTCCGCCCTATCTGACAGCCGGGATGCTGGCGGAAATGGCGATAATAACATCGCCTGGATGGGCACCTTAGTAAGGTCCGGTCACGGCCAGGGTGTCGTCTTCGCAACAGGCGGACACACCAACTTCGGAACCATTGCAACTAGTGTTTCTGGGACAGAGAGCCCACGCTCACCGCTTCAACTTTCCATGGACGACCTTGGCTCTCAGCTGAGCAAATTCTCCTTTGGCGTCATCGGTCTCATTTCCTTGGTCGGCTGGCTTCAGGGAAAGAAGTTGCTTGAGATTTTCACGATATCGATCTCTCTCGCTGTTGCAGCCATCCCGGAAGGCTTACCAATCATTGTAACTGTTACCTTGGCTCTCGGTGTTCACAGAATGGCCCGCCACAATGCTATTGTGCGCAAGATGCCCAAGGTAGAGACCCTGGGCTCGGTGAATGTTGTATGCACCGACAAGACAGGTACGCACGCATGATTGCAACTCGACAATAGTAGGAGTTTTATTGACTTCTCTAGGAACCCTTACCATGAACCACATGACAACCGCCAAGATGTGGTACTTTGGTGCCACGGACGCCATTGACGTTGAATCCGACGATGAAGCCACAGAGACGAAGCCGGACCCTGCCACTTTGCGTATTTTGCGCATTGGTAACATTGCGAATAACGGTCGTCTTGCACAGCAGTACACAGAGAACGGCGCAGCTGCCAGGGCTGTACTTTCGTCCACACAGGGAACAGACTTTGCTTCGACTTACACACGCTGGTGCGGACAACCTACCGACGTCGCCATGCTTGACTTGCTTGACAGATTCAAGGAGCATGACGTTCGCGAATCCATTGGCCCGCGTCTTAGCGAAACTCCCTTCAGCTCTGAGCGTAAATGGATGGGTGTTACTATTGGAACTAACGACAAGGAGTTCGCCTACATGAAAGGGTCCATTGATCGAATTCTCGAAGCATGCGACACATATCTTACTCGCGACGGCCGAGAGATCGTTCTCGACTCCGTGCGCCGTCAAGAGGCGTTGCAAGCTGCAGAGGCCATGGCCTCGAAAGGTCTTCGCGTGCTCGCTTTTGCCAGTGGCGCTGTTTCGCGATCTAGGGGTAGAACCACACTGGGACCGACTAGTCGTACCAACACTCCGGTTGAAAGCCCCCGTCCTCAGCCTATGGACGAGACTTACAGAGGCCTCACATTCGCTGGCTTGGTCGGTATGAGTGACCCCCAAGGCCTGGCGTTGGCAAGTCAATTAGGAGACTACTGCGCGGAGGGGTCAGAGTCGTAATGATCACGGGTGACGCCGAGACCACTGCTATGGCAATTGGCCGACAGCTCGGCATGCCGATCGCGAAGCCGATCGAACATGCTTCTAGTCAAGCATCTGTGCGGCCTGTTCTGAGGGGTGAGGACGTCGAGGCCATGTCTGAGCAGGAGCTTTCACACGCCATTCAACATACTACGATCTTTGCTCGCACGAACCCAGACCATAAACTAAAGATCATTCGCGCTTTTCAGGCCAGAGGCGATATTGTCGCCATGACTGGAGACGGCGTCAATGACGCCCCCGCGCTGAAGAGAGCAGACATTGGCATTTCCATGGGGTTGCATGGAACCGATGTTGCGAAGGAGGCGGCGGACATGATTCTTACAGACGACGACTTCTCAACCATCCTTCGAGCAATCGAGGAGGGCAAAGGAATCTTCAACAATATCCAGAACTTCCTGACGTTCCAACTGAGCACCAGTGCTGCTGGTCTGTCTCTTGTCTTATTCTGCACAATCCTCGGCTTCAAATCGCCCCTTAATGCGATGCAGATTCTCTGGATCAGTAGGTCTTCCGCCCAATGTGGTAGCATATCATTTACTAACACTGTCCAGATATCATTATGGATGGTCCGCCTGCGCAGTCGCTCGGCGTCGAGGCTGTTGACGCCGATGTCATGAACCGCCCTCCTCGCAAGCGTAATGACGCGGTGCTCACAAGGAAGCTCCTTTACCGAGTCTTGACATCGGCATCAATCATCATGATGGGCACCATGCTCGTCTACAGACGTGAGATGCTTGCTGATGGTGAGGTTAACCGCCGCGACACAACCATGACTTTCACTTGCTTTGTACTATTCGACATGTTTAATGCCTTGGCCTGCCGATCTGAATCAAAGTCGGTATTGCGAGGCGAAGTCGGACTTTTCTCAAATACCCTCTTCAACTGGGCGGTCTCGCTCAGTATCGCGGGCCAATTGCTCGTTATATACTTCCCCTGGCTACAGGAGGTCTTCCAAACAGAGGCCTTGGGCTTCTTCGATCTTGTCGGCCTGTTGGCTCTTTGCAGCACGGTGTTTTGGGCGGATGAGTTTAGAAAGTACTGGAACTACTCAAGACGGCGCATGGGCGGTGGTTACAGTCAGGCAGTGTAGACTAGGAAGCATCATTCATGTGAGGTACAGGCGAATTGTACCGGTCAACGGCCTCAGCATTTATATAAACTTTGAATACGGTGAATAATTAACGGCCTTTCTTAAAAGATTTAATTGCGAACCCTATGCCTATTTTTCGTCTGATGCTCTCTGAACAGGCCAGTTTGCAGACCTACTTCAGCCCAAAGTTTGTCTCTCCCTTGCATCCACACCTTGGTCTCGCTTATCGGTGAGCAAGGTACACCGAGGCTCCTACCTTGTACTTGGGGCCAGCTAACACCTTCACCTCATCAACCCCCGGTCTGAACAACACTCCCCTACCTCTGCTGGCAGGCCAAGGTAGCTATGCACCTTTTAGCCAGCTCGCGCCAATGTCAACCCTCACGAATGGCGTCTCCTCCCATCGCGTGGACAGCGACAATGCCGACAACGGCGCACACGGCGCTGCGACCCAACCAAACAGCAGCAGCAACACCACCATTTACGCAGCCTCGAGTGTCGCCGAGGTCCGCGCCGCACTCGAAGCTCTCCATACCCGCGAGTCGGCGATAACGAGCCGTCTCGATGCACTCCTCGGCTCCCAAGCTGATCTCGCCCGCGAGCTGGGCCGCTTGGACTTGCTGCGCGCGGGGCTTGGCAGTCAGGTCATCGCCGCGCGGTCCATTGGCAACGACATGCTTTCCACAGCGGCAGACACAGCGGGGCGGCTGAGCAACAAGGTGAAGGAACTGGATTTGGAAAAGAGCCGGGTTGAGGATACTCTGGAGGTTGTCAAGCAGGTTGCTGAGCTCAAGGCATGCGTGCAGGGCGTCGTGGGAAGCATGGGTGCCCCGCAAGACTGGGAAGCTGCTGCGGCGTATCTTGCGCGAGCGTCGCAGGTGCCGGAAGACATCACCAAGGGTAAATTCGCCTCCTCAATCGTCCCGTCCGTGGAGGTGCCTGACCCACCATGGACGACGCTCGAGAACGCCAAGGAGAGCCTTTGTGGGCTGTTCCTGAGGGAATTCGAAAAGGCGACGAAAGAAGGAGATGGTGCCAAAGTTACGCGGTTCTTCAAGCTCTTCCCGCTCATCGACAGAGGAGATGTTGGGTTGGATGTCTACGGACGATATGTCTGCCAGGGCGTGGCTGGTACAGCTAGATCTGTGTTGAAGGAGAGCCCTGGGGTCCAGGCGAGAAAGGAGGGCTTCTTCTACGCCAATGCTCTCACAAGACTATTTGATCACATTGCGCGGATCGTTGAGGGTCACGGAGGTCTTGTGGAGCGGCACTATGGCTCCGGCAAGATGGTCCGTGTTATTGAGCGTTTACAACAAGAGGCAGACGTGCAGGGAGGCATCATCCTCGACTCCTGGAGTGACGAGCGCGATGTTGATAGGCGGCTGAAGGACGTCAAGAGTTATCCCTTTTCATTTTTGGTCCAGAGCTTCTTGCCGCAGCAGAGGGGCGGGACACCACGGGTTAACTCGCCAGCGATGGGCGCCGGAGCAAATCAACGCGACAGCGAGGACGAGGGCGTCAACATGAAGGAAGTGGACGGCCTTCTTAGTGAGATCGCGATTATGCTTGGCCGATGGTCTCTTTACTCCCGGTTCTTGGCAGGAAAGACTCGGGTTAGTAGTAGGCTGTCTCATCTCGGAGATATTTACTAACGAGGTGTGTAGGATCCCTTATCGTCCGAAAGCGTTCCCCTATCCATGCCGGAAGTCGTCGTCAAGTCCAACCTTAAGCGGAAGGTTTCGGACAAGCTCACATCCCCTTATAATACCATGATGACTTTCTTCTTCCGACGATCAGTCGAGAAGGCATTCCAGCTGGATGAGTCCCCAAGCGGATTGTCTCTCAGCATGAACAAGCACATCGACACCAATCAGCCGTTCATCATCTCTGCGGTGGACGACGTCATGTACGTCGTCAGTGCCGTTATCCAGAAATCCATATCTACGTCGCAACGAGACGTCATTGCGTCTGTTATTCCCACCATTGGTCGAGTTCTTAGCTCTGATTTCGTCGGTATGATCCAGCGAAAGATGCGAGACGAGTCGTATCCCAAACCAATCGTACAAGGAGGGTTTCCACCAGAGGACAAGATCATCCAATTCATCGTCCTGATCAATAGTCTTGACACGGCCAACGAGTACCTCGGCCGCATCATTACTAGTAATATGGGAAGCACGAACGACCCGCCAAAGGCAAATGGTGAAGCTTATGAGCCATCACTCAAGGATACATTCCCCTTTGACAAGGACGCCGCCTTTGTGGCCTCCGCCCTCAACACACTTCACAGCTCCTTTACGACCAAGTCAACTGAGCTTCTCAATGAAGGACTTCAGGTACTCTTCAAGCAGGTCGTTCAGCCGCGCTTGAGACCGGTGCTGGCCGAAACCTTCCGCGATGTAGACTACTCCCTGTCTGAAGAGGAGCTAGCCGAGTTCGCCCAACAGAACGATGAAGATGAAGAAGAGATGCTCGACCAGGTGTCACGGCGTTTCGAGCACGGCTGGGACCAACTCATGAAGCCCATCTCGCGGCTTTTAACGACCCACACCTTTACAACCCTGCACGACCTGACGGCGCGCTATCTCTCGCGTGTCCTTGAGCGTAGGGTGTGGGACGCCCGGGCTAACGCCTATGGTGTAATTCGCATGGAGCGCGACTTTTCCAGCATCATCAGCACGGTGTGTAAGGGCAACTACGGCGTCAGGGAGTTATTTGCTAGGGTGTCGCAGATCTTGATGGTGGCCAACATGGAGGAAGAGGAGTGGGAAGAGATTTCGGCCCAGCCTGACGACGAGGAGGATGGTATGATCTGGGTGCTGACCGAGGAAGAGCGGCGACGGGCAAGGCATCTGACGTCTAGAGAACGCAGAGGGTGAAAAAAAATGAGAATAAACGAGCTTTCCCCAAGGTTTCTGAAGTAGAGAAAAGTCGATGAGAGACGGGTTCACTGATTTCCGAAGCGCGCGGACTAAGATGGTGACATCTGCCAGGACAGGTAGATGGTGTAAATACATCGTGACTTAGACTCTGCAAGCCCTCGTCGTATGCATATATAATTTGTTGACGGCGTGATTACAACTACTTCAGTTTCCACCCCTGAAACATCATTGTGGCTAAACTACGCTGTGAGCTGACTCCGAGTGTTTAAGGTCTTCGGCCAGGCAGTTCGAAATATCCATACATCGGACTCGCCTCCGAAAGCGTTTGGCCCAGCAGGCCGCGGACCTGCCGGGCAAGCACATCCGTTTTCGTGTTCGGCCGGCACCGGTCAACACGTGGTAAGTGCCCTGAAGGGTAGCCTATTTTCCACTAAAATCACATCAGAGGCTCCACTAGAAACCGATCGGCGGGAGGCAACTTCAGCGGCTTCTGTCACTACTTTGGAAGGCAAGACCCGACCACCGGTTCCTCAAACTCGGATTATCGCCGCTAAAAGGCACGACCATTCGCTTCTCACTTATGTACCTAGCCTCATCAAGACAAAATTTTCCCCAATGACTCAACTTCCACCCACTCGATCTGCATGAAGACCTTTTCTGATACCCATTTCTCCCCTACATATGACGACGATCTATATTCTTCTTTCGTTCACTCTCATATCGGAAATAACTACCCCAGACCCTCTTTACACCAACTTTATTTCTTCCAACCCTTGACTCCAAGCCGGCTCAATCTCTGCAATCCTTCACATTGGCTCTCACTTATCGTGTAAGTCGCCAGATCGCGACCTTCAGCCGCAACTGTCTAAGACTATTATCAACAAATCACAACACCAGCATGGAGACTAGAATCGTCAAGGTCGAGGCCCAAGGGCTAGGGAGTTTCAGGGATGTCGAGGGGCCCGAGAGATTAAGCCGCTGGGAGATCTCCAGCTCCGTCTCTGGCGCATCAATAACCGCACTGCGCGACGCTGCAGAATACATGCGCACCAAGGATATACCCGTAGCGTTCCCCACCGAGACGGTATACGGCCTGGGCGCCGACGCGACGCGGAGCGGCGCCGTCAAGGGCATTTACTCTGCTAAAGGCCGGCCGTCGGACAACCCTTTGATATCACACGTCTGCGACTTGGACATGCTAAGGGACCTGCTGCGACCCGAAAAGCAGTCAGCGAACGGGAACGCGGCGGGGAAGGACCCGATTCCGGAGATCTACAAACCGCTTATCGAGAAGTTTTGGCCCGGCCCCCTGACGATCTTGCTGCGGAATCCGGAGCCGAGCAAGCTCGCGCCCGAGGTCACGGCGGGGTTAGCAAGCTTCGGTGTGCGAATGCCGTCCTCGCCGTTGGCGTTGACACTGATCAAGCTCGCCGGCGTCCCGCTGGCTGCGCCCTCCGCCAATGCCTCGACCAAACCGTCTCCTACGACAGCGCAGCATGTTTACCACGATTTGGAAGGGCGCATTGATTTAATCCTGGACGGGGGGCGTGTCAGGTCGGCGTAGAGAGCACCGTCGTCGACGGCCTCTGCAATCCACCCGTCGTGCTAAGGCCCGGCGGTGTGAGTATGGAGGAGCTGCGGAGCTGTGCCGGATGGGAGGGCGTCGTCAAGGCGTACAAGGATGAGAGCGAGACAGGGAAGTCGGCGCCGCGGGCACCGGGGATGAAGTACAAGCACTACAGCCCCAAAGCAAAGGTCGTGCTGTACGAATGGAGCTGTGAGGCGGGTGCCGAGGGTATCGTGGCTGAGGATTTGCAGAAGGCGCTCATCCAGCAGAATGGCGATGTTGCTGCTACAAACGGCTCGGGGCCGACGTTGCTAAAGATCGGGATTATCCGGACAAGGAGGTGGAAGATTGCGGGCGGGCTGCACCACGGCGCGCTCCATGTCTCCAAGGTTCATGTTGACGGAGCCGTAGAGGCGAATGCCAGGGATGAGGCGGCTTATGAGGTTCAGGAGGGCGAGTTACAGGATGCAGAGAAGAAGCCCATGGCAACGATTCTCGACATAGATCTGGGCGACGATACGAGGGGCATCGCTCAGGGGCTCTTCTCGGCGCTGAGAGATATGGACAGAAGAGGCGCTAGCGTTATCTTTGTGGATGGCATTGACGACAGAAACGACATCGCAGAGGCGGTTATGAACAGGCTCCGCAAGGCGGCCTCGGAGATCCGAGCATAGACGGATGGACATTATTTTTGGGCAAATGGGGAAAAATAGAATCAGGCATAAAATTTGAGCATTCGTCATGACATTCCCTCTCAAGAGGAATATACTTTTAATGATGCGTTCCCTTTAGAAGCCACCATGAAACTCCCATTGTGCAACCGTTCTTGCGTCCCCCCTTCGCCTTCCGCTCCCAGTCTGTCTCTCTAGCACCCACCGTCATCCCTTACAAGCCTTGCCGCAGCCAGTCCGCCAGTTTCGACTTGCCCAGCTGGGCCAGGTTGTTGACACCTTGTTCGCTGAGGTCGATGCGGCGGAGGTCGACGTCTTGCGCCGGTGCCTTGCTGACTCTCTGAACAATAATGGTCGGGTCGGTCTCCAGGATGATGCCGTCGTCGACGATCTCGTCAATAGCGAGGGAAACAAGGTCGTAGTTCTCGACGATTGTGCGCTTGTCGACGGATTGCCTAATAGGGAATTAGGACACACCAAGCTCACTGGGGAAATATGGGGGCAGCTTGGCTTACTTGAAGAGCAGGTGCAGGGAGTCCCTCAGGGCCAAAATGACGTTGTAGAGGAGCACCTCGTTCTCGTCGACACCTCCGACAACGTACATCATAACGTCCGACTCCATCTTGTAGAGCACGATCCGGTTGTCATACAGGATGATATCACCAGTCTGCTTCGCCGTCTTCTCCAAGAGGCCCTTCTCGAAGGCCTTTTGCGACTTTACATCGGGGTACGGGCTGCTGGAGGAGTTTGAGTTGCCTAATGTCAAGGAATCCCGTTAACTACAAGCTCCGGGCCTGGGCATTGAAAGGGGGTGGAGGGCGAGCGCTACCGTTGTGTGTCGCGGCGCCGGCGTGGTGGGGTGCGCTGTAGTACTTGGAGAATAACCGCGATCCGTCCTCGATGCTGAGGATCAGGATCGCGTTGACGGAGAAAAGGGACATTCCAGGAGCCATCGTGACGGTTGCTTGCGAGGAGTTGCGCCGGATTGCGCTTGTTGGTGGGTTGGCTGGTATACTGTCCACTTTAGTCCACGGTGACCTGGTAGGGAGCTCTTTGGCGGGACGTCAATTGACCACCTCAGCAACCCAGAGTCGGTGCAAGTCGGTCAGTGGTTTCGCCGATGGCCGGATAGGCAAGGGTCCACCCCTGGTATCCTGACACCCCTAGTCAGTGGCACGGGCCATACCCTTTCCAACCACGCGTAAAGTGGAAAACGCGAAACTCCTTTTGTGGACGCGTTCAGGACTGGGGCAAGCGCGTAAAGTGCCTTTCCAAAATTGCATTGCAGCCCACCTTTCAGTTGCTCCTGAGCGCTCTCCACATCTCTCTTCCCCCTAGCAACGCAACATATTCTTTCTTGTCGCATCCCGCTAATCGTCACCCCTCTCTCCCCGTTTGATCTCAACCACAAGAAAGACCAAAACGAACGTCCAGCAACAAGATGTCTTCACCTTCAAAGAGGTCAACGAGAAGTTCGACGGCTGGTACGCCCCGCAGGTCAACAAGAAACAATCCAGATGCTGCTGCACGCAGCAGCCCCGCGCCCGCAGACGAAGAGGCGCAACGCCCAGCAGAGACTCCTCGCACCAACCGCCGCTCGCAGCTTGCGTCGAGCCCCCTTTTCTACGAATCTTCGCCGGCGCAGACGCCCAGTGGTCGCCGCAATGTCCCTGCCAATGATGATGTCTCGTCGCCCTTGCGAAACATGAGCAACAGCCAGAGCACCGCCGTTGGCCCTGCTCCCAGCTCACCGTTGCGTCAAGACATTGACACCCAGTCCACTGGTGACGGCGACAGGACCCCTCGTGCAAGTGGACTGGCGAGAGGTGGGCATGATGGATTCATACAAAAGAGTATCATCACTAATATATCCCCTTAGAATCGTCCCCCATTCGATACGAGCCCAGTTCTAGCCCAGGCCGATCTGTACGGCCATTGCAATCCGACTTGCGCAGTGAGAGCAGTGGTCTCTTCGTCACTGATCGCTCGTCACGTTCTCGTAGAGGTGATATCAACTCAGAAGGCCTCAGAACACCCCGCCGCCGCCTTGTTTTGGATCCCTCCGGCAGAGTGACCACCGATGCGCCAGGCTCTGATGCTCCTTCATTCAGCAACCCCGACCCCAATACTTCGGAGGCCGACCGCCTCGGCGGAGCGGGTGAGAGCACCATTTGGGGTACCACGGTATCGATCGATGACACGTTTGCGTCATTCAAGGATTTCTTGAGGCATTTCACTCGGAAATATCAGCTGTACAGAGAGGGTTGGTCCGAAGCCGACGTCCAGGCTGCCCCTGATGCCGAATCCAAGCCATACTGGGAGGCTCTCGAGAACATGCTTCTTCTGGGCACAACTAGACTTTACCTTGACATCGCCGATCTGAACACCTACCCGCCGACGCGAAAGCTCTGGTACCATATTCAGGCGTACCCACAGGAAATCATTCCCATCATGGATCAATCTGTGCACGACATGATGGTTGAGCTGGCTAGGACCGAGGGCCAAAGGCAACGTGCGTCTCAGAGCAGCGCTGGCGATGCGGCCAGGCGAAGCAACACAGCTCCCAGCTCGGATGTTGCGTTTCCCAGTTCCGACCACCCAGGCTCTGACGCCCCCACCCCGCGACCGGCTGCCGATCTCCCATCAAAGGAGGATGAGGTTGCTCAGATGATTTACATGGTTCGACCTTTCGGATTGGACAAGACAACCAACCTCCGTGACCTGAACCCCTCGGACATGGACAGACTCATCACCATCAAGGGTCTTGTGATCCGCACCACGCCAGTCATCCCTGATATGAAGGACGCTTTCTTCCGGTGCAACGTTTGCAATCATTCCGTCAACGTTGGCCTTGACAGAGGCAAGATCCGCGAGCCCACCGAGTGCCCGCGACCTCGTTGCGCCTCCAAGAACTCAATGCAGATCATCCACAACCGTTGCGCGTTCGAGGACAAGCAAGTCATTAAGCTCCAAGAAACTCCGGATGCTGTCCCTGCTGGTCAAACACCCCACTCAGTCTCAGTCTGCGTATACAACGAGCTGGTAGACTTCTGCAAGGCTGGTGACAGAGTACAGCTTACGGGTATTTTCCGCGTCAGCCCTGTGCGTGTGAACCCGCGCCAGAGAACCGTCAAGAGTGTGTACAAGACATATGTGGATGTCCTGCACGTGCAAAAAGTGGACAAGAAGAGGATGGGTGTTGACCCTTCTACCCTTGGCATTGAGGGTGAAGAAGACGAGGGTGGCGACAACAACATCGAGGAGACCAAGAGGATCAGCCCTGAGGAGGAGGAAAAGATCAGAGAGACAGCGGCCAGGCCAGACATCTACGATCTTCTCTCACGCTCCCTAGCTCCCTCGATTTACGAAATGGACGACGTAAAGAAGGGCATTCTCCTGCAACTTTTTGGCGGCACAAACAAGACTTTCTCAAAGGGTGGCAGCCCCAGATACAGAGGTGATATCAACGTCCTGCTCTGCGGTGATCCGTCTACGTCAAAGTCTCAGATCCTCTCTTACGTGCACAAGATTGCCCCCCGCGGTGTGTACACCAGTGGTAAGGGTTCTTCCGCCGTCGGTTTGACAGCGTACGTCACGCGAGACCCTGAGACTCGCCAGCTTGTGCTCGAGTCCGGTGCCCTGGTTTTGTCCGACGGTGGTGTTTGCTGCATCGACGAGTTCGACAAGATGTCAGAATCTACCCGCTCTGTTCTTCACGAAGTCATGGAGCAGCAGACGGTTTCCGTTGCTAAGGCAGGCATAATCACCACTCTTAACGCCCGGACGAGCATTTTAGCCTCTGCCAACCCTATTGGCAGCCGTTACAACCCGGATCTCCCCGTACCTCAGAATATCGATCTGCCACCAACTCTGCTCTCTCGTTTCGATCTGGTCTACCTTATCCTTGACCGCGCTGATGAGAAGAGTGATGCTCGTCTCGCTCGCCATCTCCTCTCCTTGTACCTGGAAGACAAGCCAGAGTCTGCCCACACCAAGGAAGACATTCTCGTAAGTAGATTATTATGAAGCCCGCTTTGGCATTCGCTGACCGTTTTGTAGCCCGTCGAATTCCTCACTACCTACATCTCTTTTGCCCGCGCCAATATCCACCCGACCATCGCACAGGATGCTGCCCAGGAACTGGTTGACCAGTATCTCGAGATGCGCAAGCTCGGCCAGGATGTTCGCGCTGCCGAGAAGCGCATCACAGCCACCACTCGTCAGCTTGAGTCCATGATCCGTCTGTCAGAGGCCCACGCCAGGATGCGTCTGTCTACAATTGTCGTTCGCGAGGACGTCAAGGAAGCCGCCCGTCTCATTCGCTCCGCTCTCAAGACTGCCGCCACTGACTCCCAGGGTCGCATTGACATGAGTCTGCTGACGGAGGGCACGAGCGCTGCGGATCGCCGCAAGAAGGAGGAGATCAAGGAGGCTGTGCTCCACCTACTCGATGAGATGACTAGCAATGGACAGACTGTCAGGTGGAGCGAGGTTGCCAGAAGATTGGGTGAGGGTGCTAGTATGCCGGTGGAGCAGAGCGACTTCAATGAGACGATGCGGACCTTGGAGATGGAGGGTCTGATCACGGTCGGTGGTGAAGGCGCAAGGAGAAGCATCAGGAGAGTAACGGCTGTTGTGTAAGAGATGATGCGCATAGACAACGTATGGCGTGGCGATGGGAATGAGTTTATGTGGAATGTGGTCTTCTGAACCCTTTGGCTGGTAAGAAAAGGGAAACTTTGGCGTCGGTATTCTGTAGTCTTTTTCTGCTCTGAATGCCCTACACCCCTGCAAGGGTACATAATGGAATGAATCTCAAGCATATCCTTGACTATCCCGTGTTGATTTCCGGCACAATCGCTCGCTGAGGTGTATTTTATCATGCCATCATAGGCGACTGTTTAGGTCTACGTGTCGTCTCACGATGGTCTCGGATGAAGATGAAAGTTCAAATCACGCTCGGGTTCACACTTGCCGCATAGCAGAACACAAAGGGGAGCTTCAGTTGACCTAGCAATGAATTCCACCATCATCCACCAACAGTCGTCTTCCCATATGTTACGTATTAAGCCGTAATAAGGACACAAGGGACAGTCGTTGGTTATAATAGATCTGGGCAACGACCACGTCAAGGTGGTATCTACAGCGTTGGGATTATATCCGACGAAAAGGGAGTACCCGTTTGCAGCTTTGAAGCATCCGGCTCTGATGAATAGTCCAGGAGAAATATACTGCTGACGCGTCGATTGATTGGGATGCGGTCGTTTTCGACCCTCGATTCTCTGCAATTGTTTGCACCCATCTTGAACTTGGCGGCTGGGTTAATATCCTTGCCTGTCTCTGCTTCTGCAACATGAGATCCTACGGGATAGATGTTTTGTTTTGTCATGTTATATCACTATTGGAAATACCGATTGTTGCGTTCTTGCGTAGAAAGTATATCATGGTAGCACCTCACGTAGACTACCGTCAAGCGGCAATACCCGACCCAACAGCGGCCTCCACTGTCACTGGGCCCTCCGCCAACTTGTCCTTCGTTTCCTGAGCAACAGCTAACGCGTCATCCAACGTGTCCAAAAGGTCTTGCGCATCCTCCAAGCCCGCCGAGATGCGCACCGTCTCCTCCAGAATACCGTACGACCGATGGTATGCCGCCTCGTCGGGGTCCCTACCAAACGCGAGCATGTTGTACGCAAAGCTGAGTGTGCGGTGAGCTCCGAGATGGGGACCAGGATAGAATGCTAGCTGGTCATAGAATGCGCGCGCCGCGGCAATGGAGTCAAAGTCAATGCTCAGGAGACACCCTGCTCCCGGCTCTGGGAGATCAGAGGTCGGCTTCCGGAGGCGAGCCTTATAGGTCTCGTAGTCTGGGAGGAGAGGTGGGTAGAGAACCCTGAGAATGGGTGATGATGGGTTTTTGGCGTGAGCGTGTAGGTGGTTGGCCATGGCAGCGGCGTTTTGGTTGAGGACTGCAGTGCGTTGGAGGTAGTCTTCAGAGTTGGAGAGCAAGACCTCGGCGTCACCGACGAAGAGCTCATTGTGAAACGTCTTGAACCAAAGTGATGAGAGGACAGAGTAGTGTGGCGAAAGCGGGTTCAGGACGACGCTGCCTCCCAGGACGTTTGCATACCCCGAAAACGATTTTGTGAGGGAAGAAACGAGGATGTCGGACTCCGAGAGGACGTCGATGTTGGCGAAGGAGCCGAGGGTGTCGTCGAGAACGAGTATGAACTTGTGCTTTTCGGCCTGGAGCTGTCGTTAGTGGATGAATTCCAAAAAACCAAAAGCCCGCAGGGATCATCACTTACAAGTTTCTTGAGACGCCCGATATCAATGCTTGCAAGCAAGGGGTTGCTAGGGAATTCAGTGATGACATAGCTCACATCCCTCCCCATGGCGGCCTCTTCGTCGAGCCAACTCTCAAAACCGTCCAGACCTTTTGCGTCAACCGGCCCAAAGTGCTTATACCCATGAGGCGAAGACTCTTGAATGTAGTGCACAGTGCTGTGGAAAGCAACGCCAAGAATTGCAACGGCGCCGGGTCGATACTCGAGGACGGTCTTGTGAGCAGCGAAAATGGCAGCCATTCCTGTGGAGTACAGGAACACGTCTTTGCTCTCGGCCTTGACTTTCTCGTGGTCGACGGCGGCTCTGTGCAAAAGTCCCGTGATGCGTTCCCTCAGCTTGCCATGGGCCTCGCCCTCAGGGAGATACTTCGTCGGTGGAGGCGGCGAACCCATCTCGACATTGACTTCTTTTAGAGTTTCAATGTCCTGCAGCAGCTTCTCTGCCAAACGAATGGAGACCCCAATTCCAGGATTCTGCCAGGCACCGATGACGCCGGGTGTCTTGGGCATGGGATACGTAACGAGATACAGCCGCACGTCACCAATATCGACGCACCGGTAACCCAGGTCTTCGTCGGTCAGGATGTGTTCCTTGCGATGGGCGTGAAGAGAGTGGTCGCGTACAGCGGCGAAGGAGGCAGGAGAAGTGAAGTAGAGCGCTCCATGGCCTTCAGGAGTTTGAATCTTGGCGCAGATGGCCATAAGAGTCTTGGATAAATCGTTAGCAACATTTGGGGCTGGCGAGTAGAAATATGTGCATAACGATCAGAGCGGGCAAGCGTGAGAACTGACCTGGGCGACGGGTCCAAAGGGCCCGAATCTAGGGTATATGTGTACCACGCGGGATATTATGCTTTTGTCGCCATCACGGACCTTGGCTGCCGACTCCCAGCTGGGCATGTAGGTTGTGATGCCGTATTTTGACTCGGGAGGTACACAATGGCCCCATTCCGCGGTAGGCTTGAGAACTGGCATGATTGACTTTCGTGACGTGAGTTTGATACTACCAGTGTAAGTGAAACGCGTTGGCTGTAGGAAAATCGAGCGTGGCAGTGATAGTCTTACATGCACCACAGCGTCAAGGATGTGGAACCGTGATATCATGGAATCAAGGTCAGCGAGGGGTGGAGGTTTTAAATGACCCCACATCTCGCAGTGCCATGCAGCTTGGTTTGAGAAAGTGTGTAAGACAAGCTGAGTTCCTTCCCCCTCTCAGCTGATTCTGGCGATATGCAGCCACTCGGGGTTCTCTCAGCCGCTAGAATGCCCTTCTTGGACAAGCTTCATGTAAGCTCCAACGCCGTTTCCAGCTTTCCAAAGGCTGTCAAGCTTCCCCAACTCCTCCAAAACGTGACTTTGGATACTAAAAGCTTACAGGATCCTAATCTATCTTATGTCGGTTCCGAAGGAAGCTCGCTGCAATCCTCTGAAGGATGGGAGCTGCCTAAAGAGGCATGTCTTGCAGCATCTGATTGGCAGAGTCGGACTTGACGTTGGATTCGTGAGCGACTTGAGCCGGAACTGCAGGCTGCTGTCATCTCACACAGTGCCCAACTGTTAGTGTAAGTTTATGATGTTTGCGGCATAGACGGCGCACATTTTTCTAATGAGGGCTTTTTCGTCGCGATTAAGTCCTGGTATCGTCCACTTCAACAAAGAACTGAAAGAAGGAGTCCATAATGCAGAAGCATGATGTGGTGACAGTGTGTTCCTCTTCGTTCACAGGCAGCACAATCATGCTCACCCTCACCAACACTGGACCCTTTAGAAACATGCGCATGAAAAACTATAGAGACAAAGAAGCCAACAGGTGATTGTTATCAGTCCACTAATAAAAGCCACTAAGCTCTGAAGCATCACAGAACCAGCATGAACATTACAGTAAAAGCTATCTGGTCAACCATTGTATCTTATCTTTCCTCGGTTCATCCAGACAGAAACGAAGCTTCTATGAAGACTACACGCCTGGAGAAACCAAGAGACACAGACACCGATAGATCGTTGCCGTTGACAGCAAGCCACTAAGAAGGGCCACCGATCTCCACAACGAACTATGGCCAACACGTCACAACAAGATTGGCCGGCCCTTACGGTTGTCTACTGTATCCCCCTTTGTTCTTGTTTGTCGGCTTCTGCGTATTTGAGTACGAATACACGCACAAAAAACGTGACAGATCACAACAATATCCTGGACACAAGCAATATGTGCAGAATGCCGGAAGAATCTGGGGCGTAACTACATTGCTGCTGCTGAATGCCGACGCTATTCTCCGCACAACTTACAATATGTTGCTGGCTCACATACCGTGTGCCTACCGCTAGCATGAGCACAAGAACCAATCTGCACGTCTGTTTCTGGGTGTGAAGAAGGCATGCAAGTACAGATACCGACCCCGAGCTCATCCGTGTGATTATGAAAAGCCGGGCAACATTACAATCGACCTTGGTGGACATGTATGGAGACACAGACGGGAGCCCGACTTTGTAGCAGCTGAAAGCATCACACTCGACGCTTATCTCCCAAGCCCGCCACCTTTGCTATAGAAGTATTCCCGGTATTGAGAAATAAGTCAATCGACACCGCCTTGTGAGGAAGTAGAATGTAAGATCCTTACAACGGAGCTTGATGTTTAACACTCTTCTTCTATGTCTCGCCTTTGCCATGTACAGATTGAGTGTGTTGATGCACTGAAATTTTACTACTAGTTAAGAAAAAAGCAACCTAGACGTTGCCGAGGGTGGGAGCTTGCATCCTTCCCAATATTCATTCATGTCTGTCAGCAGGTGACGTGTCAACCACGGGTCGTGTGAAGCCAGGTCTCAATTGGAGATGAGATCCAGAACTTCTTTTCGCAACTATTTGCTTTGTGCTAGTGGCCTTAGGGTGGATATTTCTGGTGTTCAAATGAGTTGGTTCTTGGCATCTATCACCCAATGAAGAAATGAGGTATTAAGGACGAACTTGTAGACAAGAAGGATCAGTTGTGTAGCTGAGGTCAAACGAGTTGCATAATAGGGTAAAGTATCTGCCAATAGCACCTCGAACGGCGATGACGCTACCCCTGTTGAATCTCACAAATGATGGAATAGATTTAGAGTACCAATATACTACATCTCTCGATTCCTTTCTGTTTCGGATTAAGTACAAGGTATGCTGCAGCCCACGCGAAACATGATTCGCACCGAATGCACCACTACAGACGTACGCAAGAGACAAATGAAAAACCACGTATGCCGACTGACCGTATTGGTCGACACCGTTATGGAACATACAGAGTACTACAGAATTGGATACAGAACATTTCGCTTTTTCACCCTCACATAGTTTCCCCACCTCACCAGTACTTGCGCTCCCGGCCCTCGAACGCAAAGTTAATCATGACAGCGACGAACAGGGAGACGCAGAGAGCACTGGGGCCCCACTTGTCGTAGAACTTGGCGGCCCTCCGCGTGCGGATGGCCTTGCTTCTGTAGAGATAGATGACGACGGAGTATAAGAGCGACAGGATAGCGAGGAGGGTGAAGACGCCAGCGACAATGAATGACGCGCTGGTGGGCTTGGAGCCAAAGTTGAGCAGCGTGACGGCCACCGTGCCGACATAGATGGAGTACTCGAGCTGTTTTCGTCATGTTAGCAATCAACTCGGACGACGTTCGTGAATAATACTGGAAGTCGACTTACCCAGCCTAGGAACGTTCTTTCGGCAGCAAAGTAAACCTTGGGCTCGACGCGGACTGGCACGTGAATCTTCTTTCCCTTGGGAGCCTTGAATCTCTTCGTCTGGATTTGTCCCGAACCGAAGAGCTGCGTCTGCAGTTCGCGCCGGGGGATCTCTGAACCGCGGGGATGCGGTATAGTCCACTTGAGCACATCCACGGCACGTTCGCCAAGAGCCCGCGCTTTCGTAGAGGCGAGCGTCGAATAGTAAGTCCAGCCACCGACTCGTCTAGCTTCCTGGAGGGCCTCGTCGGCATCGTACTCCTCGTCCGAGTCGTACAAGAAATCATCGTTATCGACCGGGGCAATTGTATCGACGGTCTGACCTTCGACGTCGAGTCCAGTCCCTCCGTTCCTAGCAGCGCCCTGACCGCTAGACTCCCCATTCGTGGCCCCGTTGTTGGCGGAAACCAAGGGACCTTCCTCATCGTCAGAATCCAACTCGTCGTCTTCGTCATCGTCTGATGTGGTAGTTGTAGTCGAATGGTTCGGTCTGTGGATGCCAAAGTCGTGTGTAACCGGCTTCCGAATGTCCACATCCATCTGCGGCATCCAGAAGGGAAGCAGGTCGATGCGGTCAGGGAAAAGGCTAGCGACTCCGTGGATGAACTTGGAGAACTTGGGTACAGCCTCAACCAGATGGCTGGAGATGAGCTGACGAACCCATTCAGGGGGTTCTTGGCCGAGCTGGGTCTGGAGCTTGACCTCAAGAACGGCATACGGGAAGCGCACAATGTCCTCAGGAGGCAGTTGCGAGAATGGATAGTCAATGCCGATGTCCATACGCCTCCAGTTGTCGCCGGACCTCGTGCGGCCGTCCAAGTTGTCTTCGCGGATCATGGTTAACTCGGTATCGAGCGAGATACGGACTCGAGCGTCGGCAGGGAGCTGGAAAGCGGTACGATTGTAGAAAGATCGGCACACGGGCTTATAGCCCTTCTTGAGCACCGAGTACTGCACCTCCTTCGCGAGCCTCTCGTCCTCAGCAATCTGCTTTTCAGGCTTCTTGCCCTCCTTGCGGGCCTTTTCGAAGAGAGCGGCGGGCAGCAGCTCGCCACGCATGTACGCGTTGACGTTCTTCTCCTTGACCGAGAATCGTGCCTTGACCGACTTCTCTCCAGTCCAGTCCTCGCGATGGGTCTTGCGCTCGACAAAGATGTTCTCGCTCTGCATTCCACCGTACCATCTCAAACGGATAGCCTCGGCGCCTTCGGACTTCTTAAGACGACCCTCGTAAAGATCCCAGGTCTCAGGGTTATCGTAGTAAATGGATGTGATGGCCGAGTCTTGTTGGTCGAACTCTTTGCTTGCGTTGAAGACCAGCACAGGCAAGTGCTTCAAGATGATGAGCTTCAACTCAGTCACATTGTCCGGGTGAACCCAGTACTTCGTCGTGTTACGAACGAAGCTGCCCTGGGAACCGCCGGCAGCACTATCACCCTTGACGGGGTTACCCCTCGTCCTAACCAAGTCATACAACTTGGAAAGCTTCACAACAGAAGCATCGTAGTTCTCCTTGTAGAACGGTTTCGCCTTGAGCCGGGTGTCGAAGACGGGCTTGAGGTGCCAGCCGGTAAGTTTCTGTTTATCGTTAGCCACGCGTCCTAACAGTCTCGGAAATGCTGCCTCACGTCATGCTTCTTGATAATCTTGTAGAAACCGGTATAGTTCAGCTGGACAAACTTGGCAAGATCGTGGACATCGGCAATAATGTCGCTCAAGTCCTCCTCCAGCAGCATGAACTCCTCTTCGCTCGGCCCATCCTCGCGGGGACCGCGCTCGTTGAGGCGGTTGACGACGCCCTTGACCTCACGCTCGCTCACGGCAATGCGCCGCGAGATCTCCATGGCCTTGACCTGCTGCTTCGTGTGCACCTTGTCGAGCTCGGCCTCGAGCTTCTTGACGAAGCGGCCCTCGTCCTCCTCTGACCATTCCCGCTTCACGCCATTGCCCTTGTTGTCGCTAGATATGATGGGGCCGGTGGCCGTCTTGAGGTCGGTCTTGAGGGCATCGTAATCGATGTAGTACCATTGGTACTCGCGGATGATGCTCGAACGGAGCTGCTCGCCGAACTTCATGACGACGGTGCCGGGACGTGCGCGCCAGGTTTCGCTGCGTGCTTGACTTGGTCGCCAAGTTTGTTCCTGTGTCTTTGTATCGTAGACAATTAGCATGAGTAGTTGTCAGGCCTGAGTCGCACCACTGCAGAAACAGAGAGGCTGGTCTCGAGGCAACCAAGGTAGGCGGCTTTGGGGAGGATTGAGACAAATTATCTCCGGTAGGCGGTGGAGCCGACCAAGGCTTTTTCTTGGTAGAAATGGGGGGTCTAACCTTATGCAATTGGTGCTGTGCAGCCGATGTTCTAGTTGTTGGAGAAAAGTATGTAGGTTTGGGAGCTTTCGCCTGGCACGGTCGATTGATGCAGGTGCTGGCGCAGGTAAAACAACAAGTGGAATGCGAGGCGGCCGACAGTTACGAGACAGACAAGCTTCTTCGGACAAGGGGGCCGGGGACGGGGGACGCGCCTTGCTTGCCGCAGTATCCCAACCACGTTCACGGATAAGTACGAAAGAAACTGCGCGATGTACATTGCCTACTCTCATATTCTTCTTGTTTCTATTGATTTTGAGTTTGAGGTCTTGTGTAGCGCATCAGTGTTTTTTTCATCCTCTCTTGCCTTGTTTCTTTCTCCCTGCCATAATTTCAGTTTGTACTAAGGTAGACCAACAGGAAAATCCCATGCCATCTCGTGTTTACTTTGTAGACCATCGCTTGCATTTTTGTAGTGGTCCTGACCCAGTAAAGTGTAGCTCAGACCTGGCCTAGCTCCTGGCCGTCTGGGCCCAGTCCCGCCAGTCCCCATAACTAACCGCAGGGGCCATTGGCCAATTATAAACGGTAAAAGAGCACGTGCGGCAGACGTCACAGCGGTCCAGCACATGCGAGAGAGATGCAGGATGTAGACTCGAAAGGTTTTTTTTTTCCTGTGATGGCGGGGTTGGCGGGGAACGCATGCCCGCCCGGAGGCGGCAAGCAAAAGTTCTGTGCCCGGCCGAGATCTCGATTTCCCTGTCTGATCACGGAGCTTTACCCCCGGCAAGCACACACCGATCCGGATCGAAGCCGTTCCATACCCGAACTCTCCCTCCCGGTCGAGAATCCGGCGTCCCGAGAACCTCTTGATCGAGCCATTGTCTCCCGAGCCACCCCTCCACATCCCCTCATAACGATGGCGATCGACGATTCGATGCAAGCCCGCATCACCACCGACTGCCCAGACGAAACTCGCGAAATCCTATTGCACGCCTGGAGTCACGACAAGTCCGCCCTCAAGAAAATCCTTGACGAGCCCGGCAAAGCCAATTGCCAGGATCCCACGACCGGCGAGACACCCCTCCACGCTGCCGTCCGCGCCTGTGGCCCCGCCGCCGAAGACGAAGATGATCTGAAGGTCGAGGAGGCCAAGGAGACGGTCCAGGAGCTCTTCCTCTCTGGCGCCATCTGGAACGATGTCGATTCCAACAACGAGACCCCTGGTTGCGTCGCCCTGCGCTTGGGCCAGAGCGAGCTGTACAAGCTCTGCGTCGAAGCCGGTGTACGCGCGGAGCTGCTCTTCGGCCTGCTGGACGGCTACGAGCAGCTGTCGTCGGGCTCGGAGATGGACGAGGACGATGCGGCCGAAGTCGTCGACGCCGAAGCCCTCAAGGCCTTTGAGGCCGACCTTGAGGCGATGGGTAACGCGCAGGACCCCGAGGAAGCCCCCGAGCTCGTCCAGGTGCCCGAGATCGAGACCAAGGAAGAGAAGGCGTTCGTGCCCCCGCTGTCGAGGACCCAAGCCTCAACTCGGAAGAATATCTCCGCTCGAATGTTACCTACTCGGAGGGCAAGCTCGTCGACGACGGTGGCAACGGTGTCATGATGGCCTGGGAGACGGACATCATGCGCAAGAGCGTCGACGCCTTGCTCCCGGGTCTACCCGCTGGCAAGCGCATCCTGAACGTCGGATTCGGCATGGGCATTATCGATACCATGTTCCAAGAAACGCGGCCTTCGCGGCATCACGTCATCGAGGCCCACCCCGAGGTGCTCGAGCACATCGACAAGCCCGACTCCAAGTTCGGCGCCGCGTGGGAGGCGAGCGGAGCCGAGGAGGGCGCGTTCAAGATCCACCGGGGTAGGTGGCAGGATGTTGTGCCCAAGCTGCTCGAGGCCGGCGAGGTCTACGATGCTATTTACTTCGACACTTTTGGCGAAGACTACAGCCAGCTTAAAACGTTCTTCACCGAGTTCATTCCTGGCCTGATGGACTTTGAGGGCCGCTTCAGCTTCTTCAACGGATTAGGGGCAGACAGGAGGATATGCTACGATGTGTACACGAAGGTTGTAGAGATGCACATGACTGATGCTGGCCTGGATATCGAGTGGGATGAGCTGGACGTAGACATGAAGGGCCTTGAAGAGGCTGGCGCAGGCGAATGGGAGGGAGTGAAGCGCCGCTACTGGACTTTGGACAGTGAGTATCTCCATGAGGACACTTTTTCACGTGCACTAACACCACTCAGAGTACCGGTTGCCGACCTGCACATTCATGGGCTAGTTCCTGATTAGGGATACTGGTTGTACGAGCTATCTAATAGGTCTGATGGATATTCACCGTAGAACCCATCTCAATGCAAACTCCGAATCAACGCACCCACGGTCTAAGATTCATCATTTACCAGCTTTTCCCCAGGACACCGTCCTCGCGACTCATAATTCATCTTCAAGAGCTATTTGAAGTTCTCGGGGTTAAGAATGCCGGCCATGTTGCCCTGCTGAACTCTCTTGAGGGTCAGGGCGGCAATGAGGGCGGCACCAACACCGCTACCGTCCTCTGCCGCGAGGATTTCGATAGGGTCCTCTTCCTTGGGGTTAGTCTTGGCAGGCCAGTCAAGAATTTCGCGCAGAGCCTGGGCACCGCGGGCCTTGAAGTGAGGGTACTTGTTAAACACCGAGCCGTCGGCGCCAACGTGGCAGCTCTCGTAGCCCTTCTTCATGCAAATGGCAGCGACACCACAAGCGGAGAGGCGGGCAGCGCGGGTGCCGATGAGCTCGGCGAGGCGGCGAACCAGCTCCAGCTCGGGCCTGGTGGCCTTGAGGTTCAGCTTGGAGAGAAACAGGTCGCTCGTTTCCTGCAAGTTCTCAAAGGGGTCGCTATACAAAGTTAGAATGTATAAATCTCAACCTGATTCATGGGAGACCTACTCCTCAATGGCTGACAAGAAAGACGAGTCCAGGGTGTAGGCCTTGCGGAGCTTGACAATGTCCTGGTTCTCGAAGATGTGCACAGCCTTGTTGTCGTGCAGGTCAACGAGGACCAAACGGAAGATCTCGCCCAAGTAGAGACCGGCAATCATCTTCTCGAACGCCTGCTGACCCGGGCGGGGAGAGTCCTTATCAATGATGATGTCGTAGGGGGTACGAGGCAAGACCTTGTGCTCGTTGTCAAAGGCACCCCATTCGCAGTTGATGGCCATGGGGCAATCAGGAGGCAAGTTCATGTGAGCAAGCTTAGGGATGGAGCCGCAGTTTTCCATGTAAGCAGCGTTGCAGCCAGTGCCAAAAATGCAGCCAATCTTCATCTTGGTATCGGTGTAAGCCGAGGCAATCAGGGTTCCAGTGGTGTCGTTGATCAAGGCAGACAGCTTGATAGGGACATTCTAGAGAGTCGTCAGTACCCAGCTCATGCCTCGCGCATCCTGCAGCACCCGGAGGCTTACCCTGGCAGCCAAGGCGGCCTCGAGGAACGGAACAACGTTCTGGCCTTCGACTCCGGCAATGTCAAAACCCTTGGTCCAGCGCTGGAGGATGCCCTCATCGATGTAGTTCTGGGTGGCAGGGTAGGAGAAGGTGAAACCAAGGGGAATCTTCTGAGACTGAGGGTGGTCGGGATGGTGAGTCTCGATGAACTGGGCCAAGCAGTCGGCAATGTACTCCCACAACTCGTCCGACTGTCCGGTCTTGAGCTCCTCAGGCATGCGGTACTTGGATTGAATGATGTCGAACTCCGACTTGACGTCCGTCAAGGTAATCTCACAGACACGGAGGTTGGTGCCACCCATGTCGAGGGCTAGGTAAGTGCCAGTTTCGTAGCCATCAGGGAAGGACATGACCCAAGTAGGGTTCATAGGCTGTTGATGCGATTAGAACAGTCTTTAGTCGGCACAGAGCCATAGGATTATTCCCAACATACGATGCTACCGCCTTCGACACTGAGACCTGTAGTCTGTTAACCGCTGTTCTACCCTGCAAGATGCGCGACTGCGAAGCTCACCCTTCTCCAGCTCCGAGATGAAGTGCTTGCTGATTTGCTTAAGCTTCTCGGTGGGGACAGTGAACTGCTCCTCCAGCTTCTTGACCTCGGCCAAAAGGTCCTTGGGCACATCGGCCATTGAACCTGGAAGTTCACACATTGTTAGCGGACTCAGACAAAACCTGGAAATGACTGGAGCAGTAATGCTTGCTTTGGCGTGAAGGGACGAAAATGCTGGTGTGGTGGTAGGATTTCTCCCTGGTGTGGGGAGCAATCTCCTTGTCAGCCATAGTCATAGTGACGGCACTCTGAGATCAGGCTTTCAAGATAACAAATCTGCCACACTGGGAGCGCTACACTTTCGTGCGAGGGTATCACGGATCAATCGTGTATGGGAAAACAAATGCGCAGCTCTCAAGACAAAGGGCAAACAATGACAGACAAGCAGTAGGCAATGTAGCGGTCAACACAAAGGGCTGGAGGGCAGACAAGCAGACCGGAACGGCGCCTGCCAGCTTGTTTATAGCGACAGCTGCAGTGGGAGAAGAAGAAAGCTGGGGATGAGGTGGGGGATGGTCTGAGTAAGTGAGACAATGTCTTGCATCTCAACGCCAGAAGGTTTGCACTTGGCCAAGAGAGCGCTTGAAAAGCTACCCCTTTGGCTTGGGGTAGGTCCGGGGAAACTGCTCAGCGGTCCAGCCTTGTGGCGCATCATGTTGTCCGGGGCGATTGAATATGGCATCTGCATGTCAGAGTCGGGATCGGGCGGTGATAGTGGTGTGTGCGGATAAGGGATAGGAGGAGGCGTTGAGGATGACTGGGAGGGAGCGACGGGGTACCGGCAACACGGACGTGGGGAGGCATAGCGGCCATCGTCTCGAAGATCGAAGTATCTCGAAGATTGTCTCAACGTCGGATAGCGGCCGCAAACTCCGGAGCCCCACCATCCCGAATGCTTCCAGTCTTCTGGAGAAAAAGTGAAGCGGAAAATGGATCGTGATTGTGTACATACCCTTTCTACTGGGCGGAACCTTGGGACCAAGACCAACCATTTTGACGCAAGCTTTTGGTGGATGGCGGGGTAAAAAGGCAGGTGAGGGGTAGCGATTGGGCTTCTAGGTGACGAGGAGGAGCCGCGGCGATGAAGCTATTAGCAGCTTAGTGGCGTACAATAGTCAAGATAAGAATGAGGGTTGTTGTGGCCAACGTCGTCGGTGGGCGGTCAATATGCTTGTGTCGGGCGAGGAAGCGACGTTGAGGAAAAGGTGAAGAGGCGTGGATCATCTGACCGAGGGGAAGGAGACGAGAGGTTCAAACTTCAAGTGGACTCAACCTTGTTAGGTTGTTAGGTCCTGCGCCAAATTGGAGCTCTCCGCTCCCTCACTCAGCACCAGCTGCACGCTGAGGCACTATGGCTACCTCAATTAGTCTGTGGCGCCCTTGTCTCCGACTCAAGCCTCCCCATCTCCGTTCCCCGAAACCGCTGAGCCAGCCTTTTCATACAGTGCCTTGGTGCCAGGGCCAGAGCTCAGACACAATACCGACACTATTTTTTCTTGGTATCTGTTTTTCACTCGTCCCACTGGGCCGCGGATCAATGCCGTCAAGCCGCGTCTCGCCCTCGCCCAGAGAAATACACGAGATCTGCAGCGGCTTACTGAGCTGGGATGGTCTACCTAAGATACCTAGCGGTTTGTAGTGAGCCCCTCCCTGCCTTAGGGTTGACGAGAACTTAATCAAGACGGGCATTATTCTTGACAATTAAACTATATCAGCACATGGTGAGGATGGCAAAACCTGTTCAAACTGCCTGTTTGATGAAGAATGGGTTGATTATGAAGTGGAAACTCCGGACGTACCGCCGAGTCTCCCAGGGCCCTGTCCAGTGTCCCCAAAGACCCCCAAAGACCCCCAAAGACCCCAAAGGGCCGGAGCTTGTGGTGTGTGACGTCTTGTTGAGGGACAAATCGCAGCTCAGAAAAAAAGGAAGCTGCCTACCCCACCAATCCCCGACCCGGTGAGGCCAGTCGTCATTGGTGAGCTGAGCCCCGCATACCAAGCTGGATGAAAACTCCAACAAAACGTGGAAGAGGCGTCTGTGTGTGGCTAGAGCCACCACGACCCTTCGGAGCCTCTTTATTTGGGTGGGGCTTGAAGCCACTGCCGTTTCTGAGTTCCTTCGTAAGCTTCACCCGGACTAACCCTTGCCCGACCCGGCAGCTCACAGCTGTGCATGGCCCGTGCACAACGTCAAGCAACGTATTCCGTAAGCTTTTGGCTGGGGGTAGCTGTCTCAGGAGCCAGATCATCAACTCGGCAATGGAGTGAATGCCCCAATTGCGCCTCAACAACCGTTTTTCTTCATCCTTGATTCTCATTGCCGGGAGCGCTCTGTCAATGAGCATCTTCCTTGACTTTCCCACATCATGAGAGTCTTTGCCATTGCCGCTGGGCTTTTGAGCCTGCTCTCCCCGGTTGTCGCAAGCTCCGATTCGAGTGCCGCTGCGGCTGACAAGGTGTCGAAAGTCAACCTGCCCACCAACTTCAAGCCGCCCCAGGTCTTCAAGAACGCCAACCTTGTGCATATTGTCTCTTTGGAGAAGAACTACGTCAAGGAGTCCATCAATGTCTTGATTGAAAACATCGACAAGCAGCCCCAAGATGAATACTATCTACCCTTCACCCCGAACCAGATGTCACGCATTGGTGGCTTCGAGGTCAAGGACAGGAAGAACCCCGAAGCTGGTCCGTTTGCTGTTGACGCGGTCGAGATCGACCCTTTGAGGTGGGTTGAAATCGATTCCTACTCCCAGTACACACGACACAAGACTAACAGATAAGCAGCGAGACTCAGTACTTCAAGATCCAGCTCCCCGCGCCCTTGAAGGCAGGTGGCCAGCAGACGCTGAGCATCTCTTACTACTTCCTCCGGGCTTACAACCCTCTCCCTGCTTCAATCGCGCAAGACGAGCAACAGTACCTCACCTACGACTTCTCCGTGTACGCGCCATCGGCCTACGTCACCTCGAAGCAGAAGACCGAGGTCAAGTCCCACTCGTCCAACATCCCCGACTACACCAAGCTTCCCGGAAGCGGAGACATCAAGGAGTTCCCTCAGAAGCAAGGCGGCAAGCTTGTCTACGGTCCCTTCGACGAGAAGCCCGCTGGCGCAGTCGCCGCTGCCCATGTGCGGTTCGAGTTCACCAAACCCGTCACCCATGTTGCCAAACTCGACCGCGACATTGAGGTCAGCCACTGGGGCGGAAATGTGGCGTTCGAGGAGAGATACGAGCTCTACCACCGCGGAGCGAACCTGTCCAAACTTTTCAACCGAGTCAAGTGGGCGCAGGCGCAGTACTACAACCCCAACACGTACGCTCTTAAGGAGATGAAGTTCCCGTTGAAGGTTGGGAGTGTCGACCCCTACTTTGTCGATGCCATTGGCAACGTCTCTACGTCGAGGTTCCGCAGCAACAAGCGGGAGGCTCTTTTGGAGATCAAGCCGCGCTATCCTGTCTTTGGTGGCTGGAAATACCCCTTCACCATTGGCTGGAACTCGGATGCGAAGAACTTTGTTCGTACCGTCGATGCTGGCAAGTACGTTGTCAGTGTTCCCTTCCTGGAGGGTCCTAAGCAACCCGAGGGTGTTGAGTACGGACAAGTCAACCTGCAAATCCTTCTGCCTGAGGGAGCAACGTGAGTGAAATTGATACCTCAAAGCCGTCGATCACCTCTAACAAACATGTGCAGAAACGTCAAGTTTTACACCAGCCTTCCCCAGTCCGCGATCACGGACACGGTTGTTGGCGTCCACAAGACGTACCTTGACACCGTCGGTCGCACATCTGTCACAATCAAGGCGATCAACCTTGTTGACGAGCTCCGCGACCGGGAAGTGATTGTGTCATACGAGTACTCGGTGGTCTCCGCCCTGCGGAAGCCCATTGTCATCTTCAGCAGCACGGTCGTCCTGTTCGTCGCCGCGTGGCTCGTTGGAGGACTGAACCCCAAGATTTCGAGCAAGAACTAGAGCAGGGTAGTTGGGGGGACCTTTAGACATTGGGATGGTGGCTTTCCTAGCATTGTACATGTAACATCAGACGGGCATCTAAAAGCAGAATGCGGAACGGATGGCTTTAGAGAATCACGATTGGACTGAAAGACTGATCTCTGTTCGCTGATCGATCATCAGTGACTTGGTGAGATCTTTTTTGCAAACATGCTAATCACACTGTGAGGCAGAACGCGATACGCTTAGTTCAGCTCTCGCTAAAGTGCGTGATTCGGGGAAGCCCTGCTGTCAGTCCAGACGGTTACTTGGAGGATGCAGGCTGAAGTCGTGGGCTGACGAAAAGTGTGAGTGCGGTGAGGAGTTGGGTGTGAGTGGACCAGATGGGAAGATCAGATCTTAACTCCCGTTTCCAAAAGCGATAGCACTAAGCGGTCATCAAGCAGAGCGGTCCCCCGGTGTTGAGACCGTCGGTCGCAGGTAGGCTTGTTTGGCAGGATGTCCAGCCTTGTCTGCAGTTGCTTGTTATTCCATGGCAAATTCGCTCAAGGTTTCCTGCTTATCTCTCAAGGGACGGTTGGCAACAACTGTAACGGCAACGGTCGATGATACAGTCTGTTTTTAGTTTTGTTTGAGGGGGGGCGGGTTTCCCGTACTGAGAAGCCGAAACTTGGGCAGAAAAGACAGCAAAAAAAGGAACAGGCAGCTGGACTTGAGGAAGCTTTTACTTCTGAGGCCCTAGCCGATCTTTGAGTCCAAGCCGCATTACCTCAACTCCAAGGCCTTTGGACACGTTCCCCTGTTGCTTTCCTCAGATAAAAACCAACTTTTTGAACCCTTTCCGTCTGTCGGAGCAAGTCCTGCGGGCCCAGAATCTCACGCGGGGAGACCCTGGCGTGGGAACCGCTTGACACAGCGGTCTAGACAGGCTGGTCAGTGGTCTCCTGGGACAAGGATGGCAGACCCAAATGCGAGCGTACCGCCCTCTGCGGATTGGAGCAAGGGTCCCAACCAGGGCAGCTGCGCCCGCGAACCTGGCAAACCTAGAGGGGGACAACGAGCAAGCAAGCGTGAGAGCGTGAGAGAATGAGCCAAACGCCGAAAGCTGAGCCACCTTTCGACTCTGTCAACCAACCATCCACCACTCACGCGCGTAAGGTTTCGGTGAGGGCCGCCGCGCCGCTTGCCTCGCTTTGGTCTATTGCGTCCGAAGGATAAAGTGGGATGGGTGACTGACTGCATGGCCCTTGGAAGCTCGAGTCCCCCTGACTCCTCCTACTTAGTAACATACTTGGAAGACAGAGGTCCAAGCCGCCTAGGCTCTGGTGACAGTAATAACTTGGGAAATCATAAAAGGAAGCCTGTCGCCCACTACCATCCCGTTTCCAGCCCAGTGCATTTCATAGCCTTGACACTTAAGCAATAGAATCTTCGCCGGATCTTCTACCCGCATCTATAGTTTGCCCTACCTACCTTGAACTGCTCAACACTTGGATTAGCCTGGCACGACTAATACCTACATACCTACCAACCAACCAATCTACAAGGTCGTTCTTCATTTGTTCGGTACAGAACGCTTGCCAAATCATAGGCGACAATTCACCCACGATACATTCGATAGACATAGAAAACCCCACATCCGATCAAGATGTGCTTTGGAACGAGCGGCCGCAAGTACTACTACCACGAGGAGGTGGTCCCCAACAGACACCACCACCACCACCACGGCCATCACCACCACGGGCACCACCATCACCACCATGGCCACTCCCCGCGCGCAAGCTACACGAGCGTGAGGCGGTCCTACGTCGCCAGCAGCCCGCGGGTCAGCTACGTAGAGCCCGTGGTCTACGAGCGGACCAGCCGCACATACCGATGAAAGAGGTCAAGCTAAGCATTGCGGGCGGGAAGCAAGCAGCGGGAATAACTCCAAACCACTCGGGTGATTAGACGAGAAGGCGGCATGAAGTTTCAGAAAGAGGGGGACGGAACGACGCTGAATGATAGAAGAACAGAGCGAGATGGGATGAAGATGGGAAGGTTAATCGCCTGAACCACGAAACGGCACACGAACAGCGACAGCGATGGCGTCAAACCTTTGGATTGGGGACAGCGGGCGGTACAGACCTTGGACGACGCTGCCTCACGAGAGTAGTGCTGGTCCCCCCGGCTTTTAGATCTGGAGTTGTATGACTATGGTGTTATCGGGGTCGGCATGATTGTAACGAATTATCAAGTTTACGTCTACGATGGGCTTCATTTACGCCTTTCTTCGTTAATGAACCTTTTTTTCCCCCTCTCCCTTCATTCTTCTGCGTTCTATGTCTAGAATTTCTCTTCCCTTCGGCAGATGATGCATGCACTCCGACGCACGACAGATGCGCATATAAACTCTTCCTGTTCCATAGTCTGTGTGTTTCCCGGGCACAAGGAGTGAGCGCCCTCCGTCAGCGCCTGACTCGATAATTTGGGTTCAGCAGCTTGGCGACCTTGACGTCGGGAATGGGAATCTTGAACATGTGCTGACAAACGTGCGCTGCGCCGCGATGCGATGTGGTGCGATTTGGAGGAATGAGGCACGCAGAGGAGACAGTCCAAATGGAGCATGGGCTGGGAGGGGGGACCCTTTCTCAAGGTGACGCCCAGGGTCGCTCATGTCTGTAATGACGTCATGGCGCAACCCCTCCAACCCCCCATCGTCATCCTGAGCATCATCACCACACTTCAAGAATGATTCTTGGGGGGAGGTTAAGGTTAGCTCGGTGAGCTATACAAGCCAGCCCGGTCTTCTCGGCATGCTTCGTCGTTGCCCTCTGAGCTGTAAGGATGCTAGAACACCCGACTAGATGGTCCTTGTTGGCTCTCGCACAAGCATATGGCCGGCGCAAAGAGTGCGCGAAAGGGTAAAGAATTGCTGTCGTAGCCACCTTGGTTGTTTGCTTCCCCCCGAGCCCAAAGAAGACTAGAGCTAGAGCTACCTTTCCAGCCTGCGTCTAGTTTCCCTCTTGTGATGTGGACTGCCACCTGCCAGCAGCTCAATTATGACATGACTGTCTCACTCGGTCCCTTCCTCCATCCCGACTGTGCCGCTGCCGCTCCCGTCTCTCCCCAGACCAGACCAGACCACCTTCATAAAGTCGGCCGTTTACCCTTGTCGCATCGCGCCTGTCGGACCTTACACCGCTGCAACTTCCTGTCGCCAGACGAACAACATTTCTCATCTCGCCTCTCAACTGTTGTAAATCAGACAAGGTGCATTGCAAGCTTGACCTCCAGAGATCCGCAGCTGCGAATCACGTAGAGATCACTCTCATCCGAGACCCAACTGCTTAGACGCGCGCATCACACCCTGCAGGGTCCAGGTTTCTTTCCTCCTTCCCGCATTCACGCCGCATCGCAGCTCTTGCTTCATACACTTCGCAGCTAGCTGTTAGAAGTCGCAATCAGAAGGAACCGGAGATCCAACATTGACCCACAGTCAACCGTAATCATGTAAGTGAGGTACTCTTCATACATCACTGGCCAACGTCACCATCGCCAAGATGCTTCGCTTCTTCTCTCGCAGCAGCGAGAAATGCGATGGCAGCTCAAGTGTCGACTTGAAAAGCACAGGCTACGGTTCCCCTATAGTGACTTCCATCACGACTCCGTCTACGTCTGGCAGACACCTGCGCGACCCTGTCCGAACTACCGACTAACACCGTTACAGGAACCGCTCACTCTCTATCAGATCCAACCACCGTCGCAACGGCTCCCAGAACACCTCCACGAAGCGTACCGGCTTCTCCTTCAACTCCCTCCGCGGCAACGTCCAGCCCGAGCTCTCGCGCAAGCTCTACCGCATCATCAAGAGCGAGAACAACCTCATCACCGCCCACGAGACGGCCGGTCGCGAGCGCATCTCTATCGCCACCCAGCTGTCCGAGTGGGGCGAGCAGACCAACGATGCCGCCGTTTCTGACGTCTCAGACAAGGTCGGCGTCATCCTGAGCGAGCTCGGCGAGCAGGAGGACCAGTATGCCCACTCCCTCGACGATGCACGTGGCGTGCTGAAGCACATCCGCAATACGGAGAAGAGCGTGCAGCCAAGCCGCGATGGCAAGGATAAGATTGCCGACGAGATTGCGAAATTGAAGATGAAGGAGCCCCAGAGTGCTAGGCTTGTTGTGCTCGAGCAGGAGCTGGTTCGCGCCGAGGCCGAGAACTTGGTTGCGGAGGCCCAACTGACGAATATCGTGCGTACTTACACCTTCAACGCCCCTTGCCACTGATTTGCTGACAACGATGCCGTGTAGACTCGCCAGAAGCTCAAGGAGGCTTACGAAGCCGAGTTTGCCGCAACCATTGAGCGAGCCGAGAAGCAGATCATCCTCGCCAAGCACGGTCGAAGACTCTTGCAACTCCTCGACGACTCCCCTGTCGTTCCAGGCGATATGCGTCCGGCCTATCACCATGCTCAACAGGCACGGCAGATTCTCAACGATGCGGAGGACGACCTGCGTGACTGGCGTCCAGAGCAGGATGACTACGCTGTCGACCCATCCGACTCTGTGTCCAACACTAAGGGAAAGCAGAGCTTGGTACACGACGATGACGCCAACATTGTTGCTGGCTCAGTGCCTGGGAATAGGACGGTTCAGGAGAGCGATGATGCTAGTGTTGTGAGCAACGGAACGAGACAGAGCGAGGCGTTGGCGGCTCATTAGGTTGCGATATATCTAGTTTCGGCTCGCTTTTGAGTTGGTCCGGGGGGGGGGGGGGGGGTATTGGGAGTGACGAGCTTGGCTTGGAGGCAGCTTTCTGATACTTGTATGCGTTACCATTCTTACGGCCTCTTTTTACGAGATGCACGATAATACCACGAGTCTACCTTTTGTTTTGTTGAGCCCGCCAACCAATCGAAGACCCTGAACCACAAACGAATAGAGTCGCTGACTCGAAATGCATAGTTGAAACGCCAATGCCATGGATATAATTGGGCGGGCGGTGCTGCGGCGAAAAGTTGGTAGGCAGCAATAGGCAAGCAGGCCTCCGACCCCGCTTTGTCGCGGCGAAGCGATCAAGCCACCGCCGGTATAAGTGCATCGTCGCACAGCGTGGGCTCTCGACATGTCGGTAACCTAAACCATTGTACTTCTCTCCATTTGTGGCTAGACCGCCTGCTGCTACCCGTCATGGCCTCGTCCTCTTCTGCCACTTCGTCAAGCATCGACATCACGGGGTGTGACCGGCAGCTGCAGAGCCCCCTGTTCAGCGTCCTCCCCGGCGAGATCCGCAACGAGATCTTTGCGCTCGCGCTCATCCAGTACGAGGATGACGAGTCGGCGTACCCCGAGGACTCGTTCTGGTACAGGCCGGGGTTCACGGGGCCGAGGAGGAGCAGCAGCAGCCTCCTCCGGACATGCAAGCTGGTGTACGCCGAGGGCCAGAAGGTGTTTCTGAAGGAGCTCGAGTTTGCATTCTGGTTTGGTACGTATCGAGTCCTGGACACTCTATTTGGGGGGGGGGATATTTCTAGGGCACAGTGCTAACGACGGCCTGATCGAGGAACAGACCGCGGCCCGGATGGACGCTCCGGCACCCTCAACTGCAAGCGCTTCTTCAACGAGCTCACACCGCAGCAGTCGGGCGACCTGCAGCGGGTCCGCTTCTTCACGCAGCTGTACTGGCTCGAGGACGGCCGGAACCTGCAGTGGCTGTTTGCGCAGCCGCAGTTCCGGCCCCGGACGCTGACCATCACGGTGCGGTACTCGGACTGGTGGTTCTGGGAGCAGGACGAGCCGCTGCGCATGGGGGAGGCGTGGCTGCGCGGGTTCAGGGGGCCGACGGGCCTGCGAGAGCTACGGGTCGAGTACGAGACGCTGGCGGGCAAGAGGGACGAGATGATGGCCATTGTCGAGAGGAACAAGCGGTGGCGGCTCGCCGTCGGGGAACGCGGCGCGGACGGGGAGGAGCAGGAGGGCGGGTACCTGAGCGCCGAGCGGACGAGGCTGGCGGAGTGGCGGTGGAGAGGCACGAGTCGGCTGGGCGGCCAGGAGTGGGCGCACCACGGGGACGGGGACACGGTCGAGTACGTCGTCGTGACGGACACCTGGAGGTTCGTGGAGGGGGCCATGGACGAGGAGGATAGGGCGAGGCGCTTTGATCCGCCCGTTTACAGCGACCGCCCTGGCCGTAGAGCGGGCAGGATAGGGAGACCGGAGCTGCGTACCTAGGGTGTTCAACCTGTGTTGGCATGATGATTGACCTTTGACGGTGGAGTTGCTGTGGGTTGCTGATGCTCTTCCCAGTTGGGCTTTCATGTTAAATGGAGTTGGTTTTTGTGGTTTAGGATAATACAAGGCGAGAGTGACCGGTTGCGCGACGTGCTTTTGGCTCTGTCGGGATTCCTCGAATCCAGGGACTGTGTAAGAGAGCAGGACGAACCTCCACATTCTGCTGCTACGGTTGGTACTAATTGCGGTCTATGGCTTGGGTTCTCGGATGGGTCACGCTCGTGAGTATATCCGTTCCTGGAGTGAATCACGATCCCTCTGTCCAAATCACTTGAAAGGATGAAACCCGCTGTCCTTGCCCCCCTCCTCCTTGAAGCAACGCGACAGTCTTGTCAAACGTACCTCCGGGAAGGATTGCATGTTGACACGACGAACCCCAAGGAGAACGCTGCCCTTCCAAATGAGGAGGGCGTCTCTAAAAGGTGCGAAACGGTCGTCCTGTATATCTTGCAGAGTTCGGGCAAACATCTCGGGCCGGTATCCAACCCTATAACGACCGACCAATCTTTGAATAGGCGCCAAGCCGTTCTCTCCAAGCTCAAAAGCAGCGTTTGTCGCAACGTGTGGTCCGTCGTCTGGCTGAACCGTTGGTCTGCACAATCCCAGACGAGGTCGGCTACCCGGCGACGAGTAGAGAGGCTGAGGGACGAAAGCGACGTCCGCATACGACCCCGAGGGGGGGTTCCATGCAGGACACACACGTTTCATCCCGAGTGTCACCTCCCAGAACCGCGGTGCCGCCGGCTCAGCCTGTGGAGCAAGGGGGAAACCGTCGACGGGGGGGTGGTTCCGCATCTATACGGTCCTGTCTAGGCGTTCAGAGACTCCAGTGTGCGGTTTTGCATGGCATGGCTTCCATCAGGACCGTAGGCGAGTCCCGGATGAGATATTGGGGTTTGGGTCCGTTGCGGTTCGTTGACTGTGCTCTCGACGTCGGCATCCACCATGCTCCAACAATAGATTGGCCTCCTTAGCATGTCACATAATGCACACACCGCGAATTTGTACGTGGATCAATATGGCTTCTGGTATTCATCCGCTATCCCTCTGGCGGAGCCACTCCCGGGGCCTCCAGCCCGATGTAGCTGTCGAAGGCCATGTCGACGACACGGTGTTCATCCTCTCAAACCCCTCGAGTCAGTCCGTCTTCAACCTCGCGCAGCTCCCCGGCTGACTTCCAGCCACAGCTGCAAACTCAAAATCATCCCAAACAGGACAATGGTGGCAGACGGTACGACGCCAGCCCGTGGCTCGTTCAGCGCCAACAAGGACGTTACCCGCAGGGTTGGCCAGTCCATTCGAAGCAGACAGAGAAGAAGAAGAATAACAAAACGGCAATGGTGCCACCCCAGTAACGCAGAGAAAAATTAAAATCAAGGAAACAAAGCGTCCCAACAAAATCTTGACCTTGGTCGTTATACAGCCCTGAACTGCTCCTCGTCATGATGCGAAAAAAGCGAGAAAAATAAAGAAGTGGCTCTTTGTGTATGCCCGAAACTCCTAGGAAGCGGTCCCCAAACGATTCTTTCTTTCGTGCTCCAAACAAACGTCCAATCACTGTACGAGAAACAAGGATTATCCATCCGAGGCACACCTTTATTGGAAACTCAAAGCAACGCCGCATCGATGATTTTCTGACTGCATTAGACTTTAAATAGAAGCCTGGTATCGGGGAAAGGCTGTCGATGCTCCTCTGCATGTATGCAAAATGCTAATGGTGTTTTGTCGTAATAGCTCTTTCGTTTCACTCAGACGCCGCTCCAACCGTCCTTGGTCGGCTGGTACGCCTTGTATCCTGGGTAGGTGCCGCCGCTGCTTTGTGGGGGTCGCTGTTCTTCCTCTTCTTCAGTGTGCTGTGGGGCGCCACCGCTTGGGCCGCGGTTGTAGTTATACTGTTGCGGACGGCTGTTGCCGCTGAAATCAAAGCCGGCGTTGTTCTGGAGACTCGGGGACACCGGTTCGGCGGTGAAGCTGCGCTGAGGAGCGAGGGGGCGTGTCGACTCGGAAGAGTATTGACGCGCGCCTCCTCCGTACTGCGGGCGGCCGTAGTTGTTGTTGGAGTACTTGTCTCGCTGGTCATAGCCATAGTCGTCTTGGGGCGCAGGCGAGCGTCGGTAGTCATTAGGAGGAGCTGGTGACCTGTGGTAGTTGTTGGGAGGAACGGGAGAGCCGTGGTAATCGCTGGGAGGGCCAGGCGAGCGGCGGAAGCCAGGCGGTGCCGGACTAGGTCCATTGCGAGGTGGTGCCGTGAAGCTCCGGGAAATCGGAGCCGGGCTAGGGCCGGTGCGCGGAGGGCGGCCCATTCCGTATCCTCCCTGCTCGTAGTCGCCATAGCCCTGGTCAAGCTCTTGCTGAGGGGGAGGGTATGTCTGACCCCTCTGCTGCCCATATCCGGCGTTGCTGAATTCCCGGTGCAGAGGCCGACCGCCCTGAGCCATTGCCATGCCTCCCGCTGCTGCCATACCTCCGGCGGCCATGGCTCCCGTGCCGTAACCTTGGTCTGCTCCAAAAGACGAAGTCGACTGTCCGTAAGCGCCATTGTAGCCATTGGGGATCTGGGCACCCATTGCATAAGGGTCCGCAGGTTGGTTGGCGTTGGCAAAGTAGCCGCTGGAGCCTGCCTGAGGGTTTTGGCCGAAGGGGCTCCTGTTGCCCGGCATAGGACTGTTCGGATGCGACGTAGCGTTGGGTGCCATGAGAGGCATGTTCTGCCCGTTGGGGTTCGGCGATGCGGCAGGCTTCATCTGCTCAAGCTCCACCTCTTCCTCGAGTGCGACCTTCTTGGAGCCTGCACCCTCCCAGCTGGGCATCGCCGGCAACGAATCCGCGTCTGCCGGGTTGGCACTGGACTTGCTGACCTCGAATTCGGCATACTGCGGCGGCGCTGCAGCTCCACTAGCCATGGCACTCGGTGCTGTCGAATGCGCCGCATGCGTAGGCGCGCTGTTATAGAAGGGGGCCATTGGCGCCTGGGACTTGTATCCTTGGTTCGTAGGTGCATATGAGTCGTCGTCGAGGTGCTTGTGAGGCGTTCCTTTCGGCGTGTCGCAGCAACCGCAGCAGTTGCCGCAGCACTTGAGGCAGTAACAGCACTGGCAGCAGCACGACAAGCCGCAGCAAGCGCACCGGATAATGCACCATACGATCGAGAAGATGATCAAACCGCCAACAATCATCACTCCAATGACAGGCCACCTGGCAAAGTCAGCATCCAAGTATCCAGACGAGGCCACAGTCAAACCTACTTGCAGTACGTGGCAGCCATGCAGTTGTCCCAGCTCGAAAAGGCCGTCTTCACATCGTTGATCTGGCTTCCGGCGTTGTTTACCGTATCTGTGATTCCGCGGTTCTCAATGTTCGCGGCCATGCTCGACACCACTGAGCCCCACAACCCCCCTCGAAGACTCCTCGCCATGGCGACATCGATTGAAGGCATCTTGAATGCCTTTTTGTGTTTTGCTTCCTCCGACAACGAACGTGATTCTCAATGGGATACCCACAAAATAGGGTATATCGAGGTCGATTGGTCCAGGGGGTTTTAGTTACGAAATACTTGCAGAACTATAGCTCCATGGTCTCTTGGGCCCGGTGTTCGTCGTTGTTGTTTGATCGGCTTGAAGGGTGACCTGCGTGCAGTCAAGGGGGAAGGCGAGCCGCTTGTGTTGCTGGCTAGCGGGTAACGCAGGTGTAACAACCGGACTCGCTCCAAAGAAGACAAAAGCACGAAAAGGCAAGAGCGCAAACGAAAGTCGGTAGTCGTAAACGAAAGTCGAGGCTCACAAGACGACGGAGAGACCAAGTTGTGCAGCGCCTGTGTCGCCTGGAAAGAAATGGAAGGGTTCGTCACTGCGGAAGGGCAAAGCGTTCGCGCCCTTGTGTGGTGGGTGGTAGGGGCAGGCGGACGACTGACAGCGGCGGACGATGCAAAGCCCAGAGGTACTCGTCTCAAAATACCGCTGAAACTGGGCGGTGCAAGTCAGTAAGCACGACGGGATCACCCTGAGAACAGGCGGTCCGTAGCCAACAGATTGTGTGTGTATGCGCGTGTTGGTCCCAAATGACGCTTTTTAGTACGCAAAAAAGGGGGGGCCGCAATTCGTGGATTGTTGTCGCGAGACACGGTTATCCCAGGTTGAATGGAGGCTGGAGCTGAGGGGCGCCCTATTCGTGAGACGTGATGAGGATTATAACTCCCCAAGTGGCGGCGAGGCGGAGTACGAGAAAAGGAACGACTGGGTTGCGAATCCGGCTCTTGTCTGCTTTTTTCGCGCGTACGGATGAATGAGAGACACGAGGAAGCGTTGTCAAACAGCCTCGGGAATGGCGAACGGGACGAGATGAGTCTGGGTGGCGGGAGAAAGGAAAAGGAGCGAAACGGCACAGGACGCAGCCCTGGCGGGTTTGTCGGAGGAATATGCACCTCGGGAGGCTGTTGAGAAGGAAGCGATTGACAAGAGGCCGCCGTAGATGGGACGAAAAGGTTTCCCCCGACCGAAGATGGTCAGAAGGGTCAAAAGTGGACGAGAAAAGATTGTGAGGTGTCGAGAGGAAAGAAAGAATGAGGAAAGGATTGGCGTGATGGCGCACAGAGGTTGCCTTCCTTCTCCCAGGAACCCACGAAGGACGATCAGAGTTGACAATGGGGGTATGGCAGAGGGGGGGGAAGCAAAGAAGCACCAGACGGGCCGGCACGGTCAAATCACAGTAGAGGAAACATCAGACCTCCCTATAACGAAGCTATAATGCAAGGCACCCAAGCACCTACGGAAGAGAGCGAACGCGTCCTGAGCACAGCCCACCCAAGGGAGATTTTCGGAGGGAAATTTGAATTGCGATCGAGCGCCATACCGCTCTAGCGGACGATACCCCTGCTCAGACGAACCCGGGTGGGGGGAGCCGTTCCCATCGGTTTCACGCTTCTGCTGTTGCTGCAGAGCACTGCTTCTGGTCGGCGCTGCTTCGCATCTTCTTGCTGCTTGCTAGGTACCTGCGGACCCTGTGTCTGAGCCCGTTGAGATGTGCCTGAAAATCCACTCTATGCGGGAACAATAAGACTTCCAAAACGGCTATCTGGCAAAGTCCCCTGTAATCGCGCAGATGCCGTGGGCAGCCCTTGCCCCCTCCCCCTTCCCCTGGTCCGCTCATCAGGGGTCGGAGATGATTGGCTTTGTCAACCGTCATTTGGCTCTCTGCACCGGTGGCTCGTGACATTCTCTGCCAACCCCCGGTTTTCGTGGTGCGTGCCGCCGCGCGCCATATCGAAAAGTAGCACCACTGTAGTGCAGCGGCGGCATGCAGAGTTGACAAAAAGGTGAAACCTAGTGTCACCGAGGGCCTCAGGCATTCCTGCTGACTTGGCATCGGTCAAAGCGTCTGGAGACCAAGTGTGGGAGCTGCATGATGCTTAACGATCTTGAGTCCAAATCGGTGTCCTCCACCTCTGCTTCGGTCACTTACGGCAATACGTAAACAGAGGCCATTGCTATTTCCAGTCATTGTTTCGTTATTAGCCACATTATCCTCTCACTCGCCACGTTTGAACCGAGCTGAGCTCGAGGATCTTGTGAGCCACTCGGCCGAGATGAGTGCAGGGCCCCGATGCCGCAGACTCGACCACTGTCTCTGCTATCACGGGATCGCTAATGGCGAGCTCGACGAACAACAACAACAAACCGCTTGAACTCGGTGAATCATAGGGCTGAACTGACCAATTCTTTGAAAAGCTCACCACTTGCTCCAACAACAGCCGAGAGATCATGAGCCGACGGCGCCACTCCGAACGATGCCGTGATAAGATGTCTCGGGGCGTCGCCCAAATCTCGCCCATGGTCTAGTCGGGCTTGAGAGACCCCGAAATCTCGCCGTCGAAAGAAGCTCCTGGCACGGACTCACACGTTCCAGAAGTGATGCCCGTGAGGGATTGAATTGGCGAATGCGGTGGTGCAGCGACACCGTCTGATCTTGGCCCGGGTATGCAGGCTATGGGCCAGAGCATCTAAATACAAAGATGACCTGGGGTGTTACATGGCTGGCCTTTGATACGTGAGCAAGTTCGCGACGACCAAAGTTCGACCTCACGTATTGCTGCAAACCTCACCCCTAGGTTCTTTGACGATGGACCCTGGAGGTAACCACGTATCCCAACATCGACATCACACGTTCGAACCTGAGGGTTCTTACAGACACGTTTACGGAGGTTGGTGTCAATACTAATATATTATACTACGAAGTCATGCCCAGAGCTTCCAAAGGCTCGCTTCCGGCCTATGGCCTTAGGCCAACCCCAGAATATCGTCATCATACACCTCGGCTGGTATCTGTCGTCTCCCTCCGCGGATCTCGTCGTTCATTGTGTATGTGTGCGACCCAAACTCATCCAAAGAAAACCGCCAACGCCGTCCCGGGGGGGTTCACAATCAAGGTATCATGTTTGTAATCGCAAGCCACTTTGTCTCAAAACAATCGCACTCTCATCAGCCCACGCATCTTCTCATCACCGCCCATTCTTGTGCAAGAGTTGGGCCCGGCTCGTCTTTACTTTCCGGGGGGCGGGCCGGCGGGGGGCGAGTAGGCGTCACGCTGATACGAGCTCTGCGGCTGCTGCAGTTGGATACCCTCGTTGTGGCCGCCATAGTATCCGTCGTTGGGGTTAAAGGTTGTGCCGGTGTACTGGGGGTTCTGCTGAGCCTGTCCGTAGGCCGGCGGCGGGGCGGGGTAGGATCCTTCAGCGCCCTGCTGGGGGTAACCCGCATAGCCCTGCTGCTGACCGTTGTACGGCTGGTTGTAGGCGTAGGTGGCCTGCTGGTGCTGGTTGTGCTTGTTGTTGCCGCCCATCCAGCCGGTGCCGTAGAAGGGCTGGGCACCACGCCTCTTGCGACGGCGAGCGTTCATGCACCTATTCGAAGAGAAATTGTCAGTGTTGGCTGTTCGGTGACGACGGGGAGGCGTGCCATGACAAGAAAAGCACGGGGGGTTACCCTAACAGGATCAAAATAAGAAGTGCAATGCCGACGACGACGGCGGCGAGAACCCAGCGTCCCCACCAGTACCACGCGCCGCGTTGGTAGCATCCTCCATTTCTGTAGACTTCGCCGTAGCGGCAACCGTATTGTTGTCTGCCGAATTGATGTCAGTGTCAAGAAGAGCCTCGCGGAAGGTGCATAGGTCAAGTTGGTTGGTAGCCAACCTGAAGCAATGCAGGAGTCGATCCGAGTGGGTGCTTACCTCTTCTCAAGAGCTTGGGGAAATTCAAAGGCTGCCATGTTTGGCGGTGGCCAATATGTGTGTGTTTGTGTTTGTAGTGAACCGAACCTTGCGACGCGCGCTGTCAGAGGTGTAGGAAACGACGACGACGACAAGTGTCTTGCCGATCGAAAATTGAAATCGGTTCGATGGACAGGGTATGGTGCGGTAAGAAGACGAGGATGTGTCCGTATGCAGAAAGGCAAAGGAAAAGCTGTCGGAGGAGAAAGCTTCAGTCGCTTATGTGTTGTCTAAGCTTTAGGCAAAAAAAGGCAACAGAAGCTTGCTTCGTTTCGTGGCGCTGCTATGCTTTCTTTAGCACGGCGTTGGGGATGGTGGAAGGTGATGAGTGATGTTTAATGACGTGATGCTTTTCGGGACTTGGAAGGTGACGTCCTGAACAAAGCCGGTCTGGAACTGGAACGACCCCCGTGCACGAAATAAGGTACTGGTTCGGTCGGTAGTGATGGGAGGCTGCAGCTTATTCAGGATGCAGCAGAGGTTGCTATCGGCTGCAGGAGCCAAGAATCAATCAAATAAGGATCTTCAAGGTTATTGTAGGAAGAAACCTCTAGGATTAATCAGGTACAAGGTTGATGATTCCAGGACTGTAGCGCAAGAAAAATTCGGACGGGGAGAGAAGAGTGGAGGGAAGGGGAGGAAGGGAAAAATAGGGATCAAGTTATATTTCGCCCGGGTTCGATGAAGAAAGCCAAGCAAATCGTCGCCAGACAATGGCTCAAAGCTACGTCTTGGAGGCTGGGCAAAGTCACTTGGCCCCTCGCCATTGCGTGGCGCTTCCTCTTTGCCCAGACTTCATGACTGGAAGATTCGTTCGGGGCGCGGTGGATGCACACACCATTTTCCCGCCTTGTCAATGTCAGCAAGCCGAAGTTCCGTTGCGACCAACACCGATGCCGCGTTGAATAGCCAAATCTGTGCTATCCTTTGCGTGCCTTTTGCCCTTGACTAAGTATATCCGTTTGCGCTCTTTCAAACACAGCAACGTCGCCAACGTCAACATCAGCATGTCCGACACCAAGACCTTGTCGCCCAGCTAGTCCAAGACTCCCCCAAGATACGAACTCGTCAGAAGCATGTAAGGTACATCCAGTACATCAGGGTCCAACCCGCCCAGTCGAACTATCCCAACTCGCCCGACAATAGGGCCCAACCGGGAGTCCGGCGACTTATCCAGAGGGGCTGTGTTCACCTCTTCGCCAACCAGGTTTGTCTCTCTAGGCTGCGCCACTAACAAATCATTTAGGTTGCCTAGATACCCGTCTCCCTACAGCGAGGGCGACCCAGGTGGGCGGGGTCGGTCAGTCACATTAAGGCTGCCTGGCCTTAAACGGGGTATGGACTTACTGAGGTTTCACCACGAACGCATGAGTCTGCCAAGAGCATTGCGCCTTGCGGAACTGCTAGCCAAACACCATACCTAGTAGATGTCTTTTTTCAATCAAACCACATAATACACATCCAAAAGAGGCAGTTTTGATAGAAATCCAACCCTAGATAAACGCTTTTCCTCTCAGTTCCGTCATGCTCTACTGACTACTTGCTCTACATGAAGAATGACCCTTCTCGAGGCAAGACCTCGGGATCACAGCATCATTGCCGCCTACACCCACTGTTGGAACCAAACTGCTATCAGAATCAGTATGTAACTATAGAACGCCCCGGTTCTATCTCTCTTTGAGATTTGCCCTCGTGCGCCCAGAGGACCTTATTCTCGCCGGCATGGGCGGCCATGACATTATCTCAGCCAAGGTCTGGGTTGCCTACCACAGCCACCCGGCCTTGTTCGAGAGCTCCTTTCATTAAGGCCTACAACACACAATCAACCTCCTTGGCGAGGACGTCTTTCGCCCGGAGGACTGGGACATATGGGCAGAGATCGAGACGGAGGAGAAACGCCACCGGTTCTTCATCCAGGCGAAAAGGAATATAGTATCAGACGCAAATGGTAGGTTCATAAAGCAGGGTCTCGCGATCGACCGGTTCGACGCACATAAGCGCTCCAAAGCATGTGGATTGCAGGCGTGCCGAGGCCCGCTTGGAGATTTTCAAGTCGCGGGCACTTGACGGTTCCGATATGCGGCAGTACTTGAACCGCCGCCGCCAGGAGCCTGTCCGTGAGACGAGAGTTCATATTAAGTATGAGTTTGGTATTGACGCCGTTCCACTATGTGTTACAGAGAGTAGTTTATGATACTGTTGTTAGACTTCAAGGTCAAAAGTGGCTTGATTTATTTGAGGTAGACATCTGTTGAGCTATCCAAGCCACCTGTGGCTGGTGATCTCTTCTCGACCACCCTCACCCTCACTTCTCGTCTTCAACTCAATACAACACCTTTTGCAGACCCACGATATCATGACTGTTGCAAAACCCAAAATCCGTACTTGCATGGTATCCCTGTGATGCTCGGTTTTATAAGGTAAAGTAAATCATCAGCAACTCTACTTTGGCCTGTCCATAGAATTTAATGCAATCCTCGGTCTTTAGCCTTTCAAGGTTCCCAAGGGGAATTGTAGAAAAACGGAACCCTTATCCTCAATGCTGCACGACTGATCACCGCGCCCTCGCCAGACCAGCAAGACCTACTTACTGTTCATTGAGTATCGACCTGTTACCAGGAAACACCACTGCCAGATGTCTGACCGTAACAGTTGAGTCTGAACTGGCGGAACTACTGCCAACGTCGTGTTTTCTTGCCACCTCCTTGTCTTCTTACAAGACAAAGAGACTCAGATCTTCGGATGAAGTGGCAGCCGAAGGCAGTTCGGGATAGAAAGCAAGCAAAGTAGGACTTCCCAACTCTTTCAAGCCCATAGTCTGTTCTTGAGGGACTATCTCATCGGACTTGCAGGGAGGGTCAGCATCACCAGCTTTGCTATGGGGGAAAGAGGAATCCGTGACTTCGGTTTGCTCCATCGTACTGGTTATGTGCATTGTCGCCTCGATGCATATTCGTACACACTCTTGCCTCTCTGAAGTGGGACTGGCGGCCATCCCGGATGCTTGGCCCACCTCCGGGCGCGCCTGACATCACCGGCACGGGCGATGCTTGGCTGTCTCCATTCCGCTTGCCGACCCCTGTCCATCGACGCATTCTTCCAAGGGTTCCTCGTCGAACCCGTGGCGCGGTCGTGGTAGCGTGACCGCTTCCAAATACCAATCGTCCACGGCAAACAATTCGCCGGTGGCCCGTTTGTTCGAACCCTCTCACGAGAGTTGCCCGCTCACACGCCAAGCAAACTGGGCGATGCAGGCTCCCAAGCTTATCGGAGAATCCTACAGGGCCGTCGCTTACTTATTTGTCATTTGCCCTGCCCCCCGTAGCCGTGTCTTACAGTGGTAACCATGAGTGCTGCGGCGTCCCTCCACCGGCGGCCTTCCAGCCAGTCCATGGCGGGTCGATATCCGTGACCGACGGCGACAGCCCGGGGCAGGGGCCGGTTGTGTGTAAGAGTCGCAATCCGCGCGCACTTGCTTAACATCAGAGCATGCGGAGACTCCGGGTCGTGCCAGTGCGATGAACAGCCTCTTCCCACCCCCGAGCCACCAAACTATCACAAGCTTTTACAGCTCCATCTTACGTCGATGTCCTGCCACTTGCCTCCACCAATCCTACCGCAACGAAACCGGGTGGTTCGTATACTTTGGGCTGGCGTGTTCCCTACCTCTCTGGAAGACTGCCAAAGGAACCTTAAGATCCGGCGACTCGCGACCCGTGAGTCCCGGCTGGCTGACTGGGAGAGTTGGAATGGAGGCTTTGCTGCTGATGCGGCCCCCTCCCCTCCCCCCCCCCCCCCCACTCCGCGCATGGCCGACCCCACTGGTGCCGCTGGTCCACCCCGCTGCAGGCATGCTCTCGAGTCGCCATGCAGTAGGGCTATTCAAACGGTAACTTTAAATCTTGAGCATACTCTCTCGCCCAGCTCGATTGAAACACGGCGTTCACTGGCTCTCGAGAGCGAAGCCCAGCCCGGCACGCTGCAAAACATACACCGTGCCGGAACATAGCCGTTCGCGGCTGGGTGAACAGGCAATACCTCCCCCTCTTCACCGTCATCCAACAGAGCAACTCGAAGCGGCCCTTCCAACTGCTCGAGGTTTGCCGCCAAGGCTGTTTCTAAACACCCGGGCGCCAACTCTGCTTATTTCTTCCGTTAGGCGCCGCGCGGTTGGGTTGGTCTCGAAACTCTCTGCCCCGTTGTTTGAGCTTTCCGCGGCACCCCGGCACGCCGCCGGGCTTGGCGGTCTTCTGTCCGGTCTTCACTACCTCCCGTGGCTCACCTGAGCTCTGATATCTAACAGTGCCTTTGAGCCATCAGTATAAGACAGTAACGTGATACCATATATTGATTTTGCACTGTACATCCAGTTACCCTGTTTCGTAACCTCACGAGATCAAGGTAACCTCTGGACATTAAAAGGTGTAGTCTCTATGAATACACAGATCTCGCACTGGTTAGCATCGAGCGCCTGATCTTGGCAAGTGCTGTGAAACACATCCCGTCGTTGAGTGACCAAATCCTCAGATGTGATCCTCACGCTTTTCTCTCGCCGTCCCGTGACTTTTCTCAACCCTCCGATAGCCAGATGAAGGACGAGAAACCAGTGTCCGCTGATCCCGGGGTTGCCGCATCTCCAAGTGCCTGCTAACCGACTCCAAAAACACAAAACGTATGCCCAGCGTCCAACTGAGTACCTTTCGTAACCCATAACACCGATCCGTCGTAACTTTTATTGTCCGTTATGCCGGGCCGCGTCGAAAGCAAAACAAGCCATGTCGTCCCAAAAACGCCGTACCGCCGCTGATGTGGAAAGAAGCAGTCGTATGCTTGCTTACTGAGGTCTTACTTGGGAAACGTGAACCGAGAGGTTAGCCTCTCTGGCTCCTTCTTGCCGGGAGCCGTTTGTTGCTGCTGCTGCCGCGCCGCGAGGTCGGCAATCTTCTCGCGCGCCTTCATGAGGCTGCTGTTGTCCTGCTGCTTCAGCTTCGCCCGGATTTCGTACAGCGCCATCAGCGTCGAGGCCCGGTCCAAATCGTCTTCGCCCTGTTCCGCAACCGTCATGTAAGCTGTCTGTCCAGTTCCAAACTGCACTTGCTGTTGCAGCAGCAGTTGGGTAGCGCTTCGTACTTCTGAGTCCCTCTTGGGGGTGCCTGGGACGGAGCCCTGGGCCGAGTTGGAGCGCGACAAGACGGGCGGGCTCATCATGATGCGACGGCCGAATTTGTCGACGCGGGCGGGAGAGGCGGTGCCTGTGCCCGGTCGCGAGGTCTGCGAGCTATGTGCGCGGCGGAGTTCATCGGTGGGCCGCTTGGGCAGTCCGGCGGCGGCGGGGTTGGTGCCGGCCTTCTCGACCGTCTCGATGACCTTGTTTGCTGTAACGAGGGCCGCTGCCGCATTGGGTTCCTGAGGTTGGAGAAAATAGGTCGTCAGCTTCCTGTATGCAAGGTTTTCCGAGTTGCTTGAAAGTTTATTGCGGATCTCTCCTATTCAACTCCCATACCAGAGCGCAGCGCGGGGGCAGTTGTATGGCCGAGTCAGAGAATGCGACGGGGAGGAGAAGTTGCGACAAAGGACAGGCGCGAAAGAGGGAGGGTCACAAACCGTTGCGTTGAGGCTGCTCAGATCGGCGAGCATCTGCGCCAACTGGAGGCTCTCCATAGCGTCGTTTGCAGCGCGTGTGCGGAATCTCCTTGGTGGTGGTCGCGTGCGAAGGATGGAGAAGTTGGGTAATTAGATTAGTAGGCCGTAGACAACGCAGTGTTGGTCGAGGGCCTGGGAGTGGATACGCTGGCATTTAGCAGTGAATTAGAGGAAGAGTGGACCTAGGCAGGAGCGGAACATGGAACCTACCGACACCGTCATTCACTCTAGTCCGGTTCAAGACAGGCTAAGGAAGAAAACTTCAGACTCTTTCAGGCCAAGTATCACGGTGCCGTGAACTAAGTTTGTTTTTGGCAGGTTTGAGAGGTGTGAGAGAGGGGGAGAAGGGCCAGAGCGGAGGGTGCGAGTGCTAGGAGCTGTTGTTTTGTTGTTAATGTGCTGTGTGCTCAGAGACGGTTTACATTTCAATGCCCGATGACGCTGATAAACAGATACTTCCGGGGTGGGCATAAGGAGGCAGGCTGTGAAAGGTTTGAATGCGGGTTGCACAGGCACCAGCGACCCAAAAAAAGACGATTACCCCGCCGGAGAAAGGGCGAAGAAAGGTCCAGATTGCAGCAGAAAGTGTCCTGACTGGATGGATCTTAGGGATGAGATTCGGCGAGGGAGGTGCGCTGACCTGCCATCGAGAAAGAAGGAAAGAAGGAAGGAAGCGGGGGAGAGTGTCACCATCCCTTCCCCCACACTGAGCATTTCAGCCACAGCGCACAACCCCAGGCCCTTCCCTGTCCCTCTAGTCAGGCCACTGAAGAGGCTGTGGGAGTGTCTGTTACAGCACCTCAGTGGACGATTGCCACTGAAAGCCGCCTCACTGACTGCTGTCGAACCACTCAAGTCAGTCACCGGCATTCTCCCTCCTTCCCCGACCGGCCTGGCGGAAAGCGTTACCCCCGAAAGTTCAAGCACGACCTTGCGTCCATCGGATTGGACTACAACCTGCCCGTCCGTTGCGAAGGTCTCCGTTCCATCTGATGATCTCTTCCCTCCATAATGCAGGGGCTTGGCGGTTGCCAATAGGTACGGTAGCTTGTGGCCGGTTGACGCACCGTGTCGCCCAGGCCGCCTAAACCCCATTGGCAAACCTCCCCTTAGTGCCGGCAGCTCTCCCGACGTAACCTTCGCCCATGGCCAGGAATCGCAGAGCCTGACTAAGCAGGATGGAGTTACTGAGGGTTCGCTCGTTCCCAGGCCGAGAATCCGATGCTGCTCCGGCATCGCATCGGCTTCCATCCCGAGCTCATTATCAACAACCCGCACTCACCAAAAGGAACAAATACTGGCACATCTCCAACTTAACGAGACAGTGTTGCATAGTTCAAGATGTCTATGGTTTTCAGACGCTCAATGGCCACCGCCGCCTCCTTGAAGAGGGCCGGCAAGGTCATGTGCATCGGCCGGAACTACGCGTGAGTGATCTGTCAATTGCCCTCGGCTCATCGACACCATTGGCACAGAGACAGCTAAAACGAAATCCACAGCGACCACGTCAAGGAGCTTAATAACGTCCGCCCCAAGCAGCCCTTCTTCTTTCTTAAGCCCACCTCGTCCATCTTGCTCCCTGGGGCTGGCCCCGTGCTGAGGCCCAAGGGTGTCGACATGCACTACGAGGTTGAGCTCGCTCTCATCTTGGGCAAGCAGGTCAAGGACCTCAAGCCCGACGACTACAAGGGCGCCATTGATGCCATTGAGGGTACGTCTCACAAAACGAAGTGCCGAACCCTCACTGCAACGTTTCCTGACACCACGCAGCTTACGCGCTTGCCATCGACATGACTGCTCGCAACGCCCAGAACGAGGCCAAGAAGAAGGGCCTTCCCTGGTCCATCGCCAAGGGATTCGACACCTTCCTGCCCATGAGCGACATCGTCAAGAAGTCCGCCATCCCGGATCCTCACGACATCGAGCTCTTCCTCAAGGTCAACAACGAGACCAAGCAGGACGCCTCCACCAACCTGATGCTCTTCCAAATTCCCCGTATCCTGAGCGACATCTCCAAGGTCATGACCCTCGAGGCCGGCGACATCGTCCTCACCGGAACCCCGGCCGGTGTCGGCCCGGCCGTGCCTGGCGACATCATTCGCGCCGGTCTCCGTGTCAACGGCAAGGAGCTGCCCGAGGCCAAGATTGAGGTTGGCGTCGAGGAGTCTCCCAGCTCGTACCAGTTCGCTGAGACGTAGGCGGGCTTGACATGCTTGAGTTGGAAATCTAGAACGGCTATGAGCGATTTGTTTGCAGCAATTTACTGGAAAATTCATGATGGGTCTCGGCCGCTGGGTGAAAGGTAGCATCTCGATCTTGATCATCAGAATCACATGTACTTTTATTACATAGACCTTCTGCTCGCCTACAACATACCCACACCTAAGAATACCGTAAACGCACGCCTCCAACACACTGCTAGCCAGATCACTCCGAATTGGGATCCTTGATCGACCCGGGCTTCGGCGCCGCCTCTGCGACGGTGCCGCACTTCTTGCACGTCCGCACCTGCTGGTCGGCCTTGAAAGCCTCGACGGCAGCCTTGATCTGGGTGCCAAGGTCGGTGCAGTGGAAGGCGGCCTCGTGGACCACCCCGCGGCACGACTCGCAGTACCAGCGCATGCGGTCGAGCGATCCCTCAGGGCGGCGCTGCTCAAGGACGACACCGACGGTGTTTGCGAAACGCACGGGGTTGTGCGGGGTGTTCCCGGGCAGGAGGAACATGTCGCCCTCGCGGATGATGACGTCCTTGAAGACGCCCTCGTCGACGACCTTGAGCATCATGGCGCCCTTGTACTGGTAGAACCACTCGGGCGTCTGGTTAATGTGGTAGTCTGTCCGGGCATTGGGGCCGCCGACGATCTGCGTGGGGTTAGCAATCTGCAACTCGTTGTGCAGTCGACAACGACCGGACAGTGGTGAAGAGAATCAGAGAACTTACCATGACCGTGAAGTCGTCATTATAGACGCAATAGTTGTTAATTGGGGGCTTGAGGAGGTGAGAATTCTCCTCCAGCCTGGTTACAGTATGCGTTAGTCTGAGTTAAGGGTGGCCAAAGTGGGCTGCGCAAATAGCCTCAAAAAATCGTATCATGATGTTCTGGAGTTGGGGCTCACCATTTGGGCAGGTTCACAGGGGGGCCGAGCATTGCGAAGAGCTACAGTGCCCCACTTGAGTCGTGAGCGGATTTGAACTTGCAAGCTGCTGAGACTTTTTTTTATCACTGCGACTTCTCAAAGTCTGAGTTGCAGGGTACGCGAATATGATGGCTCGGGTGCTGTAGGCTGCAAGAGACGAAGTCAGATCAGAGGTTTTGTGTGTAGATAATCAATCCCCTCCTCCGTGGCGAATGAGATTGAGCGGACAATTGTTTAGGCTTTTGGTGACATGACGATTTCTACCCCGTTCTGCATTTATCAGCCTCGACCAACCCTCTGGTCCGCTAAAGCCGTTCCCATCCGGACGGCCCGTCGGCGTCGATGTCGGAGCCGCTGTTCGACGCTGACCCGCCCGCAATCCAGAGCTCGACAACCGCCGGCTCATCGTTACCAAATACACCGGAGTATTTTCTCAAGTCCCAATGGAGAAGAGGATCTTGGCTTCATACCTCGTGTGAATCGTCGGCAACTCGAGCCGTAGCAGAGCAGCGTCAGGCAGCCGAAAGCGACCCGCACGCATCAGAGCACCCAGCGACCCTCCTACTGGAAACAGCCCCGCCATAGGTAGGTAACAACGCATGGATGGAGCCACGGCCAGCTGAGAGCTTTCCAACAGGAATGCCTGGATGTCACTGGCGACTGGAGAGACAAGCGTGACGAGAGGGCCATGTGACGTCCGACATGTCTGAGGGGGACCCCTCACACCATCGCCCCGCCCTACCCGTCTTGTCTCGCCCACTTTCCCGCCTCGCAGCGTCGAGAGTCGTGCATCTGTCGATCTCGCAGGCTGGGAGCACCAGATGCTGCGTACTGCAAGATGCAGCAGCAGCAGTAGCAGCCGAAGGAAGCGAAGGGGTCCGGGCGATGGAAGGACCACCCTCTTAAAACAATTCGGACGAGTCAACAACGCCTTAGCCGCCGCGACGCCCTCAGGCCATCCCTTCCCCCAGTTCAGCGCCCTCACGTACGGATTTTCTTTGCCGGTGCTAAACATCTCACGGGATCAAGGCCAGCGGCAAGCTGCAGCGGCTCGCTCCCAAGCTAACCCCCCGCCCATTCCTGGCTGGTCGAATGCGACTTTGTTGAAAGCACCGGCCGGCCAGCGGGCAGCCCTCACGACGCTAACGACCGCTTCCTCACACCGACTCAAGCGGAAAGGAATAGGGAACAAAAACCAAAGGCGACGAGGAGGGAACATCCCGTCTCATGGCTTGACTTGCGCACATTTGAGCGAGTTTCCTCAAGCCACGGGCCGCCACCCTTCAGCTTCTTTTTAGTTTGACACTTGGTCGCAATCGACATATGCGTCGAATTACGTTGGCACAGAAGAATTGCCATTCTTCAAAAAAGCTACCCGTGCGAAACTTTCTAGACCTTTTTTCCCCCATTCCCACGTCAAATCAATCTTCATTGCCCATCTCCCTAGCTCCCGCCCTTGCCCCGTCGGACCGGAACCCCCTTCCCACCCCCGCGCAACTGCGACCTTGCCTTGCGTTATCGAACCCCGTTGTACAACCACCTACGTACCCGCATATCTCACCCTGACCGAAGCTCTGATCTGTCGCATCTTCCCCCTTTCAACAACAACTTCACCACCAACCGACTCGATCGTCTTGCGCCCGAATTTCTCTACCGAACCCGACGACAAAGCTCAGCACTTGCACACTCATACCGACACAATGGATCACTCCCACATGGATCATTCCAAGATGGACCACTCCGCCATGGACCACGGCGATATGGGCGGTCACGGCATGGGCGGCGGCATGGGCGACCGGTGCAGCATGAACGTAAGCTCAAACCACACACTTCTTCCTTTCTTTGTCACCGATGTCCAACACGGCTCTCCCTCCGGGCTTCACAAGCTTCGGGCGCCTTCTCCCCCACGGGAGCCGCCGGTCCCGTCCCACCCCTCTCGCGACCCGCTTCTCGAACCTTACGAACGCCAGCTAACCCTCGTCCCCTTCTCCAGATGCTCTTCACCTGGGACACCAAGAACCTCTGCATCGTCTTCCGTCAGTGGCACGTCCGCTCCACCAGCGGCCTCATCGTCTCCCTCCTCCTCGTCGTCGCCCTCGCCGCCGGCTACGAGGCCCTCCGCGCCGCCTCCCGCCGCTACGAGCACTCCGTGAACAAGCGCGTCGAGTCCCTCCCGAGTAAGCCTTCTCCTTTGTCGCACGACCGCAAACATGCACACATCACACATACAGATACCTACACCCAGCCTTCCTCTTCCCCCAGTGCCTGGCCCCTTCGCATCCCATCACTGTGCCTTGAACTTGCGCTCCCCTGCCTAGCGCCCCTCTTTCAACAACCGTCGTAGAGGGGACCTCGGGGAGCGCATACAGACCCCAAAACTTCCCCCCAATTTTGATGGCACACGATGAGCTAAGAGTCTTGTGTCTCTCGAGGCGTCGCTGGAACCGTTACTGAGACAACCCCCTTCCTATGGACAGGACGCGAACAGGTCGAGGCCAGCAAGAGCGCCCACCTCGTCAAGGCCGCCCTCTACGCGGCGCAAAATTTCTACGCCTTTATGCTCATGTAAGTGACACCCCTCTGGTCCCTTAGCTTGCACCTCCGGCAGCGGTTCGTCTGTGTGCTTCTGCCTCCGAAGCATCATGCAGGCGCACGGGGAACCGGAACATTTGAGCCTTGGAAAAAGAAATGGAAATCAGCTGACAATTCCAGGCTTGTCTTCATGACGTACAATGGCTGGGTCATGGTCGCGGTCGCAGTCGGCGCATTCGTGGGTTACGTTGCGTTCGGAAGCTCAACCTCGTCGACCAAGGACAACGCCTGCCATTAAGCCCCGTCGCACCAGAGGGCCAGGAACCCCATCTCCAGAAAACCACCAATAGACGTGCCTTTGGACCACTGCTTTTTTTTAACACCACCGGCGCATCTTTATCACGGGCGTTACTTGTTTTTGACAGCATCAAGCTCCAGGACTCTCATCCGAAGACAGGCGGAGCGAGTCGAGCGGGGACACAGAGAGAGAGAAAGAGCAAGAAGGACGGTACTCGGACTATACACATTATGAAAGCAGGACTCATTCATCATGGCAGCTGCAGCTGCTCTAGCTGCAGTCTCTATAGTATTTTTCTACAATGGGGGAACACAGCGTACTCCCCATACTTCCAAGTCGCCCGAACCCCCGTGTCCAAGTATCAACCCCCCCGCGCGGTGCCCTACATCTTTGCAGGCTCCGTCTTGTCTCCCGCCGTGACAGTCGTCGTCGCCTCGTCCCGCTTCCTCTTCTTGTCGACCAGGCTCCCCTCCCTCTCTGCCTGCAAGATGATGTCCTCGTCCCCAAAGTGCGAGTTGCACTCAAACTCGGGCTCCTTGCCGTACGCGATGCGCGCCGCGTCCACCAGCATGTGCGCCGTCAGCCCCCACACCTTGAAGCGGCCCACCTTGTCCTCCTCGAGCTTCTCCGCGAGGTTGCTCTGCGGGTGGTCCGCCTCCATGGCGTTGCCCGGCGTCGTGACGCGCTGGTCGTCGACGGGCACGTAAAAGTTGTGCACGCGCCACGGGTGCTCCTTCCACTGGATCCAGTTGCCGTCGTACCAGTGGCCCGGCGGCAGCGCCCTCTTCTTCTTCTCCTGCTGCGCGCCCTCCTGCGGCTCCGGGTCCTTGGCCCGCAAAAAGTTTTGGAACGGCGCCGAGAAGACGGCCGCCACCTCCTTGGCGTCCAGGCGCGGGATCATGCGCTCCTCGACGAGCGGGCTCGGGTGCTCGTCGGGCTCCTCGTCGGCGTGGAGGAAGGCCACGCAGGGGCGGACGACGAGCTCCGTGCGGGCGAGGTTGTAGGGGAGGTAGCACAGGGGCTCGATCTTGAACGGTTTGGGGATGCGGGCATCGTCCATGGGCAGGCCGATTTCTTCCCACGCTTCTCGTCTGGCTATTTCGTCTGTTGTTCGGTGGTTTACACGTCAGCCTTGCGCCTTTTCTCTGCTGAGACCTCTCTCTCTCTCTTGCTTGGTTGGATGTGAACATGGGGCGGGTCGATGACTTACACGGCGTCTCTTGTAGCGTGTCGGCCTTTCCACCAGGGAACGCTGCGTGCCCGGAGAAGCTCCGCAGACTCGCCGCGCGCATCGTGATCACGACGCGCAGGTCGCCTCTACGGTCCGCGTACAAGAGTATCAGGACTGCCGCGCGGCGGCTGACGGGCAATCGGTCCCAGAGCGGGAAGGCAGGCGGGACATATCGGCGTAGGCGCGAGATGGCCGCCTGTGAGCGCATCAGCATCCTATTCGCACACAGATACATGACGGCGCGAGTGATATGTACAATGATTCAAGGGAATGGCAAAAAAAAAAGAAGGAGAGGAAAAACATAAAAGGAAACAGGCGTCAAGTCGTTGAGTTCATGGTGTGACACAGCGCTTCATATGCAGAGATATTACAGCATACACAGTAGGAGGGGGGAGGAGGAGGAGGCGTGTGAATAGAAGAACATTCCTGGAAGCATGGTACAAAAGTGGTGGTAGGCTAGAAAACAGAAGCAAAAGGTGCTAGACTTGCACCGTTGCATCGAGGCTGCATCTACCCCAACTACTGCTGCTATGAGAGTTCTGGAGGGGGGGCGCGAGGGGAACTACTAACTGCAGATATTGGGTTGAGCGGAGCCATGGCTTCAGCATCCCAGTAGCTCGTAACCTCTTCCTCGTCGTCGAGGATCAGGATACTTTCGGGGTTCGGGTTGGCGCTGCTGTCGTCGATGTCGCTCTTCCTGTTGCTAGTAGACGAGGGGGTTCCAGGAGTGGCGGCGGCGGTTATACCGGCTGCAGACGACGACGACGACACTGCAGAGGTAGCGGCCGACGGGTGCTTGGCGGCTGCGGCGAGGTGGGCGGTGATCTCGTGGACGTCCTGGTCCGTTGGTGGCGTGGTCTCGTCTAGCTGGTGGTCTTGGTGTTGCTGCTGCTGCTGCAGGGCTGGCGACGCCGTCGCGGAGGTCGTGCCCGTCGTGGTTCCTGTCGTTTCTGCTGCTGCTGCGTCTTCGGAGAAGGACGGAGGAGAGGTTGGGGCCGGCGAGGGGTCCGTCGCGGCCGCTTGGCTCATTCTCGGTCTTATCTCTCTACCAGGGGTGTGGGGTAGGGAGGCGGACGGCGGGAGCGAGGATGGGCGGGCGTGTATGCAAGTCTGTCGCGCGTCTCTTTGGAGACGAGCCAACAGAAAGAGATGTGGGAAGGGAAGAAGAGAGAAGGATTGAACAAAGGTGGTGGGTAGGGTTAGCTGGAGTTCCGGGCTTGGTTCCAGACTCTGCAAGCTCCATCAAACGACACGCGCAAGCGAGGTTCAGCGTCCAGCGATCAGTGTGCGTGCGTGCGTGCGCGTGTTCTTGCCTAGAAGGTCACGGACGTGGCACGTAGTTGGCCGAGAGGTGGCGGTGGAGAGGCGGAAGGGGAAGAGGGATGGACGGATGACAGGCTGCGGGTTCGGGGTTGGAGTTGTGTTGTGTTGTGTGCGTGCGTGCGTACGTGAGCGCATGTGTGGTTGGAGAAAGAGGAGAATCAGAAAGTCCAGAAGCTGGTGGTGTGGTTCCCTGCCGCGAACATGCCTTTGGGGGAGGTGAGGGAAAGGCCGAGCCGAATTGCGGGGGTGGGGTTGGCTTAGATATCCCGAGCCTCCTGAGGCCTGGGCAAACCTGCGCAAGTGACCGATCACCGGCACGATCCAAGGCTGCAGTCAGCACAAGATTCCAAGAGATCCAATAATGATGTATCAGTTGCAACCTCCCAGTCACTTACCTGTTCATTGGTCCGCTAGTACCTACCTCTTGTGTTGCAGATCGAGTGAAGCTAAGGTCCCCTAACCATTGGACTGCCTTACCTGATGACTGAAGCTCGGCAGACGGCGGCCCGGCGAACACGGAGCTCCTGCGGCGGCCTGGTCAAGATGGGGTTGCTTGATTGGTCTACCACCGCTGCACATGGGAATGTGGGGCTTCTACCCGCTATTACTTATCAATTACCTTATCGGTGGTGGGGAGCTGTTCACGTCACACGCCTTGGGCGCTTTCAGACTTTGAGTTGGCATCGACGGATTCATTTCTGATTTTGCTTCTCTTTTTTTTCGTGTAGCAGAGATAATGTGGTTGATCAGTCATCTGGAGTATTCACCAAGCCCAGTGGACTCATGGCTTTTTCTTTGAGCTGGGTCGTGGGGATACGCAATATGCAAACTTCCTCTTTCCGACGACGATCTAAATGACGACGCTTTCCGCTTTGCCAACAGGTGTGTATCCGTTGCCCTTCTAAACGCCCCCTCCCATGATGGACCAAACAACGCTAGACACACAAACGCCAAGATGACACCATCCCCGAGTTTTTCACTATGCCAGCCGCCCCCCGTCTTGCACATGGAGCTATGAGGCTGCATCCCACACAGAGTGCCATACATTGTGGATCACCCACACCCCGAGACCCCTTCCTCCAAACGCCACGGCCGACGCCGTCTACACGCTACGCTTCCGCGTGCTAAAGCGTGCTTCCCTCCGGTATCATCCGGATGCTTTGCCTCAGATTCTCCCTGCGTCGCTCATCCTTGGACAACACCATCGAATTCGCCGTCCGTCTGAACTGCGCCGCTAGTATCTGCACCGACAGCCTGCTGCCCGTCTTGTTCGTCCCGTTGGAAGGCGAGTCCAGCACGGACGTTGAGGCGCCGCTGCCAGGCTCCGAAGTTTGCGGCGGTGCGTCGATGGGTGACATGCCCTCCGCGCCCGTCCTCCTGTGCTCGCCGCTCCATCTGAAGACACGGGACAGGGCGTCCGAGTACTTCACCCGGAGACGGTCGTCGTCCATTGAGTGAGCGTGCATGTCCGTTTGGCCCGAACCCAAAGACTGCTTGCTCCCGCTGGACTCTGTCGGAGGCCCCATGGACAACGGCGATTGCGGCATTGTGTTGATGCCCATGGGCGGCCGCTTCCTGCCGGACTGAAGCACTTTTGTCGCGAAGCTCATTCTGTTCTTCGGTGGCAAGTTTGGTTCCTGTGCTGGTTCGACGACAGCTTGTGATGCTATCATCTTCTTCCGTGTCGAGTTTGCGATCGATGTCGCCGTCGCGTGGTAGAGGTCTTTGGCTCCCACGTAACTGACCTCCATGTGATTGTTTCGTCGTGCGGGAAGCGTCTCGAAATGGTGCATGCCCGGCGACCTCAGGGGTCCGATTTCCGAATCGCGGCGACGTGGGCTCGCCTCGTCAAAGTCCAAGATTTCCACCCGAGGCGGCACCGGTGATGCAGGTATCCACGATGGAACATGCCTCCGTGAACTAGGACTGAAGTCCCATTCGATGCTCTCAAAGTCCGAGTCTTCGTCGTAATCGTCAATCATACTTAGCGTCCGGGCTGGCTCTGATGTTGAGACTGGCTTCTCCGCGCTGTGGACGCTACTGGAGTTGTCGGGGGTAGCGGGTAACAACGGCCCTGAGCTTATCGGTGATCGTGCTGGCCGCTTTGGCTTGAAGCCGTTGTAGTCAAGGTCGAGCCCGGTGATCTGCTTGATCTTTGCGGACGACCGGTGAAGGGTGCAAGGACTTGTGATCGGAGTGGACAGGCGTCGGGCAGCCAATATCCTCATCTCGGGCTCTGGTCTACGGCTACGAGGCGAGCAGCTTCGATGTTCGGATAACCTTTTTGGTGCGGGCGTCGGGCTGTGCTGGATAAGGATTGTGCTGATTTCATCCTGCAACCTGTCAATCTCCTCGTTCCCCGAAGGAGACGGCGACGGCGACGCTGTTGCTCTACCACGGCTTCGTGACCTCGATGATGCTCTCGTGGTTGTCCCCGATGCAATCGACAAGGCCGAAGTGATGGAGTAGGCCGAAAGCTGATGGGATAACCCTGGTTGGAGAGGAGGCAGCGGCGGAAGCGGCTTCTTCCCATACGTGCCCATCGGTTGCTGAGGAGGCAACTCGCCTCCTGGCGGGATGGCAATCTCCATACCAGGAGGTAGCTGGCAGGGTATGATTCGGGCCTCCATGCTGGCGGTTGTCATTTCACGATAACGGCGGGTTCGCAGGGTCGTTGGAGGAGGAGAAGGGGAAGAGAAGGAGCAGCAACAGGAGCAGCAACAGGAGCCCTCAAGGACGAAGCCCGGGAGTCTGGTGCAATAAGACCCATGCCACTGGTAGCCACCAGCCCGATGACAAAGCTAATGACCGAGACACGCTTGTCGAATGCGGCCAGAGGGTTTTTCTAGAATCGAGGTCGAAGATCCTTTGTCGTTGGTGATGACTGGATTGGGAATGGCTCGCTCAGAGCCAATGACTCTCCCGACAAAGAAGTGTCGGGCAAGAAAGTAGAGACCAAGCGGTGTCGATCGGCCTTCCGCAGGCGAGGTCCCCTCAGCATAAATCCAAAAGTTCGATGTATTCGCAAAACGTTCCCTTCCCGTCCTGGGCTGTTGGCGAATTCCAAAGCCGTTTTGTGAGGAGTCGGCTGTCGAGAGAGGCCGTGACTTGTTATCTATATTGTGTCCAAACAAAGACCTTGGATGCCAGACCAACCGCGCCGAACACCATCATGCGAATTATTGTTTGTCAGTCTGACTGATCCAAGGACGTATCTTCCAATGGAGTCACCTTGGTAGTCACACTCCATCCAAAGGCTTACTGAAATGACGGTTATATTTGTTCACGGCGTGCAGGAGATAGCTCCAAGATCTTATACTCATGCAGCTTACCTCCTTGCAAACCGGGTTACAGCGCCAAGGCTGACTACTGCTCTCGGGCATCCCACCTTGGCCGCCCATCTATCACACCGTCGATATGGAATGAGAGGAGCATGACCCCAACTAGTAAAACGCGGGTAGAAAAGGACTTTGTAAAGAGAAAGGAAATCGGCTGTTGAGGCATCGCCCGGGGTTTTCGGTTGCCGATCAAGGCTCACTTAGTACCAGCTTTGCTGATTATCGGACGATTGACAGGTATGGCATCCCCAAGCTGTCATTACGGACAAAGAAGCCAAGCAAATCATCGCGCCTCGCTCTGAAGCATAGATGTTGACCAGATTCAGATTCAATAGAAAGTATGCAAAACGTGAATCAAAGTCATCCAGAGTTATGCTTTCTGGAATAACGGCCGCAGCGAATTCGAGGTTAAAAGCAAATTGCATCACCAACGAAAAGCCGACATTCGATATCCGCTCCCAGACCTTCTCAGCAGTACTTGGCTACCGTTATTTTTGGGGGGCCTTCGCTCTCCTCTTTGCCAGGGTCAATCAAGGTGGACTACGTACTAATACTTCCGGAAAACGAACCAGGTAATCTGGGCATGCTATTTTGACTTTGCCCATCCCGCGAGTGCGACGAGTTCAAGCTGATCGGCATGCATTGGCTTGGTGGTTGAACAGAGGAAATCAGCTTTCTGCCCTCCAACTTGCCGAAGGATGAAGCCACTCATCGACTGGCGTCTTTGTTCCACCATGATAAACTGGGGCCGCCTTTGTTGGGGCCGGCCGCTTTTTACGAAAAATGAGACCACCTATTGGGGATCCAGCGCCGAACGTCTCAGACATGGCAATTGGTTCCTAATGTACCTCATAAGCCCGCAGAACTGACTTGAAGAGCAGATTCATCTGTATGCAGAAAGAGCTGTTTTGATTCCACCAAAGACTTCTCAAATGAGTTGAAGAAAGTAAACCGTTGGAGTTCGGAAGAGCCATTTGGAGGGCTGAGACTCCAATGCGTCGAGATGAAAGAGCACCACATGGCCTGGCATAATGCTTGGGATGTGCCGGCGAGTGCACGTCATCTCAGCCGCAAACGGACACAGAATATGCGGGCCATCCATTTCCCAAACTCTGACAGACCACTAATAGGTACATGTGACTATTCTTAAGATCCAGGTCGGAGACAGGCTGACGGGTGTACGCTCGCATAAAGATCCATCTCTCCGCGCTGAGGCTTGAAGATGTCACAGTCTGAATGGTTCATAAGCGGCCAGCTCAGGCTTCCGAAGGGGGTTGAAACATGTCATCTCGATCGTGCCGCTCGTCCATATAGGAGCCCAGTCCTAGGTGCCGAACGAAGCTTTCCGGTATAGATTTGGGTGTCTCGGCTGTTTCCATCTGCGTGCCATCTATGTGAGCGATCAAGAGAGAGATGCCGTCTTCAGTAGTACAACAGAGTTGAGGGTGACCTAATCCGACTGTTGAGCTCTCGTATGACAAGTAGCAAGTAATGCATCATATTCGACCCCTCTTCCCGAGAGTCCTGGGGAGGGCGTATTTGATGACTGTGCCAAGGACTCAAAAAAACACAATGGAAGCGGAGGAGCTTCCGTGAATTTGGATTGGACGAGCAGTAAGACACAGGCCTGGGCCTGGCCTTTCGGCAATCGGTGTCCAGATCGGCCTCTTTTCCTTCCACATCAGGCTCCTACGGAATAGGGATTTACCCCGGATCAATAAAGTACGCCCGGAAAGATGAGCCGGGCTTTAACTCCTGCAGCGAAGCCACTACGGACAGGCTAGCTGCCTCGGCTCGTCGAAAAGACCGCGAGGGAAGGGTGTTCGGCGTCCGATACGGCTCCTTTGCCGATCTGTCTGTCCGTAAGCTTACCTACTAGACATGGCCTTGGGCGGACTGCCCGAAAAGCCGACTACCAATACAGTTGCAAGACAAGTCCACGTTTGCGAAGGTGACTTCTTTGACCTCTTAGGTAGCCTCCGCACCACGTGAAGCGCGTTGATTTGTGTGAAGACCCAGTGTTTGGGCTGCTGAGCTGGAGTGGCGTCGTGGTTGTGTAACAAAACAGCGGCAGAGTACGTCTTGTTTGCCGCACTTCCCCTCTCTTTGACCAATTACTGGGGAAACCACCCAGTTGCTCCCTTTGAAAATACTTCAGACTGAAATCAGGGCCCGATGGCATCCTACTTTCCTCGTTGATGAGGTATTCCATAACAGCTCCAATGGAATACTGAGCCCCTCTCGTTCTCCCTGGGATTCGATGCCTTTCATCCAATTCTGGCTATGTGTTGACTCAGACGCTCCGTCACTTCTACCACCTCACAGGCCTTCATCAATATCTGAGGTAATGATGACTGGAATTGTACGCCGACTTACTTTGTTCACCAACATATGACCCTTTTGAAATGGTTCGGCAGAAAAAGGTGTAGCACTTCGTCGCATTTCTCTAGTCTCATGAAACGTTATGAGGATCAATACCAGGGATTTCTCAAGTCTTCCGAACCCATAGTATATTTAACTTTTGAAAGGCTGATTGTTTCTGCTGAGATTTTATCGTGTCGAATGGCGAACAAAGAAGGCGGCCTAGGGATGTGGTCGAGGAGAAGAGGAGATGTCGTTAGAAGCTTGGCCTTTGCCCCCTGTCCCTGCCCTGCACCACTGGCAGTCTAGGCAGATCGCCGACAGGGATGCTGTGTTCCGTTTGGTGGGGGAATGCCGCTATAGTCACTACCGGTAGCTGCAGGCACGCATCTTCGTCGCCGGTCGATCAATCATTCTGAGACTATGATTGCAGACACAGCGAACTCACCCATGGTTCTGCGAGCGCGCCTAGTGAACGACTGATAGACCAGTTGCCTGATAACGGCCCATGATCGATGGACGGTGAATTTAGGCGTTGAAAATGCGATGGCTGAGTATGTCACCTAACCCTACGTCACGCATACTCGATACAAAATAAATCTAAAGTATTATCGACATGAGCCAAAGTCCCTTGGAACCCGGTCAAATTCGCTTGCCATCTAGACCAATAACTCCAGACATCCATAGTCACACACGTACATTACAAGTTTCATCTCATCGAGGGGGCGAGCCCAGCTCCTAATCTTCGTCAGAATCATACTTGCCCTGGTAGTCTCCTAGCAAGATATCGTCAACCGCCAGTCCCGTCGTGTTGTTCCTAATCCACTCCGTCTCAACGCGGAAGAAGATCCAGACCCATCGCCGGAACACCTCGAGTGATTGTAGCAGGAAAATGGAACTCTCAAAGTCGGTGAACTTGTCCAAGTTCGCGCTCAGCTTGACTGTCCAAGTGCACCGCAGCATCAGGTCTATCGCGATGACCCCGTAGTAGATGATTGGCTGCTGAAACACCAGCCGCCGGCGGAGACCGAACGGGTGCTCCGGGTTGTTGCGCTCGCGCGCCGACGAGAACAGAGTTAGGTCCCAATCCTTGGCAACGTCCCAGTACCAGGAGTAGAGAGAGTTCACTAGTACAGCCATCAGCCATGCCTTGTTCAGGCCGGGCGCCGGCTGGTCGGCCGGGACGTTTCGTTGCAGTGCGCTGAGGATGATAACCGGGAAGGCTGTGGCGTACTTTGTGGCGTTGGCCAGATGCTGGCCGCCCCAACCCGCCGACTCTTTGTAAGGCGCTCGTCGAACTCGCAAGTATTCGATCATGCATTGCCGGAATCGAATCGCAAACGGCACAGCCATGATGAGCGGCACCATAACTGTCCCACCGCAGTTGCGGTCTGGCCGGGCAGTCGAAGAGCCGGAGGGTGTGAAGAACATGCATAGCACGACGTAGAGGTCTCCCAAGATCTTGGAGTAGCTCGTCAACACATCGGCAAGCAGAATGTCCCCAAACTTTCCATCCTTGGCCTCAGCCAGGCCTCCAATGCTGACGCGGCGCAGTGTAGCAAGAAACCGCGAGCGACCGCCCTGCGAAAAGTTGCGAACCGGGACGAAGAACAGGGCCGCAAGGGCGACGAGATACGTCATCGGTAGCCAGTCATATTCGATGACAAGGGAGGGCGTCCGTCGCGTAAAAACCCAGAATGTCGATATCGAGAGGAAGAATACGGTCGAGAGGACGGTCGCGAGGCGGTACGTCGAAAGGTGATGCGCCGGCTCTGTCGGGGAGGATCGAGAGGGATATCGAATCAGGGAGGGCACATCGATCTTGGCTTTGTGGAGGTAGTGAAGGTTGGCACCCCAGCCCCAAACGGCTAAGGGGTGGTTAGCAGGCGATTCTGAGCGTCAATTCCTTCGCAACCTACCAAGAATAATGATGAAACCTATGCGATAGGGAAGAGGGAAGGTTAAGCTGAACGAGTCGAGCTGCGACTCGACTTTCGGATCACCGTCCATGATCGTTGGTGGAGGGAGAAAGAGGCATCGAGGAAGGGGAAAGAAGGGCGGGCTCTAGAGAGCCAAAACTGTGTCGAAATGAGTGACGAGAATTCAAGAAGGCTTCATACGCATTGAGAACCGGGTTTGTCTCAAGAGGAAGTGTTTCGCGAGGACTCGAGGCCGGCTTGGAGATGAGGATAGTTTGTCCTGTGTTCAGTTCAGGAGGTAAGAAATGACGGCCTTATCGTTATCGGACGAGTGGTCAGTGCGCGAACGACCTTACGTACCACTCCTCCAGCTGCAATTACGTCTTGAGGGTTGTCGTTAGCTAACACCAACCTAATTCATCTCAGTGTCACATTTCGCTGCTACACAAGCATCTGCGTTGAAAAGGGCACTGCATAAGATGCTTGCAATTTGACCGTCCGTTCACCATCCGCGTCTAAGTGATTACTTTCGCACTGGTACGAAGGACGTGAGATTTGCGCTGTATCAACTCCACGGTTGATGGACCGGTCATTTAAGATAAATCTCATCTGAAGTTTCAGCAAATTTGATGAGATATAGAGATCAGGGAACACAATTTCCTTTGGATTCTGGCGACTTGTCTTTGCGCTGAGACCAATTCCGCAGGACAAGAGACTCAAGGAACTGGAGCCGTGGAACAGCGAATATCTTGGGCGGGGCTGAAGGCGCCTGCCATGGCGCCATTGACAAGGGCGCAATGGTCGAACAGGAAGATTGTCGTTTTTCTTTTGTGAGTGCAGGGAGGAAACAAGGGATGCGAGTCTACGTGCTTGTTGGTCCACATGAGTTGCTGCTTGAGCCTGGGTTCTTGTCCACTTTTATCAAAGAGGACGCAGAGGAATATGAAGCATGGTTTGTTGAGTCAAGCATGTATTGTTGCTGTGTCTCGAACGTTGTTACAATATTTGGCCAGGGCATGGAATTCGAATGTTTCATTCACACGTTTATCCAAGAGGACGCTCTGAGCCAGTGATCTCTTCCTACCTCCCTCCTTCATCATTGTTCAGTTGAAGGCGCACATTTCCAGCAATCGAATGCTGAAAATGATTGAAGTGAGGGATTCGGGGCGTCTTCTGACAGCGGCTTTCTGCCCACAACGGTAAAACTGCAACCCCCTAATCAGCAGGGACTTCGATGTGGAAGTCGACCAAGTTCAGATGAACGGCCAAGGGCGATTTCTTACATGAGGAAGTAACTATGGACAAATCTATCCCTCAAATCCTTACGAACACCCACCAGAAAACCCTGCACCTCCTCGGGGGGTCTCCTTCATCTAAGGTGAAAGTTACACTCACTCGTAGATTCTAGTCAGGAGCTTCTTCCACTCCGAAATAATGCTCTAGAAGTTGTCCAGATGGTCAATTTCACAATTCCAGTCTTGGGATGAGCAAAGTTAACAAGCCGACACTCACTTGAAGGTCCACCTCGTCATCAGCAACCTGCCACGATGCTTAGCGTTGTCTTCCAGAGTTTTTCCATCTGGCACAAACATAGGCATTGGCGACAGGCGCATTCTGATAAACATCCTGTGCCTCGGCCATGGTTGCGGTGTGTTCACCTTCTGTAAGCGACCTCCAATCCTCGGAAGCCAATTGCCAGAGTCTCGAGGTCCAACAAAGTAATAAAACATGCGAGAAGGAGAGCCGGGCCTTTTTGACAGTAGACTGGTCTATCCGCCCGACCCCTCTTCCTTGGCTCGATCGTTGATGGCTGTGCCAAGGGCGAAAAACAACAGAACCAACCGCCAACCATCCAACCCCTCCGTCAAGCAGCAATCACGCAGTGTGCATTATGCAGGTGAACGGTGGTGTGAAATGGGAAAATGCAACGTTGAGCACTTGTTGGCGCAGACGTCCAACTGAACATCGTTTCCTTCCCACTTGTCACATTGGTTGACCTCGTGCGCCTCGATCATGGGCTTCCCCGGTCGGAAGGTGTTCCACAACCGCGAAGAATGTGAGGCAGCCCTGTATAGAATCCACCAAAAACGACCTGCTACCAAGATGGGTTAAATATGTATTTTCCAAATGATAAACTGTTCGCTTTTGTAGAACAGTCTTCCTACTGATTATGCTATGTTCAAAACTCCAACAACTCGTAAGATAACTGTGCTTCTGGGCCTCCGCCTCGTCACTCATTCACAAGTGGATGATGACGCCTCGGCCAATTCGCGTCTGTTTCTGCTCAATAACCGCAAACGTTGTTGCAAATTCACAAAACTTTCCCTAAAGTGACTGCGAAGCAGCAGCGGGAGCCGGAGTCTTCTCCTTCAAGGGCTTCCGTCCGATGAGAGAATAACTGCGGATTGAATTGTCAGTAAAAACGATAACAAGTTGGGTATCCACTGTTCAAGGCGAAGGGTCCTTACACGGGAAAGTAGGCATGGATATTCCTGTCTCTCAAATTCTTCCGCACACCAATAAGAAACACCATTACTTCTTCCTTTGTCCAGTTGTGAGCACGGGTAAGGGGTGCCATGGCCACCGACGCAGCCGCATCTGCAAAGTTGTGCAAGTTCCACTCGCCGATTCTTTTGTGATGGTCGTCCTTGGGCCAGGTGTTTGTCGGCCACTTGTAGGAGTTCAGCTGGACGTCTTCAAACCCAACCTCAAGAAGGACTTTCTTCAATGATGGGACCTCAATGAATGGCCGCCCGAACATCTCCGCCGCCTCAGTGACCAGGCTCCCAAGTCGGCTCAACGGCATGTCTGGAGTCAGAGTGCCGTCGTCGCACACAATAGGGAAAGCTGCCTCCTGTATTTCGTACCAGCCGCCCGGCTCAAGATTCCTAGTTCAACGACTTCGTAAGCTTTCTGTTTTGTTACACGAGACGGCCAGACACCAGGGAACTGATGCCAGTTTCTATCAAGTAGTTGTAGAGCGTTGGTGGTTGAAGGGTGTTATAGGGACTCACTTATACGCTTTCCTGATCAACTTCTCCCAATCAGCAATACTCGCATTGATAAAGCGACTGTGAATGTAGTCAAAGGGCCGCGAGTACAGCCATTCCTCCTCCATGTCGTCGACTTCGAATCGCACGTTCGGGGGTACGCTGACGAGCTCATAGTTAGCTTTCTAGTCGTGTCTAAACAGCTGTTTTATGGCTTGGTTTAGCGCACGAGGAAAACTCACTCTTGTGGCTGGATGGGGGAAAGATCCATGCCCAGAACCTGGATACAAGCCATACTTTAGCCAACCAAAATAGCCACATGAGGGAGGTATGTCAGCCTAAGATGCACTGACCTCGGCTTCAGGGTGCGCATCGCCGTACTCAATGGCCCAAAGACCGGTACCGGTGCCAAGATCGAGAACGCGCCCAACTTTGGCGTCAGGTTCACAAGGCGGAGCAATTCCAAGTTTCCCATGAAATGTGAGGAAGCAGATCTCATGTTGCATATCTTGTAGGTTCAAAAGTCAGCGAAGTTGAGTAGGGTATCGAGATTACTGATTTGGCATTACCGAGTCTGTCGTTCTCCACTTCATCGTTAGGCATAAAGTATCCTAGATCGGCTAATCAGAACATTGCCGCTCGACATTGGTAGATTTGAGTGAGAACTCACTGCCATCTTTGTATTTGTGGTATGATCTACCATTCTCCATCCGGTACTCACGAATGGAGTCTTTGACGCTAGTGGTCTCCGAGTGAAGGCTCTGTTTGGTGGTTTGGTGTTAACGTAATGGAGCATTTGGCAGAGAATTAATCCAGTGATCCGGACTTGGGACTCACTTCGAGATCCGCCTCGCTATCAGTAACCTGTCATAGTGGTCAGGTTATCCAGTCATAACTTTGCTATTTTCGAGCGCGTACCTCGTCATCGAAGTCGTCGGCGACGAGATGAACCTCGTTGTCCAAGTTGTTGGCCATCGTTGCAGCTACTTCTGTCGTTTATCTTGGCAGAATATCCCAAAACCCCCGTGAAGGAAAGGAGAACTCCAGAACCGGAGGTGAATGTTTTGCGCGGGGGCCAACTTCGTCCTTTTAATATAGGTGGATTGTTGACCGGCTGCAAAACCCCCTCTTCTCGCTTCGAATATGAAGAACCAACGAAGCAAACATGCATATGCGCCTTGACGGCGTAGTTTCCTCGTTCTAGACAGTTTGGGTGGGCCCGAGAGAACAAACGACCGAATGGGACGGGGGACGGCCGCAACAGCAAGGGAAAGGAGAGATAAAACCGTTGGATTCCACCCGCACTGGATACCACTTGCCTCATCAGTCGATCTTGCCCTTGGCAGTCGGGACATCGGGGTGGTGGGAGCCGTTGTTCGCTTATTTAAATAGACAAGTGAACGACAATATCACCCTCAGCTAGAACTAGTGAGAGACAACCAGGAATTCTTTGAAACTTGATTCGGGGCGTTAGAAGTGAGTTTAGGATTGATAAAAAGGCGGGTTTCGTCGTCGCCAATTTTGACCAGAGACGCATCCCCCCAGCCGCGACGTGGCTACTCCCGCAGCCGGGACATCTGCTCTCAACCAATCCGCTCAACGGCGAATTCGAAAGACATCGGCCGGGAATGAACTTGCGAATAAACCATGCGTTTGGAAAAGTACGCCCGTGCAAGATGCAGCTGAGCCAGGCGGCATGAGCAGCCCCGGACCTGCTGCGATCTCGTCACGACTCCGCATACGATCATGGGTCGTCTTCAATGTTTGCCGGCCCATGTAGGTTGGGTTCACAAGTCGATGCCAGTTTGGTCAAGATCCATGTGGTTGTCTTTAAAAAGATCGCCCGATCCCTGCGACGACTAAGAGCCGCATTCAAAGAGACGCGCACTACGCCAATTAGAGTTAACAAGCTCAACCACCCCCGAATACGAACGCAACCTCATCCGCCCACTCTTTTTCCAGAGACATTATATATACCGTAACACCTTCCTCCTTCCAGACCACTCACTGAATACCGCTCAGGTCAGGAGTGGGCTCCGCCACCAGCACCGTGCTCTCCTCCGGCCTCTCCTGCTCGCCCTCGCCCTCGGCCCCCTTGCCCTTCTTGTCATAAAAGCCCTTGACGTCGTTGACAACCTGTCTCCCCGAAAAGTTGGTCATCAGCTTCTGCGACTGAGCCCGCAGCGTGCTCTGGTACCAATGTGGGAACGCCCTCAGCGCCGTCAGCGTGTTGCCGTACGCCGGGAGAACGATGTTCCCGCTCTCGCCGCGGAGGACCTGCTTCGCGATCGCCTCCGCGACTGTCTCGGGCTCAAGCGCCGGGAGGATGAGCTCGACTCCCTGTTGATACCCCGTGAAGAGCGGCGTCTTGGTGTAGCCCTGGTTGACCAGCACCGTACGCACCCGCGGCGCGTTGTAGCGGGTCTTCAGCTCCGCCGAGATGCCCTCGTGGAACGCCATTGCGGCGGCCTTTGAGGAGCCGTAGTCGACCTTTGCTGAGTTAGCAGTTGCTTGGCCCAGCGGACTTCTCACCGACGCATCTTACCATGTTGGGAACGCATAGGTAGCTCGCAAACGACGCAACCGTTACGATCATGCCATGGTTGTTCTTCGCCATGTGCGGGAGGAACTCCTTGGTCGTCCAGTAGTGCGACAGCGTGTTGACGTCGAAAGTGAAGCGTATGTCGTGCTCCGTTGAGTCAAGGACCGTCTTGCCGCGCGCCACACCGGCGTTGTTGATGAGCACCGTCGGGTGGCCGACTTTGGCGCGAATGTCATTGGCCACGGCGGCGAGTTTCTCGGTTGAGGTGATGTCGCACTTGAAGTAGTGGACATTGGAGCCTATCGACAGAGGGTCAGTCATTGACCTCACCACAGCGCCCCGGTAAAAAAAAGCCCAAAAAGGGCAACGAAAGACTTACCGGCTGCAAAGGTCAGGTCTTGGATATCCAACACCACGACAGTAACACCCCGCTCAGCCAGCAACTGCACGACATGCCCGCCAATACCACCAGCACCACCCGTCACGAGGACAACCTCCCTGCGCCAGTCGTAATGGTCGGTGGACCAGCCGTTCAGCACGCGCCGCGAGAGCCAGCTGCTCGCCCACCGCGTGAGGGCGCAGTAGGCAAGGAACTTGACCCGCGCAAAGGCTGTTGGGTGCAGGATGGCAAGGTCGCCGCCCTTCTTGGTGTAACGGGCGAGGAGCAGAAGCGGCAGCATCACGGCCGGGTTCAGGGCGGTGCGCGCGATGAGGCGGAAGATGGGGTCGGCGGTGAGGCCCTCGCGCGGGAGAAAGCCTTGGTGCATCGGCATCTTGGGCGGGGTTTCGCTTTCGATGCACACGGGCCTTTGGACAATGATGCTATGAGAAGACGGTGAGATCGGATCTGGAAGGCGACGACAATGGTTCGCACTACCCAGGGGATTGAGATATCAGATGTGCTTGGTGGCAAGAAGCTCTGGTGGATTCAAGGTATCCGCACTTTCGAACCGAGTTTCTCTCTCAGCCTCCTGGTGGCGTGTGGAAGCTGAAATCAGTGGGAATGAAGCTCCCAAGATGTATGGAGTTTGGAAAGGGCAACGATCTCGACATCACACCACCGCATTTAGGAAGGCATGCGACCCCATACTTAAGAGCGCATTGATGACGGGGGGGAATGGTCATCAAGAAGCCGGCAAGACAAGGATTCGTCGTACAATGCAGGCGACAGGACCAGTTCCAGCGACCCGCTCCTTGGCGAGAGAAGCTGGTGCTCTCGTCTCGTCATGCTCGTCCATGGTTCTGCATCGTCTGGCACCACGAGCTGCTAGCTTTCCACGGCTGTGCAACGCGCAGCCGAGGTTTGGCTAGCGCGGTCAGAGTGCGGGGAATCATGGGGTACCGTTGCGACCTGCAAGTCCGACTTTGGTCGAGGAGCTGGGAGGGTTGCATAGACCGGGAAACCGAGGGCTCTGATAGGACAGGAGCGAAAAGGATGCGAAGGGGAAACCGAGGATCGACTTGCAAAGCGGGAGTCCAGAGCTGGCATGCTATGCCACGCCGGGAGCGTGTGAGTGTGCGCCAGCGAGGTGGCTACCCGCATGTGAACCGTCGGTCGCGCGTGGTATGCGCCGGCCGCGTACGACAGGAAAGGCGTGCACATTACCCTTTTCAGAAAGCAGTTCGTTGGGCGGCATGGGTCACGGTGTAGCAGGAACCGTCGCCCGGGTGGTTACCGAGCCGGGGGACTTTGCGAGTGGAGAGGGCGGACAACTCAGGAATAAGTTTCCTACTGCGTAATGGACCCGCCCTCGCTGATCGGATGGCGCGCGGTCAACGTTGTGAGACAAAACCGTGCCTTTCCCCTGGAATAACCTTAACCTGGTCCTTATTGCAGTTCATAGTCAAACGCCGCTTCTTCTAGAAGAATACGAATCCAGGACCGTTGGGAATGTCTGTGTGTTTTTTCCAAGTTTGGCGTCGATTACGCGACCGCCCGACAGGGGAAGCCACGAATCCATCGACACGTGGACTCGATTAAGGAATATGTACTAATACAGGTCTCCTGCGTCTGGGTATCATTAAAGGTAAAGAGTATTCGAAACTCACGCCACAAATCCGCCATGCACAAACTCGTCGATTGTTTCAAAGCATCAACGCGGCGCCGATGCTCACCAGACACAACCAGTGCGCGCCATCCCTCCAGCTCAAGCTGTTTCCAGCACCGAGCCCGTCGCCCGGTGTCGCCTCCGGCTTGGTCCCGCTGAGCCCGCCACCGCTGCCGCCGTTACCAGACTTGACCTCGATGGTGGTCGAGTCGCCCGGCGCGAAGAGTACGCCGACGGCATTGGCGGCCGTTGCGTTGAGCTCCTGCTCCGTCAGCAGCGGGTTGTTGAGCGCGTCGCAAGACGGTCGGCCGTCCTTCTTCTCAATACTGTTGGTCACGGAGATTGGCACGTCGAAGATGGTGTAATGGTCTTCGCCGTTGAGGCGGTAGTTTTGGCGGATAGAGATCTAGGGGCGTGGTGTCAGTCCGGATTGTGTCCTCAAACCACGTGTCATTTGTTCTCGACGTATGTGGCTTACGTTGTAAGCGCCGCGATCGCTGTCGGCTGAGGTAGGCTGTCCATTGCCAACCAGACAGTCGGGCCAGAGCCAGTTGACGTGCTTCACCGTGCTGCCGGGCTCCTGGAACATGATGTCCCCGAGACTGGCGTTGTTAGCCGTCGCCGTGCCGTTCGTAATGGTGAAGTTGCGGCCAGTGGTGTAGCTGGACAGGAACATGGTCACGTTGAAGATCTTGGTCGGACTGTCCTGGGCATATGGCGGCAGCGGCATCTTGCCGTTCGTCGACACGTCCAGCGCGACATGGAGGTTGTCTGTCCATCCATGTTAGAAAATTCCTTTACTTGGAGGCCTCTCGATTCGTCCATCATATGAGGCTTTCGGGTTCAACTACTAACCTCCGCCCAGCGGGGTTCCTGGTTGAGGCGCATCCAAGATGACCAGGCCCGGCGTGAAGATCTGACCGTTGGAGATGGTGAAGTTCTGAGCCGAACTGGAGGCCGCGAACAGGGACAGCAGCGCCGCCGCGAACGAAACGGGAGAAGAATACACCATGGTGGCTGTAAAGAACGCAGTCCCGCAAGTAAGCAGCCGAATGGCAAGAGAAGCTATCGCAAAAGGCGCGGAAAACTGAGAGACGGCTGCAAATGCACCTGCGCGGGGAGGGCACTAGTTAATTATCTAGGCCTCCTGCAGCACCCAAGACTCTGTGCCCGAGGAGGATCCCGGATGCAAATGGAAAATAAAGTGGAAAAGTGGAAACGCGGCCCTGGAAGCCAGAAGATTATTTCGACGCGGGATGATGGATCAGATCAGGGAAATGAGCATACGGGCCACACCTCGAGTCGAAGACACAAGGATGGACGCAGTTGATGGGAAGTTCGTTCGGGAAGGCAAGCAGGACCAGGACAGAAACAGAAATCCCAAGAGAACGGGACGGCAGCCCGTTCTTGAAGGGGGGGAAGAAGCCTGCCAGGAACCTCATCATCCTTTAGCTGCTACACCGTCAACACCTCCTCCCGTCGATGGCAGTGGCGATCAGACGTGAGAGACGGCAGATAGCCAAGATCTCAAGAGCATTCCATATTCTAGATCATCATGCCGTGTCCCGGATGGCAACAACCGGACCAGGTGTTCCACCGCTTACACACGCCATCCCACTACAATGCGATACGCGATCTCTCTCGGTTGCCCGTGCATGATGGGGATTCGGGGACTCGGCTTCTCCCAAGCGAATGGAAAGGAAGGGAAGGAGAGACAGCATCAGGGATCAAACAAGATTAGATGTATATAGCGGCTGGGAGTTAAGATGGCAGCCCCGCGCGTGAGACGCCCTCTTGACGCAGGCCGGGTTTCAGATTGAAGCAAGCAGCAGAGACGAAGGGGCCGCGGAATCTTGCCAGCTGTGCATGCATCCGTGGCATGTCCTCGTCGCCGCGAAGGGGGGCAAAAAAAAAAAAAAGACGGGCTTGCGGTCCGTTCAATGAGAAATGAGACTTTGGGACGCACGAGCCAACGCCTAATTAAACTTGCAGCCAACACCTTGCGCTGGAGCGGTGGGTTCTCCGGCTCCCTCGGTCCCTTCGGCATCGTCTGCCGTCGCCAAGGGGCGTCCTCTTGTCATCTTGAGAGGCGTTCCTTCATGACTCCACCTCGTCCTCAACTTTGGGCTTCCCAGAAGATGCAAGGGTAGATGCGAGTTAAATCACAGAGAACTGACCGCATGTCACGGTTGAACGGGATGCAAGCATTGGTACGAATTCGACATCCATTATTGACACCTTCCTGCAGGTAAATCCAGGGCGAATTATTTGACATGAACAAAGTTTGAAAAAGCAAAAGGGTTGTCTAGTTTTCTCGAGCATTTCTTTTGGTTCTTTTTGGTTCTTCCCAACGCCTCGCTGTCTTTTTTTTGAAAACCTTAACAAGTATCCCCCCACCAGAGACTCACAAATCAGGTCCAGAGGATACATGTGCCGTCGGCGCCGGCACTCACGCACCAGGGCTCCGTAGGGTGCCAGTCCACGTCCAGGACACCGAGCTTGTTGACGATCTTGTGGCCCTTGAGCATCTTGACGGGTACGATGGTCGGGTTCTCCATGAGATCGCTGACAACCTTTCCGTGGAAGATCTGCAGAGTGCCGTCGTCACTGGCGTCGGCGAACAGGGGGAAGCTGCGGTGGTACTTTACGGCACGAATGGCCTCCGAGTGGAAGCGCATCGTCTTGAAGGGGCGGTTGGAGAGGTCGAGGTCGTGCCAGAGCAGACGTCTGTCGTAGGATCCCACGACGATGTTGTCACCGCCCGAGTGGACGTCGAAGGACGAAATCCAGCGGGCACCGGGCTGGATGACCTTGACCAGCTCCTGTCTCTGGAGATCGTAGCAGCGAATCATGCGCTGGGTCGCAACGAAAAAGAGGGGTCGCGAAGGGTGGAACTGGGCCGTCTGGGCGAGGCCGGGCAGCTTGCGGAAGGGAATCTGAGTCAGATGCTTCGACAGGGTGTGGATGGCGACGGCGCTGCGCTGGCCGTTGGGAGAGACAGTGCTGAGGAAGTCACCACGTCTGTGCCAGCTAATGACCTTGATGACGGATCTGACAGTGGCCTTGAGCAAGACACCGGCAGCCTCGAGCTTTGAGCCAGGTCTCGCCCACTTGCCAGGGTGCTCCTTGGTAACTGGGGCCGTTGGCTGAGGGTTTTGCGTAGCGTAACCGAAACCAGCGTCGAGAATGTCACGGCTGGCCTTGTCAATGCCATCAGCACCACGAGGAGGGACCGCGAAGAAGAGATCCTCGCCAGCAGCGGCTGCCAGGATGAAGGTCTCCTTGTTTGGGCGCCAGCGGACGACGTTCACGGCCTCGTCAAGGCTAAGCTTGGCCATCCACTCCTGGCGACCGGTACGGAGGTGCCACAGGCGCACAGTACCGTCATCACCACCACTTGCAAGCCACTCGCCATCAGGGCTGATGGCGGAAGACCGTACGCGGCCTTCGTGGCCTCGGAAGACGGTCTGGCAGGCCGTGGGGAAGGGTCTGAGCTCCTCGGGACGGGGCAGCTTGGGAAGAAGCGACGCGGGGTCGATGTTGAGCCTGTTCTTGCGCACGCGAGGAGCCAAGTAGAGGTCGAGGCAGCGCTCGAAGCGCTCCTTGACGAACTCGCCGTAGGCGGGGACTTTGCGCAGCGAATCAAACTTGGCGGGCATGTACTCCTTCTCTCTGTCCTCGGGATCCGCCTTCTCCCACTCCTCCTTCTCGGCTTCTGTCGGGAGGTACTCGGGGGAGGGTTGTAGCTGAGGTCGTAGCCAGGAGGCGGGAGCTTGGGCGCCGGGATGTTCATGACGTGCGGCGGGCGCTCCTCCTCGTTGGCCCAGATGTCGTAGTAGTTCTCTTCCTTCTCGGCTTCCTCCTTCTCCCTCTCTTCGGGCGGCTTGTAGGGCAGGATGCGTCCCTCCTTGATGGCCTTGACGAGCTTGGCGATCCTCTTAGCCTCGTGCTTGGAGGGGACGAAGCGGCGTTTCGGCTCGGGCGCCGCGCTCAGGGGCATCTTCTCCTCGTGTGCGGTGAACCAGTGGACCATTTCCTGGGTCTTGTTAGTCTTGTCGGCAGAGGCGCATGGGGCACTCGACACTTACAGGGTAGGGGTCGTAGCCTTCCTCGGGAATCTCGTTCATCTGGACGCGGCGCAAAAGCTCGAGCTCGTCCTGGGTGAGGTTGAGAGGCTTGCCCGTCTGGGGATCCGTCAAGCCGGTCCAACCCTTGGGGATCTCAATGGTCTCGAGCAGGGCATCCAATGCCTCGCCGGTGGCAGGGCGCATGATCTTCTTGCCATTGATGTCGTATCCGATGTGAGGGTAGGAATCGTAGAAAGACAGAGGGATGTTGCCGATGGTGTTGACAGGCTCCTGGGCATCGGTGTCGTCGGAGTCGTAGTCGGCATCGATCTCGTCATACTCGTAGCGCTCGTTGCCATTGGCGTCCTTGACGACCCTGTAGTTGGGCTGGTCGTCATCGTCGCCAACGGTAGTGGCGGCAGAGTCCTTGTCAAGGTTCGTCGACTTGAGTTTCGAGGCAATTTCTTCGTCATCGGCGTCAGAGGGAATGTCGTCACTCAAGATGTCCTCCTCGTCATCCTCGTCCTCTGACAGTTCGCCATTCAGGCCATTGTCGTCGCCGTCAGACCCAGAGGTTTCTTCGTAGTCGGAATCATCCTCGCTTTGAGACAGGACGCCCTCCAATGTTGCATTGCCAAATTCGTCATCGACGGGCACAGGGGCTTCCGCCTGCGGTTCCTTCCGCTTGCCTAACGCTTGTCGTGCCGGCATGTTGTGGTGGAAGAAAGGGACAAGCCAGAAGGTGGTGAAATGGCTATTTTTGGAGCTTCAGTTCGCGATGCAGGTGCAGGCGGTTTGGGCGAGCGCCTTCTCTGGAATTTTTTTTTTCTGCCGTCGGACGATACTAGCGCGCTCCACACCGCCTAGCGGGGTTGACCGAGATGGACGAGTGGAATTGCTCCGAAGGGCCTTCCCCCAATCGGTCGGGACTGACTGTAACTCTAAAGAAAAAAAAAATCTGCCCGGAAATCAGCCCTGCGTGCCCTCCAACAAACGCCTTCAATGCCATGCGATTCGAATGGCAACATAACCCAGCACAGAACCGAAGCAGGGAGACAAGCCATCGATGATCTCACTGGTCGGCGACACGATTTTGAGGCAGTACATACAGAGATTCAAGAACAAGTGGAGCTGCTGCATGTTACAAAGAAGTGAGCAATATGCCACGGTGGCTGCCGCCCGGCCAGTCGCCTTACAGGGCACCCTTCAGCTGCTGCACTGCTAAGCCACAAGCAACCACCAGCGCTAAACGCACTACAACGTAGCATGAGACTAACTGGCAGCAGCATGTACGAGATGGCCCCTTGGCACGAATGGACGCAGCACAGCACGCTGAACCCTACGGAACGATGCGGAATGTCCCATTTACATATGTTGACGGATCGTGGAATCTTCTTAGGGTGCATTGCGAGATCTCACCATGCCCGAAGGGGCTTTTCTGTGAATGTTCCAATGTTCCATCGGCAGCCCAGTCATGCCAGTGACAGGATGGGGGGCTTCGGGCTACACCGAGACGACTCGTAGGGAGAACCCGTTTAAGATACTGGTGCCCTGTCCGAAGCGTGTTACTGACGCTATTTTGCCATGCCGATGACTCAAATGGCTTGGGTATATGATGCACTCAGCCAATCATAGGCGCCACGAGTACGGCCTCTGCTTCGTTCTAAGCCGTGGTGCGCGTTGGGGCCTGAACTCCATTACGGAGCTTGATCAGATGTGAGAGCATGTTTCGTGGCTGCTTCTGATCAAGTCAATGGTCCCTTGAACCAATCCGAGGTATCTTGGCATGAGCAGTAGGGGATCTTAAAGGGCGGGTCATACACAAATTCTGTGTTTTGGCAGATTAGCCGGCTCTTCTTGTTGCCTGGGAGGTACTCTCGATATGACGACAGAAGAGCCAGTATGGCTTCAACGGTGAACTAGGCTGGCCGTCTAACAGGATGTACCTACCTCGGACAAGGTCTTTGGCTCCGTCTTATGCAGGTCAAGGTGGTGCTGACGCTGCCTCGAATCCTTTGAAGATGGATTTCGGAGTGACTGGTGAAAGGGCGCCCAGCGCACTGCATTGTCGTGTCCTTTTCGCCAGTCGAGGTACCCTGCCTTACGGATGGATCCCCTACACCAGGAATGACCGAGTTGGTCCTAGGGGCCTGAACTAATCTAGGCAAAGCTGCGCTGTGTGGCTGCCAACCTTGAGACATTGACGCCGTAGACGGGATAAGCTTCTCCCCGTTCCATTTTCTTACTCGAACTCGTGTGTCTTTCTCCATCTCCTCAGTCTGCCCCTCGCTCGTCTGCTCACGCCAACATTGCGTCCGCATCTCACATTAGCCCTCGGTGTCATCATGCGAATGTTTCCGCCTCTTGGATACCGTAGCCCCAAAAGCAAGACACCCCGAGATTCAGCTGGAAAGCAAGCCACTAGCTGAGATAGCGGCAAAGGCTTCTTCGTCTTGCTCTCGCCGTTGTCGCTGCCGTACAGAGTACCTCTGACGCCAACATCACATCGCCCACACGCATTCCCCGTCACTTACATATAACCACCCCGGACGCCGCACTCCCAGCAGTGTGGAAAGTTTTGAGTAATCAAAATAGTTCGTCCATCGCACATTGTTAGGCATTTACGACAAAGCCTCTCTAGTCCCCTCTCACCCTTACCATATCAAGCCATGCCCGAAAGTAGTCCTCAGTCCAAGTCGGCCGGCGGTGTCGTCAAACATCGTGCATGTGATGAGTGTCGTAAGTCCATGGCCGCTCGCCACGACCGAAACTATCAGGTTGCTAATGAGTTTATTCAGGTTCGCGAAAGCTTGCCTGCACCAAGGAGCCTGATGGCTGCTCACGCTGCAAGAGGGAGGACCTGAGATGTGTCTACTCGCCCCAGAAGCAGATGGGCCGGCCACGGAAGCGTAGACATGTCGAAGAGTTTGATGCACAACCCCCCTCCGACAAGCAGCAGAGCCCAGATCAGCCGCCGCAGGTGTCACTCTTCACGCAACCAACCCTAGACACCGACTTCTCGGCCTTCTTCACCCAAGACTACTCCAACATGAATTACCTCGATCTGCTCTCCCCCTTGGAAGGCCTGCCACCGTCGACGCTGCCGCCCGAGCTATCCAGTCTTACCATGGCTTACACCGAGCCGCGGTACCCTACGGAAGATTTCCAGCTGGGTGCTACCGGTGTTGACCTGTTAGGTGACATCAACTTTGATGAAAGTGACTCTGCTGACGAGGATTTGCCTCAAGACATCAGCAAAAGCTTTACTGACCTGCTCTTGGCGCAAGCGCGCGGGACAGGGCCTAGTGATTTCCCTACAACATCATCAGAGACGTCCCACGCGCTCAGTGCAAGCACTCCCGGGTCGTCCTCCTCTGCAATTACCAACAACGACAAGAGTGTCAGCCAAGAGGCAGAAGCTGCTCCCAAAGCGTACAACAACACATCGTGTTCCTGTCTTTCTCAGATATTTCTCTCCTTGGACGCCTTGTCGAGGCTACCCAACGACGTCAAGACTGCAATGGGCGTCGCCAGGTCAGCAGCTCGAGTAGCCCATGATGTTACCCACTGCCCGGCGTGCAGCCTTCCAGATATAATGGAGCCGCCGCCGATACAATCATTCCAGAACATGATGATGCTGGGCGCCATTCTCCCGGCGGCCGCCAACGCTTACGCCAAGATCCTCGAGCTCATTGACGACGAAGCTGCACAGGCCAGGAAAGAGGGCCGAAACATTACATTCAGCTTCGCCGAGTATGGCGGGCTCTGGGGCGAGATGCGCAAGCGAGACAGCACGTGCCGTGCCGTCGAGTCGGTTGACAACCGAGAAATGGACCCGGACACTTGGAGGCTTGCCATCAGGGCACTTTTGAAGATTGACGTTTACGGACACGATTTTGAGAGGAACGATGGGACGGGGTCTAGTGAGGCATATCATCACCTCGGTCTCAGGGACGTCATCAAAGCGATGGAAGACAGATCGAACAACCGACACAACCAGCTTGACGCCATGGTCGCGGCCGGGCTTCCTCATCCAATGCTGCACACACACCACAACTTGATGGTTCTGGAGGGGGTGATGCTAAGGAGAACCGACACTGCTTGAAAATTATAGAAATTGCGCGGGTTGCTTTGGATAAGCTGGTGATTGCCTGAGTTGAAGACTCCGGGATGGGTTCCATTGTCTTGTTTTTCTGTTGATTTTTTGATTATTTTTTTGGTTGCAAAAGAGGGCTGAACCGGCTCGTTCACGGATGGCCCCATCCACCACTGCAACGTAACGGCGTAAGGGCATTAAGACGAAGCTGAAGCGATTCTTGCGAGCGAAGTTTGAATTTGCTTAGAGTTGGGCTTGGGGGACTCTATTGGTCCCTGCTTACCGGCGGTCACAAAGGGGTAGCAAGCGGAGAAATTGAAACATTCCACTCAACACCGAGGTGCCGTGTTTCTGTAAGATCATTCCGCATACCAAGAAACAAACCCACTGTTGTGGGCGTTACCCGCAAGTTGGTGTCACGAAAATTCCAGCAGCACCCAAGGCGATCTCGGCCCCGAAGCCAACGTTCCATGACATGTTCTATGCAGATGTCAGTCGGATGCTGGCGGATGAGACTGGTGGGATGGGAGCTGGGCAACCAGGTCCCCGGGACGGGCTTGGGAAAAAGGCTATTGAGTGGGAAGAATGCCAGCCGTCAGCGGCGCCGTAAGGCACGTGATGGAGAGGAAGTCGTGCTGCTGGTCGAGGGCTCGCAGCGGTTGTCACCCCCTTTTTTGCTGGCTGGCGGGCCTACGCCGGGGACAACAAAGGGCGTTTGTTCGCGTTGCTATTGATAGCCGACGATGAGTCGTGTCGGGTCACGAGCTGGGAGTGAGCGGGACAACGGCGGAATCGAGCAAAGCTGAAGAGGACTAAACCGACTTCGTTGCCGAGATTTCTCGGCTCTTTCTTGATGTGTGTCATGTCTCCTTGTTCGTGAAGACTTGTTACATGGAATGACTAGTTTTTGGGCAATACCAAGAGGACCGAACGTCACGTTATAGACGCGCCGGCCGAGGATGAGATGCCACGGCGGGCAAAGGGGTCAGGAGCGGTAACGACGGATCCGCCAAGACAGGGGGGGGATGGGACTAAAATCTGCGAATCTCGTAAACCGGCTCGCGGCAATAAAATGCCAATCTGCTAGTGCAGGAGAGACTCAAAAGCGTATCCCACCTTCGCCGCCGACACCTCACCTGGACGGACTCGTCGTTTGCAACGGCGCAGGTTGAACGGCCCATTCAGGCAGGGCAGATGATTAGGAGTCGTGGGCGCACATTGGCTGCGGTAGCCGCATGGAATGGCCTCGTAGTCGCGTTGGAGGGATCGGCGGTGTTTCCTCCGGTCCGTCGTCCGTCGTCCGTCGTCCGATTATCCGCAGCCTCCAGAGCAACCTCATGATGCTCTCTCCCGTTTTAAATCTCCTAATCTCGAGCAGACCCCACCCGAGGCCCCCAAGCTCCAAACTGTAAAACCGTGAAGCCAACAAGCCTTGGCTAGCGTCTCGACCCCCTAATCGCCATCATCCAGGCAGTGCCAGGCACCCCCGGAGCCTGTTTCGATTGGGGCCGATGTCCTCACAATCACGGCAGCCTGTCGCCGCGGGAAGGGGAAATGGTGACTAATGAGGATCCTGCAAGGCCAGGTCGGTTAAGGTGTGCGGGGACGCTAAGCCCAATCAGAAGTAAGCTTGTGTCAGGGCCTGGCCTGTCGTGGGAGGGGCAGGTTGCAACCGTCGAAAATCGATTACGGATACGCCAAAACAGCACGGCCGTGACAGCGCGAGAGATGAGGCGACGATTGCTCATGTCCATCTCTGGATTGTCTGCCAAACACTCGACGCCCCGGTGTTTATTGGGCGTGCAAGCAGCAACGCCCCCTTCGATCTCACGCCAAGACCAGCGTGCTACTCACTGACCCGTGGCTTCGTCCCAGGCTCATGCGCCTTTCGTAACTTGTTACCCTTTAATTCTCACCTAGACGCTGACCGACCGCCTAAGCACTGGCACCTACCCAGACCTAACCTGGTTCCAGTGTCTGTGCTGCATGTCACTTTTACTCCGCCTCGTGACAGCCTTCGCCCATCATCCCCGTAGGCGATCACCTTTCGGTTGTCCGCACCTAGAGTGTGCTCTTCTCTTTTCCTACTAACCTCCATCCGTGTTTCTCTCTTTCCTTAAACAATACCCGTTTCCTCCCCCCCAGACATAGGGGTTCCTTTGCTACGCCTCGTGTGTTGCTTCTTCTTGTTCTTCTTTCTTCATTCCCCTCGTCGGGTTTTCTTTTTCCTACACAAGACAGCTGCAAGCGCTTTGTCTCGCCCTCCGACTAGTCAGCCAAAAACCCGTTGTTCGCCCCAAAAGCGACATTCCGTCTGTCCCAAAACGTCATCTGCATACCAGCTGCCGCGCCTCGCCCCCCATCGACCAGACGTCACACCGTCATCCGTACGAGACAGGCCTATTTTTTTCGGCCCCCCCTCCCCTTCTAGTCCCATTCGAAACCCCGACCCGGCCAGGCCAATGGCCCCCCCGCCACCCTACGCGATAGCGACCGGCCAAGATGTCCCTTCAACACTCGCCGCAGCGGTAGTAGCAACAGCATCAGCAGCTGCAGCAACCATGATTCCCATCGCGACCCCGACAGAAACCCTCGCGGGCGCCATCGCGACCGCTGTGAACACCGCCGCCGCTGCGACAGCGACCGCCGCTACGACACACGGAGATGACGGTGGCAGTGGCGAGTGCAGCCTGCTTGGCTCTTTTGCCCTCATCGTCCAGGCCGCCCTTGGTGGTCTTGCCTTGCTGTCTCTGGTTTTCAAGCGGTGGAGAGAACGGCCACAGCGTCCCGTCAAGATTTGGTTCTTCGACGTGTCCAAGCAGGTGTTTGGCTCGGTTCTGGTCCACATCGCCAACATCTTCATGTCCATGTTGACGTCGGGACGCTTCTCTGTGACGCTGGACCCCACGACGACATCCAACGTCCGGCGGTTCATGAGACGGGATGAGGATTACACTCCGAACCCGTGCTCGTTCTACCTGCTCAATCTCGCCATCGACGTAAGCACTCCCTCTTCTGCTCCGGTTTGCACGCGAAGCTAACTATCGCAGACGACAATCGGCATCCCCATCCTTATCGTGCTCCTCCGAGTTCTGACCGCCCTCGTATCATATACACCCCTGGGCAAGCCCGAAGAGTCGATCCGATCCGGCAACTATGGCAACCCTCCCAGCGCCTGGTGGTGGCTGAAGCAGTCGTTCATCTACTTTTGTGGTCTCTTTGGCATGAAGGTCTGCGTCCTCATCATCTTCCTCCTGCTGCCATGGATCTCGCGCGTCGGCGACTGGGCCTTGGGGTGGACCGAGGGCAACGAGCAGCTGCAGATCTTCTTCGTCATGATGTTCTTCCCGCTCGTCATGAACGCGATGCAGTACTACATCATCGACTCCTTCATCAAGCAGCCGCAGAACGAGCATGAGCGGCTGCCGGACGAGGACCCCGATTGGAGCGCAAGGCACGCGGGCGGTGGCCCGTACGATGACGCCGACTTGGCGGGTGAGGAGGGCACGGGCTCAAACGACGGCGCGAGTCTCAAGTTGAAGAAGGCGAACAATGCGGACGATGCCGAGTACGACCCGGACGTCGACGGCGACGTGCCGACAGTGATTGGTAGCAGTTCGAGCCGGTCAAACCACCAGAGGAAAGATAAGGATATCTCGGCGGAGCTCTTCCCCAAGGAGTAATTTCACTGTTTTGCTTGATTTTGCTTGAGCATTGGACATGGGCTAGAAACATCTCATCGGGCGTGGCCTAGATGGCCCGTAAAAGGCTGTAGCAATACGGAGTTGGTTTTTGTGCATCGCTTTTTCTCCAGCATTCTCATGATGTTCTAGTTCTACTGCAGCGCTTTCACAATAGGACATACGTTGTCAGTGGATATTTCTTGGTAAACGTGTAGGTGTATCGATGAGATAGTCAACAGGCCGCCCTGAATGCCACGTTGCTTTTGCAGAAGCCGGCGAGTCTTCATGTGATGGATCCATTCCGTACCCAGGCGCCCAAAATGCGACAGGTATCGAGGCCGGACACTCACCAACGAGCTTCTTCATCAACGGGTTCATAAGCTCCAGCGACCAACTACCGCTAGGGCTGCTGTGTTGGCACCTGGTGTGCCGAATGAGCCCCGCCTTTTACGAGGATGGGTTGCCATACTGGAATAGATCTCAACGAAGGCGGCTCATTGCACCCTCGCCCTGGACGGAGTACCAACGACCATGGTCCTCATTCGGCCGCAGTTTCCTCACTCTCGGTCTGCATGCTGCACGTCTGTTGGCTTCCCTTGCGGCCAAGAAGAGAGGGAAGGGGGTATCATCGTCTGCGCGCCTCCCCTGCGTTTTTCGGACAATCTCGATCTTCTGCAGGGTCCATGTACTTGGGTTCCGGTTGCTGCTGTCAACGATGCTGGGAGCGACGTCGAGGCGGCTCGATCAAAAGCAGGAGAGTCAACGGCGGAATCAATCCCCTGCAATCGCGGCTTAGGTTGGTTATGAGGATGTTGTTTCTGCTGGCGCGGATTTGAACCAGCTCTTGTCTATCGATTTGAGAATGGCAGGATGTACCGCTAATGCAGAGACGGAGGCAACATCCAGTCACTCAATCACGATTTGCTATGAGGCTTCTCTGGTGTACCGACCCAAGCTAAGAGTATACCATTCCCAGCGATAAGAGGGAGACCGGTATAGCAGCTAAGTCATGCTTCATGAGCTGGCCGTGCCAGCCAGGTGCCAAGGTCAGTAGAGCACTCCATGCTGCGACGCATTTGTGCCCTCCAGTTTGCGATGAGCACCTGGTACTAGAAGCCGGAGTAGCACATGCCGGAGAAGCATGGCGGCTCGTCCAGGGGTATAGGTGTGTACAACGAACATTATCTGACAAGGCTTCGGCGGTGGGTTCTCGGCACTGGTCTTTCTGCAGCGCAACCGGACTTGTGAGTATGGTCTCGCCGAGAATTAGCTGCGGTAATCTTACCAGCCACCAACGGTGCCTTCCTTTCAGCGTGGCTCCGAGTATTGGACTTGATATCGATGATATCGTAGAGTGAGGGCCCCATAGCCAACTGTTCGACTCAATTCACAGTCTCTCAATGGCCTCAAGCATGGCAGGCTGAGAGGACTACCTTACTACATGCTTCAAGTGTGTCATCATCCTAGTCTGCGTGCCTATAACACACGGACTCCGGATCTCCTTTGGAAGAGAGATACTCAAAGGTCTTCAAACCTGTGGAGTCGCTTTGTATTTTGAGAAATACCTTCTTACAGTTCAACAGCGGCCTCGAACCGAGCGGTCATCTCAATCTTCAGGGAAGCCGAGATGGGGTTTAAGGCCGGAGACGATCGTCGGCCTTCGGATTGCGCGCCCGCTAGATTCGGCAAACTCCTCAGAGAGACGACGGTCAACTTCGGCCGCAAAATTGGTGATATCTACGCTTAAGACGCTCATGGCGGAAGTCGGGTTCGAGCACGTGACCCTCTGTCTTTCTATAATAGCCCTTCAACATCTGACTTGAGGATTAGGATATGAAGGAGCTTGGAAGCTGGGAGCTACGAGAAAAACGTGTCTGCCATCGATGGCTTGTTGATGCGCTCTAATAACACGCACCCATGATTGGGCCACCGCCGAGGTTGTTTCCTTACCTGGGGATGTTCGGAAATGCCTATAAACAGGAACTACCAAGCCTGCCTTCCTCTATAAAATCACATGTTTCGTCTCTATATGGATTCCCTTTTCCATGCTTGCAAAATTCGTCTGGCTACTTCGTCGTCGGACGGAAGCTGGAAGAGGAACAGGAAGGAAGTTCGCTCGTAGCCTCGTGGAGTCTCTTTTATCGGAGTCGTATTCGCCGAGAAGACTGTGACTAAGACTTCATAGCGTCAGAGCTCACTCGCATTCAAGATGGTGAGAACTCGGGCATAAACAATCTCCTCTTGTCTTGGCCAAATACTTGAGGGTATTGTTTTGGAGGGGGCGACAACAGCGTTGAAAGCGGCGCTAGGCCCAGTCCTGTGGCTCAAACTTGATATTGTTCGTGCTAGACCCGAAGAGCAATCCACTTTCCGACAAGAACTCCATTCCACACGTACCTAGGAGCGACCGACGTAGCCCGATTGTACGAATCGATGGATTGTTGCACCAGGAAAAACACGCAATGTGGTGGCCAATCACCGTTTATCATCGGCACGATAAACTTTCCAATGGTTCTGCTGGGGTCGGATCCGGACACTCATCCGCGTGCTCTTGCAGAAGAGGCACCACACGATCCACCTCCCGGCGGCACGCGAAGGGCCGTTGGTGCCCGGTTGGCGCTTCGTGGATCCGGCCGCCACTTGCTTCGTGCAAGGGTTGCCCTCAACCCCTAGTCATCCCGGACGAATCTGGTCCTTCCGATGCACGCGAAGTACTGGGTCCTCTGCAGGAAGAACGTTTGACAACACGAATTCCTTACCGAGGTGAGCGTCCGAGTAGAGCAGGCCTCGGGGTTGAAGACTGCCTGCATGCCGGAGACAGGGGCGGGCAAACATGCCGTTGCTACATTATCTGCTTTCACGAGGCTCGATTCCATTCGGTCGTGGTTCCCTCGTCTCCACATGCAGGCTTTGCGAATAGGTAACTTCGCCGTTGGCTTGTGCATCTGTTGACTTTCCTTCGGCCAAGAAGAGGGGCTACATATTGCCTGCCTTCCCAAATCCATGTAACCTACCCTCTGGCGCATTTCTGGTCTGTTTTATCGTCCTGCAACTCCTTTAACCATTCTTCTAAACGATACTACCGAGTTCGGGATCATCTGCACCTTTGAGCTTGGGTTCGGTATAGCAGTGACTACGTTGTCCAATCCCGTTGCACGATCGTTCACACAATGGCGCAGGTCGACCACGAAGTTGTGATTGCCGCCGATGAGGGGGTACCGTGCCAACCCAGAACATCGTTCATTTGTGTCGATGATCTGACGGTGTTTGTAGGTGTCAGACGACGGCCAGTCGGAGGTTGAAGTACGCAATGGCCGATGCCACCGCACCTATCATGAAAACTTACTCACACGATATACTTAGAGCATTGCTTCATCCACAGCCAGCGTCAGTAGCTCAATACTGGACTACCGCTTCGAGAATGGCAGGACTTACCACCGGTACAAAGACGGAAGTAAGAGTCTAAAGTATTTCGTTATCTATTCGTAGGGATTGACCGACGCCGATTTAGAATACAACATCCCCAACGATGAGAGGGAAATGGACAGATTAGGTAACAATTATTTGCATTTTCTCGCAGGCCTCCTGGATTACCCATACTGATGGATATGGTAGATTTACAACACCACATCTGTCTCTTAACGCTCGGCGGCAGCCTAGGTCTTGCGCCTCCTTGTCAACCGGGCGCCGAAGTCGGCAGGGTGCTTGACATTGGCACGGGAACTGGCATCTGGGCTATGCAGTTCGGGGATGACCACCCTGAGGCCGATGTAAGCTTCCCAGAGACGACTCCACATCGAGCTTGCTCTAATATGCTCCCAACCTCAAGATCCTTGGCGTTGACTTGTCGGCGATACAACCGGAATTGTAAGTTAATGCTCGAGGGCGGAAAATATGTGTCTCAGACATCCTAACAGCTCTGTGGTTAGCACGGCCCCGAATGTCAAATTCGAGATTGATGATCTCGAGGAGGAATGGACTTATAGCCAGCCTTTCGATTATATCCACAGTCGCTTCATGACGTCAAGCATCGCGAACTGGAAAGATCTCCTTACCAAGGCCTTCAAGTATGTCATCATCTTTGCCGCCTACCTTCTTTCGCATGTACCCCTTGACGCAGAACCTGTTATCGGGCGAGTGGAACAGCTCTCAAATGGCACAGTCACTTACAATACAACGCGTTACAGCAACCTCAAGCCAGGTGGATACATAGAGCTGCAGGAACCCGACTTATTCGCCCAGTCCGATGATGGTTCGCTGCCGTCAGACTGCGCCCTGAATAGATACTGCAAGCTCCTCAGCGAGGCCATGGTTAAGCTCGGACGCGAGTACGTCTCCGTTCCCGCGCTCAAGACGCTCATGGAGGAGATCGGGTTTGTGGACGTTACCCTTAGCTGCTACAAGTGGCCCATGAACACCTGGCCCAAGGACGCCAAGTTCAAGGAGCTCGGGGCATGGAACTACGAGAACATTTCCCAGGCAGCCGAAGCTCTTGCCATGGCCCCGCTGACGCGTGCCTTCAACTGGAGCCGCGACGAGGTCAATGTGTTTCTTATTGATGTTCGGAAGGACCTGAAGAACCGCAATTACCATGCGTATTTCCCTGTGTAAGTGGTACCCTGCCTTAGATTCGTGTTTTTCCTAGTTTACTTACCAGTGAGGCCTGCAGGTACTTTGTTGTTGGGAGGAAGCCTGGGGAGAAAAAGACTTCGCTGGTGGTTTAAAATGGTGATACCTTGACCCCGCAGGTGGGACTTTCAGGGTTGAGAAAGGGTCAAGGAAGTAGCTCTGAGGGGAAGCAGTAGAGGTATTGTGCTCAATCGAGAACAGCTCATCTGCTTGGTTGCTGCCCTTCATCTTAGTGCATAAGTATGTAAACCCAAATACGCTATCGATCTCTAGACAGAATATTGAGAATGGTTACATCCATCCTATTCAAGCCCGCAGCATACTTTCATGGCATTGCAAAGAAGAAACGACCGTAGTGAAAGTAGCACCAGGCAAAGAGATGCGGTGTTACCGCTTCTATATGCCTGTGTAAGCCCAGTCCCGTCATTGACCTGATTGAGACCTCTGCTGACTACTCGCAGCAGCTATTCCCTTTCTGCTTGGGTTCAGTGGAAGAAGACACTCCACCTATGTATCATTGTGATGCTCCGGCCCCAATTCCAACCTTGATTGCGGCTCTGGCTCAAGCTCCCGCCACTGATGTTATGAAGCTGCGGGCTGCAATTTGGCCCTCGCGAAGATGTATGATCCTTGCACTGGCCAATTTGTACCTACGAAAGACATCGAACAATATTTAGAAGGGAAAGAAGAGGCGCCTGTAGTTGGAAAGGGTGCTTCGATAGTAAGCTTTGCTTTCATGTTTCTGGTACCTCAACCGTTCATCCTTGTGACTTAATTTGTTAAACAAATCGCCTTCTCATAAGTGTTGGGATTTACTAACTTAGAACCCAAGATGACTGGAGCGAGGTTCTCCGTGGGTATCGCTGAATTCTGGCGCGGCTATAGAACAAACGCCTTCCGACCCGGGAAGCCCAGAATCCAGTTGGACCAGGTCAACCGATATGGCAAGTGAGAAGAGCACAACCTTCGGTTGGGAGACTACATTCTTTTCTTATTCGACCATGGTTTCCTCAGATCCACACTTATTTGCAAAGAGGCAATTACGCCGTCGAGGCGCATATGCATGTTTGCTCGTTGGTTCTTCCGTCTGCCCCCAGCCAACCGGCTAAGAAGAGGGCCACTCACCTGGGATCATCTGTTTTCGTCACAAAAAGATCGAGTGCCCCGCGTCTCCGGTCCCTCATCCTCCCTTTTCTTCTTCTGCCTCACTCTCTCGACTTGATCGTCATAGTGATTCTGGGTTTGCTTTTGTTCGATTGAGATTACCAGATCTAATATTCCCCCAGCACAGCGTCTTGAAGCACCTCCACCGTACAGCACAAGCCCAAGAGGATACGGCGGATACCATGGCTGCGACTAACAACCCTGTTGTGCTAGATGTAGACAATGAGGTACGGCCATGAATGGCATTCTATTGGTGATATCCAGTGCGGAGCAGATTTTTGACAGTGCTCACAGTCTGACGATGATACTCGTTCTGAGGTGGGATCGGTAAGTTTAAGGTCCTCATCTTTGACCAACTCCAAAGTCACGCTTAGCTCATGGTTACTGTTAGAGCATCGCTTCATCTAGCACTAGTATCCGGAACTCAATCCTTGAATCTCGATTCGAGAACGGCAGGACTTACCATCGATACAAAGCTGGCAGTATGTAAAACCAACCATTGACATACAACCCTAGTACTAATTTGATTACTAGAATACTCACTTCCCAATGACGAGAGAGAATTGGAAAGGCTTGGTAAGTATCAGTTGGAGCTGTCTGTTTCCAGTCCGAGCTTTCTTAACGACGGCACCAGACTTGCAACATTTCCTTTGGTTGTTTGCCCTTGATGACGCACTTGGAATCGCCCCACCATGCCGCGAGGGCGCGAAAGTTGGTCGAGTCCTTGATGTCGGCACCGGAACCGGCATCTGGGCCATCAACTTTGGAGACGACCATCCTGAGTCCGAGGTAGGCCCGTCTCGTTGCCCTCTTGCCCCATGGTCTCTAAGGTTGGGAGTACCAGGCAATATAGAAACTAACTGGATTGGAACAATAGGTATACGGCATTGATCTATCTCCTACTCTTCCTGAATAGTATGTATATCTGTCCACCAAAGCCCTGGATATCCAAGGGGCAGCCATTGCCCATTCCAACGCACTAACAACTGCGCTAAGTGTACCCCCAATGTCAGGTTCGAGATCGACGACGTTGAGGAGGACTGGACGTACTCACAGCCCTTCCAGTACATTCATAGCCGGGTCATGACCTCCAGTATTAACGACTGGAGGGTGTATTTGCAAAGATGCTATGAGTAAGCTATTTCCTTTATTATATACGACTAGTGTGTTACAGAACCATCCTGGTGGTTAGAGTCCAATGGCCTCGTGTGGAAGAGCAGAGCTGACATAAACCGCAAAAAGCAATCTTGAACCAGGCGGATGGCTTGAACTTCAGGAGTTCGACCTGATACCAAAGTCTGATGATGGAACGCTCAAAGAAGACCACACCCTCATCAAGTGGCTTAAGCTACTCCTAGGGGCTTCAGAGAAGCTAGGGCGCCCTTACATCGAGATCCCACCTCTCAAGCACCTGTTAGAGGAAATCGGTTTTGTTGAAATAGAAATGAGTCTTTATAAGTGGCCATCGAACGACTGGCCCAAAGACCCAAAGTACAAGGAAATTGGTCTTGCTCAATGCGAGAACACACTGTCTGGTCTTGAAGGGTTCACTATGGCACCTTTCACGCGCGTCTACGAATGGAGCCCAGAGGAGGTTAATGTCTTTCTGGTCGACGTACGGAAAGACATTAAAGACAGGTCTATTCACGCCTATTGGCCAGTGTAAGTGTTTTTTTCTCCTTTTTTTCTTCCTTCCCCTTCGTTTCTTTAATCCTCCAAGCGACTTCTTTAGGCATAGTCTTTGATTTGTTAACTTGTAATTCAGTTACTGCATCATTGGGCGCAGACCGGAGAAGGAGCCGACCCCGGTCCCTCCAGCTCCCGCTTCCCCTGAAGCTGCCTCTCCCAACGCTGGCTCCCCCACTCCCGTTCCTACCGTCGGTCAAACATCCATGGCCCGGTAGGCAGCTTGCAGTCTATCTCAGAGCAGGCTCAAGTTCCGACTGAAGCTCCAGCTGCCTCGGCCAAAAGCCCATCTCCGACCTCTTGATGACGTGTCGCCGAGAAGCATCCGCCAGATGGCGCATTTCACTTGTTGATGAAGGAGTGCGACCTCATAGCTATAAGATATGATCAAGAGCAGCAAGAGCAGCACTCTTTAATAGCTGTACATTTGAAGTACGATCTTTGGAGTAATTATATACCATGACATGAGTTTGAACGTGTTGGGAAGACCCAGAACATCCATACTCTCTGGCCTGTTGAGAATACCAGTGCATGGTGCTACAATTCCGATCTTCATTTGCGAGACACCCTGGCCCCACGTAGACCGATGCTCTATCTTCGTCCCCGGCTTTGGCTCCAACGCAAACTCCGGATTCGCCCCCAGCTGCTAATGCTACGCTTCACCAGCTTTCTGTTCACTGTAGTAACGGTACTTATCTTTCTTACAAGGAACAACTTTTGGCTATAAGGCATAAGAAAGATCAGGCTACAGAAAGTCGAATCCAGGCCTTTTATAGGGAAGCAATCTAGGTAGTGCATGTTACTTCTTCATAGTGTGTATCGCTGTTATCCCATTGGTTAGGTCAAAGCAACTTGTCAAAGAAGCGTGACACTGGGAAGATAATTGATGACCTGGAGTTGATCATGGAAGAAGTGGGTTGCTTGGCAGGTGGACATCCAGGAAGAGCTGTGCTGGGCACGTGGGGATACGAAACACCATCCGATCCAGGAAGTTGAAATCAAAACGGATTAGGCCAGTCAATACGGCACTGGTTCCTCGTCCTGATACCGCCCTCGCATTCGTTATTCTTTCGTTTCCACCACAATTATCTTCAAGAGGGGACTGTGCGCCCATTGAGGTGCATATGCATGTTTGGTTGTTGGTGCTTCCATTTACCACCGGCAAAACGGCCAGGGAGAGGGGCAATCGCCTGAAATCATCCGGTTGTGTTACAAAATGAGCCGGCGCTCTGCACCGGCTCCCCGCCGATGCTGCTCTTTTCTTATTTCTCTTTCTTGAATCTTGCGAACATATCGTTTTGAGCGACCCGAGACTGTGGTTACGTTGATACTGGATTATGTAAGTCCTGACACTGTCAATTGAGTGTTACAACCGCGTAGTCTTCAAAGGTCTGACACCACGAGGAGCAGAAGAAGCAAGAATGGCACAAGACAATCAAGATGATAACACAGTCATTCTTTCTTTAGATGATGAGGTACACGAAATCACACATGGTCGGGCTATGTTTACAATGGCGGTCCTAACCCTGTTCACAGCTCGATGACACTCACTCAAATATGGGAAGTGTAAGCTTGAGCCGGAATACTTGGCCGAGATCCTGAGAGATTCCATCCCACTCACTTTTTCGGTGCCTAGAACATTGTATCTTCCACCACTAGCCTGCGTTCCTCCATTCTCGACTACCGGTTTGAGAACGGCAGAAGTTACCATCGCTACAAAGATGGCAGTATGCTTGTTCACTCCCGTACTTGAAGAACCCCTCTTGACGTGACATTAGAATACAACATCCCTAATGACCAGAGAGAAATGGAGAGGCTAGGTACTGCTTCACCTACGAACTCTACATGTATCTAATACTTGGTGTCTAATGCTGTCTCTCAGATTTGCAGCACTACTTGTGGCTGTTAGTTCTCGAGGATAGGCTCGGTGTAGCCCCTCCTTGCCAGCCGGACTCCGGAGTTGGCCGAGTGCTTGATGTCGGCACTGGGTCGGGTATCTGGGCTGTGAACTTTGGAGACTATCACCCTGAATCCGAGGTAAGCCGATTGTGGCTGGCTTCGACACAGGCTCTCTTACCCTCATGACAAGTGTTGGGCAAATCGAGCCGAACCTAACGTTGAGCAAAATATAGGTGCTCGCCACGGATCTTTCACCGACTTTTTCCGACTTGTATGCGTATCGGTTGTTCTAACCAGTAGAGGGCTGTCAAAGCACTGACACATCCCTAGTGCACCCCCGAACGTCATTTTCGAAATCGACGATATCGAAGAGGAGTGGACATATTCGCGGCCTTTTGATTATATTCATAGTTGAGTGATGACGGGCTGCGTTAATGACTGGAAGGTGTATCTGCGAAAGTGCTATGAGTAAGGTTGCTTTTCTTTCCCCCACACATCACAGCGCATGCGTGCTTCCTTGAGCGCCACAACATCGTGAACCAACCTCTGCTATTCAGAAACGAGACTTGAAAAGCATCTGACCAAGTTATAACATAGTAATCTCGTGCCAGGCGGCTGGGTCGAGCTGCAGGAGATCGACCTTTTCCCCCGTTCTGATGACGGCACCTTGACGCCCGAGCACCCGCTTTTAAAGTGCTGTCAACTGCTCCTCGAAGCGTCGGAAATATTTGGGCGCCCTTATATACCTATCCCACCTCTGGAGGAGCTGTTGACGGAGATTGGCTTCGTCGATGTGTCCTTGCGCGTCTTCAAATGGCCATCCAACCCGTGGGCCAAGGATCCAAAGTACAAGGAGCTTGGCGAGCTTCACGGCCAAAATATGGCTGAAGGACTCGAAGGCTTCTGCATGGCACCACTGACGCGCGTCCATAAATGGACCCCCGAAGAGGTCAACGTTTTCCTCATTGACGTGCGGAAGACCATTAGGGATAGAAACGTCCATGCGTACTGGCCTGTGTAAGTCGATCGCACTGCATATTCTTATATTCTTCCATATTTATGGCGCTGACTTTGAATGCAGCTACTGTCTCATCGGACACAAGCCGTAGAATTAGTCGGCCTTCGGCTCCAACTCAGCCTGTTCAAACTCAACCTCCGGCTGCTGATGCTAGCCCGGCACCCGATACCACCTCTCTGTGATGGCACCACCTAACGCTGTTTCTGGGAACAGGTTTTGGCTCTGAGATGTAAGGAAGGTGAATGATGGAATTAGAAACAAATCACTTTCATAGCAAGCCAGTTTTTAGTACCACATGTTGATTCCAATACTATTTCATGCTATTTTATTTTATTAACTGAGCAAAAGGCAGTTTGACAGAATTTGATAGCCCAAGGAAACAAAGAAGATAGAGATCCATGAGAAAGAGCTAGGTTGCGAGGCGGGTTGACGTTGGGGAGTTGTGCTGCGAACGCGGAACGTCTTCCCATCCGGGAAGCCCAGAACGCAGACGGACTAGGTCAACCGATGTGGCAAGTGAGAAGAGCACCACGTTCGGTTGGAAGGCATGCCCCCTTCCCTGGTCACCATTCTCATTTATCATTTGGCATTCCTGTCCTAGGTTCCATATTTATCTAAAAAGAGGCAACCAAATCGTTGGAGTGCATATGCATGTTTGTTCGTTGGTTCTCCCCCCTTGGGACTGTAAAGAGGGGCACTGGCCAGAGATCGTCTGGCTTCGTCACAAAAAACATCGCCCAACCCCCACCTGGGGCTCTTTTCCCACCCCTTCTATGGAGTCCTTGCGCTTTTCTGTTCAATTCAAACTGTTATAAATACCCAGCTATTGTTACCGGCGTGGCCAAACATTTTACGAAATCACCACCCACCCACCCTGAGCTCTGATGTCACCATTGGCACCATGTCTCAAGACAACCCCCCTGCTGTGCTTGATGTTGACGAGGAGGTGAGAAACTCAAGACTGATGGAGATGTGCGTCTTCGTAAGCAATGCTCTAACTATGCCCACAGCAAGATGACGCCCGTTCGGAAGTTGGAAGTGTAAGTCCAAGCTCTTTTCTCTATAAACGTCTTGAACAACGTTATCTAACATCTTGCTCTCTTTAGAGCATTGCTTCGTCGAGCACTAGTCTTCGTAACTCCCTGTTGGACTACCGGGTAGAAAACGGCAGAACTTACCATCGATACAAGGACGGCAGTATGTCCGCCTGCTCCATCCTTCAAGAGGCCTGCTAACTGTAGCGTCAGAATATGTCGTCCCCAACGATGATAGGGAGTTGGACCGCCTAGGTTAGTCTCTCAATCCAATTGGGCCATGTCATTTCTTTACTTACAGCGTCTCTAGATCTTCAGCATCAAGTTTGGCTTCTTGCTCTCGACGACAGACTTGGCGTTGCACCGCCATGCAAGGAAGGGGCTGAAGTTGGCCGTGTTCTTGACGTTGGTACTGGTACCGGTATCTGGGCTCTTAACTTTGGAGATGAGCACCCTGAGGCTGAGGTACGCCATTTTTTTCCTATCAAATTTGAACCATACAAAACAGCTGTACTCTATTATCTCGACTAGTGAGGGGCCTAATTCCGGGGCTACTTATAGGTCTACGGAATTGATCTCTCTCCGACCCTGCCTGGATAGTACGTATTGTAACCCATGAGGACTCCTAACGAGAAATCTGCTATCCGTTTTGAGCGACGCTGATGGCTTATGCATAGCGTGCCCCGAACGTCAGGTTCGAGATCGACGATGTTGAAGAGGAATGGACGTGGTCGCGCCCCTTCGACTACATCCATAGCCGAGTCATGACGGCCAGCATCGGCGATTGGGAGGTTTATCTACGCAACTGCTACGAGTAAGTCCGTCCTTTTCCCCGATACCAACAGTCTAGAGCGTTGTGCCCGAGCGTTGATGGCTTTTGTATCAAAGCTAATGGCCGATGAAATCAAGCAACCTGGTGCCGGGTGGCTGGGTTGAACTCCAGGAACTGGACCTCTTTGCTACGTCTGATGACGGGACCCTAACGGAAGACCACGCCCTCTCAAAATGGTGCAAGCTTCTCCAGGGCGCTTCGGAGAAGCTAGGTCGTCCTTACATTTCGCCCCCACCGTTGAAGAGCCTTCTCTCTGAAATCGGATTCGTCGACGTGTCGCTAAGCCTGTACAAGTGGCCAAGCAACCCGTGGGCTAAGGATCCAAAGTACAGGGAGCTGGGTGTATTGCAGTGTGAGAACGCTCTGTCCGGTGTGGAAGGGTTCACAATGGCATCTCTGACGCGCGCTTACGACTGGACACCCGAGGAGGTCAACGTCCTCTTGATCGATGTGCGGAACGACATCAAGAACAGAAACATTCACGCTTACTGGCCAACGTGAGTTTTTCTTTCATCACTTGCTCTATTTTAGGAACCCTGCTGTGTTGACATATAATCTAGGTACTGCATCATTGGAAAGAAGCCGGAGAAGGAGCCAACCCCAGCTCCTCCGGCTCCCGCTTCTCCTCAGGCCGCTTCACCCACTCCGGCTCCCTCCTCGCCTCCTGCCCCGGTTGCAGGACAACTTCAGTCTCCGGCAAAGACACTGGCAACGGCTTCTACGCCCGTTCCGGCTGCGGACCAGACTCCGCACGGAGCTTCGGCCAAAAGCCCAGCTCCGACATCGCCCTAGACTACGACAATCTTAGGCTGAGGAACTTCCGCTGCATAGCACATTCTAGTGGTTGATCGAAGATTCAAGTCTCAGAGCCGCAGTGGAAGCAGCGTTCTCTTATGTTGTTGCGCAATCTACATTAGTTCTATCAGGAAAAAAAACGAGGACATGAGTTTGAACGCAGCTAAGCCACCCCGAATCTGGATGTAAACGCTTGATTGAGTTTGCAACCATTATGAATGTGTTCGCTTATTAGCGCTGTCCTTTTTCTGCAAGGGGAATATGCAGATGCTCCGTACGACGGAAAACCCCAAATTATGAGATAACGGACGGAGCCGGGCGCACAAGAGCGTTCGGTCAATGTCAAACGCAGTACACGAGTCCAGAAAGGCAAAAGAGCTAGCCGCGTCTCTGGTCAGCTTCTTCAGGACGTTTCCCATGCCCGGGGACAACTCACAACCCCAAAGATGCCATCCGACATCATCCCAGCCTCCGCTCTCCGCCGTCTTCTTCTACGGTGTCCAGGCGTCTCACAAATGGCCCTCCTCGGGGCAGGGGTCTTTGTACGTTCGTCGTCGTTGGAAGAAGCTCCTTTTCCAAAATAAAATGTCTTAGCTGGGTTCTTTGACGATGTTTGACTTGTACAGCGTGATGCATACCGTCGCCATCTGCGGACGCGTGGCGGCCCCTCAGGCCCTCGATGTCCCGCGTCATCTCATTGCGGTTGACCGGCTCGTCGGTAATGACCTGACGGCGCGACGGCGTGCTCTCGTCCATAGCTTGGTCGTCCGTTGTAGGGCACGTTGAGGCGTCTTTGGGGAAGACAGTAAGGTCGCTTTCTGAAGATGACGCCGAACTTATACCTCGCTGACCCAGAAAGGTCTGGTGAGAAACCACAGCCGGTGGTGATGACGCGCGGACGTTGAGGCGGTTGCCTGAACCAGGTTGAGAACTGGTCAGACGAGTCACATGAGAGAGTGGCGCTGTATGCACCTGTGGATGCTGGACTGAGGCCGCAGACCGAACCTGCGGCACAGTCGCTTGGCATGCCTTTTTGTAGGTTGATTTTTCGTATTTGGTTGTGTTTTGGGGGCTGTAGACAGAGAGCAGCCCAGTCCGACAATCTTATCCTACATGCAACCGGGGTGGTAGGCATTCTCACATGATTCCATGATTCGAGAATTCGTTTTCTTGTTTATTAGTCGGTTCCATCCTAATTATATATGTAGCTTGGGGCATGATGTAGGCATGAGATTCAAGATTATGCAATAGAAGCCATCAAAACACCCCGAGTGCCATCTCATCCAAGCTGGTATCAACCCGCTATCTGATCCCAGCCTCGTATGCCGATAAAACTACACGCAACGCCTCATTATCCACTATGCCTAGGACCCGTCTACTCGCCTGGGCGTCTCTCTATTGCTCCATAACTTCTATGGTGCTCTTCCAGAAATCACACCGTGACTTCTGCCCGTCATCGACGTCCTCCATGCGGTTATTTTCCAGCTCAAACACATACCGTGACTGATTCCTCCCCCAGGTGCCCCAGTCCGGCGCGCCGTCGAGCTTATACGTGTTTGGATTCAGGTCCCGGATGAACGATATCCAATACTTCATCATCAGCGAAACGATCGGCTTGTTGTACGTGCGGAAACTGTCTGGTGTCGGACACGCGTCAATGCCGAAGATGGCGGGCGCCTCGAAAACGTGCGGGACGCCGAGCCCGGAGGCCGTGTTTTCTTTGTCCTGAACGTTGAAGCGGTAGGCCCAGCTCGTGGAGGAGCGGTTCGCGGCCGCGTAGGCGTTCATGATGATGTTGGCCGGGCAAATGAAGGTCGTCTCACCGTAGGCCTGGCTGGCTGAGGGGAACCAGGCGTTGTGATTCGGGAGAGCCGTCATGAGGGGGTACTTATCCAACATGGGGTCGGTCTCGTTCTTTGTGAGCTTTGGGTAGTTGTCCATCATGAAGGAGACGAATTCCTCCTGACTTGCAACGTTGGCGGCAAAGACTGATCCCTCTGGAGATGTGATGAGCAACGAGATCTTCGAAAATGTAAACAGCAGGCTTACCGTTACTTCCAGTGCCGAAGAGCACGGGCACTTTAATAAAAGACCCTTTTTCGTAAAGCCGGTATGGATAGTCCCGAAGCAAGTCGCCGTCTATACAAGGAGTCCAGTAAAAGCGCGGATTTTCCGATCGTCCTGGGAAAGGCGAGGCGACATTGGCGTCCTGAATCGCTCTGATGTCTTTGCCTCGAAGGCACCCCATCTGGTCCTTGTCGTCCTTACAACCCACCTTCTCTACAGTCTTGTTGAACTGGTATTCGAGTTCGGGCACGCGGGGCTGAGCGGGAAAGAAGACGGACTCTGACATGGCCCCTATGAATAGCTTGTCGTCCCTTCCACCATAGGCAGCGAGGTGGAGAGCCACTGAACCTGCACCGGCTGACAGACCATGGATGACGACGTGGTTTGGATCACCGCCGAACTATGAATCGACCGAGTCAGCACGGGTTTGGTGTGGTTGTGGGCTTTGCAAATTCACCTTTGAGATGTGAGTTTGTACCCATTTCATCAGAAGTCGCTGGTCCAAGAGTCCCACATTCAACTCTCCGTCCTTCCGGATGCGCTCGCTCGCCAGAAACCCCCATAAGCCGACTCTATAGTTGAAATTGACAAAGACGATGTTCTTGCCGGAGACGTCGACGACCTGAGAGCCATTCCAGTTAGGGTTGGCATTGGAGGTGTAACCTAGGGCCATGTTAGATAAGGACTCTGGCCAAAACGCCCGGTGAAGCCAAGAACACAGTTATGCAACACTCATTCCGCGAGAGGATAGCGCAACCGAGTGAAGAGAGGTTTACCTCCGCCTTGGATGAACAACCATACAGGGAGCTTCGAGTCGGGCGTCGTGTTATTAGGCGACCAGACATTGACGTATAAACAGTCTTCGTCTTGACCCGAAGTAGGATAAGTCACATCCGTCCCCAGGCATATCGGCCCAAACTGGGATTCGGTCAGCGTGACAGCAATCGAACGGCTGGACAGCAGGACATCTCACATCGATAGCATCTGTTGTGCCTTCCTTGGGTTCGGGATCCTGAGGGGCGCGCCATCTCAGATTTCCTATGGGAGGTGCCGCATATCTCATTCCCAGAAACTGGTTCACGCCGCTGGGGAGCACGTTCCCAGCATATCTCGCGTAGCCGAGATCGACCGTCACCCTTGGCAGGTTGGCCTGTCACCCAGCGTTAGCCGTTTCGATGCGCGACACGTAAAGGTGGTGGGTAATGCGAGACATCAAATCGAACCTCATCTGGCGCAGTGAGATATTCGCGAACGTTGAAGTAGAGAACGACAGAGAGGACCGCGAGGATCATGCTTGCGATGGCAACTGGCGCAGAGAATCTCCGCCAGTCGAACTTCCTCCTCTCCATGGCAGGTTGAGGGAGGGGTGAACATGTTTCGAGGTCATATGGTCCTGCGGGCTGCGCTGCGGGATCCCACGTGAGAGCCACCGTGGGAGCAAGCCCGGCTTGGGGAGAGAAGAGGCCGAGCGGGGGAAGAGACGCGAGACTGAGAGACTGAGAAAGTGCCTAAACTAGCGGTAGCTGCATGTCGTTTCCGAGGAGCGATCCGTGCCAGGCTCACAGACTCGCTGCAGCGGTAAGAAGGCGCGGGTAGGACGCCGAAGATGAGTCCCAAGGAGGCCGTGGATGAGTCTCCGGACAGCCTCGGGTGCGCAAATGGGTGAAGATATACCGGTTGAAAGAGAAAGGGGGAGCCACCGATAGGAATGACAATGATATCGCTGAGAACGAACTGGAAGGTTGAACCTTGGCGGCGCCGAACACGTCTTGTTAACTTTCCCTTGGCCCTTTCTACCTTCCCCTAGGGGACCTAGTAGGGGTAGTGCACGGGGAGGTGGGAACGGCGGGCTTGCCAGGGTGCTACGGTATTTGCCCACTTCACGCAACGCATCTTCCGTCCACCCACCCTGGGCCCCCATGCTGACTGCACTGCAGACTTGATAGGGGGCACGGCCTGTGTCAACGCACGGCCAAGTTGCAGGTCGTGGTGACGTCGTCAAAGTCAGGGCCGCGAGGGCTCCTCTGATCGGCTGGCGCAGCGTTCTGGAAGCCAGAGACACCCTGTGAAGAGGTGCTGCGAACCCGCCGAGAACCACATCCAACAGCATGGGTTGGAGAGTGGGGAACTCTATAGGTAGGTACTGTAGGTACTGCAGTGTCGGCGTCACGGTAGTAGCTGTTTACCGAGACAAAAACAAGGGCGTTCGTTGTCTTGTCTCTAAGCGGCCCGGAGCAAACATCCCTCACGGAACTCGTTCAATTCCTCGTCAAGTAAACCCAACCAACCCAAGTCAACGCCAGGGAAGCAGAGAGTTTCTCCGCGCTCAAACAGCATTGGTAACAGGGAGCTCATGGCACGAACATGCAATAGACGCGACAGTTCCTCCCTCTGCGCAGGGTGCCACTGGCTTGGCGCTTCATCTGATAGATGAGCTCCAATACATCGTACGCACGCAGCCGGTTGACGAGCTCCCATCCTTGCCCGGATGCGTGTTCTTCTCCTGCCAAAGATCAAGATTCGTGCGTTGATCCTTATCCTGTGTCGCGGTGTTCTTGTCACTCCCTGCTTCTTTGGCGTCACTGCTCTTTTTTCAGTAGCATTTGATCGGGGTAAAACTGGACACCGTTCAGGGAACCGTGGCTGAGATGAAGCGAGAAATACTGGGGAAGTCTCCAGTGGCCGCGGGGGCGGCAGTTGGACAGAAACAGAGCCGGAGAGACACAATTGAACTGTACGATTTTCAGTGTTGCCGTATTCCGGCTCGGTGCCGAATGGTGTCCGCATTTAGGTAAGCTTGCAAAGTAAGAGATGAGGTGGTGAGGCATTGAAGACAGCTGACTTGCCCCGTGATACTGTCTGTCAGACTCATCTTCCTCGGGCAGAGACAAACCCAGGCTGTCTTACATATCGTGTCCTCTTGTTTCTATTCGACAAGCGTCTACAAGTGGCGGCATCGCCCGTGCATGCATCCACTTCGCGGACGGTGTTTGAACATGACAGCCAAAAATAGCAGCAGCGTTCGCCCGGAGGGTGTTTGGCGTCTCGTTCTGGTTGGAGTCGAAAAAAGGCCGGAACACCCCACGACAATATTTTGCGTGTTTCCGCATTCGGTAATTCTGCAGCTCTTATGGCGAGTCGCCGTGTTCTGATGGAGGTTGCTGGCTAATCGTTGGAAGAGAGTTGTGATGGGCGGTTGGTTGCCTGGATTCGGGTGAATCACTCACTAAGCCTGGAAAGGATAGCCTGCAGTAATTAGGTGATGACTTCCAACCATTTTGCAAGAATGGTGAAGGACAAAAGGCAGAGGACGTTGCCATCAATGGCTTATCTTGACACAGCCAGTGGAACGCCTCCCTGCATATCGCGTGTTGCCGCTCAGAATATGCATCCACGTTTCATTCCCCGGGGCGTCAACCAACAGTGTCCAAGGTGCACCAGTCGGAGCAAGACTTGGATGCACCTTTTTCTTTCTTTGGTTTTCGAGGGTGCCGACAATCGTCACCAGTCTGATGTGGTGTATGGAGCAGGCAGCCGATACTTGCGCGAGAGAAAAAGGAGAAGAAGACAGGAGAAAAGAGGAAGAAAAAGAAAGGGCAAGGTAGAATCAAGAGAGAAAAACAATCAGTTTCAAGTTACTTGTCTTAATGTGCAGCATCTCGACTCTGTAGTAAGACACAGCTCAACTGGCAAGGGTTTAGGCTGGTGAGTCAGGGGGCTTCTGATCGCCAGTTTCTGATGCGCCGACCAACAGAAAACAACAAGTAAAAACCCTGGCGGCTAAGAGGATGGAGGAGGCCTTGGTGCGATGGACATATATATATGTTAGTGTGATTATGTTGTGTTGGGTGGTGATTTGCGACAGACAACCCCTGTGAGAAGATGAAGCCGAGGGGATGAACATGCCGCTTAACAACCGGTACTCGGACTATGCACCCAGTCGACGCCTTGCCAAACAAAAGGGTCCCTGGTCTGTTTGGATGTGTTTGCCCACCAGAGCGGAAAGATCTAGACAAGGTCGGTTTCGGGCTGGTCGGGTACCTTCCGATAAGGTGTCAATGCCAAAAGAGCGGGTTGGGCAGGGGCGGAAGAGCAGGCAGACAGAATTGCACCTGGTAACTCTTGGGGTTCTTAGAGGATGCTAACTTCAGGTGGCCATTAGCGTCGCTCCGCCACTGGCTGCATACGTTCGCGCGCGCGCACACACGCAGACGCAGCCGCAGCCGCAGAGCAACAGGAAGACCGAAAGAGAGAGAGCGGGAGAGAGACAGACACGCAGCACCTGCGATCCCTCACTCAGCTCACACTGGTGTGCCTCTTGCCGTTTCTCTTCTTTGCTTTGCGTTTGCATTTCTCCTTCGTCTCAACAACGGCCCTTTCCAAATCCTCAGACGATACATCATGACATTCACTTCCCGCCCCTCTCTCTTTTAGCCTTGCAGCGACAGCAACGACGCACCGAACGCAAAGCAAGCGGGCTGTCCTGCACATCATGGACAACAGCACCGACACTCGCCGACAAGGAGAAGGGCAATCGCGGTCGTCCATTGACAAACCCCCCATTCTTACCCCAGATCCCGCTTTTGATCGACTGCCCGACGAGATCATCGAACAGTCTGTCTTTGCTGCCTCCATGCTTGATTGCGTCGTCCACTGACATGGCCTTAGGATTCTCCAGCTTACCGATCCCGACTCCTTCGCGTCTCTTGTCCTCCTCAACTCGAAATGGCGATCCGTGTCCCAGCAGGCCCAACTCTATGCCCTCCACCTTTCGAGGTGTCAGTCCTACGCCTCAAGCCATCCCTCCCTCCGCGAAGCCGACGTCAAAGATGACGACCTGCCGCGCCTTAGGCGCCTGTTCGCCAGAGAAGTCAAGCGCAATCTCTTCGAGGCATACTTGCGACCGCGCGAAACCGTAATCAAGCTTATATCCAATTCCATCAGCTCCTCCTCGTGCCCTGGCGGCGAAGGATTGCAGTTCAGCCCGTCTCCCCGCGGCCACCATATTCTGGCCTACAACTCGTCGCGTATTTACGTCCTTGATGTGCGTGGGAAGGACATCGACGTCAAGAGGGAATTCAAGATACTGCGTCGGCCTGTCTCAACCTGCATCAAGGACGATGGCTCCATGCTGGCTGTCTTGTCTTCTGCGATGCAGGTTGACCTTTACGATCTAGAACAGTCCCCGCCTCGTCGCACCCAGTCCTTGATATTGGATAACCCACCGCGTACGATTGCGCTATCTCCTTGTGGTTCTGTTCTCGCTGCTGCTTACGAAGGAGGCATTGAGGTATCCTTGGTCAACCCTGGCGCGCTTCCCACGGACAGGAGAGCGGTGAAATGTGATGGAGTCGACGCTCTTTCCTTCTCCTTTGATGGCACTCAGATTCTCGGAACTACCATCCACTCGTCGCCGCCGACCACAGTCATCCTGACGGCCCCTTACTACGATCCTGGCAACCAGATCGCTGATGATAGTATCAGCGCGCTCTGGACAACGTCGATCCTGTTCCCCAATACGAGCCGTGACTGCAGCCATGCTGTGCTTTTGCAAGATTCGGGCCAAGAGGAGGCGAGCTGGACCTTTACTTATGATCGCAGCTTCGAGACTTTCAGAGCTGTACGGATTGACGATCTGCGAAACGGTACGACTTACTTCACCGGACCAAAACCAGATCCAGGCTCTCAGGCCAAGCTCACACCTTGTACCCTGCCTGCGGCTACCTTCCACGGAGACCTCGTTAGCGCTGGATTTCAGGGGAAAGACATCTGGCTGTACGGCGTGCCGGAAGATCTCGATGCTGTGCCCGATTTCAACGCCGCAGGCGCTGATGGCTTGTCGGCCTTGACTGGACAGGGACGGAGAAGCAGCAGACCCCCGTCACGATCGCCATCGTCTCGGGCGCAAGAAAACCCTCGGGTACCACAGTGGCAGGTGCTATGCGACAAGCTTCGAAACACATTCGTCTGGGGCGCCAAGATTGCAGAGCTGGATGGTGTCAGCACAGTGAAATGGGTTGCTGGCTTTGGGGAGACATCGGCACAAGAGCGTCTAGTTATCGCAGCCCGCGGCATCTCACCTGGAAAGTCAATTGTCGAAGAGGACGACATTGACTTCATCGATGGCGGAAGAGTTACTCTTCTTGACTTCGACTACAGCCTTGATGATGGTCAAAGGACAGAGATCGAGATCGAGGTGGGAACGAAAAAGCCCGAGGTGCTCGAAGAGGAACAGAGAGACATCGATACCGAGGTAGCCATCGTACGCCGCAGGACCGTGGCGCAAAGGCGGGGGATCGCGGCGCGCTGATGCGTGCCGCCACGAGTGCGGCTATTCGGGGGAACCCCTTACCCCCGATGCCACCCATGCCACCCATGCCACAGCCTAGGGAGGAACCCGAAGCCAGAAATGAAGACGACGACGATGACGACGATCCGCTCGTTCCCAGACGCATAGGAGCACCGCCGCGGATCAACGTTCAGGAGCCAGTTTCGTCTTCGGCTCCTCAGGCAGGCGAAACCGCTTCGATGATCGAGGAGGAGGAGGCCGAGGAAGCTGTGGAAGCTCCTTACTCTCATGATGGGCCCCGATCAACCAATACCCTTCGTCGCGCAGCTACCGCTGCTGCCATGAACAGAAGCCGCAATCCTCAAGCGCCAGTTGCCGGCCCTGTAGAGTATCGGCGAGCGGACGGTCGACGGGAGCACCCGCACGAGAGTGATGCAGACAATTGGGTCCCACCACCGCCGCCGTACCAGAAAGACGACCCTGGTGACTTGCCTGCGTTCCTGCGAAACGCCATCATCACTCCCGCTGGCGTGCAAATCCAAAGCCGGCCACCACGGGTTCAAACAGCTGCACCAGCTGTTGGAGCATCGGCTTGGCCCCTTCCAGAACGACCGACCCTTGCTCAAACATCAGGTCGTCCTCTGAGTTACCACGAGCCTGCCGTTAGCCCGCCTGCTAACGTTGCCCATCATCTTCGCATTGCTAGCGATACGACGACGCTGTTTAGCCGCCCGCGCACTGCCGACTCGACTCGCCCAACGTCCGGCCCCTCTGCTCATGTTGACGATGACGACGATATCTACGACGTTTCGCCACCAGACTCACCACGTCTAGCTGCAAGGAATCCTGATGATGCTGAGGTCATCTCACCGCAAGACCAGCGCATCGTCAGCGGGCTTTCAGTGTCCCAGGCATCCAATGATGATAATCTGCAAGGTTTCCAAGCAGGGACTCCGGAAGTTTCGCCCAGCGCTTCGGCGGCCCAGTCGCCTCCCTCTTTGGGCCTGCAAATACCCCAAGTACATCCTCGAGCGCTACGGAGTTGCAGCAGGCTCAGCCAACATCCACTGCCGATGCACCATTGGTTAGACGCTTGTCCAACGCGCAAACCTGGCCAAGATCTGCTCAGCCGCCGGACGGTTCTCACCTGCATCCAAGGGTCGAGGCCTTGAGCAGCCATCCATACTCTGCTCCTGCGACCAACGCAAGGGTTGACGAGATCATGGGAGCTTCGCTAGCGGCCCCTCCTGGAGCGAGCCAACCGGCGCATCCTCAAAACCACGAGCAGCTGTCCCCGTCTCGGCCCTGGTCTGGCAACTTCAGCTCAGTTCAGCGTGTCCCAGTCGGCAGTCGCAGGCCTGGTTCTCGTCGGGCATCTGTACCGCAACCTACCGTTCAGCTCGAGTCGCGAGTCGATGTGCCAGGCCAAGGCAGCAGCCTGACGATCGAGGATCAGCCCCTGATCATAAGTACGCCTAGTGGCGTAACGGGCGCATACGATGCGCCCACGCGCCAGCAGTCGAATCGCAGAACTGACATGCCCCTGCTGGCCCCCATTCCGCGTCACCCACGCCCAACCCAGTCAGGCTCTATACGGCCTACCGTAGAACGGTTGGAGACCATTTACAGTGCCAATACCAACGCCGAGGCATCTGGCAGCAGGAACCTTATCCCGGCGTGGTTACAGGCGCCATCAACTTTGTCCACGGCTCGGCTGTCACACTCATCGGTCAACAGAAGGCCCAGTCGCGCCGAGCGGAGCGCAGCCAAGAACATCAAAGACGCCAAACGACGAGGCTGGAATGGTTCAAAGAAGAAGAAGAAAAACAAGAGGGTTAACCACGAGGTTGCCAGCTCGGCTGCGTGGACGGATGTTTCCGCGGCAAGCAGGAGCGGAGCCCATGGCAAGTCAGAAAAGGATAAGAAGTGTACTGTCATGTGAAATTATTGGTAATAAGCCATGCTAGGCACGTTGATGTGCCTGCAGTCTTGTCTTGTTTCAAGTACCTGAATCTTCATGAACGGAAGTTTAGCATTGGAGTTGTGGGACGGAGGGACGCATTTGATGGCTAGGCTGGCTTTTGGTCTAGACTACTAAGACAAACAACTTGAACATGGGAAGGAAAAGAAATAGGTGTGCTTTGCCTCCGTCCTCTATCGCGCTGGAATACACAGAACAGCCGCAACCGCTCACTCGTTCAACATTAATTCACAAGACCGGGTGTACGTCGATCTACGATACCAATTTCCTTGCGCAAACCACCTCGCACAACTCAATTGACTCTGCAACCCCGAAACTGTCAATCCGTAGTAATGTATGTTGTTGCACCTCGCAGCCCCAGCGCCGAACTACGCGAGTCAGAAGGCGATGTTGTATTGAAACTCGTTCCATATGAGATGCTGCCACAAGACCACCCACACAAAGCTGTCAAACAAGAGCCTCAATGCGTCTGTAGGGCGTTGGATGCCGGAAATAGGCTCTCGAGACTTGCAGCTCTCGGCAACATAAGAGGAAGAGCGGTTGCAATTCTTCTACCTGTGAGATGACCGATTTGCGCTCTTAGCTGGATCGGCGTTGAGGTGTACGCCGCTCAAAAGCGGGGTGCTCAACGCCGCGCTACTTATTGCACAAATCATTCGCTATTTTCAACAAGGTAACTTGGCCGAGCGGTCTAAGGCGCCAGACTCAAGCGAAAGCTTCATCCTTCCCAAAGGATGAGTATTCTGGTCTCGCAAGAGGCGTGAGTTCGAATCTCACAGTTATCATTTTGGTTTTTTTGGCGACACACTTTTGAACTTGTCCGAGAAGGAGAGGTCGCCCACCGGTTCGCCCCGACACATTGAAACAATGAGTGGGAGATGGGTTGAATGGTCGTTGTGGTCTGTAGAACTGGTGGTTTTGAACCGTGCACGGAAGACGGTGAAAAACGATTGGTTCGAGGGGAGCGGTTTTCTGTCTTACCCGTGCTTGACGTGCAAGCTTCCAACGTCTTGATGTCCCATGCATGAGGGGTTCTTGACCACGCTCGCCAATACAAGTTCTTTTGGATGGAAAGCCTGGCTGTCTGTTTGACACTCTTTCCACTTGTATTTTTGATGAGCTCTCACGACTGCTCAGCAGCGTTGAAACTAGGGGGCACCACTCTGGCGACGTCTCGTAATCTCTCATTGACCTCCTTCCAACGCCGAGATGATGTCCTCTTGGCAGCGACTAAGTGGCATGCATTATCCGAGTGCCGATTCTGTCAAGTTCACGTCTTGATTCGGGGAGACGTCGACTGATATGACGAAGTAAGAGGCATGTCCGTCATGGTCCATGGTTTGAGGTAAGCTGCTAGATTGTTCCCGGAGCGTCTTGGTCTCCAGGTTGTCTTCTGTTATACGGGTCCATTGCCTGTTCGAGGAGCCGTAGCCCTTCGAGGAAGGTAGAAATTTACAAGCCGGCACACCAATGCTTGGTTCAATCGTCAACCGAACACCCCTCGCACTCTGGTCCTGCAGTGCCACAAACAGGTTGCAAGTAGCGGGAGACATCAGACGAACGACCACCGTTTCGACCTTCTCGTTCCACCAGGCCAGCCCGAATCCGTCTTCGTCCCTGGTTCCCTCGACTCGCGCGGCGCACTCCCACTCCACAAATCCAGCGGGGATGTTCGAAATTACCGACCCCTGCTCCATCAGATAACTTTTTTCTTTCGTCTGCTTCCGCATCTGATAACCAGCCCGTCGGCCATCCCGCGCGGGGCCCGAACCTCTCCATCCAGGGTACAAGGCACCTCCTTCTCACCTCAAGCTGGCCAAAAACGAGCGTCGTCTTCAGAGGGCGGAACCAACTCGGCCGAGTCAATCGAGCCAGCAGCTCCATCCGCCACTTTTCAGCTGCAAAATTCCTCACGCAGGAGCACCTCTGCAAACTGCAGAGAGGCACAGCCCACGAACCGGGCAGAGCTGCTCCATTGGGCCAGGGACCCGATGCAACAGATCCGTCTTGACCTCTTGGCGATTCTGTAGCTCGTCGTTTCCCTCCACTACGATTCGGACAGGAATATGATCTCCACGTGATGGAGTCAATAAACTGTCAACCCTGAACGGGGAAAGGGTCCAATGCGGTGATGTATATTAAAAGGATGGCAATAGCCGTTCATGATGGCGCGCTCTGCGGCTCCGCTGAATAGATTGCAACCCTCTCTGTCTCTCGTTTCCTGTGGTTGCCTGTCGCTCGTTTTACTTTGACTCTTGCGATCCTCTGAAGTCCTTGATCCGTTCGACGTGATGAAAGGGAGAGCTGTCGCCGTCATTGGCGGCATAGCCGCGTTGGCACAAATCGCAGGGGCCGCATATGTCTGGCCCTCGAGACACGATGAGATTGAAGACATTCTCTCCTTGCAGACGGGGTACCGCAGCAGGGGCTTCGTTGAGGGTTCGTGGACAACCCCTAGTCGTGTCAACAGTGCTGGACTTGAAACTGACGGAAACAAAAACTAGGCGTGACCCCGTGCTCCTTTGGCGGCAATATCGCAGGCCGCCAGTTCGCCGCAGAATGGATCCGTACAGCCTTCCACGACATCGCCACGACCGATGCGGCCGCCGGCACGGGCGGCCTGGACGGCTCCATCTGGTTCGAGCTCGACCGCGCCGAGAACGGCGGCGCTGCCTTCAACAACACCTTCAGCTTCTTCAGCAACCTTTACTCCGTCAGGGCCTCGGCGGCGGACCTGCTAGCCATGAGCGTGGTCGTCGCCAACGCGGGCTGCGGCGGCGCGCGGATGCCGTTCCGCGCGGGACGGGTCGACGCCGTCGAGGCCGGTCCCGCGGGCGTGCCGGAGCCGGACACGCCGCTCGACACAACGCGGAACACATTCGCCAAAGCCGGTTTCAGCGAGAGCGAGATGATTGCGCTGGTGGCGTGCGGACATACGCTTGGCGGCGTGCACAGCAGGAATAACCCGCACATTACGGGTCACGATCCGACGCCGGACACAGTTACCAAGTTTGACAGCACGTTTGACAACTTTGACAACAAGATTGCGACAGAGTACGTCAGGGGCAACACGACGAACCCCTTGGTGGTTGGAAAGAACGAGACACTCAACTCGGACAAGCGCATTTTTGCATTGGATGGGAACAAGACGATTCAGAACCTGGGGTGTACGAGGAACGGGTTCAAAACGGCGTGCGCCGACGTCTTCACGCGCATGATTGACACGGTGCCCTCCGCGGTGCAGCTGACGGAGCCGATCGAAGCCGTTGACATCAAGCCTTACGTGGTGTTGGCGTTGAGCGGGAACGGGAGCATTACGTTCAGTGGCCACGTGCGTGTCAGAACGACAAAAGGTACTAGGCGCGACGCGAGCGAGTTGGCCGTCCACTTGAGCTTCGCAGACCGGAACGGCGAAGGCTCCGTCACTGTTCCGACGACCCTCGACGAAGGCGGCGCGACGTATGGTCTTTGGGGGGAGACGTTCGTGTGGTACCAGTTCGAGATAGCCATCCCCGCCGCGAGCGGCATCAGCAAGTTCCTCATCCACCTGACGACTCCTTCCAATAACGCAACGACGGTATATAGGAACGACGGTAGCGGGTACTCCCTGGACGACGCGCTGCTGTACCAGGCGCCCGCGTCGTGCGTCAACCGGACGAGCGTGAACAACGAGCGCACCTTCACCGTCACGGCAGCGGTACGGGAGGACCGCGCCGCGGACCCCGTGACGATGGAGCTTGTGCGGCTTGTGAGACGGCAGGGAATCATCCACCGGAAGCTCGAGATCGAGAGCGTCAAGCTTGCGGCGACGGGCGAGGGAGAGGGCGGGTATGTCGTCTTCCAGGGGCAGATGCAGCTTCCGACGAACGGATGGAGCACGAGCTTTGATCTCGTTTTGGGAGGGGAAAAGGAGGTCAGAGTCGACTTTTTGAAAACGCAAGCGTGTCCGCGCGTATGACTTTGGCCAAAAGAGATGGACATGTCTTCCCTTGGGCGTTGCCAGTGTGAGTTAGAAAGGAATACGTTTGTGTCAGGACCAAATATCATAAGATTCTCCAAACCGCTCCCATTTGTGCCATGTAGTCGGTGTTAGTAACTGTATAAAAGCAGCATAACCATTACACAGTAGGTCTTGTCCAGACCTTTGGCAGAAAACAACGCGAATAAGGATTTAAAAAAAAGGAGAGATGCTGGGTGAGATGGTAGGATGCCGTTCTTGTCATCCACTGAGCAAGCGTGTCTAGCCCTTTTGATATGAAAGAGTCCAAAAGCAACCTAGATACAGTTACTGCAGGATTCGTTTGAGTTGATTGCGCTGAGCCTAGCTGAAAACAATTGAGCCTGTTTCTTGTAATCTCTGATTCTGAAAAAAAAAAAAAGTGACAGGAACGGTTTGTGGGACCGTACGACCATCTTGAGTATTAAGATCAACGCTGGTAGTCTCTTTATATTACTTTAGTGTCTTCATTGACGCCTACAAGGATCACTCGATCCTTCCAGTAGATAGTAAAGTCGCTTGGGTTGTGACTATGTGTCATCCACACAAGCGCGTCAACTCATTTAACAGCAAGATGATGGGTTGTTTTAATGATTCTAAAATATCATGTTGTTCTGTTGTTGGCTCTCATTTGACTAGTTCATACCCTGTTGTCCTATCTGGTGATGGAGGAGATGCAGGATGTGAGGCATGTTAAGACGCTTGACCAGACCAGTAACTGCTTGACGAAGGCAACCGTGTGTTTCGAACCCATGAGAGACACCAGAGAGGCCATGCTATCCCACACCCCAAAGTATCTGACTGTATTCACGGCAGTTTGCATATGACGGCTGCGTTCTATAGAGTCGAAAAAAATGAACTACTAATTTTGACAAACTATCGGGTATGTGGTCCTAGTCTAGCATTGGCTATCCTTCGAAACGTCGGCCGCCCATGTCCTCTGAACAAAACGCATGACCGAATGGCAAATTGTGCCGTTCTCAGTAGAAACACGACGAGCACGCCCGAAAAAATAGGGACAGCTTATAAATCGAGTCCCGGCGTCGGGATAGCTACATTCAACATGCAAGCCGTTTGGTCCGTATGTTTTGAAGGGTGACGCTCAATCTGTAACCAGGGATCGAACAGTTGACGGTCGGCTCCGATTTGTGGGCGGAGCCCTGGCGCGGGGTCCACGCCGATCAAGAAGAATCCTACTAGGATCAGCAGCCAATGTTGTGTGAAGCGTATCTCGGCACACCGCCCGGATCCAGAGAGAAAAAGGCGCTGCGAGTGACTAATACGCTCGAGAAACAGACCTGGGGATAACCAGGTTGGCGGTACCCTCGGGGTCTGCTCTTCACGGCGCTGAAGTGGGGGTCAAATAAGAAACATGGAGAGAATCCCGTGGCGCTGCGTCAAGGCTATGGAGTTGATCGATGGTTTGGTGAGCGAAATCCGTCAGGATCAAGCACTTGAGATATGGCAGTCTGAATGGTAGGTCTTATAGGCCCGGGCCACGCCATAACATGCCACTGCCATACGACTGTCTTGCTGTGCCACACATTTCATGCGACGGCAAGACTTCATGGGCATGGCGTATTGCAGGATTTTGCGGTGGCGTAACGAGAACGTTGCGGTGTGGGATGGGAAACCTATTTGGAACTTGGTGGAAGGAAAGGAAGGGGTCCTGGAAGTAGCGGATAGCCAGTGTCAGAGGTCAAGAAAGGAAATGACTGAGACTCTACCAGGGACACTGATAGTGACATGTCAAATGCTTTGCTGCAATGCTGTGAAGGGTGTATACATTTTTATTGAGAGGCAATGTTGGCGCAGCATGAAGGGGCCGAAAAGGTGTTGCCATGCCCGGCATTTTGGTGGTTTCCATAGCACGCTCAAGGCATGGCGGAATAGGATAGTTGGTGAGATAGCAGTTGCCGCGCCGTCAAGTCGGCAACTATGCAACCTAGAAGCATATCCATGCTCGAGCTGTTCATGTGTCCGGACCTAGCGGACCTCTTCTCCCCTCCTCAATCAACTTAATCGGAACCCACTTGGGCACCGGAGGTCAAGCTGCTAAGGTATGTAGGCGGAACCCAGCGGAGGGGTGAAGATGGGTAAAGGGCTCTTGACGTTGAAGCTCGAACTCTTAGAGGCCAGAGGTTTGCGAGCAAGAGTGGTTGAAACTGATACCAATGTCGAAATCACCACCAGCCGGATGATGTTGAAAACGAAGCTAAAAGTGGCCTCACAATGGTCGTGACGTCCACCCTGGCGTGAACGCAGTCATCAATCGAACGCACCTGCCACGTTCTGGAGTATACCAAAAATGGCCTAGCGCCTAATCGGCTGGACCCTGGTGTCCCATTCGGAGTGCCCTGGCCAATGGGAAGCGACCGAAAGTGTGGCAGGCATGGGTAAATAATCCGTGGTGGTCTGATTCTCACTCGATCCTGCCGTGCACCCAAAGCCCATCATGCCACTTTCTGGAGTCGTTTGAAGCATCCGCGAAGCAATCTCCAATTGTGTCGAACCACCGAGCTTTCAACCTGCAGTCGCAAGCTTGTCAGTTCTTGGGCCCCCCTCTTTTTTTCCCTTCCCTTTCGATTTGTAGTACATGTTGGGTTTTTCTTCTCTTCACTCTTTCCTCTTCACCGTCAGTCCCATCTCGCTGTGCATCTGCAACCCTGGTCTACCCTTCGCATTGGTCCTGGTCTTTCTGCTGGTTCGCTGCGCTGCACCCACTGTTCTGGTCCTGATCCGCCCTGGTCTGGCTGCATACTCAGCGACCCTACCTATTCCATATTATTATATCTCGAATACCACCTCTGGACCCAACATTCCTCCCCCCTCGTCGCACACATACACTCGGACGACGAGACACTACACTACACCACTTAAACGGCTGGAGCCGTGCCTCACTTTCCGACCTCGCTTCGAGCTCCACGCCTACTGCAGTGTGTGTGCCTGTGTGCGCCAGTGTGGTGTATCTCGACCGCGCGCATTGCATGCTTGACCCCACGTCCGACCCTCCTCAACTCTCTGCCGTGCGAGCGCGGCGATTCCAACATCGTTCGATTATCGCCGAAGCCGTATACACTAGGCCGTCTGCAATAGCTAGCTAGCCAGTTACTTCGGCACCGCCCGACGTCCTTCGCTGTCACGAACCCGAACCCGCCTGTCTGTGAGACTGTGATATCAACATACGCCCTCGATTATGGCACCTAGTGTACTGAACTCGGACGGTTCAATGGAGAACCAGAACGGTCAGGCTGGTCAAAACGGCCAGACTGCCCCGGTCGGCAACCCCGCTGGACGTCTAAACGCCTTCGACGCCACTGTAGACACCCTCACCCTACTACGTAGCCTGCCTGAGCCTCCTATAGAAGCCCAGGTATGCGTTGTTGGTGCTGGTCCCGCCGGTCTCATGCTGGCTGCCAACCTTGGTCGTTTCGGTATCAAGGTTGAGGTCATTGATGACAGGGCTGACCAGACACCTGTTGGAAGGTAGAAGAACTGCAGAGCTCTTCATAACAGTCGCAAGCTAACACCCCATGTAGAGCAGACGGACTGCAGCCCAAGACGATCGAGACCTTCCGTCAAATGCGCCTGGCCGACCCTTTACTGCTCCGAGGCGTTCGCGTATACGATATTTCCTTCTGGCGAAGCACCGCCGACGAGCCGCTGCATAGACTGGGCCGCGAAGTTCACTATCCTCCTGTCATTGACGTCCTAGACCCCTATATCCTGCTCGTACACCAAGGCATGGTTGAAGGTCTCTTCATTGACGACCTGAAGAAGCGTGGAGTTGAGGTGCGGAGGAACACGGCGTTCGAGTCCTACAGCGTCCCGGAAAACAAGGCTGGACCTCTCCAGGTCAACTGTCGCACCAACGTCACCCAAGATCGGCGAACAATTCTTACACAGTACTTGGTTGGATGTAAGTAACTTGGGCTAAGCTGCTGCCTCTTGTCAAGGGGGGACTAACACGGCGCAGGCGATGGCGCCCACTCTAAGGTGCGGAAGAGCATCCCAGATGCGCGAGCCATTGGCTTGTCGCAGCCGGCAATCTGGGGTGTTCTCGACGGCGAGCTCATCACCGATTTCCCGGATATCTGGTCTAAGACACTAGTCTACTCCCAGGAGTACGGATCCATCCTGATTATCCCTAGAGAAAGGAATATGACACGCTTCTATATCGAGCTTAAGGCAAACCCCAAGGCAGACAAGCGAGAGCTTGGCCAGGAGTTTGTTATGGCTCGCGCAAAGAAGATAATGGCGCCTTTCGAGGTTAACTGGAAGTATATCGAGTGGTTTGGTCGTTACCAGATTGGCCAGAGAGTGGCCAGCCGGTTCGTCGACCCCCATTTGAGGGCTTTCCTTGCTGGTGACGCCAGCCATACGCACTCCCCGAAGTCGGCTCAAGGCATGAACACCTCGATGCACGACTCGTGGAATCTTGCATGGAAGCTGAACCTGTCCATTCGCGGGCTCGCGAAGCAAGCCCTGCTTGAGAGTTATGAGGAGGAGCGAAGGAAGATCGCTGTCGACCTGGTCAACTTTGACTATGAGCATGCAAACCAGATTGCTGGTGGTGACGCAGTAGCTCTGGCAGAGAACTTCAAGACGAACGTTCGTTTCATTTCCGGTATTGGTGCCGAGTACTCTGAGAGCCCACTGAACAGGCCCGAGCCTCAAGGCCTTATCATGGGAGATGCCAGGCCTGGTTGCCTGCTTCCTCCGGCTAAGGTCACCAGGTACATCGACTCAAACCCCGTCGACGTCCAGCTCGACATCCCGATGCTCGGACAGTTCCGTATCTATCTTTTGATGTGGGACATCCAGGCGTCAAGCCCCTTCCTGGAGACTTTCTGCCAGTCTATTGCCTCGGCCAATTCTTTCATCAGCAAGCTGTCTGCTTCCGCAAGTGCTTCATATGCTGCGCAGCCCAGATTGCCGTGCCCAGAGGACATCTACTACCGGCCTGAAAGATACACCACTGTCAGCCATCTCTTCACATTTGCCTTGATTAGTAAGTCCTCTCCCATTGGCATTTTGGCACCTTCACTAACATGAGCGCCAGCTACAATGCCTAAGGCGGATGTGGAGATCTCAGACCTGCCGGCTCTGCTGCAGGACAGCCGTTGGACCTTCTACCTGGACGACATTCCAGAACAGGACACGCGTGGTCAGCTCTGCACCAACAAGTGGCTCGGCAGCCTCGGCCCCGGTGAGGTTTCCATTGTCAACGTGCGACCAGACGGCTATGTGGGTTCCGTTGGTCGATGGGACTCGAGCATGGACGATGCCGGTGAGGAGGCTGCTCGATGGTTGGACGACTATTACGGCGGCTTCCTCCAACTGCCCAACGGCTCATCACCTACCCCTACACCGACCCCCATGGCAGTTTAGACGTGTCAACACTTTAATCTCTAGTCTGTTCTCAGGAGCGACTTGTTCGGCGTTTCTGTATCATACAAATCTCACATCATGCGACACACAACACACATAATCAAAAGCTTGAAGACAGCAGGCATTCAAGAAAACGCAGACATGAATCCTTCACTTTCTCTCTTCCAACTTATCCAGCAGGTGTTGGGGAGTGTGGCGGCGGTACGGTTGTTATCACGGCATTTTCAGGAGCTAAAGGGGATGGACAGCAAGCACAATCTGTTGCGAAGCAGGGGCTTGGTACTCAATTTTGTCATTTATTCAACACGCAACCGAGTTGGGATGAATTAACCACATTGGGCAGACACATGTCAATAGATGGAATCTTCATTGCAGTTCTCAGCTCCTACCCGGCTAGCTCCACCAATCCACGCGCGCCTAGGGCCATGATCGTGAGGAAATGACACCACATCTAGAAGCGTTCATACGAGCTGTCATCTCCCATTTCCCATACACCCACATTGACAGCTGCTGGTCTCCTCACCCTTCCCCCCCTCCTCCCTTCCTCAGAGAATGGCTCCTTCGAAGAGACCGGGCGGCTTGCCGCCGCCTGCAGATGACATATGCGGCTGCCTCTGTCTGTCCTCTTTGGACGTTTGGGGCTAGGCTTCAGCATGTAATCCGAATCTTCTCCAACAATCAGTCGATGTACCCACGTCAGCCCTATCAGAATCGAACCACGCTCACGTCCCCTGTAGCATCCTCTCCGATAACCCACCTCTCGTCGCCCGCCAGCGCAGCACCCTTCATGAGCGTCTTCCACATGTCGTCCTCGAACTGCACCTCCTTGCGCACCGCCGTCTCGGCGGCCGCGTCGGGTTTATCTGCGGATACCGCGCCGGCGCCAGTCGTGTCCCTAGAGGTCTCCCCGTCGCCCTGGTGGCCTCTCCCGTGGCTACCGTTCACACTGACGCTGACGGTCTCCATCGTGAAGCACCGCCTCCCGCAGACCCTGACTCCCGCACCGGCGTCGACGAACTCGGCGACGGTGAGGTAAGGGAACTCCTCGTGGCGCCAGCAAGGCGCCTTTCCGGGCCACGTCGTTTCCGCCGTGGAGCAGGGCCGCGACCGGGCGGCGGGGCAAAAGGACCTTTCGGCGTCGCCGTCGGCGCCGCACTCGTGGACCCACCGCGGCCCGGTTCCGGAGAGCGGAATCCCGACGCTGCGCACCGTGTGCCGCGCCGGAGGGTTCTCGGAGGCGTGCGGGCCCGAGGACCAGAGGTGGTCTTCTTCCTGGATGAAGATGTGGCCGCTTACTCTCCTCGTTTCTTCATCGCCGTGCTCGACGGTGTCGAGAGCGAGCCTCATCAGCCGCGGCGTGTTGAGCTGCCTCACGTCCCAGTGGTCTAGCTCGCGGTTGGTGAGGCGGAGGACGACGTCGGGGCCCGGGTCGGAAGGCGGCCTGTTCGAGGACGAGGGGTCGAGGCTGGGTTTGTACGGCGAGGGCCCGTTGAGAGACCACACGACGAGGCGTTCCAGAGGGATGTCTTCGCCCCAGGGGGAGCGGGTGGGTTGGTGGGCGAAGAGGGCGTAGTGTGTTGCGTTGTGGGTTGAGAAGATACGGTCTTGGGTGAGGATGGGGAGGCCTAGGTAGTGGATCTTCCATTCTGAGCGGAATGTCACCACGGGGGCCTTGATACGGGTTGCTTCGTCTTCTTCATCGTCCGGCACTGCTGATCCTCTGCTTACATCCCGGTTTGTTTGTGGCTTGTTCTCTGATGGGCGAAGAGGATGGAGGGGCGAGGAGACGACTCGCACGTCAAACGCCGTGGCGAAGTGCCGATGTGCAACCTCGCCCTCGTTGAGCGGGTGAAAGCCCCGCGCCTCGGCCCATTCAACAATGAGGATCCCCTCCACAAGACGCATGCGTCGGACGACTTTGTCGGTCCAGTCAAAGGGGACTGTTGACTCGCCGCCCGAGCTCAAGTCCAAAGCCTTCAAGACGGGGGGTTCTACAGAAGACGGAGGAAACGTGGAGGAGTGCGTGGAAGACGAAGAAGACGGGGCCCGAGAATGAGGCCTGGGGGATCCGGCAGAGAAAGATGAGGAGGGGGCCGGGTATACCAGCACCCCGTCGGCGTACGTCCAGTTCGGGTCCGCGAGCTTGAGGGGCGCCAAGTGAACGTCAACGCAGAGCTGGCGGGCCCAAGGCTCGAAGCGGCGGAGGGGAGCCGACGGCTTCAGGATGGGGATTTTTGTGAGGGAGTGGAACGTCGCCCTTGAGAGGTTATGGTAGCGCCGGGCTACGTATGCGAAGAGGGCGGGCCAGTCCGGTTCCGCTTCGGCCTCGGCTGCTTTTGTCGGCAATGCGTCTCTTTGCAGCTCTCTGAGTTCTTGAGGCGGGTGCGGTTGTTTCCGTCTCTGTGGCGAGACCAGTAACCTCAGTAGTCGGCATTCTAACGACCTGGGGAAGAAGACATGGAGGAGGGCCTGTGAAAGGTCGGGCCTCGTAAGAGCCGCGTGAGAAGCATGGGAGACGAGGCGGTGGAGAACGATCTCGCGCGGGGTGAGGAGGGAGAGGATCTCAAGGAAGAGAGTATCAGGGAGGTCCGTCAACTGGAACATGTTTGTAAAATTTGAGAGCACACTTTGACCCGGTGAAAGTTCGTCGGGGCGTGGCTAGATGTAGACTGCGGAATGAGGCCTAGATAGTACTATTCAAACTCGGCGCCAACAAGGACTTTTCTCTCCTAGCAATGAGGCAGCGAGAACTCTGACTGCGAAGCTCATGCAATGACTATGCTCAACGAGCGGAGTCGTGGTGACCAACTCGCTCGGACGGCACTGATGGATCTTGTTGATGTCCTTGTCCGTGTCGATGGGGTGTTGAATGAAGTTGAATGCAGGGTGTACAAGACGGCCAGTGAATAATAACCTCTCATTACTAAGACTTCGGAGGCAACTAAGCATACATCCGGCCAACACATTGAATCACTCTAGCAGCAACAACTTTGGTATTATTCCATTTGGCAAGGAACGTCTCTCATATCAAGATGGCGGCGATTTTTAGAAGTGTGCTTGATTTATTGGCTATCCTACCGAGGCTTAAGCAGCCTCGGCGGTCGCGGTATGCATTTTTGCTGTCTTTTGCTCATCCAGCCATGTCATTTCCAGCCCACCACACGCCTTCTTGTAAGACCCAAGAAAAAAAAAACCGACCAATTTCAGATACATGCTCAAAATGTTCATTCAGCAAATTCGTTCACCTAACCGTCAGAAGCCCCAATGTGCGTACCCCGGTCCCGGCCCCTCTTCACATCAACAGCATACTCAGGAGTGAGTCGGCATCGCAACGTCGGCCTTTTGCGAGATGGCGTCAGCGCTCTGCCAAAGGGCGGTGACGGTCTTCTGCTGCGTGTAGAAGTTGATGCCAGGCCTTCCGTAAAACGTGTTGGCGCCGCCGCCGGCGATGCTCTTCTTGTTGCCGGTGAAGGAGAACATCGGCAGGGGGACGGGGATGGGCACATTGATACCAATCTGGCCGGCCTCGATGTTGCGACGGAAGGCCTCCGCGGTGGCGCCGGAGCGGGTGAAGATGGCCGTGCCGTTGCCGTACTCGTTCTTGTTGATCAGCTCGACAGCCTCGTCAAGCGTCTCGACGTTGAGGCAGACCAGGACCGGTCCGAAGATCTCCTCGGTGTAGCACTTCATGTTGGGCGTCACGTTGGAGATAATGGTCGGAGCGACCCAGTTGCCGTTGGGGTACTTGGCGGGCTTGTAGCCACGGCCGTCGAGGAGGATGGTGGCGCCCTCGTCCTCGGCGCTCTGGATCAGGCTCTCAATGCGCTGCTTGCTGTGGGGCGAGATGACGGGGCCGAGGTCGGCACCTTCCTCGAAACCACCGTCGACCTTGAGCTTCTTGGCCAACTCGGCCAGCTCGGGGAGCCACTCCTTGGTCTCGCCAACGAGGACGAGGGTGCTGAGAGCCATGCAACGCTGTCCGGCGGCGCCGAACGCGGCGCCGACGACGCTGTTGAGGAAGTGGTTCTTGTTGCAGTCCGGGAGGACGGCGGCGTGGTTCTTGGCGCCCAGGTTGGCCTGCACGCGCTTGCCGTGGGCGGAGCCCTTGTTGAAGATGTACTCGCCGGCCTTGTTACCGCCGACGAAGCTCACGGCCTTGATGACCGGGTCCTCAAGGATGAAGTCGACCGTCTTGTGGGCGCCGTGCACGATGTTGACCACGCCCTCGGGGAAACCGGCCTTCTGGACGAGTTCGGCGAGAATCATGGCCGCGCCGGGGTCCCTCTCGGAGGGCTTGAGGATGAGGGTGTTTCCGGTGACTGTCGCGATAGGAATGCACCAGAGGGGAATCATGGCAGGGAAGTCTTAACCGAGTTAGTTCCATCTTTCTTTTTTAAAAGCAACGGTTTGAGATCACTCACTGAAGGGGCAGATGGCAGCCACGACGCCCAATGGCTCGCGGTAGCTCCTCGTCTCCATGTCCTTGGCAACCTCCAACACCTCACCCTTCAACAGCTCGGGCGCACCGCAGGCGGCCTCGGCAACCTGCAGACCGCGAAGGACGTCGCCCTTGGCATCGGCAAACGTCTTGCCCTGCTCGAGGGTGATGCTCGCGGCCAGGCGGTCCCAGTTCTCGCGGATGAGGGCGACGAACTTAAACATGATCTGCTGGCGGGCCAGCACGCTCATGGCGCGCCACTTGGGGAAGGCCTTCTCGGCCGAGTCGACGGCCGCCTGCAGCTCCTCGGTGGTCATCTGCGGTACGCGGGTGACGAGGTTGTTGGTGGCCGGGTCGTGCAGGTCGATGAAGTCGGTGGCGCTGGAGCTCATAAACTTGTTGTCAATGAAGTAGGGGGTGTCCTCGGGCTTCGCGATCTTCTCGTGCGTGTTGGGGTATGACTCGGCCGTCGAGGCCAGGGCGGCGTTGAGGTGCCGCGCCGTGGCGTGTATCCTCCTCGCCGCGATGGCGGAGGCGGGGGAGCTGGAGGATGTCATAGTCTTTGTTGAAGACAGAAGTGAGGACCGGGCGAGGGATGCTACTGAGGTTCGGCCAGCGCCGGCAGTGATGCTTCGAGAAATGGCCCGACGCATTGTAAAGGAAAGGGAGGTGAAGAGAGGGGAAGGGGGAGAAGACAGGTTGTAATAGAGTCTATGAGGAGAGCAATTGGGCAACTAGAAACAGATGGTGCTACACACTACGCAAGTCTGTCCGTTCCTTCTCAAACCAATGACTGGCCACTTCGAACCAGCAAGAGATTCGTGGCGGCCGGAGTCGAGCGACATCGTAGTCCCTTATAAAGTCCCCAGGAACTCGGCGAGCTCCCAGAGTGTGGGGAAAGGTTGGGGTGGGGTAAGATAACGCTGTTTACGCTGCCACCAGATCCCTGCCTAGTTCTCCAAAGCTCCTCGCACCGAAGCCGGCCCCCAATGCCGCCTTATGCCGAGGGGATCCGTGCTGGGAGAAACGAGCGTCAGTGGGCGCTCTCCGCGAGCGTAAACGGCGTAAACAGCGTATCACCTTTAGCGGCGAACCAGCCGCAGGTGGATCTCAGACTTTCATAGCAGCCCGGGGTACCACAGTTGGCCGGAGAAACTTGCCATGTCTCGTTCAGCAATCAGCACGATAGCGCGGCAGATACAGTCACTTGATATATAACGTAAGAACAGCACCGAGCGATTGTTTGGTCAAATCCCTAGTTTTTTTTTCGGTAGCTACCTATAATACACCTACGCCATGCTCTGTCTGTCCCTTGATGGCCAAAACAGACATAATGAGGGAGTTAAACTGAAAAAAGCAGCATCCATGTTTCTCTTTGGTCCTGATATCACCCTGGTGCCATGTTGGCACGAGACATGTGGCCTTGGGCCTTTTTCCCCCCGCTGATAATATCAAAGAGAAAGCAAGCTAATTCACAATTCCATCTCGAGCCACTCCAGTTTAAGACGAGCTGCGGGTGTTGCGCTTGGTGGCATCCTTCGCGACGTCGGCGCCGGAAGCGACAGCCTTAGAAGCCTTGTCCTTGACATCCTTGGCCTTGTCCTTCGCGTCGGCGGCAGCCTTCTGGACGGCGGGAGGAGCACTGCCAGAGCTGGCAAGGCCAACAATGATGGCAATGATGGTGACGAGAAGAGCACCAATACCGCCAGCAACCTCGGGAACGAACTTGACGGCCTGGATGGGGTCCTTCTGGGCAATGGTGATGAAGAGGTCAAGCTTCTCCTTGATGAAGTGAACAGGGTCGTCGAGGAACTTGAGGTCGCTGGGAGACTTGGGCTTCTCGGCGTCCTTGGGCTTGTCAGCAAGCTCGGCGAGCTGCTCCTGGGGGTGCTTCTCCTTGAAGGACTCCTCAGCAAGCTTGGCGGCATCCTCAACAGAGTGGCCAATGTAGATGTTGTCGAAGAGAATGTCGTTCTGCATGGTCCAGATCTCGAAGCCAATCTATTGATTCAGTCGTTAGCAAAAGGTGTTACTCATAATGGTCTGTCAGGTAAACTTACAGCGCCCATGGGCTCGAAGTTGGCGGGGGTCTTGTCCTCGTAGTAGTCGGGGTTCTTGATCTTGCGAGGAGCCCAGACGCCCTTGTAGGCAGGGTTGTCGATGTAAGGCGCAGTCCACTTGCCCTTGTAGTCGGGGTTCTTCTTCATGGGCTTCGTCCAGGGACCACAGCCAGAGGCCTCAGTGCACTTGGGGTTGGGAACGGTAGGGGCGACCCAGTCACCATCCTCCTCGTCGTCCCAGTCCTCGGGCTTCTGGGCCTCAGGGTCGGGAATGGTAAGGGGCTCATCCACAAGCCAGTCCTCGGGCTTGGTGGCCTCCTCATCGACAATCTCGAAGGGCGCGTCCTCATCCCAGTCCTCGGGCTTCTTAGCCTCGGGGTCGGGGATACGGGCCTCATCAACCCAGTCCTCAGGCTTGGAGTCCTTGGGGTCGTCAATCTCCTTCTCAGGGTTGACAGCGGGAGAGAAGTCCTCAAGAAGGGAGCCGGTCTTGACCTGCTCGCCATTCTGCTGGATGATGAAGGTGTTGTTGGGGTGGACAATGAGGGTGTAGAGCTCAGTGGTCTTGACGATGCGAGCGGTGGGGGGAGAGGTGAGGTGCTTCTCCTCGTACTCGCCCGTCTTGGGGTTCTTGTGGTTGAAGATGAAGTGGACCTTGTTGGTGTGGCCGCACTTATCGGGACCAAACATGATCACGTAGGGGGTGGCGTTGGAGAACTCCTCCTGGTGAAGAGCCTTGTTCTCACGAAGGAGCTTTAGGTAAGCACCACCGCACTCGAGGCCATCTGCAGGAGATGGTTGTCAGCACTGCGGACGGCTAGCACACGGAGCGCAAAGACTAGGGACTTACTCTGAAGCTTGACTTCGTACTGGACAACGAGAGTCTTGCCCTTATTGTCAATCTTCTTGGGGAACTTGGCCGAGATGGCGTGGTGAGCAGCAGGGTTCTTGACAACAAGACCCTTGTCGCCCTCCATGCCCTTGTAGACGGTGGGCTCCTCAACAGACCACTCGCCGACGTAGGCCCATTCCTCATCGTCCTTGGAGTCCTTCTTGGCGTGGGAAGGGCTCCAACGGGTCTCCCAGTCGTCGGTGAACTGCTCAAGGAAGGGGGCCTTGAGGGTGGTAGGCTGTGTAGGAAAAGCATGGTCAGATACTGGCTTACGGTTGTTGACGGGTAGAGCAGTTGTGTAGCAGCTCAGAGAATGCTCCAGCCCGTGCCCATATGCTTTGAGCTCGTGCGCAAGGCATGAGACCGCAGCACAGAAGCAGTGAGGGCATCATCCAGAGCAACAAAGGAAAAGTAGGCGGCCAGAGGAGGGAAGAAGGAGCTTACGGTGAAAGTAGGCAGCTTAGAGGCGACCGAGGTGGCAGACTCGGCGGCAGTAGAGGTCTTGTCCTCACTCAGGACCTTCTGAGCATCGTCGGCGTAGGCACCGCTCGCGAGCAGAGCCGCAGCGGACAACGCAGCAGCGTTGAACTTCATGATGGGCGAAAGGGTATCGGTGTCGCGACTTCAAGGGATCAGGTGGGGATCAGGAAGGGGGGAAAGTAGCGTTAAAGCTATTGGGTTGGAAGATTGTCAATTGAATGACAAGGAAAGAGTTGCTCCCAGCGCGATGGATGGTGAGGATTGGATTGTTTCGAGGAGGAATTTCCCAAGGAGAGGGAAAAGAGTTTCGGAAGAAGGAATGGGGCGAGGAAGGCGCCGGATTTATCAGTCTGTGAGGCAGGTGCTCGTCGGCGGGTTGTGCTCAACGTGTCCTTTTTTTGTGGTAAAGGTATCCGTGCCGGAAGCACCAGCAGCCTGCACCACCAAAAGCATCAGCAGCTAGGGGAGAGCTCACTATCGCCCTCTCGGGGTAAAGCAAGGCAAGGCCTCTGGGCCAATCAGCTTGCCGGAGAATTGGGGTTTCGGGGGGCCAGGAGTAGGAGCAGTTGCCGTAGCCTGCGTGCACATTACCAGGGGTCGTCGGGGTTGCACGGTCGCTGCTGCCCACCGCACCAATACGAAGGCGCCGTGGTACCTTTTTCAGTGGGCTGCTTGTTGAACTGAATGAACTGCGGACTAGGAGGCTGTGGCTAAGAAAAGTGCGGGGGCCCTTGGCGAAAGGGAAGGGATCCACCGGCTCTCACAGTGGACGGGAAGAGGGGATTCATGGTGCTTCGACGAGCTTCCAAACCTCAGTTGCTCATCCTGGCTTGGGGAGCCGAGCTCTTGCCAGCCCAGCCTGCTGCTCTCTGCTCAGGTACTGGTGGAAAACAAAGAACCCATTGATGGGCACAATGCCTCCCATCTACGTATTATGTACACTACATACTCACATAATCTACCAGCAAAGCATGTCCGTACGGAATTTCATTTCAGCCATCTGGTTCTTAGTCAGCACTGAGGGTGCGTCAATCGGGAAGTTCAACACTCAAATGGCGAGGTTGACGGCTGATACCGACGTGTCTCAAGATTGACTGCACTGTCGCCGTGCCGTAGCCACTGCTGGTGGTTGCATGACATCTGACCCCGGGAAGCTATATTATATCGGAGATGTCAAACAAATTGCGAAAGCGCACAGATATGCCTCGGTTATGGCAATGCCTGATGGCCACTGGCGTCTGGCGATCTCAGCTGGGTTTCAGTGTCTCGATTAATCGCAAGGTTTCTACTTTGGGCAGGCGGGTTGACGAGTTAATATCAACCAGAGTCACGCTACAAGTGCACTTATTAGGTACTATTCATATCCGTAATATCCCACCAAAGCTTCCCCTTTGGCGTCCCCACTCGACGGGATGAACAGCAGCATGGCCCTCGTCGTTGAAAGAGGCTAGGTGTCCTTTTTCCGCATCACCTGCAGGACGCCAAACCAGCCTCAATCTGACCGGGCTAGCTGCCGATTCTTCACCGGTGTGTCTCATCTGTCCTTAGCACATCACTCGTGTCGTCCCGGCTCTCCTGAGTTTTCCGCTTTCGCATGCCTTGCCTGAAGGCACCAGTCGCAATCGGATTATCGCAGATTTGTGATGGGCCCGCCCATTGGTATCGCAAGTTGAGAGCTCCGAGGGTTCGACCAATGGAAACGAGCCTCTCCTTTCCCACGTCAACCAGCTATGCCGCGCTTGGGAGAGGAGCGTTCCGTGCCTTGCGTGCTTTGCCATGTGGGGAGGACAAGAGGTGCCACTGGCCAATTCAGCCGACTTCAGCCTCACATGTATGTGGCTTGGGCAGAAAATTTCTGGGGCCCTTTTTTTGCGATTTTGAGTGAGTAACACATTTGGTTCAGTGAGCGAGCCAACTTACTGTCACAATATCGTTGCGCTCTTCTCTGAATCCGTGGTACAGTCCAGTCGGATCATATCAGTATTTTTTTTATTTTAGAATATTTGATTCAGTCGGGTTCGCCTTACTCAGACCTATATATTCCGGTCTCTTGATACCCTGGTCGCGTTTTTACCCCGCCAACCACCCCTCCCTCCCCTTCAGACATCATCTCAGAAACAGCCCACCATGGCGTCCGCAAGTGAGGTTCAGAACCCCGACCAGCTCGTCACCTCAGACAACCCTGAGCACCCGGCAAACCTCATCCCTTCCCTGTGCGCAAAGTTCTGGAACCTTGGCTGGGTCACGGGCACTGGTGGTGGCTGTTCCATCAGAGATGAGTAAGTGAAGCCACACCCTGCAACGTCCTCAAGTTTGCCCGAGCGAGATAACTCGCAATCTCACTTATATGCTTCCCATCTCATATAAAGAGACCACAAACATCGCCAATTACTTACCCAAACTCGCCTGACCACCCAACCATCCCTTGCCCCCAAATATCGCACCATGGCTCTCGCTTACACACTCCCAGCGACCTCGTCTACATCGCCCCCTCGGGCGTCCAGAAGGAACTCATGAAGGCCCAGGACATCTACGTCCTCTCTCTCGCCGCCCAGGAAGCATCCCTCAAGAACCGCGTCTACCTGCGCTCCCCGCCCTCCTACAAGCCCTCGCAGTGCACCCCGCTCTTCCTCGCCGCCTTCACCCGCCGCGGCGCCGGCTGCTGCATCCACACGCACTCCCACTGGGCCGTCCTCGTCACCCTGATCCTCGAGTCCCGCGGCGCCGGCAACGACAAGCTCTTCGAGATCAACAACATTGAGCAGATCAAGGGCTTCGGCAAGGGCTTCCAAAAGCAGGGCAACCTCGGCTACCATGACACCCTGCGCATCCCCGTCATCGAGAACACGGCCCACGAGGAGGACCTGACCGAGTTTCTCGAGGAGGCCATGGACAAGTACCCAGACACCTACGCCGTTCTGGTCCGGAGACACGGTGTCTACGTCTGGGGCGACAACGTCCACAAGGCCAAAACTCAGTGCGAGAGGTGAGTTGTTTTCTCATTTTATTTCATCTTGGTTGAGAGGACATATCCGTTGCAGAAGGACGGAGACCCCTAGCGCTCCGCCTGGGGGGGGGGCATTCCTCGTTATCCCTTGTTCCTGATTTCCCACATATCCGCTGTCTTAGAAAAGCGTGGAGATATGCTAACCGCAACGTTGCGCAGCCTGGATTACTTGTTCCAATTGGCCGTTGAGATGAAACAGCTGGGCATCCCTTGGATCAGCGACGTTCCAGTTGTTAAGCCTACAAGAGCCTAATCAAACTACGATCAGATGGAATGCAACTAGGTAATAACGATCTTGTGACGTCCTGATGTGATACGTAATAGGGGGGGTGCCTTCAGTATGTTCTATGACCGACTGAAGACAGCTGGTCGACGGACGCCTTTCACAACTACCTTTGGCATTACTCCGCCGCTTCGAGTTGTTGCGCGATTGGGTTTAGCAACATGATACATGAGCAGACTTAACAATGCCGCAGCAGACGACAGTAGAGCAAACCCTGGTCACAGCTGGAATATGCGGGAGATGCTGTGATATTTGGAGTTTGGCAGACGCTGTTGTCCGCTAGTGCATTAACACATATCCATGTAACTGCCTATTCATTATTGACCGCATATACAGCAAACATCCCCCCAATGGTATATACCCCTCGCCCGTGAATCCAAACATTCATCCAACACATTCTCCCCTCATGCCCCTTTTGTACCCATCATTAAATGCCAAAAGGAGATTTAAAGAAGGAGGGCGCCAATAAGACCGAAAACGCCGAAGGAGGCAGAGCCGATGAGGACGGGGGCGGCGTTAGGAGTAGACGTTCCGCTGGCGGCAGCATCGGTACCGGAGGCGGCGTTGGCGGAGCCGGACGCGCGGGTAGCAGAGCCAGTGGCAGAAGCGCCGGTAGCAGTGGCAGCAGTGGCGCTACCGCTGGAGCCGGAGCCGGAGCCGGCAGTGGCCGCAGGAGTGCCGCCGCTGCTGAAGTAGTACTCGCTGATGCACTTCTGGGAGCAGTCGGCGTACTTCTGGGTGTCCGAGGGGGAACCGTCACCCTGGGGGCACGCAGCAACACAAGCAGTGGTCTTATTGACCTGGCTCTCGTTGGGGTTGGGGACCTAGAGGTGCACACGTGTTAGTCCTTGCTTGCTTTTTTTCTTTCTCATTTGGCTCCGTCTATGGATTGTTTGCGCCTCTTGACTCGGGAGTCTTGCGGGGGAGACACTTCCAGATCCATATCAAAGAACCATGCGTGGGATGGGCGACTAACAGAAATGCACTTGGACTGGCAGCCAACGTCAGTGGCAGGGCAGCCCTCGAGGCACTTGGCAATGGCAGCCTGCTCGGAAGAGGCGGCGGAGACGGCGGTGCTGGTCGAGGTAGCAAGAGTGCTGGACTGTGCAGAGGCCAGGATGGCGAGAGCGCCAGTGACGATGATGGAGGTGAAACGCATCTTGAGTGTTGGTTGGTGGTGGTGGTATTACACGGGTGTATTAGAAATTGGTGTAAGTTGTTGATAGTCGAGCACACACAGCGAGAGTAGGCGTTTTGAAACAGGCGTTGAGCAACGAATGGACAGCAGAGGCTAGAGAAGAAGAGAGGAGGGAAGGGAGACAGAGTGTACAGTGGATGGACTGGAGGTGGGTTTAATAGTGTGTGGTGACCCCGAACGAAAGCCCATCTCCGGATCCAACGTCGACCTTTTCCTGCCTGGGGGGTGACAAGCTAAGGCGCGCGAACCCCCCAGGTGCCATGCTATGATTAGCCTTGGGAGTGGCCCCTATCCTTCCGCTTCTCGCCCACCCCCCTCTAGCTGCAAAGTGTGCGTCCTGTCGACGTTCTTCTTCGTGTCCGTGGGCCGGGGAACACACTTGTGTCTGCACGCAAGGGCGGCTTTCCTGGGGTGGGTGGACAGGGTGTGGGCTCAGCGGAGGGACCTGGAAAGTTCTCTTCGCGCATAAGAAAACGCCTGAAGCCCAGCCGCTCGAGACGAACGTAACGCCCTCTTCTGATAGTTTGCTCGTTCTTCTCGAACCCACTCGGGCGAGAGCATGTGTTAACCTCTGACTTGTGACTCGACTAATGGCCGGTTGCCCCCGTCCCATGTTGTGTTGATGTGGGCGAAAGTAGTCGGAAGTCAAACACAAGCGAGAAAAAGAGGAGCCCAAAGCAAGGTCAGAGGGGCGTGACGATCGAATTGGATCGCGCCGTGTCTGGGGAAAGATTGGGACCTGCGCCTTGGTCTGCCACTGTAAGGCAGGAGGAGAGACAGACCCTGCACTGCAGGTTCTCTCTGCTTCGCTTCCTCCTTCCTTGGGGCCCATCCTCCACCATAGTCTACCTAGGGTGGAAGGAAGGGAGAGCGAGAGCAAGAGCGAGAGAGACTCGCGCCTCCCGGGCCCAGTTCCCTGCGACTCGTGAGGACAAGGGAGGTTGCCTGCCAAAGTGGGCCTGAACCAAGTCTTTAATCCAATTTTAAAATTGCACTTCGACTTTTTTTCTTTCCTTCACGTCTCGTCCTCTGCAGCAGCGGCCAATTGCTATCTGTCCCGTCCCTTGATTCGTCCCCATTGGAGGGACATGCCGAGTCCCATTATTACATCAGTGTGGAGAGCCGTTGGTCGGGTGGTCTGTTCGTATTCTCCTCTGCATTTTGTCGAGGCCTCGATCGAACCTCGCCAGAAGTGCTACGGGCTCCATTTTACCAGCACATCGGCACATCTGGATTTGCTGTTCGCAGCATTGACGCCCCATTTCGCTTCTGCCCAATATCCGTATGCTACGGCGGCAATCCCGTCACTTCAGCTTCACGAGGTTTGCACGGCACGAACTCGCCGTGTGATGGAAAAAGGAGACGTTGGACGATGTTGGGTTGACAGCCAAGCAGCTAGGAACAGTGTACAAAAACAACAGACGACATCCATCGCCATGGCACGAAAGAAGCGCGTCTTTTCGAGCTATGCAGGGTTTCCTGGCAAATGTCACCGTATCATTGGCCGAGGGCACATGCCCTTGTCTCAGGGGCCAAAGGACCAGCGCCGTCGCCCTGTCGGCTGGCCAAAGCACTGGAGCGCCACACTCTATGCCACCGTGCAGTGGTTCCGTCAGGTACCTGAGATGCGCCAACTGGAGCTAGCACCTGGACGGTGAGGCGAGTCCAACGCACCAAGCTGAGCAGAGGACTAAATGAAGCGGAACGTTGACGAAGCTCATCCGCCGCCCAATTTTTCCACCAGCTTCCACGGCGGGACGACCACGATCAGTCGCTGTCTTGGTTAACCAGGAAGTGAAGCCGATGAATGGATCACCAGAGGACCTCAGTCCACCGGGGATACTCCCCCCCGCGACTTAGATTCGTTTCGAACTACATCCAGTGACGGCTCCTCACAGGACGGGATGAACGCCCCTCCAAACAAACTAATCTTCGTCCAACGCGGTTTGGGGGCACTCAATCCCGACCGACAGCCGACCATCGTCATGCTGTTACCCGTCAGTGAGCCACTTACATGGCTCGTGATGACAGACACAACACCCTCCCCAGCTGCCCTCGCCAGGTGCGGTGAGAGTGATGCCAACAAACCCAAGAACATTTTGCCTCATGGGCTCTTACACGAGGTGCTTTTGTGCATGAATACGAGATATTCATCCATCACACCACTTTCTCATCTACGATCTGCACCTTACGGCCAACTGTACCACCCAACATCCCCGAAGACACCAAGGATACCAGTGCCGTGCCGTAGGGCCGTTGACCTTGCGTTACGAGCCTCGACCCGCCTTGAGGGAAGCGCCGTCAGGCCTCCGCTCGTGGCGATGCACCGCTTCGATTCTTCCCACTTGCGGTTGCAGTGGGTGGGTGGGCAGTCGGAGAAATTTCGAGCGAATAAGAAAGATCTGATGCCCTTGGATTATCCTGGGTCGTGTGCACCGTTTCTGCTAGTTGTCTCGGCGGCATTTTTGCTGTTAACACAATAGCAACTCCTCAAAGCAAGGATTTCTGATGACAGGAGGTATCACGATGAAATTCCATGGCTATCCAATGCTCCCTGTCGCGCAAACACAAGGACCGGAAATTTCACCACGTCATGCCGTCCTCCACTGCCTACGCTAAGCCCGCGAGGCCCTCTCCTTGGCTTCTCCCTTGTCGCCAAATTCATGCGGACCTGGGGAACCAGGCGAGAAAACCACACCCCAGTCAGTGCTGACCGCGCAGCATACCATTGGCTGGTTGTCCTGCTAGCTTTTTAGAACCTTCCCGCTTCCCAACGAGCATTAAACCTCCTTTAGCCCAGGGAGTCGATTGGGACGAACCTAGAGAGCTGAGGTAAAACTTCCAGATGCGGCGTCGACCAACACTAAGTTCCTCATGATAGCCTGGCCTCTCTCTTCTGGGATACTCCACCCCTCGAAGGACAAAGAAAATGTTACTCTCAACCTTATTTGGGATGGTTTCTTGGTCTCACAGCTACAGTCACTCAGCTAAAAACACCAACGTGGGGATCGAATGGTTGTCCATGTGATGATATTTCTTCTTTCACCGAGACCGTTCGGGCGTTTCGCTTGGTAACCCCATGATACTTGGTTGCTAGCCTACAGCTCATCTCGCTGCCTAACTTCCTCTTGCGTCCCTTGCTTCAGCTCGTCGCTGGGCACCTGGTCAACAAGAGCTTCACCCTCTACCGGCTCTCCCTCGTCCGTCGTCGTCTCCTCGCCGATTTCTGCTGGCATCTCCTCCACAATTCTACCCACCTTCTCGACCAGCGACTCGGGATCTCCACCGCCTGCCGATCGCTGCGGCTCCCGCCCGATGTCCACGGTAGGCAGAGAGTCATCCGGCAAACCCTCGACATCAAGCTTGCCCTCGTTCACCACCACCGCCTCCGAAGGTGTGCCAGACCCGGCATACTTGACAACCGCCCCGCCGCCGCCAACTGTGAGGTTATACACCAGTCGCAGCGGCAGCCATACTAGCCACCACATTGGTCCGTATAGCAGCCTCCGGAACAGCAGCCATGCGCCCGTCACCATGAGCATGTAAAGGGCCGTCTGCAGGTACCATGTATCGCTCTTCTGGGAACGGAGCAGTGTGCCCAGCAGGTCCTTGGAGCTCGCAAGCATCGTGTCGAGCGAACCGTACGAGTCGTTGAGCTGCGCCAGCGCCGCTGACGATTCCGTCAGGGTCTGGTGCGCGAACTCGCTGCGGGCCAGCTCCGCGGCGATGAGGTCATGCGTGCGCCGCAGCGCACTTGTGACGTTGCTGCTTGCACCAACTGTTTGCTTGTCATCCTCAGTCAAGGAACTTGTGTTCTGGCTGTTCTGGTGGACCTGTCGGTGGCGGATTACGTCTGGCTTTTGCGCACCGAGGGACGGGGAGGATGCTTCGGAGACGGGCTGTGAGTAGGACTGAAGGAGGAGTTCGCGCTCGAGACGCTGCGCCTGCAAGAGGTTGCGCTTCGCTGTAAGTTGCGCCTTGCGGAATGTGACTCGTGAACTGCACGTGCATGTCAGTGACCATGTGCTTCCCACCAACCCCTGAATAGCTGCGTGCATGTCAAAATACCCTTACCTCTTGAGTTCTTGCCTCAGCCTCTCCACGCCATCCTTGAGACGGGTCTTGGTATGCTCCGCCTCACTCCCCGGCCTCCCGTCCCTGAGGTCCTCAACTTCCTCCCCAAGAAGCTCCAAGTCATCCTCCTCTTCCCTGAGAATCTGGCTGATTTCTGAGCTCAGCTCGGCGCTGACGCTGTTTTCTTCGTTCGTACCGAGGGGCACCGAGCCCGGCTGGAACTTGAGGTTGTGGAGTCTGTCAATGAGCTCCTTGAGCTGGGCCGTGGTCTCTTGCAGGGCCGTCAGGCGCTCCTGCAGACCTTCGAAGGACATGTTCCGCGAGGTCGTTCCGCGGACTCGCTCGAAAAAGAGTGCTTCTCAATGAGAGCGCCGGACGTTATTTCCACAGAGGAAAAAGGCACTGAGTCGACTCTCACAAAAGTGGTGCACCTCGAGGTGTGCAGGCAGGTAGTGAGGTATCCGTAAAGCTGGCCTTTCGCGGTGACGAAATGACGCGGGATCAAGTGTTGGAACCCCGTTTAGTCGATATGCAAGAAAACGCCACACTGTTTGCCGGGGGTTGTCAAGCCACACACGCACGGCGTCCAAGCTCCCGTCCTCCCGAACGACGCAACACGAGCCACGCGACCCAAATTTTTGGCGACAGCTTCGTTGAACCACCCTCAGAAGGCCGTACTTCAAATCACGAACCCCCCGTGCGAGCCCCCGTCACCCAAGCCCGCCCACAACGAACCTCACCGACGAGGAATACCCCAGAACCGATCACAAGTCCCATTGACCTGCCAAAAGCCCCGAGCTCGCGCAGCCACCTAACCACCAAAATGATTACAAAGTTCATGACCGAGGTCACCACCAAGTTCAACCCCTTCTCGCCAAGGGCCAAGTCGGCGCGGCTGTTCCTCTCCAACATCCCGCCCACGGCGCGCGCGTCCGGCATGTCGATCAAGACGGTCCTGCTACCGCGGACGTCGACGGAGCCCTCGTCGTTGTTTGTCAAGTTCAGTACGTGACGACTCGCCCATACTCTTTTTGCGGCCCTATCCCCGCAACTGGAAAACAAGAATAAGGCGCAATGTTGGCTAACTTTTGTTGTGCAGAGGACGGCAAGGAGATGAGCATTGACTGCGAGAAGATGGGCATCAAGAACATCATTGAGGAGGTTGACAGACACTCCCGTGGTCTGCAGAAGCAGGCCGATTTGACCGACTAGAGAAAGAACGAGAGCAAAGGCGGATGAGATGTCCTTGTATTATTATGGCATTGCATGTACGGGTACCGGCGTTTATTTGGGATGGGAACGATATCCCCACGGAATCTCGATTGACTATCGTTGGGAGCTCCAAGACGTTGTATATGTAGGAGAAAGGATAGAAGAGCTATGCTGATGCTGTCTGGTTGCAATATACGGCAATGAATACGGATAAATGCGCACGTGGAAATTCCAAGCAAATCACGGCTAACGCAAGGTTGTCTAAATGATGCAACTGTGTTTTACGGTACTTTTAACTTTTTGGTATTTCTAGTTGATGCCTTTCGGCCATCGAGCTTCGACCTTGTGTTCAATAGCATCTACTAACAAAGCGACATCGTAAACGTCTGAGCCCTTTCTGGCTAAAGCATCCACCTTCACTACCATTTTCGTCAACACAAGAGAGGGGCTCCCTTATGCGGAGGCACCGCTGATGAAGAACCACTTGTCAATGGAAGCGTCAATCTTCTCGGCGGGGAGGTCCTGGTTAGGAGGCAGAGGAGGGAGCTGGTCAGAGCCGATGCGGGCGGGGGACTGGCTGACGGTGGTGTTGGCGCTGTGGTGAAGTTGGTTAGCAACAGCTCGAGGGCCTTGCCAAGAAATGGCGTGATGACTTACGTGGACACGCTGCCGGCCTGGGTCTTGCCGGTGATGAGTCTCTCCCAAGCCTCGGCGCACTCGCGGACGACGTCCATGGCGTAGCTGCGGCATCTGTTAGCTGTTTGATCAGAGCGAGTCCCGTGCGGCTGAAGACCAACCTCTTGTTCTTGCACTCGCCGGTGAAGGCGAACTGGTTCTCGGGCTTTCCGTCGGGAATCTTGTAGATGCGGAACCACTCGTTGGTGGCGCGCAGGAGACCGGGCAGGTGGCGCTCGACGTCCTCGACGTCGTTGAGCTTGGGGGCCAAGGGGTCGTTCACGTCAATAACAATGACCTTCCAGTCGGTCTCCTCCTCGTCGAGCAGGGCCATGACACCAAGGACCTTGACCTGCTTGACCTGGCCGGTGTAGCCAACAAGCTCACCGATCTCGCAGACATCGAGAGGGTCGTTGTCACCCTTGGCCTTGGTCTCGGGGTGGATGGCGTTGGGGTCCTCCCAGGTCTGGAGCGCGAGGTCAGCTGAGTTGTTTCCGAGCACAAGGATGTCATTTAGCGGTCAATCGTACCTGGGGGAAGGCACCGTAGTTCCAGAGGTAGCCCTTGTGGGGGAAGCAGTTGCGGACGTAGCGAAGCTTGCCCTTCTTGATGTCCTGCTTGATGGGGTTGAGGAGCTCCTCCTTGGAGATCTGTCGTTGAAGTGTCGGTCAGCGCCACTTTGTCAATTTGGCGTCTGCGGGTGCCAGCAAAACACTGCACCGAGACGAGGCATTGGAGAGGGGAAAGATGATACTTACCTCGAGCTTGGCGTTGGTCCAGCGGGGGATCTCAACAACCATGTTCAGGATGGTCTGCTCCTGGTTGGCGTAAAGGGGGATGTCGTGGAAGGGGGAGACGGGAACGCCATCCTTCTCGATGTAGACACGGTGCTCCAAGGTGTTGGGAGCACCAACCTTGCGGAGGGAGTAAGGGGAGGCCATTGCGGGCGGTGCGTGATGGAAACTTGGGTCAGAATCCTTTGAGATGGTAGAGAAGTGACGGGCAATCTGCGCGGTTCTTTGGGAGGGAATTTTGGATTTAATACCGGGGGCGGTCGCAGTTTGTGATGGGCGAGGAGGGGTGCCGTTGGCGGATGATGCAAGGAGGGATGGAGGGGGAGGGGTAGGAGACCCGGGCGTTAGCTTGGTGTGTGCCGCCAGGGTTGCTGAGTGATTGGCCCGGGACGGGGCCTGAATCGGGGGTCGACGAGTGAGGGTGGAAACGGTACTGGGTCGGGCGGAAGGCACGCGAAAACTGAGTGCGCGGCGGGCGGTGGAAGGCAGTCGCTGTACGGTTACGGGGGTAGCGAATGGGCTGACAGTTGGCTTCGAGAGGAGCTGCAGCTTAATCCCTCGTAGGAGCGGCATGTGTGTGTACTCAGTGACCTGCGCTGGGCCGGAGGAGTATCTGGCTGAGAAGAGAGAAGAAGGGGATTAATAGGGATGGGTGTAGTGTTTAAGGTTAGCACACAATAGGGGAGGTCTTCAGCAGGGCGAGTTGCGGCGAGGAGACTACTATGTCAAACAGTCTTTTCATCCGAGGTTCAATTGCAGAGAGAGTGCGAGAGTGCGCTAGTAGCGAGGTAGCCGTAGCCGGTCTGCAGCTGTCGACGGTATGGGCCTCTCGAGCTTGAGGTTGACGAGGTACTCGCGGCTATCGGAGCTGCATTTGACAAGTGGTTTCTGCTGGGTTGGTACGGGGCCAGGGAGAAACCGGGAGAAGCTCTCAGTCTGTCTGTCTTGTCGCGGCAGCAACCTGGCAACCTTCCGACAGCGCAATGACTTTGGAAAATTTCTTCACTAGCCTCACCGTGGCTGGAGCTCGTCGAGACCACCCCCTGCTCTTTTGCCCCTCCTTTACCCCTCCAAAGGTTGGACCGATCAGCTTTCATCTTGAGGAAGTTGGGGTGTTCATTGCGTGGTCGTAGCACTTGACCAAAGTTCCCATTGCCTCAGAATGTGAGGTTATTATTATGTCAACCTGCCATGGTTGGTCCTAGTGAGTAGCTGGGGCATGGTTGTTTCAAAGAAACAGAGATTGTCCACCACATTACACTTCGTCGATTGCATTCATAAAACATCCTGTATCCTAGCTCTGTTACCGTCAGATTCGTCTTGAAGCCGGCTCTCTTTCTCACGTTCAGGCTCCTACTGCTCCAAACGTTGGGAGCCTCCGAAAAAGCATTCGTAGTCGCAAGAATCAACTCCGGTCGGCCCAACCACTACATCTGTTTTGCAGACCTTCAGCAGCGCAATGTCTACTCGAGAGGACTTCATCAAAACTCGAGTCTTCATCATTTCAGACACCCATGGCCTTCGGCTTGGTTACAAGCACGAGGCAGACGTCGCCATCCATTGTGGTGATCTTACAAATGAGTCCAAACTCAAAGAATATCGAAATCTGATCAAAGACTTGAGTTGCATTAAAGCGCCCCTCAAGTTGGTTGTTCCCGGCAATCATGACTTTACTTTAGACACACCCCAGTTCCAGAGGAAGATTGATGAGGCACGGCGTGCCAAACCAGATCTGGACAAAAACTATACGGCAAAGTATGGGAATCCTGGCGATTCTCGCCGTTTATTTGCGGAGGTTAGGGACACAGGCATAGTCCTGCTCGAAGAAGGAACGCATACCTTCGATTTAGCCAACGGTACTCGCCTGAAGGTGTACGCAAGCCCTCGCACACCCGCTGCTGGAGGGTTCTGGGGTTTCCAATATCGGGTTGAAGACGGCCACAATTTTGCCATCGAGAAGGGGACCGATATTGCTATTACGCATGGCCCGGCGTTGGGTATGCTGGACCACTCAAAGGCTAACCCCAAGGCAGGCTGTCCATACCTACTCGGGGCCATTGCCCGTGTCCAGCCTCGATTGCATTGCTGTGGCCACATCCATGAAGGCTGGGGCGCCAAACTAGTGACATGGAACGGGGTTTTGCCCGAACATCCAACGGGCACAGGCGAGCATGGTGTTAAGGAATCCTCTGTCATAGCAGCCTTGCGTGACTTCAAATCATTGTCGACCGATTCGAAAGAGGAAAAGGCACGCAAAAGACAATTTGTGAAGCAAAGTTCTGCCGTCAAGTGCTGCAACATTAGTCACTGCCAGGGTGACCGCAACCCGCTTGGCCACGAGAGTCAAACGCTGTTTGTCAATGCCGCAATACAGGGTGCGCCAGGCGAGGCAGCACTTCACTATCCGTGGGTGATTGATATTGATCTTCCCAAGACATGTTGAACGAGGGTACGGAAGTGTTAGGTAGTAGTTTTACGTTAGATGCATGGACCGAAATCAACGGTAAATCTCCGATAAATGCTTATCGATAAGATACCGTACTTTTCTCCATACTCTAACCCCGTCAGGGCATCGCCGAAGAGTCAACCATCGGATTGCGCCGAATACTTCCGTTCCTTTTGTCGAAAGCTATGTAACTTCACGCTCCTTCCTTGTCATGTCCCTTCGCACGCTGCTCAAGACCATGGGTTCAGAAATCAAGAAAGTGCCTATCCCCCGCCGTGGGGTCGACTATAGGGGCAAGATCGTTCTTGCGCCGATGGTCCGCTCCGGTGAACTTCCTTCTCGCCTCCTGGCTCTGCACTATGGCGCAGACTTGGTATGGGGTAAGTTTAAGACAGCCAGCGGTACTAAACTTTCATTGACAAGTCTCTTAGGCCCCGAAACCGTTGATAAGGCCATGATCGGCACCACTCGCAGAGTGAATCCTGTTACGAAGACGATCGACTGGACCAAGATCCCCTCCTTCGGGCAGAAGAACCCCCCAAAGACCATACCCGAGGCCATGGTCTTCAGTACACACCCGGAGAAAGAGGCGGGCAAGCTGATCTTTCAGATTGGAACCGCCGACCCGGACTTGGCAGTGCAAGCGGCCAGACTCGTCGCAGCGGATGTAGCCGGTATCGACGTCAATGCTGGCTGTCCCAAGCCCTTTAGCATCAGCGGCGGAATGGGAGCGGCTCTTCTGAAGACACCTGATAAGCTTTGTGCGATCTTGGAGGCTTTGGTCGCAAACATTATGCCGGAGTTCGAGATCGGCATCAGCGTCAAGATTCGCCTCCTTGATACCCCAGAACAGACAGAGGCTCTCGTGCGGAAGCTTTGCGCCACCGGCATTACTGGCCTCACCATTCACTGCCGAACGACTCCTATGAGACCCAGAGAGCGAGCGATCCGTGAACAACTCCGCATGGTTGCGCAAGTCTGTCACGAAGCTGGCGTTGCTTGCATCATGAATGGCGACGTTGAAAGCCGAGATCACGCAGTGGACTTGATCAAGGAATACGGTGTCGATGGCGCCATGATTGCAACCGCCGCGGAGTCGAACTCAAGTTGCTTCAGGTCAAAAGTTGACGGAGGTCTCGCCACCTGGGAGGAAATCGCGGCGACTTATGTCAAGTATGCTCTGGAAGTCGACAACAAGTACGGCAACACCAAGTATCTGTTGTGTCAGATTGTGCCGGGCAAGAGTGCGATGTATCAGAAGATGAACCAGTGCAAGAGCTATACCCAGATGTGCCGCGCCCTCGGGCTCGAGGACCTCGTGGAGCTCGCTCAACAGACAGACTTGAACAAGGGCGTTGATCCGGAAAAGGGGCTAAACAAGGGCGGAAAGAAGAGCAACCCAAGCGCCATGGCAGCTGGTGGCAAAATGGCCGAGAGCCGTGCCAACCAGGCCCCTCGCAATAAGTCTCAACGGGGCGTCAACGCTCCGTCGGAAGTCCCGCCAGCCCAGCCGGTTCAGTCCACTGCTGCCGCCCTCCAGACATGAGCCACGGGACTTGAAACCTCACGATGAGGGTGGTTTGCATAGGTACACAGGCGTTCGGGTTGATTAGAACAAAGCATAGCGACACATTGGTCCGTTTTGGCGGGCAAACCAAATAAAAGGAATGAGCGATAGATGGCACTCCCCACATAGCTTTCACACAATAGTACAAGTCATCAAGACTGAGCAACTTGCTTGAAACAAACCGGCCTCAAGCTGATGAAATGTGTGAATTACAAAGGAACCGTGTGCAGCGACTCTATTCGCTTCTATGATACAGTCCCACCCTTCTTTTATTTGCCCTTCTTCACCCAGTCCTCAACGGTTTCCCGGGCATCCGTGACCTTCTCATCGACATATCGTACACCAATCTCGCTGTGGAGTCTCGCCATCCGCCAGCTATTCTCGATGCTCTCGCGGAGCTTGAGGTGGCCCTGGGCGACGACGGGGAACCGCTGCTCGTACTTCCACGCAAGGTTGGAGACGTTACCCATGGTGATGGGCAGGACGGTCCAGCCGGCGGTGATGCCGAGGGCCAGAGGGGCAGTGGCGCGCAGAACGATACTGCGGTTGCGCGTGACGATGCTGCCAGCCATGGCGGCGACGAGGACGTAGATGGCTCCGGGCATCAGCTTCTCGCCGCTCTCACGGGGGGGAGCGAGGGATGCGATCGTGCTGGTGAAGGACTGCTCGAGATTGAAGGCCTTGTCCATCGTCCGGTTGACGGCATCCTCGGCGCCGACGGCGTACTGGTAGAGGGCCAGGCGCGCCTTGCCGATCTGGACGGCGAGACGGTCGGTGGGAGTAGGTCCTCGGGTCTTGGGTTCTTCGGACGGAGGAGGCTGCTCGGCCCGGGGGATCGGAGGAGGGAGAGTCCCGCTCGTCGCGGGGAGCTCCGGGTCGTCGTAGATGGGCTTCTTGGACTGCGTGCAGGTTAGCGTTCTGGACTCATCAGTGGCTTTGGACGACTCCAGACGTACCTGGCTGCTCTCGGGAGCTTCAGCGTAGGCAGTTCGGGGGCCAGGGCGAATCCTCCCAGCATAACCGTCGCTGCCAACGGCGCGGCGCGCTATCCGTTCCATGTCAGCAATCGAATCAGACGAAAAAGAATTGGCAAGAGGTGTTTACCCGTTGTAGCAACACTCTAGCAGCCATGGTCCGCTCAATTGGTCGATTGAGGGAATTGGGTCTTGGTCTCGCGAGAATTATTTGGTTGTAATGTAATGATGCACAAGCAACTTGCAAGTAGCCAATGCCAGGCCCACGCTGCGGCTATTTCCGGAGCTCGGGAATTCGATTATGCACTTGCACACACACACACCCTTGCACAAAAAAGTCCCATCCTCAAGTCCGGATGACATCCCGGCTATGCATTGGTTATTATCTTATTCCCAGTATTTCTCCCTACGTGTTTCTCCAGCTGCGGTCCTTGGCCATTTCTACCAACGCCCTCGCTTTGTCTTGCTGCTTGTTTTTACTAGATCCTCACCCGGACCTGCAGTGATGGTCGCCACGTCGACGAATTGCTCATAATGTTCAAATCTCCAAGCCGCGGCCTTTGGGTCTGCACCCAATGTGTTCGGCAAGCTTCCCGAGGCCAGCAGCGTCGATGGATGTCTGCCGTCTCCGGTGCCGCACCCTCGAGCATCACCGCCGACCACTCACCCCCGGGTAGAAACACCGACGATGCAATCCTGCGCGAGCTGTTCGACTCTCCCGACCGGGTCGCCAAGGCCTTCAAGGCGGCTGGGCCCAGTGTCGGCCTATTCAAGAACCGTTACCTCACCAGCCCGAATGGCTTTTACGTCTTCGCCCGCAGAAGCTTGGAGAAGGCGCAGAAGATCGTCCATCGTGTCCTTCATGCGTCGAGTATATCCGAATACCAGGCCGTCGTCAAGGATCTTGACCGCCTCAGCGACCTACTCTGCCGAGTCCTTGACCTCTCTGACTTTGTCAGGATGACGCATCCAGACCCTCGATTCCAACAAGCAGCTGCCGGGGCTTGGTCCATGGTTTACCAGTACATGAACCAGCTGAATACGATGACCGGACTGAGCGACCAGTTGGTGAAAGCCATGGGACTGCCCGACGTCGTTGCGGCATGGTCGGAAGAGGAGAGGACTGTTGCGGAGATTCTCAAGCTGGACTTCACCAAGTCGGCTGTCGACCTGCCGCAACAGGAGCGGGACCGTTTCGTCGACCTCTCGCAGCAGATCAGTGAGGTTGGTTCCATGTTTGTCTCGGACATGGCGCCTGCAAAGAGGGAAATCGTTCTCCCTTCGTCGAGTTTCTACGGGCTGTATCCTGGAATTGCTCGTGCGCTCACTATGAGGGGCAAGTTGCGCCTCCCCACCACTGGACCTGAAGCTCAGGCCGCGCTTCGTAGCGTCAAGGACGAGGGAACGCGGAAGGAGGTGTTCACTGCGATGCGCACCGCCTCCAAGCAGACAGTTCGTCTGCTGGAGACGATGCTTAAGCTTCGATCCGAGCTGGCGAACCTTGCGGGCTTCTCTAGCTATGCTCACCTTTCTCTGAAAGATAGGATGATGGCAAAGTCCCCGGGCGCCGTGATGCAGTTTCTTCAGGCGCTGCAAAAGTACAACACCCCTATCGTCCAGGAGGAAATGGCGGATCTCCTGAAGTTGAAGCAGACCCGACTGGACGCCACGGCTACTCAAGTCAACCCCTGGGACAAGGATTTCCTAATGGATGGCGTACGGTCTGAAATGAGGCTTCCAGTCCGCCATCCTGATCATCTCCCCTCTTTCTTCTCAATTGGAACCGTCATGCAGGGCATGTCAAGGTTGTTTACCCGTCTCTACGGCATCCAGTTCAAGCCTAGAGAGTCCCAGCCGGGCGAGACCTGGCACGAGGATGTACGACGACTTGATGTTGTCACGGATACCGGCGAGCTGATTGCCGTCCTGTACTGCGACCTGTTTTTCAGAGAAGACAAGTCGCCAAACCCTGCCCACTTCACAGTGCGCTGCTCCCGAGCTATCGCTCCGTACGAAGTCCAAGAGGCTGCCGAAGACTTGCACAATGCCACTTCCGACATGCCCAAGTTCGAGAGACCTGAGCAAGCTGCCAACGATGGTATGGAGAGCTCGCAGCAGGATGGTGTACTAATGCAGTTGCCTACCATTGCACTTGTTTGCGACTTCCCCAAGCATGACGCTGGCAGCTCCGCACCAGCACTTCTTTCATACTACCAGGTTGAGACGCTCTTCCATGAGATGGGGCATGCCATTCACTCTATCTTGGCTCGCACCAAGCTTCAGAACGTTTCGGGCACGCGATGCGCGACCGACTTTGCCGAGCTCCCGTCCACGCTGATGGAGCACTTTGCAGCCGACCCATCAGTGTTGGGACTCTTCGCAAGGCACTGGAAAACGGACGAGCCTCTGCCCTATCAGATGGTCGCCGAGAGAATCCGTCTAGCGAAGCGTTTTGAGGGCATCGACACCGAGAACCAGATTCTCCTGTCCCTCCTTGACCAGTCTTATCACGCTCCTGAGGTCGCCGACTCGTCCTTCGACTCTACCCAAGTCTACCACAACCTGCAGAGACAATACTCCCAGGGCGGCCCCGACCCTCCCGGCACGTGCTGGCAGGGATTCTTCGGTCACTTGCACGGATACGGCAGCACCTACTACAGCTACGTTTTCGACCGCGTTCTGGCCGAGCGGGTCTGGCGTGTGGTGTTCCGCGCGGGTGCGGACGGCAAGGCGCTCGACCGAGCCAACGGCGAGCGGCTCAAGGAGAATCTCCTGAAGTGGGGAGGCAGCCGCGACCCGTGGCAGTGCCTGGCGGACACTCTGCAGGACGACCGTCTCGCCAAGGGCGATGACAAGGCGATGGCGCTGGTCGGCAGCTGGGGCATCAAGGATGACCATGCTTGATCGGCATAGATACGTCAGTGTATATTATATGTAACGCAATGCCCGCATTATCATGCGACTGAAACCATAGACAAATAGAATATGTACAAAACAACTACTGTAGGCTTGATCTATTAGGATGACATGATGCTGTCCGGTATTTCTCACAAGCATCATCTCGCCAGACTCGGTGCAATCGATGCGACTGCTTTCCTCTCAACGGATACTGGATGCGTCGCCTGGCCAGCAAGAAAAATGTCCAGCAAAATGAATTCATCTTCCCGCAAGCCTCTGTGTTATTCTGAACAAGGCCGCCGTTGTTAGGGCCCATGTCTGTCTGGATTTCTGCCATTGGTGCTCGCCCCAACGGCGAGGACAAGGACAATGCCAAAAGGGAGCTAGGCATTAAAAGACAGAACTCCGGTTGCTCTCGGCATCATTGATCATCCCAACTTCACACTGGCCGGAAAATCTCAGTTCTACCTTGATAACCGGTGCTCTTCCCAAATGAGATTGAGGGAGTAGAGTGCAGGCTGCCGCCTATACGATGCGGTCATCTCAAGCGCAACATCCTTCAGCCCGCCAGTTCGTAGCAGATGCGACGACACTCTAAACAAAACACCGAAAAGACATTAAAGACACAAAAAGAAAGAATCAGGCAGCCAGAGCCGGTAGATACTACCCAGGAGGCCATAATATCACGACCTTGAAATCCATGCAGCCCCAAGTCCGAATCGTCTGAAAGTATTGAAACGAGAGTTCGGGACTTTGGAGAGGTCTCTGAGAGCATACGCAGTTAACCTGAACAACCCGTTAGGCAATGGTAAACTCTGATGCTCACGTCTTGCCCTCCTCTCTCTATGACTTTGGCTCATGGCGTCGTCTGGCGGCTCCAGCCCGCTGTGCCATGGCTATCTTTACAGAAAGACTGCCTGTTCTCACCTCGACTCCCATGAACATACCCAGTCCGTCTCCGTATCCCTAAGCTTCAGTCTTTCCACGGCAATAGTCGAGCCCCCTGCCCTACCCGCGCACCCTTTCATCCCAACATCCGCACCCAGCCTCGCGCCAGGCAGCAACAGGCCTCAACCACGCCGTCTCTACCTTTATCACCAACCTCCCCTCCAGAGAAGGATGAAATTGGGGGACGCCCCGGGACGCGGTAGCCGAGCGGATAAACACTGGTAGAATAATTCCCCTAGGGGGTGGGGCTTTCATAGGACTCGGGTCGATGCCCGCGGGGGTCGGATCGATTGACCGAACTTTTAGGCGTTTTGTTCTGCTGACTTGTTTTTCAGTTCTTCCTACCTTACTTAGCTCTCTGGTGAAGAGATGCCTGATACGAGTATTTTTCACATCTGTTTGTGTCTTACTGCGCGTGGGTGAGAGGTGAGATGCGCTGGGCATGAATGAGACGGCCGTGAGGGAAGGAGCACCTTCCGGTGGTGGGACGCTTGCAACGATCTTTCTCTTTTCTTTTTTGCTGCACAAACGTGAACCGTGTTTTCCTTCTGTCGTTGCGGGAATATCAGCCTTCTCATATCCCCCTTTACAGCCGCCGTTATTATCTTGCTTATCATCTATCACGAGGTCCCCTATTCCACCTACGCTCACTCATAGCAGTCGCTGGAAACCCTTTTGGTGGCATGTAGTCCAGAAAGAACAACAGCTTCGTTGCGGCTTTAGGTCTTCAGTACATTGCGCATTCCCATTCACACATAGCTTCATAATATAGGAAACTAAAGGACTCCCACGTCTTCACAGCCGACCTTCCACACGCCACAGTCACCAGGAAGAGGAAACACAGCACATTTGGTAAACAGTGTATTCTGTTGGTGTTTACAGTCTCGAGCCTCAAGTAATGGAACGCTGTAACTGCCGACTACAAAAGAAGAAAGCGACCGTGGGTATAAATCCTATCCAGAAGACCACAAAACGCCCAATCCAAAGCAAACTACGACCCGTTGCCCAGCGAGGTACAATCACAGTCTTTCCACCACACATTTATAAAACAAAACAAAGCGAATGTCTAATAAGTCTCCCCAGCAGCCCCATAGCCCGGCATGTCTCTCCCCCAGAAAAGAATCGAAGAACAATGTACCAACATTACAAAACACAGTATCGTGGAAGCACACCCCCCCTTCCTATGTCCACCTTCCCAGAGACAAACTCTCCTGTTCCTTTCCTTCAGGCTCACCGCTTCACCTGCGAAGGCATCTGCGGCGTCTGCGGCACGTAGGGCTTCCCCCTCCTCACCTCCCCGAGCTCCGCCTCCTCCATCATGTCCGTAAACGTCGTCATCCTCTTCGCCCCGGGTCTCTCGCTCCCGACGGTCCGCGGGTCCGCGAACACGTTGATGCTCTCGCTGCTTGGCTCACGCTGAATGTACCCCGGCTTCGGCGGGGAAAGCGGGCTCGGGACCCTTGAAGGATGGTACCGTCGAGATCCAGAGTTGGGACGCATGCTTCGGATAGGCGGAACGGGAATGCCCCGCTCCGGCGTGTGGTTTGGTGGCGTCCCCGGGGCGGAGTCACTCCGAGCGAGGCCAATGGGGTGGTGTGCCAGTGTCGTCGCCGTTGACGACAGACGGTTGTGATGCCCGTTAGCACCGGCTCCGTAGCGTGTCGGGGACGTGGCGAAGCCACGGGAGTTGACCGTTGACGGGGTCTTGAGGATGAAGTCGGTCCGGAGGGCGGAGTCGGACAAGGGGATGGGGTCGGAGATAATGTTGCCGAAGGACGAGGTCGATGTCGAGGGCCGCGGGGCGCCGCTGCGCTTCTTCTCGTTCGGGGCTGCGGTGCTGCGTCGACGGCGGCGGGCGAGGAAGAGGAGGAGGGCAACACCGAGACCGACGCCCGCCAGCACACCGCAAAGGACGCCAATGACAATGGCGGTGGGGAAAGTGCTGTCGTTCTTGTTGTCGTCGTCGGGGGCTGCGCTGGCCGCGATGGTGGTGGGAATGACGGTAGGAATGACGGTGGGAGCAACGCCGGTGGATGTTGGGCCGGGGGTGGAGGTAGACACGATCTCCGGCGCCTTGGTCTGATCTGAGTCCATCACACACTGCAAGCTCTTATTGCAGGTGTATCCGAAGGGGCAGCACTTATCGATGCCGCAAGTGTCAAGCTTGCCCGTAAGAACTGTTGTCTTGATCTGCGCATCGGGATGTGCCGTGGGGTCCTGCAGGTTCAGGTTGCAGGTGATGGGCGAAATCTTATCGCAGGTGCTCCCCTCTGGACAGCAGAGAACGGTGGTGTTTGCAGCTAGAGTGATGCACGTCGTCCCTGTCCCACAGCAAAAGTTGCTGGGCAGTCCATTACCGCAGGGGGAGAAGCCGTCGGCGGCGCATGAGTCTTGTCGCCCAAAAACGGAGGGGATAGAAGCGGCGTGGGCGGAGGCGAGGAGGATTAAGAGCACCGTGGCTCGTGTGCATTTTCGTAATCTCTCCATGGTTGAGCTCAATATGTGGTGAGGTAGTTATGGCTGTCTCTCAGCTATGTGTTTCTTGATGGCGTCGCAGCGCTCGCGTTGGACACAACTCTTGTGGCGGAGTCAGTCGCGTGTGTCATAAGGCGTGTAAGTCGGGGAGTCAGGTAGTGGTTTGTGTCAACAGTAGAATGACGAAAGATGAGGGAGAGGCTTCGGTACGCTTCTTGGGTAGGGGACACAAAGACGTAGAAATAAGTCGAGGTTTGGAGATGTTTCGTGCGAGAGTGGTTACGAACACACAATGAACTTGTCGCTATTCCCAGACAACGGTTTATGAGACAAGGAACGGCCAGTCAGTACTTCATCGGGTGGGCGAGAGGCCGCACAAAAGAATTGGTGACAAGACGATCAGGCAATGATGACCTCAGAAAGCAGACGTCAAGAGACAATATTGGGAAGCGGAAGGAAAAGAAGAGTCAGACGATGGCCCGAAAGATGACGATTCTGTTTCCACCGGTCAGCGAGCAAACTCACCCAAACCCAATCTTTTTTGGTCTGGGCTTGATATCACGGTAAGGCGGCAAGGGCCATTGTTCCCGACCCCTACCTCTGCCACTCGGCGGAGGACTCCCACGGAAGAGTGAAAAGAGAACCACTTCAGACCCGACACTCGTCCTCTTGCGCGGCTCGAAACGAACGAGCTTCACCTCTGCCCAAGGGGAGGTGCCGCCCGATCAACCTCGCCTCTGAGGTCGGCTGTGCGGTGGCCAACCAAACGGCCGCTGGGCGGCATCGCGGCGACTTGCGAGGGCTTGCCTGCAATAATCCTTTGCAAGCGCGGTCGGATCGTAGGGCACTGCCGCTCGTTCGTTCGTCCGGCGGGGGTCGGGCTATGGGTAGGGAGATGGTGGAGCGATGGTGCTGCGCAGGCTGTACGTCGCCAGTGTCACCATGCCGAAGCAGACGACCCCCAAGCCTTCATCGTGAGAGGTTTGATAGGGCGTCAACGGCCAACACTCCGACCTCTGGTCATTCGCAGACCCCGGAACCATTGGCGGATCATGAGAAAAGAAAATGGGCAGCAGCGATAGCAAGGGGGGTTTCTAATTGCTATCTGCTGTCTGCCACCCTCACGTTGGGCGGCACGACGTCTGGCCGTGAGGCAGTGCTGGTATGGGTAGTCGCTGGGCCGGCGACAACGAGAGGCTGTCGACGCAGGACGAGTGCCTCTGCTGTGGAGCCGCCAGTCTGCACCTCTTGTCGCCAAATAGCCGGCTCCGTTCGTTGGCGAGGAACGAGCCGTGAGAGGTCGATGAGTCGCAGTGAAGAAACAAGCGGCACTGAGAATCGTGCCCAAAAACAGTCAGCGAGTGCCAGAATGTAGCCGCGCAGCCGAAACGCGCGCCTATGATTCGTCGGTGGCGTCGTGGGGCCCAAATTTAGGGTGGCCCCTGCATCGAAACCCGCGCCCCCGTTGTCGTCTCTTTTAGCGTCCGTCTTTCCTTCCCTTTTCAGCAGCGGCCCAGGTACCTCCCTCTTTGTTTCCGTCCTTCAGGCGTCTTTAACCGCTTTTCCACATTGTTCAATCCTTTAGAGCGGCCAACGCCAAAGAACCCTCGTGATCCGTACTCTGGCTTGTCAACGTTGACTAAGGAAACAGGCTTGACAGGGTCCCTGATTATGGATTTCGCCGAGAACACTTCCAAGACAAGACCAAGACCAGGACCAACCTCAATGGCCCGCTACTTTGTCGAATCAAGCCACACGTGACGTACGCCATCGTCCCAGCCACTGCGACCGCTACTTCAGTCTCGTCCAGTCCTCTGTCCGTTTTGTCTTATCGGCTCCCTCACTTCTCGGACGACGGTCACAGGACCGCCTTGCGGAAGCCTTACCTTGACCAATCGGCAGCCGGCAGACGACCAAACATGCTCCATCCTCCACTCAAGAGCCGTCCTCTCCATCCTCTTAGAGGAGAGACACCGGACCTTTACCATGTCCACGGGCCAAACCGGGCCTCGGACTTTGCGCAGTAGCATCATGGTCACCATCATCGTCGTCTTCCGTCTCGCTTCAGCTCATCAAGGGGGAGGGGCGTGTCCAAACCGTCTCGTGCCCCCGTCCGCATCTCGTCGTCGCCGTCGGTGAGCGTGTGTAAGTCGGACCCTCATTCCACGACGTGTTCAAGGGTCCCAGATGTGAATACCCACCAAAGCGGTCCTATCCCGGAGCCCCCTCCACGCCCGCCTATCTGGCGTTCTCCATGATCTACAAGCAGAAATCCGCCTTGCCATGCTCCCAGTGATGCCCATGCCCATTCGCCATCGCCCCTCTCCGAGAACCCAACGTCGCCGACGTCGTCCATTTGACACCCCTCCCATGCGGCGGCATGGCATTTGCCAACTCTCCCCAAAAATGCACGTCCGATCCCGTGGTCTCTCTCTCGTTGCGAAGGCCCCCAGCAATCGAGGAAGCAGACGTCAAGATGCCGGCCTAATTCGTTGACGTCGTCCCACGAGAAGACAAATCGCAGCCGCAGCCGCAGCCAGGCCCATCACGTGGATCCCCCTCGACCGCCGGTCCGATCGCTCTATCTGGCATTTTCCCTGCCCATTTCCCTGTTTTCTAGTGTACTACCTACGCTGCTTTTCCCTGTTCCACGCCCCTCCGAAGCCATGTCGCCCCCGATATCCATACCCAAGACCCCATTTTGCCGCCCATTGCCAGTTCACGATGATTCACACACACGCGCGCGCGCGCGCGCAACGTACGCTGTGACTCGTAAACGGCGGTGAACGATCCTCTTTTTTTTGTGCAAACCGTGGGGACGGAGACGGGTACGGGTAGTGAACTGGTGGCGTGCAGGGAACGTCGATGCCTTTCCGTCATCTGAGACCCTTCCACCCGAGTGTTTCCCCCCTGCCTCTCCCATCCAGGAATGCCCGCACAAACCATGAGAAAATTCCCCAGCACCTGCAGCAGAGGGGGGGAGTGTGGTTTTGAAGAATTTGAAGTGGGAAGAACGGGAAGGCAAAAACAACTCAAAAAAACTCAAAGAGGTAGTATGAATTCCTCACAGTTAACTCGATACTGTGGTTTAACCCTGGCCACTCTACGCCCACTCCCGGGAGACTATCAATGATGCGATGGCGCCCCCCCCCAGGTGACTCTTTTTCTCGTCTTTCCCATGCCAATGGACACGACAGGCGTTCGCGACTGTGCAGACAGAGCCACAGCACGCCAGCAGTCCGCCGTTTCCACATTCCATGCCTCGCTGTCCTATCACCCATCATTCACTGTCGTGACCCTGGACTCTGGTGCTTCGTTCGCCCTGACGTTGCCCACGGCCGTCGCCCACGGGGTGGGTGTCTCTCTTTCGCGACAACCCCAGGAACGGGACTTCCCAATTCGTGAACCAGGCGGAAAGCCACCAAGAAAAACCAAGACCACACAACCACAGACCGAGACGTCAGGTGGACAGACCCCAATGTCTCCCCCCCGCCAGAACAAAGCTCACCGAGCCCACCCCGACTCACCGCTATCGGGGACAATGTCCCTCTACCTTGGCGACTTCGACCTCGACCGGCGACCGCACAAACACTCACTCACAATCCCGTCGCCGTGCTACCTCGACCCCTTCCCCCCCCTCGGAGAATCGCAATGCCACAACAGGACCAGAGCGCGGGCGGGCGCGGGACGCGTAAAGTCCTCTACTATGTAAAAGCTCGCTACGTCGTTTGCCCTATTGACCCTTTGACCAAGAGACCGTTCCCACCAAGCAGGCCAATGAGGGGGCAGGGCAAGCCGGCACCCTCACAAGCTGAACAAAGGGACGGCTCGTGAGCAAGATGTTTTCTGGCAGCGCACCCAGCCTCCGACGGGGTTTGGCTCGTGTCGCCCTCGACCTGCCGCCTGCATGGCTTCCTCTCCTCTTCACGTTTTTTTTCTGGGTGGAATTCCTTCTTCCAGTTGCGGGGACTCGTGCCCATTCCGTCCTGGTCCTCGCTCTTTTGCTGACCTCCATTACGCCTCCCCCCGTCTACTGCGAGTAAGCTTCGGCCAAAGTGCTTTTATGGGGAAGGTGGTGGTGGGATTCATCGCCGCTGTGAGCAGTAAGCCGAACATCCCTAGCATGGACCGGGCCTAGGCAAATGGAGCTCGCCTCTTGAGCATAGCTGCGTGAGATTATTGCTCACAGTCACCCCCGGCAGATTCATTGCAGCGCAATCGGAATGGATGTGAATGATTTGAAGCTTTTGCTTTTTGGAAATTGTTGGGTATAACTTGGTATTACATGAATCCCAATCCTGCTCAATCCGGCCCATTCTCCGTAGAGTAGGGCCACCGATTGAGTCCCAAAGTGAAGAAGTCAACAGGGAAGCTAGCCCATCGCAGCTCCCAGAGCCCTTCTCTCTGATCCATCCGATCCAGTCCAGATGCACCGAAATGCTAGTCCCCTGTCCCAAACAGTAAACGCCGATGAAGCCCGTTTCCCATGCTCATGATGCGGTGTACCCAGAGACAAGAAAAACGAATAGATCAGACGGAAGTTTAGAAAAAAGTGAGTGTTCCGTCCGATGAAGAGGGGAAAAAGTCGTTCGTTGCATCTCACGTTTCCCGTTGCATGGTCCAAGGCCTCATCCCAGCGGTCCTTTCCATCGTCATCGTCATCCATCATCCTGGCAGCCAGGCCCAGCTGCCCCGCACACCCTCACCCAGAAGAGTGTCCAGAAAAATAAAAGTGTGATCCAAGTGTCTTCGCTCTCGTTGTTCATGTCCGCTCCGTATGCCTTGCGGCGTGTCCTTCTAATAACCCCAATCAACCCCTGACGAGGTTGGTATAAGTGTGGAGAAAAAGTGAAAAAAGAAAGAAAAAAGGTGGTATCAAAACGAGAAAAATATCGAAAGAGAAAGTTATGATGGGTCCAGCAGAGCGAGACTGGCTGGCAGTAGCCCTGGTTCGTACGAAGGGGAATGGGCGATTGCCTGCATCACCTTTGCGAAGGCGGTACACACACCATGCAGAAGAGGACTGGCAAGTCTTCAGTGCTGGTCTCTGTACAGCCTGGAACCAGCCAGGCTGTCAGATCAGCAAGAAGTCCCAGCCCTTCATCTGCATGACATCCCGCCAGTGGATGTATGCTACCGCCTCCGATCCCGACGAGGAACCAGGGCTGCCAGCGCAGCTATCGCTGCTCTTGATGTTGCCCGTCTGCATCCAGACTTCGTTGAGGAGCGAGGCGACACGGCCGAATGAACCGCAGTCGGAGACGTCGCCAAGCTGAGCAACGCGGTCCTCAAAGAGGGCGCGGAAGGAGCTGCCAGGCAAGCTGACAGAGCCGCCAACTAGGTAGACCCAGACGAGGCTGCGGTCGAAGCCTCCAGGTCCCGAAGGGATGAGCTGGAGAACGTTGGCGAGCTTCTCAACCAGACCGACGCAGGAAGCTTGCGCGGGGTTGAAGCCGGGCACCAAGCTGCAGAGGTAGATGCGCGCGGCAAGACGGAAGGCGGCTGTCATGTTCTTGGAAAGCTGCTTTGGCGACAGGCTTCCGTTGTTGTTGTAAGGCATCTTGGGACCAGGTTCGCCAATCTCAGTAAGGTTGATCTGGTCGCCAAGTGCGTGCACGTGCTGGCAAAGAGTGATGTCGTCCATGCCACTACCCTTGAGAGCCTCGAGGCAGGCAATCTCGGAGATGAGGTACATGACACGGTCGTCACAACCCATGAGCTCACGAAGGCCAAGGCTGGGGTTGTTTGACAGGTGCTTCTCGCGGTAGGTATGGGCGAAGGTAGGAGCTTGTCCTTGCATTGTCGCGCCGAGGATGTCAATCCAAGATGTCAGGGTCATGTTGAAGGGCGTCTGGTTCATCTGCTCATTGGGGTCCGACACCAGGCGGGGGAGGTCGAGCTTCTGCACCAAGCTGATGGCAGCTTGGAAGTGCTGGTGCCATGGGATGTCGGGGAGGGCATCGTCAAAGCGGCCAACGACACACTGGAAGAAGATGAGGCCCAAGGCAGCGTCGAGAATCTCCTGGTGGTTCTCGTCCTTGGTGAGAGCGTCGCAGAGGGCCGAAATGGTGGCATAGCGGTGACGCATGATGTCCTGGTCGATCTCCTCGCCGGTCACGTTCATGGTCGCCTTGTAGTGCTGGGCGGCGATGCTCAGGCAGCAGTGCAGGTAGCCTTTGTTGCTCTGGAGGGCCGGAAGGATCAAGTCAGAGCCAACGGAGCCGTGTTGGTTCGTGTCGAGGATGGGGAAGATGGTGGGCAGGACGAACTGGATGAAGTGGTCCAGCAGGCGTTGATCGTTCTCGTCGAGCTCAATTGCGATTTGGCGGCTGGTCATGGTCGGGCCATGGGAGAAGTCGAAGAAGTTGACGTTGAGGGCTTCCTCGCTGAGGGATTCTTTGCGCTCCGAGTAAACCTGCTCGGTCCATTCACCATCGAGTGGTACAGACGAGGGCAAAATGGTTCCTGGTGGAGGGGGAGTGTGAAACGTGCTGAAGGTAGAAATGGTCGACTCCCTCAGGGTCGGCACATCGTTCATGTACACCTGTCTTTCCGTCTTGACATCGATCTCGTAGGGCGAGGGGAAGCCGCCGTACATGAAGTCGGGGTGCATCTGCGGGTTGTAGGCGGCGTACTCGGCACCGACAGTTGGCGGGCTGTTGAAGTTGAAAGCCGTGGAAAAGTGCGAGTCGATGGAGGCAGAGCGAGTGCGGTCAAGAGGGTCGGAGAAGGTGGCAGAGGTGGGCAGCGAGTGCGACAGGCCCGGGGGCGAGCCGACGGAAGTCTGGATGGTGTGCGACGCCTTTTCCGAGAGCTTCTTGCGCTTGATAATCATCTTGATGTCGTCCTTGTGCTTGCGGCGAGCATCGTTGTTGCTCCACCACATTGGCCGCTTGTATTCGCATGTCAAACCAAGGTGTTTGCAAGCGGAGCACATTGGCGAGCCCTCGTCGCACTTCTTGCGGCGCAATCTGCAAGTGTAGCATCCTGGAGAAGAGGCAATCAGTCTCGAGTAGTTTGAGGGTTGTGGCAGCGGAGTGGGGGAGAAGAAAAAAGTGGTTGGGTGGAAGGAGGCGGGAACCCGGTGTAAGTGGCACTCGGGTGTAAGTCAAATCGAGCGGGAGTTGCGTGTGTGTGATAAAAGCTTGATGAATTGGGGAGAGGAAGCAGGGCCAAGCAAGCATGGACGTACCTGTTCTTGAGCGGCGGTGCATCTGTGTCTTTGCCTTGGAGTTGGCGTTGTTGTTGCTGTTGCCGTTGCCGTTGGCCTTGCAGGCCGACTTGGCCTTCGCAGAAGATGCGACGGCCATGTTGACTGCAGCTGTTGATCTCATGAAGTCGGTTCGAATATGGTTGGGGGGTAGATTTGACATTTGTACCCTTCTTCTCTCTCGCGATGGGGGTACCTGCGTTGAATGACAAGCCGAGCAGCGAAGACAGAGCTAGAGCTGGCTGGCTGGGGCGGAGGAGAGGGAGGGAGAAGGAGGGGGGTGGTGTGCGGTGGTGGACCGTCAAGACCGGGGGTCAGGGACCGGGGTGAGAGAGGGGCGTGGCAGGAACCGTTACACCGTATGGGCCTGAAGCGAGCGGCACTGTGCTCTGGACCGGGGAAGAACGACCAGGGTTCGGGGGTGTGCGAGTGCGTGTGGTGCGTGCTCCTCTTTCTGATTTGAGTAGAGTGAGAGAAACTGCGGCAGTCTCTGTCCGTTCCTCAGTGCTCTCTGTTTCCTTCCCGGTAGCCAAGCGAATAAGGCGGGGCGACCTGGATATTGAGGAGAGGGGGAAGAAGCGAGTCTGTGGCTAGGAAACGTCTGTTCGCTCGCCCGCTGTCAACGCAATTTGAGATGAGAGACCGGGTTGTTTGTCAAATGGGCTTGTCGAGTTTCCGAAAACCCAAATCGCCGTCGTATCAGATTATTGAATTATTGTTTCTTCCCTGTCGATTTTTTATTCTCTCGTGTCGACGCAGAAGTGATTTCCTGAGGTGCCGCAGCTAATTCGATTTTCGTTTCGTAAACTGTAAGCAGGCGGGCGCGCTGTGCAGATGTTGCAAATTGCAAATAGTTGGTGGTGTGCTTCGGTATTATCGAGTGAGTGACTGGTTGTCGAGCAAGTCCGGCTTGCTGGTAACTGGATTATGGAGTGGTTGGGTTTTCGGAGGAGTGCGGAGGGACGGTGGGAAAAACAGAATGATGAACGACAGAGAAAACAACCTTGAACAACACTTGGATCACTTTCCTTCTTCTTGACTTCTACAGACTGACAAGAAGAGAGGCCGGAATCCAGATGGTGGTGATGGATGGCCCAAAGTCTTATATTGTGGCCGCCTTCATCATGGCCATCCTCTTCATGGCCGACCAACGGGTCCTCGAGTGGTCTGCCTACCGTTGGCTACGTAGCCAGCTAATAGCCGTGTTCTAATTTTGGCTACATCTAGATCAAGTTCGCTCTGAGAGTGTGTCTCCATGCTTCCGAAAGAGTGAGTGTGTGTCTCCATTGCATCCGGACTAACGTAGGCTAGGGCGCGAGGCAGGCCGGCCGGCCGCCTTCACCTCGACTGACTGCGTGAGACTCTGGCCTGCGCTTAAAGCCTCCAATGAAATTGGGCCGCGAAGGCGGTCGCACTCTGAGTTGGACCCCACCCGAGAATAGAATAGCAATGGAGTGGTCCGGGAGAAGAGGGTGGGCAGCTTCGAGATGGACGACATGGGTGGCCACATCCGTCGAGCGACTCAACGGACAAGACGGTCAACGCATGCATACGGTGGCTTGCCATAACTGGCCTCTGGCTGGTAGGCCATGGGACCAATGTCACCTTCAACCACCCGGTCCACACGCGACGCAGAGACATGCAGAACCGCACATGGGGTCCGCTTGGTGTTGCTCAGCTCGATATGCCAACCTTGCTTGCGACCATGTACCCGCCTGGCCATACCTATGCCTTCCCGGCTGTCGGCCATCGATACCGCGTCCACTGCGCTCTGTCCGGGCCCTGGCTGGTGCGGAAGATGATCTCCAATATCAGCTTGGTTAAGGCACGATGATGCGCAACTGTCGTCGCCCGCCCGCGGATGCGAGCTTATGCCGCGGGAGCGTCCTACGCAGCCGGAGCTGCAAGCACACAGGCTTACATTGCTTTGCCCTTACCTTTTCCCGTTGTGCCGGCATCTGCACCAAGTGGTATCGATATATGTCCCTTTCGGCCGCCAAAATAGACTGCGGCGGCACGACTTGATCAAACGGGTTTCGGGGGCCGACAGATGGAGAAGTAGAATGATGTCTAGCTGGGCAGACCCTTGTAGAGGGAAACCGGTCGTGAACCTGTTGTTCCGCTAACAAGCTCTGTCTTAGGGTCGCACGAACTTGCATGGAGCCTGCCAACCACCAACACAACCTCTTGAGCTTATGGAGCTCGCGCAATCCTGGACAGAGCCAAAAGTGAAAGCCGACCAAGAAGCTGCGGGGACGCATGGGTGCGGAATAACCTTGCTGCCCCTATCATTGTTCTTCTGGTTTGGTAGGCAGCCCTGTGTCTGGTATCTGGCAAACAAGGTGGGATGCATCCGATCATCCCATGTGAGGAGCCTCGCTCCACGGGTGCATGATGGATACCGATATGTAGGACATGACTTGTCGGCGGTTGGAATCCCCACCGCGTGTCATCAAATCTGGCAATCAGCCTGGAGACGTTCTGGAAAGGATCTTCAAGGACGTTTGTGCCCAAGACCGACGGTTTCTCCGAGGTCTTCATCAGAGTCGTGTCTTGGATATGTTTGTTGCTTTGTCGAGGGCTCTCCGAGCCTGGCGAAGCCGAAGCTAGAACACGGTTCGCCTCCTAGCCACTCTTAACATCGAATATTCGTTTAGAGTTCTCTCCCTTCAGAATCCACGAATGAGAATGTAGAGGATGGCAGTCGACACCCGGATTGGCTGGTGCATACGGCCACTCAATGTCGGTTGAGTGTGGCTGCCAGAGCTGATACGACGGGACTGGGACTTTCTGTCGTGCATGAGAAGTCCAGGGGTGCTAAAGGCTCGTAGTTCAAGAAGACGGACAAAAAGAGGGAAAATACCTCGCATCGTGTGGGCGTATGGGCGAGCGAGGCAGGTACCTATGCATCTCAACGAAAGGAATGCGTGGTGGAGAAGTCAAAGAGGCGCTGACCGGTACTTGGGCATCGATACCCGACTACCGCCAAATCTGGTGACGGCTGCGGCAAAGCAGGGGGTATCATGGCACCGCGGGAGATGTCGTGCGAGTTGCTCCGCTTCGTCGAAGCCGTCAGGATTTCTGTCAGTCGCAACTAACGGCTACAGATACCTAGGTGCAGGGACAGGGGAGCGGCTGACTGCTTGTCTCTCCGATTTCTGGCTGCGGTGTTCTTTCTTCTCCTCAGCACCGACCTGCCTCCTCTCTCTGTTCTCGTACGTCTCTTAGCGTCATTGTCCGTCAGTCGAGGTTCCTTTGTTGAAAATGGCGCCTTTTCCCACGCTGATTCGACCGAGACGTGTGACGACTTAGAGTCTCTTGCAGGGCTTCGGGACCAACCGTTTCTTAGCGCCTGTGATGCAGCAGGGATTTAAACTCTTGTAAGAGGGCTGCTACTGCCCCGGATTGGCTGTTGCCTACTGCAGACGACAAAATCGTGCAGGAAATATTGGTCAGGGTCTCCTAGCTAGCCCCGTGCATAGGCACCGAGCTTTGTCCAATGGGTGGCGGGAGCGCGGCAACTGACAGGGCACCTTCTCGCGGGGTTTGCATGCTAGTTCCCATGGCTCCTGCCCGCTCAAGGGAAGAACGCTGCAGCGGAAAGCACGTCCCTCAGATATCCGCTCAGCCAGAATCTGGCGTCTTATCCAACGTCATCCAATTATACCGTTGCATAGCCCATCTGTGCCCCACCTTATCATCCTCCCCGCTTGCCTCCGTGCCGTGCAAGTGCTGCCAAACCTGCGCCTGGCAGGTCGGATGTCGAGAAGAGGCACGTCGGACAAGGCCCGCCGATGATCTCCCGCCAACAATGGATGACGGTTCTCGCCATGGCATGGCATGGCCGGCAAAGAAAGCACAGGATGGTATCCCTTGTCCTCACCACCTTCCGAGACGGGACACTCGGATCACCTCATCAGGCCTTGCCTACCGTTTGTTCATCTGACCGTCTCTCCAGTATCCCTTCGGAACAAACCACCACCACCACCACCATCAGAGGGGCCTCTATTTCGGGCGGCCTAATTAGCCGCCCAGCTTCGAGTGCGTGGTTCAATTTACCCTCTTTGCGTCATTCTATTTGCCCTTTTGCAACTCTGACATCTCGGGCTAATTTGGGCAACGCGTCTCCGCATGCCATTCGACTCGTCACACCGGCTAGCCGCTGCAGCTGTTTACCACCACCCGCAGACCTTGCGCATGTCGACTAACAAACACCCGCTGCTATTTTTATTTTGCCCCCAATCTGCGGGATTTAGCCCTCGTGGCCAGAAGTTTAATCCAGATTTCGCGATGTCACTACATTCCAATAGTGTGTTAATTTCTGGGTCATGCGGGCTAATTATGGTCACAGCTTGTCCCAACGACATCTGATCGAGCTAATTAGCTTCAACACCATGCTTTCATTCAGTCCATCGGTCCCTCGCGGAGCTTGGTTTCCCTTTCTTCCGTCTCCCGTGCCGCAATCCTGCCGTCAGTAACGGTCGTGCCCTTGGCAGCTCCCCCAACATGCACAGCATCCGTGCCGTGCCATTCGTACATGTGTTCATCAGCCAACAGTCCAGGGTCCGTTGCTTCCCCCCCCCCCCCCCTCTCTTTCGCGCAGCAGCCTGCTTGTTTGCCCGCTGGCAATCGCAATCATCGCAAACGTATACGATCATCGCCAATCTCTCTGCTCCCCTAGTCACTAGCGGAGATGCGCAATGATTATCTGCCCGTCCCGCCCGCGCCGCAGTATTGCCTGCCGTTCGTCAGCATCCGTTCCGCGGAAGACGCCATTTTATCCGGTCGGGCGCCATATTTGCCTTCAGCGTTGGGCTACCTTTCTGCCAACGGCCTATTGACTTAATCATCGCTAACACTTGGTCTAGCCTCGAAGCTCTACATTTCCAGCTTGTGCAGTACATATAACTCAAGTTGACATAACCTTGAATATCACGCAACCATATATCGTATGGATTTAGCGATCGGCATGGCCAAGCACTCGTTCTTGTGCCTCACTCTGAGGTTCTCATTTCTTCCCGTGCGGTAGTACTGAACCGTTCAATTGAATTGAGGGGATCGTCAATAGCAAGGCCGGAGCTGGGCGACGTCTTTCTATGCCTTCAGCCGGGAAGAGCTGAGAGATGGGCACCTCTATCACACATGACAATCTCCTTTTTCGCTAATCACCCATCGTTCCCTTTCACCCACAGTCTTCGTCAGCATCATTAAATTGTCGTCAATGGTAGCAAGCAGACAGGCGTAACCCTGATTCGCAGACGGACATTGAGGCGTCGAGGTGTGCCCACTGTTCATCACAGTCCAGTTGTGGCTAGTGCAATGTGATGCGATGTGAACAGTGTTGCTGAACCTTGAGGGTCAAGATGTCGGATGGCAGGGAGGCGGCCGCTACAGCTTTTGCGGAGAACAAGGCCATGCCTGGGCATCCCAGTCTTCCCGTCCTTCCGCTAACAGCTCGCGAACGGCGCAGCATCGCTTGCTTCTAGACCCCAGCCACGCGCGGCATATCACCACAGACCCTGGTAGGGCTCGAGGACTCCAGGCTTTAGCCTCGCTCGAGGCGCATTGTTTGCCTTTGGCGAGGATGTTACGCCCGTAACCCCAAGGATGACCGGCGAGCTACGAAGGATTGCAACATTATCCAGCCCGGCAGACAATTCCATTGTGGTTGACTCTCCAAATCTCAAGAGGCGAGGAACCCCCTGGCTGGCCCAGACCCCTCAGCTCCGTACCGTACGGGAGCACTGTACGATATCCATGCTCTCCCGCTCTCCCGCTGAACGTGTGGATCTGTTCTCTTGGGTTCATCCCCAACCCGGTTCACTCAAATACTTGACTGTGTTTCCGGCACAGTTCACAAATACAGCGCAAACATCATTTGATATTTGGAAGGTTCAGCCCCCAATGAATTGGGGCCCGGACCCCAAGGCGCAATGTCAGATTTTGCATGAAGCTCACGGTCGCATCTCATAAATTTAGGTGTGACTTGCAACTTGCAAGCGACCCTTGACCGTCGACAACTCAAATTGCTCTGAGAATTAAGCAGCCCATCAACATTGGACGTATAGCGATAAATAACCAATTGCAAAATTGGCGTTGCATTCAGGACATCAATGACAAAGCAGCCCCTGGGGGCCGTCCGTGGACAAGGCCCTCCATTGTGATATCGATTGCAATACGACTCAGGGAGGATTGCCAAGCACACCACAGATAAGCCACTCCCCTGAGAGCCGATTCGCCTCGCCCTGCCCACTGCGAAATGGGTGTCCTTTTCGACATGCCACTAGTGGAGCGCGTGTTGACGGACCGAAATCACGATGACCTGCATCCGTCTCGCTCAGGCTATCTGCGCCGGATTGCCATGCGATCTGACGGAGAAGTCCCCCCAGGGTCCCGCGAACGATTCAAATACGGTGCTTCTGTCTTTGAGACTCGACAACACCATCAAAACCCCCCTCCATCGTCGTGGTCCACTGACTAACATGAGCAGCAGAGTCATCCCTCCACAACAGTGGTGCGACGCTCGCATTAGTCCACCATCATGTGAATGCGCGTGAAGATGTGTGTTCTGGTCAACTCATTGGAGAGCATAGGCGTCGCACTGGAGACATGTCTGTGGAGTATCATGTCTCAATGGCCACAAGACGAGAGAAGAGGACTCTCGAAGTTGTGAGCGCCAATTCGTCCGGAGAAGGCCTAACCAAACCACACCATCCTCCCACTCCAACCTTCAACAACCCCCTGGCCCAGTTGGGAATGAGGGGGTGTGCAAGATGCACTGTGCCCTGGTTAGGGTTAGCCATATTTGATGATCTTCCTCCAGGATCAGAAATTGAACGCGGACGCCCTGCCCAATTGCCTTGGGAGCTCGCAGTCTTGCACAGGACTTCCAATGGCCATCGGGTAGACTCGGCCGCGAAGCACATTTATCAACGGTTAACTCTCCATAGCCCAAGGTTTCCTTCCACTCTTTGCACCTCACCAATCTGCCACCTCACTGGTCGTCGCTTCAGTTTTCCGGACGTCAGGTGGTTTAGTGCGCAGCCCCGGCTTCGGTCGGACAAGATTTGCGTAGATGTAGATGCCGTTGGGTGGATTGAGACATCGCGCGAGGGGGGGGGGATGCTCTCTCGATCTGTCCGAGACACTGTGGCATCGTCGCACACGCCTCCCTAGCTCGCGGGATCCATCGGATGAGGTCATTTACGAATATGCCAGGCAACGTGAAGAGTCGGTGAAGAAGGCAAGACATACCTTTGTCCCATCGATTCATGCCACGGCTCCTCATGTCTCGGAGACGCATCGAACACCGCTTGGAATGGACATGGAAGATGGAGACGCAGTAGTGGGAGCGCGCTTTTGTGCTTCCCTGCAGAGCGTCACACTGCTAACGCAAGAACGGGGTCATCATTCACAGCATCTTTAGGCTGTCTATGACTCAGCGATAATGCTCAGGGCTGGCTTTCACTTGGTTTTCCCAGCGCATTTCTTGCCCCCTTACTTGTGGAGTATGTGCGCTGTGCTTCACCGACCCTAACACGCAGAGGCAAATGTCGCGGAATTCGAAGTTTGCCAGCCGGAGAAGGGGCTGGGGCTTCTGGCACGGGGTATAGCTGCCGTCACAGCAACAATTGCAACGGCTCTTTGCACTGGGCTCGTTTTCATCCCCTCACCTGGATTGAACGGGAATTGGCTTATTAGAATTTGCGATATCAGAACCTATCGAAACCAGAGTGAAATAGTGAGAGCCAATTCCTTCATAGTCCGATACGGCAGCACTATCAGATATCACGGCATCCCAATCCGTCGAACTACGAGACTGTGGCAGCGCTCACCTCTCAAGCATTGTATACATTGCATATTTGTCTCAACTCGTCTGCGGGGTAAAAAGCTGGCCCCGAAGTCTTGTCGCACCACCCTCTCCAGATCCTTAACCGTCGCCAACCTATCAACCCCGTTTCCTGCCAGCCTCTGTCTCTCTCTCCCCCCCTGCCCTCTCTCTCAAGAAGTCTTACTTGATCCCCACCAAGCAAACAAGGCCAAGAATATTTGTTCCACGGCGTCGAGCTGTGGAAGCTAACGACGGGTGCATACATACGGGGTGCAAAAGCCAAAAGACCTCCTGCATCAACCATGTCGTTTCGTCACATTTTGACCGCCATCTGCAAGGCTCAAAAGGGCACGAAGTCATACGTGGGCAAGTGACAAGGGCACTCAATGATCTAACGAGAGTTGTTCCTTCACCTTATCAAATCTCCCTAACAACGAACGGGAAGCCTGCTGTGCCGGTCATGTGCCATGGCTACATCCGGTCACGTTGTTCGCTATCGCCTTGGGGCGATTGGGCAGCAAGCATCCAGGGGCGTCCTAATTTGCGAGCTGAGGGCAAGGCGAGGCTAATGGCAAATAATCCAACGGGCAGCGTCAATGGTTACACGCCGGGTGGGGGAGGAGCACAACGGGTCCGGCCAGAAAAGAAGCTATCGTTGACAGGACCCATTGAGATCTGAACCGTCCATCTCACTGGCAAGATCACCATTCCACAGGGAGGGACAATATCGCCTCGTTTTGGGCTTTCTCGTAAAAAAGAGCGTTCCCGCGAGGCGATTGGCCTCGTTGCCCTGGTCGGAAGAGCAGTCTCAGTTTAATGGCATTTCTCCGATGGAGGCCCGATGAGCGGACTGAGTGGCCAACGAGACGGCGAGGGGGGAGTCAGTTGATGATGGTGGGGTCCTGCCCTTGGCCGCGAGCATGCGAGAGACTCGTCGAGATCGAGCTGCTGGTGGCTGTGGGCAGCCGGGGGTGCAACGGTAAAGAGGCGGAAACCGGGGGTTAAGAGGACTAACACCTTGTTTTTTCTATACAGGCCATCGTCGATGGACGGTCAAGCGGGTGGTCGGTGTTCGGATGTCCCTGGTTGCTCCCGCCATTCCGGGCAGCACCGGCAAGAAAAGACGCAAAATGCGGAGCACGTGCATCAACATTTCTTGAGGCTTTCCCGGCCGGAAGGCGCTCGAGATCGTTGCAAAGATGGCTTGGGTCTGTTCCCTCAATCACATTGCCACTGCAGCATGGCAAGGCGGCGCATGGCTTTTGCCTGATCCACAAACCTTGGCTACGAGGTGTCAAAACACGAGTCCGTGTGGCAAGCTCATCTGGGGAAAAAGGACTTGATAAGATCGGAATGTGATGACAGGAACGATAGTAGCAGTGACAGGTCCGGGAACAGAAGGCGGTGGACGGCGTGGTTCTGCAGACACTGGAAGAGGGTACAGAGCTGTGGACACTTCTCGGACGCCGACATAAGTAAGCATTTGGTGAGCGGGATGACGGGTGAGGTGCGGGTTGCTTTTTGCTATGCAACTACGAAGCCATCGAGAGAAAGTGTGTGTGCCGGGGAAGCTCGTCCTGCCCCTGGTCCTTGTCAGTGTGTCCTTGCAGGTGACGGACAGGGGCCTTAGATTTTGGCTCGATTGGTGAAGGGGGAGGACGGGCAAATGTCGAGTCGAGGTGATGGGGCATGTGCGGGCGAGCGAGCGAGCGACGACGAGGACGAGCTTTGGGGGCGTGTACGACTCGAAGGTGAGATATGAGAGAGTGCGAGGTGTGAGGTGAGTGAGCCGAGCTTAGCGTCGTGGGCAAGTGACCCACTCAGCCGAGGACACACCCCATTTTCCCCCCTCCCTCTTTCCGTTCTGTTTTCTTTGCCGTCTCCTGCCTTTCCCATTTCTCGCGCCGTTGACGGCTGCCGGGGTTGAAGAGAGACCCACTTATTCAGACGACAAGCGACGGCGACTGGCCGCCAGGCTGGGAACGCGGGCGCTTAAAACCCGCCGTAGCGGAGCCGGGGTGTCTTGGTTTTCTGGCCAATGGTATATTAGCGCTCCTTAAAATAAAGTCGCACAACATCAATTTTGTCCAATGGGGAGCTCCAGCGACGCATGCATTTCCCGCCGGCTGCGCTATGCACGAAGGTTTCCCGTTGCCGCCCAATCAATAGCTGGCGTCGCTTGACCTTCGCGCCGTCTAGACCCCCCTTCGCTTCAACTCCCTTCCAACCCTTCACCACCTATCTCTCTCTCCAGCTCACACAGAGTCACCGTCCCTCACCACCTTAACCTTCCCCACGCCGGATCTCGACCGTTGCTACTGTGCTGCGCCGTGCCCGTCCTGGACATGCTGCGTCCTGCGTGGTGCTTCTCTGCAAGTGCAAGTGCTTGCTGCCGGTTGCGCGCCGCCGCCATCCACATGGATGCTGCCCGCCTCACACCCCCCTTCTGACCGGGGAACCAGCGTCGAGCGTCCCTCTTCACCCAAAATATCCCGCCGGTCTCGTCGTTCGAAGGGCCGCTTGTCCATGGCCATGGCCCTTGGCCCATGACTGGGCCGTCGCCCGCTCAACCACACTCCTTCCCTATCCCATCCCTACCCATACCTGTCCACGCAACCACTGGGCTATTATTACACACTGAACTGGCCTTTTGAGAGTGCCACAATCGGATCCGTGTGCAAGTGCCACGGGTCGAATCACACCAGAACCAGCATGCATATGGTATGGGCATGGGTAATGGGATAGCTGCGCGTGCACTGCGTTATGTGCTGTGATCCGACCTCAACCACCATGCTTCCTCCCTCCCCCCCATCCCGCATCCCTACACGCTCCGCCGTGCATGGACACACTAGACATACATAACTCGCGGTAGGCGCCCGCCTTGTACCGGATCCCTCCTTCTTCTCTTTTGCGACCTGATACATACCAAACGAGCATATTCGGCTCTGCTGGACGACTTTTCTTTTCCTCTGCTTTTGCTGGTCTGTTTCCTAGCTTGACTTCCCTCCCCAAGGCGTCCCTCAGCTCGCACTGCGTGCGTCTGCCAATATCTACAGGCTTCATCATCAGGATATCCCTAGAACAGAGTGCTGCCGGCAACGGCTTCCCCCCAGTTTCCCACTCTCAAAGCAGGAGAAGCACATATCCCAAGGAGGCTACTCTGCGCTGTAGACTGCGAGTCGGGTACAGCCAGTCCGCGCCTCTTTGACATCTCCACTTTTCACATAGCACGCACATATACATACAATGGTAAGCTTACACGCAGTCAATCGGTTCGACGTTGCGCGTGGTGGCTTGAGGCTGACTCCCCCGGCGCAGAACTACACACAAGAATGCGCCATGGGCGAACGTCGCCTGCGTCATGAAATGCGCGAAAAGGCAACCATGCGCGACACATTCTTCGGCATCAAGACCGAGCCACAGAGACCAACATCGGTGGCGACGGAGTTCATGGACATGGAATGGGACGACGAGGTTCTTAGCGAGTTCGAGGACAACTCTCCTCGCATCAGCGTCAATTCTGTAAGTGACTGCGTTCCACACCGAGCCGGTTGGCGGCGACTAACACGCGCGCGCGCAGTCCGGCGGCCAGCCAAGCATCACAACACTTTCATCCTACGATGAGGTGCAAACGCCGAGGTCAAGTCAAGGTCGGATGATGTACGCTGGGGAGGTCGAATCATCAAGCAAGAACATTGAGGGCCCATCCGGCCCGCACCTGTTCCGTGCTTCCACCTCGAGCTACTTTGACGAGGCCATCTTGACTCTCTCTCCCGTCACCCCGAAGACGGCGCGGCCGTTCGATGAGCCCTTTAGGCACATCCGGCCGCAACAACCGCCGATGCCCCAGTCTAGACACCAAAGTGGCCCCTTCCAGTTCACGTACGAAGAGTTCGAGTCAAAAGAGCTTGTCTCGTGGACCCCCGAGATGGTTGCGCAGTCTATGCTTAATGCTGGCATTGAGCTCTCGGTTGCCGGCCGCTTCGTGGAGAACGACATCAACGGACCCATCCTAATCACGTTGAAGTTTGAGGACCTGAAGGAATTGGATATCCCGTCGTTTGGCATGAGGACGCGCGTTTGGAACCAGATTCAAGTGTTGCGAGACAGCAGGCCGAGCTCGCCCCGCGCCCCGACACCAATCCAAGATGAGCCCAGCCGGGAGGTCAAGAAGGAGACGCGTGAGGTCAGGACAGTGGAACGGCAGACGGACGACTGCGGGTTGAAGAGGAGAAAGAGCAGCCGGAGGAGGCCCAAGAAGCCGTCCCACGACGACATCATCACCCCCATGGAGTCGGTGTCCATCGTCGGCATCGAGCAGGTCGTCCCCAAGCCCCATCAGTGCCCAAAGGGAGAGAACTGCTCCAAGTACAGGAAACAGCAACGTCTAATCGAGGCGTTCAGGAAGGAGCACCCTTTCGTGGACCTCGACACGGAGCAGGTCGTCATCACGGGAAACCCCGGCAACCCGCAGACTGCCAGAGCCTTAGACCCCAACCAGATCCTCCGACCCGTCTCCGACGCCGTCCCGTCGGTGGTCGCTTCTTCCGATGTCTTGGGCCCGGGCAACGCCACTCCTCTGCAGTACTTGCAGGAGGCCGCGCTCCGCAATGTCGCCGCAAGAGACCCTCAAGACAACGTGCGCCAGTTCCTGGACTTCCAGAAGCACGAGGGCAGCACCGTCCCCCCAACCCCGCCCTTCGAGATGACTTTCCCTGCCATGAAGGCCCAGCCCAAGGGTCTTCGTCACCTCCCAAAGCTCTCCATCCCGGGCACGCAAGCTCCGCGTGCCAGCCCCCTCCGAGCTTCTACCGTTCCTCCCCCTCCCAGCCCGAGTCGCTCCCCACTCCTCCCCAGCAACAGCACGGCTTCGTTCCTTACCACATGGACCGCGCCGAGGCCATGTCGCCGGATCTGCAAAGCCCTGCAAACCCCTACCGCTTCGGTACGCCCTTCTCTGAGATGGATGTTCCCGTCACTGCCGTGCCGATGGACCGCATTGCGCGCGACACCTCTCAGTCCGTCCCCCCTGAGATGAACTACCGCCCAGGCGTTGTCAAGCAGCAGCCGCCCCTGAGCCGTACCCAATCGCGCTCTTCCGCCCGCCGTCCCTCCTTCCCCGTCCTCCCCGCCTTGGATGAGTACACCACTACCCCTATCGCTCGCACATCCCCGAGGCAGACGTCTCCTCGCACCTCCGTCCGCCCCCAACAGCAGCTGCCTCTGCAAGCCCCTCCCGCGTCAACTACCCCTGGTCGCCCATTGAGCGCACCAAGCCCTTTGAGCAGGCCATTCCCCCCATCCCCCACCTCGCCGGCGCCCTCCCCGTCAAGCAGGCGGTCGAGGCCGCCCAGCAGGACAGCGTCACCTTCCAGGGCCCGATGAAGAAGCGCAAGACCAAGATGCTCCGCCACGAGTGGAACGACACCTTTTGCACGCTCAAGGGCACGCGCCTGGCGGTCCACAAGGACGCCAAGACAATCGACCGCACCCTCGAGTACGTCGACGTCGACGACTACGCCATTGCGTGCTCGAGCCTGGCGTCGCAGAGCAAGCTCTCGGCCGCCTTCAAGGCCGTCCAGTTCTCGTCCCACAGCCGCGAAAAGAGCGACCCCGTCGCCGCCTTCAGCTTCCAGCTCATCCCCCAGGACAAGGACAAGGAGGCCGCCAAGCTGCGCAAGCGCGGCAGCGCCCTGCACGGCTTCGGCCACCACCACTCGTCGAGCTCGTCGTCGATCCCCGCCGAGGGCGTCAACGGCACGGGCAAGACGCACCACTTCGCCGTCAAGAGCCGCGACGACCGCATCGACTGGATGCGCGAGTTGATGCTCGCCAAGGCGCTGAAGCAAAAGGGCGACGGCTTCGAGGTCAGCGTCAACGGCAACATGATCTAGGCGCCGCCGTTGCCTGATAATCTCACCTTCTTCATTCCGTCAAACAACAAAAAAAAACAAAAAAAACAGGGGGGCCGTATCACAATGACCCCCGCCGGCAAGAAAACAAAAGCACCAATCATTATAATCAAACTGCTTTTTGCCTTTGTTTGCTCCTTTTATTCGCTTCGAGCGCGCAAGCAAGCAAGCACGTTTCGCCTCGGAGACTCTCTTTCTCACGAAAGTCCCTTGAAGGAAAAACAGGATACCTTTTTTCTGTTTCACTGTTTCTGACTCGGGCGCCGCTTCGGGGAGGACCCTCTTTCCAATCTCTCATATTGTTTCTTTTTTTCTCTCTTTTTCCATTGCATCAGTCATCTGGACAGCGGCATTTGTTATATCCTTGATCAGATTCTCCCTCCCCCTTTACCTGACGCCGGGTATATGACTTTTGTTTTTTCTTCCTCTATTCTACTACAATAGGGGGGGAGGGAAAGGATAGGAACCGGGGATTTAGTTTTGGGAACTTGTGGTAATTTCTTCACTCTCGCCATCTCACCATCTCACCATCTCACCATCTCATCTCACTCCCACACACTCTTACATATACACACTCAAAACGCCATCACCACCAACACACACGACACGAAACGACACGACAAAAGACACTCCTTTATTGATATACTTTCTGGGCGGGACACTATGATACCTAAGTAGCTTTTCCTTTACGATGAGTCAGTTGAAAATGAAAATTGAAAGACCCGAAAAGGGGGCCTCCACGAGGCCCCTGGGCCTTGGTTATGAAATGAATTTTCTGCATCCGAACTGTATAAGACTCTGCCGTGATGTGTGCATTTGATGTTGGTAAGAATCGATAGATGAGTGCCCCTGAATGGGTGATTTATGATGCCGTACATGCAAAGTACCAGTATGAGATTCGATGATGTGACCTGAAAAGCCAACCTCGAGGCAGCCTCTCAACTCAATACGTTCTCTCACGGCTTACGGCATCTCATCCAAAATTCAACGGCCTCATCGTCCCACGGCAGAGCCGTCACATGGCGACTGGGCCAAAAAAAAAAAGGTAGTCATCTGGGCTGGTTGTGAAAACTAAGTAGTACAGCATAGTACATCTTCTTTCTGCCCCGTCTCCTCTATATGCAGCGTTTCTATTCTTACAGTTCCTTTGCTTTTTTGGTAATTCCTACATTGCTCACCAACCGCCCCTCCTACTGTCACACACAGGCCTGCAGAAATGGGAACCCCCCCCCCCCTATCTATGGAGAGATCCCTCCTCGCCCGCTATGCCCTCCTCGCCAGTCCGGGGATCCGTCGTAACGTAGCCTCCGGTTCTGTCACTCCCTCCTTTTCCACTCCGTGTCCGACGTCGCAACCTCCCCCCTTTACCGCATAAAGTTTGGCCGGGTAGGAATGTCCGCCGTGTTCTTGACCGCCTCCCAGTCAATGACCTCCCACCACGCCTCGGCAAACGCCTTCTTGCCGCCGACGCCGCCGACGCCAAGGCCGTAGTCGCGCAGCCACGTGTGCTCCCAGGTGTTGAGGCACAACAGCGGAACAGCCTCGAGGGCGCCGGGGGGCTTCTGGCCGGGCCGCTGGGCGGCGGCGTTGCGCTGGAAGAAGTGGTTCGCGGAGCCGCCGAGGCCGACGGTGTTCATGTCGGTGCCCTGCAGGCGCCAGTGGGCGCCCGGGTAGGGGCTGCCGGCGAGGTAGGTCGTCAGGACGCGGTAGTCCTGGTGGCCGGCCTTGACGAGCCAGACGAAGCCGGGGCCGAACATGGCCGAGGCCGTGAGGATCATCTCGCGGCGGAGGGTCTCGATGGAGGAGAAGGAGTGGGTGAGCTCGGCGGCGAGGGACTCAGGCATGGGTTTCGGGTCCGGGGTGATGTTCTTGAAGAAAAAGTGCGTGTTGTGCGCCATGGAGGCGTGGTTGAAGATGGGGGCTTGCGAGGGGTCTTGGGCGGAGGCGAGGAGGATCTGTTTGACGTCGCGCTGCTCGAGGTCGGTGCCTGGAAGGGGTTGGTCAGCTTGGGTCAGAGCGATTGGATGTCACGGGCGAGGGCGAGCATGTCATGCGACCTCCAAGGGGTCGTCGACTCTGCCGGCCGTCGTTCTCGATGCCGGGAGGGCATGAACTGACCTGCAATCAGGGCATTGAGCTTGTCCAGAATGACCGTCATGTACTGGTTCCACGCCATGTCGTAGCCGTCGGCCGAGAGCAGGCCCGGGACGCCCTGCTTGAAGTCGTGGGCGAGCTGGGGCACGTAGTGCAGCGAGCGCTGCTGCATCTGCATGGTCGTCCTCGCCGGGGCGGCGGCGGCGGCGATGGTCGCGCCGACGCGCGGTATTCTTAATCGTGCAAACATTTCGTCTGTGTGTGTGTGGTGCGGGAGGGATCGGTGAGGTGGTGGTGGTAGTGGTGGTGATCCGCCGTGAGGGTACCTTCGCCGAACGAGAGAAAGCTGATGCCGGGAGCTTCCACACGATGGTGAACTTTTTTTTTGGGACGGGCCAATTGGCGCGTTGGCTGTGGCGGCCTTATGATTGAGGCTTGCAGGCGCGCCGGTCTACCTGTGGGGGGACATTTTGCCCACTTGGGGAGAAATGTGGGTCAATAAGATGGAGGTCCTTGGGCGGTTTGGCGATGGCTTCAACCGGGAGCGTTCAACTTCAAGCTTACACCGAGTCACGGTCAATGAAGTTACAGGGTTTTCGCCAAGAGCCAATATAAAAAGGTGACATCTTCATAGAGAAACGCTCAGATAACTGCCGTGCCTGCAACGACAGGCCAGCAACGCCCTTCCACTAACGGAACCGCTTGCAGTCCCAGGTTGACAAAGGTCGAACCACAGCCAACGTTACCAACAACGGTTCACCAACATGGTGTCGCCACTCATTGTACTACCTTACCGACGCTTCTTCTCACGATCAGCATATGATCAGCATGTTGGCTGTTCAGATTCTAACCGCCGACCTCAGCGCTTACAGCATTCCCGGTCCTCGCCTGCGCGGCCGCATAACCGCCCGCCGACTACCATCCAGGAAAGACCGGGCGCTTAGAGCCAGCAGGCAAAGAGAAGGGGGAAAAGCAACCCTGACCCTGGCTTCCGTCTAGAGTGAGCGGTGTCGCACGGTGTTGCTGATGTGCTCACAACTCCCTTGCAAGATGGACCGTTTCGCCACCCTGGGCGGTTAACTGGCAATTTTATCAATCTTTGTCCCGTGTGCAGCGAAAGGAAGGAAACCCCCCATGTTCTAGATCCCACATTGCTTTACTGCGTATGACCGTGTCAACTGCATCAAAGTTTGTGCTTGCCGCGAGGGGAGCATGGGGGAAACATCAGACGGTCTAGGCTCGGCGGGACGGGGTAAGGTAGGCGGCTGCCCCTATTCGACCCCCCCGATCCCGGGACGGTGATGGCCGAGGCATGTTCCAAAGTTCACAACAGTTGGGGCCGGCGAGATAGATGACTACTTTGGTGTCCTTTCTTTGAAGCCCCTGTTTTCGTCACAAAATCACCTTTACACGACCTGGAGGCGCTTGACCTCGTCTGAGACATGCCTCCGCTTCAGTCAATCTTGATTTCGCCTACGCGGGGTCAGCTTCCGCCGCATCATTGAAAATGCCAGTCTGCCCGAGCAGTACTAGGCTATCAGTAGCCCAGGTTTCCCTCATCACACCATGAGAACTGTTGGGCCCTTAGTTGTTCAAACCTCATCAGAACCCTCGAATTTCCTCTCAGCATCTTCCTTCAACATACAAATCATTATCTAGGATTCTCTTGTTGGTTTGGTTTAATTTCTCATCATTGGAGTATGGCCAAGATATAACGCCGTTACACATGCACCCCCAGACCTATGCAGAATGACAGCCTGCCTCTGCGGATATCCCCACGGAACACCACCAAGCGCATGAAAATCTATATATACAAGGAAGAGACCGCCAGCCTCAAAAACCCCGTTCAAATCTCGTTGTCTTCAATCATGCCGAGGACGTCCAACTCGGTCTTCACCAACCGTTCAAATTCTTCCCTGTCAATACCGGAGGAGCGCGCCAGCAGGAAGAGGTTGTGAATGCTCCTCGACACGTGTTGCTTGACGCCGAACTCGTTCTGCTCCTGCTTGCCCACAGACTCCTCTAGCTTCTCGACCAGGCGGCTGCCGTTGCTGCTTGCGCTCGAAGCTGGGCGTGGGTGAAGAAGCATGGCTGCTCTGTCCTCGTCCTGATGGCTGTGGAGTGAGGGCGAACGCGGCGGCTCGGCCAATGTCCAGGAGCCGTTCGTCTCGTTGAGTCCCCTATCCGAATTGTCTTGGCTGACGACGGTGCCCAGTCCCAGCGGAGGGGCAACGTCGAAGCCTTCCACTTCTTCGTCGGGGTCGTGGGCGTCCATCGCCGGCTGCACTGAATCGTACTGTGCATAGTACGCGTCCTCGGCCGAGTCAGCTCGGAACTGGCCAAGCTGCGATGGCCGCTGCACATGCGGTGCGGGAGAGCGCTTGGTGGCGGGGGAGTCGTTTGCTGGCGTACGCGCCGGAGTGGCGTCGTATCTGTCCCAGTACCCGTCGTCCTCCTCGTCATCGGCGTCCGGGACATCGTTGTGCAATGTGCTGGCCGGTGCCTTCGAAGCGGTCGCCTTGGACTTATCGTCCGCGTACGCCTTCTCAGCCTCGGCGATGGTTGAGTAGCCACCAAAGGTTCCAAAGGGTGCCGCCTTGTCGGTAACGCTAACCTCGCCGATCCTCCAGCCGTCACCGCCGCCGTCCTTGTCGCCGACACAGTAGACCAACTGGAAAGTCAACTCAAGCTCCTCGAGGGCAACGAAGGCCTGCAGGGTTTCCAAGTCGAGTCGCCTGTACCTCGTCTTCGCGTCGTACTCCCAGTCGACCTCGACCTCTCCCGACACGGGATGCGGTTCCAGCCTGCCGCTCTGGACGATCTCCAACAGGCGCGCCGCCTTGTCTGTATCATATGCAAGCAGACGGAGCCATGGCTCTGTGCTTGACTCTGAGAGAAGCTGGACCCTCTGCCTCAGGATGGGGCTCAGAAGGGGCAGGACGCCGATGGCGGGCTGGGTGGAGATGCTCGCCGGCACCAAAGCAGGCAACAACGGGGCCAGAAGGCCGCCGATGTTGGGCATGGGTGTTGTGGTGGCTGAGGTCATGGTTGTGGTGATGATATGGGTAGGTAGGGCTGGTGGATTGCAATGGGGTCACTCTCTCGCGGCCACTCCTTGCGGGGAAATGGGGTATATATGCGAGGCAAGGGGCGGTGGCCTAGTCGAGCGACGGCTAGGTCGTGGGTAGTGGTAGTGTTGGCGACGGGAAGCACTGGTGACAATATCACATGCAGCCGCTACTGAGGGGACAGATGGATGTCTCGCTGTATAGTGGGAGTCGTAAATCTCTGCCTTGGCAACTGGGTCTAGATAGGCAGATATTGGAACAAAGTGAGAGTTGGTGAGGGTAAGTATGAGTATTGAGAGGAAGAGTAAAGAAATAAAAAAGAGACGGGAAAGCTGCGACTATTATGAGAAGTCGAGTGTGAGGGACGCGTGACGAGAAGGCAAAGGGGTCGAAAAGCCTAAGTATCGTCCTCGCTGGTCTCCGCGTCGAGTTAACGCAGAGTCGGCGGCCCCATGCTCAAAGGTCTCCGTCTCGCCCCTCGAGGTCCAAATCCGACTTGCAAGAAAGGGCTGGTGCAGTGAGTTCGGTCGGGGGGGGTTGACCCCACAGTCGAGGGGAGGCAAGGGCGGGCGGAACGCCAAGCCAGGCGGTTCTGGCCAATGCGGAGGCACTTCAAAGGCTGCTGCGACTCCGCCCAGGGCAGTCGTTTCGGACGGAGGGAAGCTGGCCACTGACGAGCCAACGCAGCCTATGGCAGCCCGCCAATTACACGTTGGAGCGTCCTTTTTGCACCTGTCAAGACTCAAGCCCGTCTTCCACGAAGCGTTCCTCTCTTCCACCATGGCACTACGTAGTACCTATCCGATGCGGCCCCAGCTTCCGTCCAGCCTTTCCTACTCGCTCGCCCGTCCACGTCTCATCTGTCTCATCTTTTCATTTGTAGCTGAAGGGTGGCCATGCCTGCAGTTCGTCTCCCGCTCCTCGTTGCTCGCCTCTGTTTCTCTTGCTTCGAAACAGGAGTCGCCGAGCATTTTGGTGAGACAACCGCCATTTGTCAGGACGCCGCCTTCCACATGGGATTCACATTGCCATGCTTTTTCCAAGCGTCTTCTTTTCCTTCCGTGTACGCGGCACTTGCCGCCATGCCAAGGCATATCAGGTAGCACCTCAGCACACGCTCCTTCCTGACTGAGGCGCTGCTCCTCTCATTTCCTCAACTCGCCTCCTTCTGTCGTCGACATGCAGCGTCACCAGAGTCACGAGGCGTCCTGTCGTCACAAGACACAAGAGCCTGAGGGCTTTGGGTATGCAATGGCATTCTTTCTTCGACAGAGGCAAGTCTCGCAATGGGTCTCGTGAGAGAGCCAAGGCACCGTCTCTTCTTCTTTTCTTTTCCATCATATGTCATGTCGAGATTGAACTTGCATTGAACTTGCATTTGCATACTGCATTTGTCCGTCCGTGTCCATGATATCTCGACGTCTCTCTTTCCTGCTCGCTGTTTCTGGCCCGCACGGGTGAAAGGGACCAGACCCTGCGTGGCTATGCCCACTAGGCTGCTCTGGTAAGTTCGCGAGGGCGTGGTGCCCCTGCTACAGTGACGCCCATGGTGGGGCCCTTCCGCAGTAAATATCCCCGAGCTGTAGTGCGAGAACCTCTGGCAGCCGGCTATCGTCGAAATTGCGTCACACTGCTTGGGGGTCGCTTGCCATTCTGAATGCTTGGGGCGTGTGCGAGCTAGCTAGCTCCATCGGCCTACCAACACCTTATCGACTAACAGGGGGGAAAATTACAGCACACGAGCAAATCAACAGACACGGAAATATCGAGAATCGAGCAGCTTAGCGAACAGACCTCCAACATTTATTGGTTTCCTCGCGACTCGGGAAGGAAACACATCCTCCTCAAACGCGCTCACTGTCAATTGAGACCCTCAGCCTCACTGGCGAACGCCTCAAGCCCGTTGTTTTAACTTCCCAGCAGTGCCCCACGGCGAAAGAGGAAGAAAAAAAGATCACACGGCAAACATCTCGCCTGCGACATCTCGGATCGCACCGCTTTGACGGAAACCCACAGACAACATACACCAACCATCTGACCTCGATAGACCTCGTCACCCGGGCCCGAATCCCACTTGCCCATCACCGAAAACACAGCACGAAGAGCCGCCCCCTCTGTCATCCCTTTCCTACGTCTTAGAGTCGCTGTGCCAGGTCCCGCGAGGACACAGCCGGATGCATGTCGCCCAGCGGCGAACGCCTCAAGGATGAGGTAAGGCTTCTACGCCTGACGTGACGGCCTCTCAGGCCTGCTCAGTCGCCCTCGCTCTGCACGTCACAACGCTTACATACTGCTCGCGCCCAGGGCTCCCGCCTGCAGGTCGTAACGGCCGGCGCCACCGCCGGCCTGTTTGCTCGGTAAGGGAGATCGGCACCTGCCAATTGTTCCAGTCAGTGACTCATGCTGACCTGCTCGCGATGCGCAAACAGCTTTGTAATCGCCCCCCTCGATGTCGTCAAGATCCGCCTCCAGCTGCAGACGCACTCGCTCTCCGACCCTCTGTCGGTCCAGTCCGCCAAGGGCGGGCCCGTGTACAAGGGCACCCTGAATACCATAAGGCACATCCTCGCGAATGAGGGCATCACGGGACTCTGGAAGGGCAATGTCCCTGCCGAGCTGATGTACGTTTGCTACTCGGCTGTTCAGTTTACGGCATACAGGACGACGGCCCAGTTCCTCCAGACCGCCTTCGACAACCGCCTCCCGAACGCCGCCGAGTCCTTCATCGCGGGAGCCGCCGCCGGCGCAGCCGCCACGACAGCCACGTATCCCCTCGACTTGTTGCGGACTCGCTTCGCGGCGCAGGGCAACGACCGGGTGTACAAGAGTCTCCGAACGGCGGTGGCGGATATCTATCGCGACGAGGGCCCGCGCGGCTACTTCCGCGGCCTCGGACCCGGTATCGCGCAGATCGTGCCGTACATGGGCATTTTCTTCGCCCTGTACGAGGGTTTGCGGCTGCCGCTTGGGGATCTACATTTGCCCTGGGGCGGTGGCGACGCCACGGCGGGCATCGTGGCCAGCGTCATGTCCAAGACGGCCGTCTTCCCTCTGGATCTGGTGCGGAAGCGCATACAGGTCCAGGGGCCGACGAGGTCTCGGTACGTGCACAAGAATATCCCCGAGTACCCTGGCGCCGTACGCGCCATGCGGATCATCTTCGCGAACGAGGGCGTCCGCGGGCTGTACCGGGGTTTGACGGTGAGTCTCTTCAAGGCTGCGCCTGGGAGCGCCATCACGGTGTGGACGTACGAGAGGGTTTTGAGGGCGTTGCAGAGACTTGATGGCTCTGACGAAAAGCGGTTTTGAGTCGAACAGGAAGATGGAAAACAGTCGGGCGTAGACTGGGAAATGATACCCCTTGTTAGAGAACGGGAATTGGGAGAAAATCCCTCTAGACAGTATTCGAAGAGCTATAGGCAGCGCTCTGTCACCTTGAATAAACGTAATACACTAAAAGCGTGATATCAGGGCAGTGGTGTTGATCGGTTGCAACAATCTGTATGTAACGTTATATTGAAGTCACCTCAGCGATGTGTGAAAAGTAGTGACTAGAGCAATTCAACAATCCCCCAATTCATCTGTTTTATTACGTATCAGCGTGGATGTGTAGGTTACCCGTGTGCCAACATAGGTTGTGTATAAGTGTGACGGCTGCCAATATGAGGCAGACCGGCAACCATCCGATCATGAACCCCGATCCTCCGCAGATGCCCTGACCGCGCCCATGTCAATAGAAGAGCCAGGCTGTCATATTCGGTTGGACAAAAATGATACATCTTGAAGAGACGGCTGGAAACAACCCAGATACCCTTCCCCACTGTCCCTCACCATCGCTCCTCACCCCCGGCTCAACTTGGATTCTCCATTGGAACTCATCAGTTGCGGATAAACGACGATCAGAGACAGGTGCGGCCCTGGAGTTAAACCCTGCGGTTCATCATAACCCTTCCTCTCCAGCGTCCTCGACGGGTTCCGCCACGGCCCGTCAACTCACCCGCAAACGATGCGCCCAAGAACGCGCCTCAATGCACCAAACGCCTTCAAGTTTTAGACAATCAGTGCCCTGGCACATGGCAGGATGGGACTTTGTACGATTATTTTGTCTATCAATACTAGAAAGCACAGCCGCGCGCCGCCACGCTGCGTCAGTTCTCCAGCGCTCCGTTCTGCTTCAGGCCCGCCACCTCGCCGGCGTTGACCCGGTCCGCCCGCTCCGTGCACTCCTCAATGACCCGCCAGAACATGGGGATGTCGAGGCCGCGGGGTATCCGCACGCCCTCGCTGCCCGGCGGCAGCGGCTTCGCGACGGTGCGGCCGAGCTGCGACCGGCCGGCCTTGGCCTCCTCGAGGTCGCCCTCGGTGACGACGGTCAGCTCGAAGCGCTCGTGGTACTTTACGCTGTTGCCCTTCTTGGTGTCGTAGTCGTGGAAGGGGATCTCGTGCTTGGTGCCCGTGAGCACGGCGGCCACGGCGAGCGGGTCGTGCAGCGGCGGGCCGGCGGTGATGCCGAACACGTCGCTGACGAGAGCTGGTCAGTAAATGTTTCCCGCATGAGAGGTGTTGTTTAGGAGGGGGTGGAGGCCTACCTGTACGTCTTGGCGAAGAACATGAGCAGCTCGACCAGCATCTGCCGCAGCGTGGTCTTGCCCCTGCCCGTCTTCTCGCTGCCATCCTTGCCGTAGAGCAGCAGCTCCCGCACCTCCTCCGTAGCGAGCACCTGATGCGACAGGTCGAGCGGCACGAGCGTGGTCTTGGCGGCGAGGGCCTTGTTGTGGAACACGCTGGCGGCGGCGTCCGGGTCGATGATGATGTTGAACTCGGCCCAGGGGGTCCAGTTGCCGATGCGCGGCACGCCGTCGACGACGCCGAGGACGATGTCGGTGAAGCCGTCGCCGATGGCGCCGCCCATGATGCTGAGCCCCTTGATGTGGGCGACGAGCTCCGGGTGCTTCTGGAAGAGAAGGGCGACGTTGGTCAGGGAGCCCGTGGCGACAAGCCAGGCGGTGCCGGCGGGCTGGGCCCCGAGAGCAGCGGCCATGGCGTCAACGGCGGGGACGGTGCGGTCGGCGTCCTTGGAGGGCTTCGGCAGCAGGTCGGTGCCGTCCAGGCCGGATTCACCGTGGATGTCCGTGGCAGCCTGCATGGGCGGGCGGTTCATGGGCTTGGCGGCGCCGACGTACACGGGGACGTCATTGTGCTTGCCGATGGCTGTGAGAATGGAGGTGGCATTGTTTGTTGTCTTTCTGGAGGGCTGGTTAGTCGGGTGGTCGTCCGCCTGTATGAGATGTCCACTGACACTAGGGGAGCATTTCCGAATACGGTTGAGACGCCCAGCAGCTTGATGGTCGGGTGGTAGGCGGCTAGGAGAATGGCGAATGTGTCCTGTTGCGTATTAGTATGGTGTACACGCAATGTAAGAAAGCTGCGAGGTCGAGGCGCTGCGCATGAATTGCACTCATATCAGCTCCCGAGTTACACTGGTGAAGAGGTGCGACCCCTCACAGTGTTGGGGACAGCAACTCACATCGTGGCCAGGGTCGCAGTCCAGCCAGACCGGCACTGGCGCCTCCGGCAAATTGAGGTCAACCATGGTGGCTCAGACAATAGCTACACGTATGGAATATGAGTAATTTGATCGTGATACAGCAGATTGGTCATGAGTGAGAGAGTTGTCCTCGGCAAGAGACAGCCCACAGACTCGCGTGCAGTGCGCTTTTAGTTGCGCCTGTGGTTCCCACTTTCGGTGGATAAGACCAAACGAAACGAGCACGGGGAGGGACGTGGATGATGGATTAGTGTGTTCTGGGGCTCTGGAAATGGGGGGCGGGGTGAGCCGCTGGTCGACTGCGGGTAACACAAAAAACAGACGAGGAGAGCAAACGGGCAACCAGCATTTTTTTTATTTTAGGTAATGCGTCGAGGTGAAACTGGGCCGACACCATCACATGGCAACGATGCCTGCGCTGCTTCCTCGATTGTCATAAGACAAGAAAGCCTCGCTGGGCAATGGGGTGCCGAGTGTTCTTGGGACGGAATCCTATCAACTCTGTGGGGCATTGTGGTGTCCTCGCTTGCAGCAAAGTGCGCCGCGGTGCAGGTGCCGTGGGCGGAGACCAGCGGCCTTTCTGAAAAAGAAAAAAAACGAGGCGGTGCCCTCCGAGCACCGCTGCGACCCGACTCGAGTTCCCCATCCGACCTGCGCCCGTTTCGGAAGGTCCAGCAGACCATATATGCCCCCCCCACGGGCCACACCGAGGACCTCGCCGTGTTAGCCGGGTCGTCGAGCGTTGAGCGTCAAGCGTTCGGCCAGCTGAGTCATCGTGAACTATGATATGCTCAACGTCATCCTGGCTTCTAAACCGCCGCCTGAAGGTTACTTTATATCAGTGCCTGAGAGCATGGTATGGGTGCCCACGCCCAGACCAAGCTGGTCATTGGGGCGCAAACGGCAGTTGAAATCCGAGCCGCACGCCTGATTCAAGGCAGACGGTGATGGTGTGCATCTGTGTCTGTGTGTGATGTGAATGCACCGATGTCCTTTAGCGCGCGAAGGGTATCAATTTTTACAAACAGTGGCTGAAGTGTGTTCGTGCGCAATGTGCCATGATGACAGATTGGCAACCCAGTTGCAAAGTGTTGGCTTCGAGAGCAGCAGACATGCGTGCGTGGCTCTGTATCGTGGCCGCCGAACGTCCACTCAAGCCTACGACTTGCTCGCCGCTTTTCGCTGCTCCATCACCCTGAGCACATCAGCCGCGTTGTTGGCGTCGCCCTTCCTCTTCTTGGGGCCCCTCTTCCTCTTGCTTTTACCGCCCTGGCCGTCTCCTTCGTCGTCATCGTTGCCCCATTCCGAAAGCTTGACTGGAGCATCGTCAAAGTCTGCCTCGTCTTCGAACCTGCTGGTGCCGAAGCCCATGTCCAAATCTTCGGCATCTCGGTCAACGCTCTGCAGCATCCTCTTGTGGCGCTCCCGCCGAGCCTTGGCCTCCTCGTCGTCTTCGTCGTCTTCTTCGCCTTCGCGGTCTTTGTTCGCGGCGTTGAGCAGCGCAGCCCTCTTGAAAGCAGCCTGGATGGCAGGGTCGGACATAGAAGGCCCCTTGAGGGTCTGCGACGAGATGAGCTCCGTCTTGGCGTCCTTGAAGTAGTTGCGAGCCTGCACCGGCCGCGGCGGCGGTGGCATCGCTATTGTGTCGGCGCTACGCTCATCCTTAGCCTCCTTCTTGTCCTCGACCTCGCCTTCACTGTCGTCATCGGAGCTGTCGTCCATCCCAGCAAGCGGGTCGTAATCGTCCCCTGCGTCGGCGAAAATGTCGTCGTTGTCATCTTCTTCGGCCTCCTCTTGTTGCTTCTTGTAGAACTCGGGCACCTCCATGCCTAGCGGTTTCGCGTCCTTGTCCGGGACGAACTCTTTGCGCTGTTCCTCTTCAGCACCTGGTTGGATCTTGCGAACCTTCCTCTTCTCGTGACCATCTTCGTCGACAATAATCAAGACTTCGCGGCCCTTGCTGTCTCGTTCGATGCGGGTTCCAGGCTGTTGCTTGGCGCCGATCTTCCTGAACTTGTTACCCAGCGCGGCTTCCTGCTGGGCCTTGGCGGCCTCTCTCGCGGCCTTCAACTCGGCCAGAATCTGGTCCCGCGTTCTCTTCTTCCCGGGAGCAAGCGCTACAGGCGCGAACTGACCCTTCTTTTTCACCTTTTCCTTTTCGACGGCCTGCACTTCTGTTTCCGCCAACTCGTCGAACGCTTCGTCTACTTCCTCCTCGGGTGGCACTTCCTCTTCTTCGTCATCTTTCTTGTCTCCGTAGACATCTTCGCCCTTGCGCACTCTTTCTAGGAGCTTAAAGTCCAATCCCTTTATTAAATGCGTGCTCGAAAGGTCTCCTCCTGCGATTTCGCTGCAGAGCTTCTCGAACGTCGCCTGGTCGATTTCCTCGTTCTTCAGCGCTTCCTCTAGCGCCTTTATCCTCTTTGCGCGGTCATCTTCTTCCTCGTCAGTTCGGTCTCGTGCTCGGTCGACGTAGCCCTCCGCAAGTCGCGATCCTTTCGGTGTCGATGTGCGAAATTTCTTCTGGGGCTGGGTCGCTTGATTCCTTGCAGCAAGCTGTCGCGCAAACTCGCTTCGACTGTTCCCAACTCCAACAGACCGCCTAGTAAAAAGGTCAGTACGAAATCCAGGTGAATGTATTGGAAGTGCAATATACGGAGTCATGGGAATGCTTGATCGTTGTCGCGATCCCAACGCGCCAGAAGCGGCCGGACTGGCGCTGCCTTGGGACGCTCCATTGCTCGGAGACTGGGACTTCGCTGAGTCGGCACCCAAAAGCTTCCTGAATTGTTCGTTGTTCATGGTCGCAGTCCCTCACAGAGTCCACGGCAGAGAAAACGGGTACAATACGGGCTAAATCGACGGTTGACGTTGCTGGACGTCCTGCGTTTCCAGACATGCTCCAAAGATATTTGATTAGTCATGCGGGACATGGGACGTGCAGAAACGCGACGGACCCATACCACTTAACGCGGTTGCTTGCAGGCATCCATCGCGGCCGGTGCTCCGTCTTTCATCGCCAACTCTCCGTAATCAACGATGCCGATTCACGACATGAGGAACAGCTGATATTTATTTTCGCTTCCATAAAAATGGTGCATAACATCAAACTGGACCTCTGGACCGGATCATATTTGCGGGATCAAAGGAACCGCCAATGAACAGACTGTCGCCGTCACTTCCGATCCTAAGAGAGCCGTCATTAACACGTGAGTTCCGAAAACAACGGCAACATGAACAGCCGCCTCGATAAAAACTCCTCTCAGGTGAGGAAGCGGATCGAAAACCATGAGTTCGTGGATGAGACTGGTGAAGAGTACGAGCAGAGCGCCTTCGGCGGCTTTGGTGACTACTTCAGGCGGAAGAAGATCAAGCTGCAGAACCTCGATGCGGACATGCGGGCTGCTTCGACCGACAAACCTCAGATTTTCAAGGGTGTTGTTGCGCACGTTATGGGCTATACGCAACCGCCGCTTCACATGTATGTTGCCCTTCGCAGTAGCTCATTAAAGAGCCGACTGCTCACATCAGCCTCCTAGATTGCACCGCGAGCTTGTCCAACATGGCGCAGGCTTCTTGCAGTACTTGGACTCTAAGACTATGGCGACACACATCATCGCCTCTTCTGTGCCGCCCAAGAAGTCTGTCGAATACAGCAAATACAGGCTCGTGAAGCCGGCCTGGGTGACCGACTCAATCGAAGCCGGGAGATTATTGCCTTGGTCGGATTATCGGGTGAACAATAATGACGGGCCACGTCAGAAGGTCTTCAAGCTTGATGACTCCAAAACAATCAGCCAGACGACACCACGAGCCAAAAAGGGGTATAGGGAGCAGACGGACGCCAGCTTTTACACGAGTCAATTCAAGGCATCCGCCGGAAGTCCTGCGACACCGTCGTTGAGTCGGTTTGCAGAGCGCGCCGAGTCGCCTCTTGCTCGACCCCGCGCTCGAGATTCCTACAGCCCATCGGTTTCACGTCCTGCGAACCCGCCGCCACTCAAACAAAAAGACGACGTCGAAGAGTTTGACGATGTCGAAATTGATGAGCTAATGGTCGACATTCTACCCGAAGAAGACACAACCCTCAAAACCAGGGAACTAGACACAGAGATCACGCCGCCCGTACTTGAGAAGGAGGCAAAGCAAGAAACCAAATTGCTGGAGAACATGACCTCCGAGGAGCACAACGCCGTGCTTTTATCAGATCCCAAGATATGGAAGTCATCAACAGCGAACCCCGATTTCTTGAAGCAGTTTTATTCTGAAAGCCGCCTGCACCACCTTTCTACATGGAAAGCCGAGCTGAAGTCAAGGATGCAAAATCTTGCCAAAGAGAAAGGAGCATCCCCAAAAGCCAACAAAAGAAAGCCCGGTTCGCGACGGTACATCATTCACGTCGACTTTGACAGCTTCTTCTGCGCTGTCTCTCTTAAGAAAAACCCTCAATATGTGGAAAAGCCAACCGTGGTTGCTCACAGCAGTGGGACGGCCTCCGAAATCGCAAGCTGCAACTATGTTGCGCGCAAGTTTGGAGTCAAGAATGGGATGTGGATGAAACGGGCGCTGGAGCTGTGCCCTGACATTAAAGTCCTGCCTTACGATTTCCCTGCCTACGAAGAAGCTAGTCGGTTATTTTACGAGTCAATCCTCGAGCTTGGAGGGGTTGTTCAAAGCGTCAGCATCGACGAAGCACTTGTCGACATAACTTCACTTATTCTCTCTACCGCGGGCTCTGATGACACTGGACTGGACGAAAGCAGTATGTGGAGAGAGCAGGAAAAGGCCGAACAGATCGCGTTCAAGCTTCGGAGCAAGGTCAAAGAATCAACCGGCTGCGCGGTGTCAGTGGGCATTGGGGGCAACATTTTACTTGCCAAAGTTGCCTTGCGACGAGCGAAGCCCGCCGGACAATTCCAGATCAAGCCGGAACAAGTTCTGGATATTATCGGAGAACTCGAGGTGAAGGACTTGCCTGGTGTTGCTTATAGTCTCAGCGGAAAGCTTGAGGAGATCGGCGTCAAGTTCGTCAAAGACATTAGGCAAGTGTCCAAGGAGCGTTTGTCGTCGTCGCTAGGCCCCAAAACCGGAGAGAAGCTCTGGGAGTATGCTCGTGGCATCGACCGAACCGAAGTTGGAGAGCAACCACCCCGGAAATCCGTCTCGGCCGAAGTGAACTGGGGCATTCGCTTCATCAACCAGCAAGAAGCGGAAGAGTTCATTCTCAACCTCTGTAAAGAACTGGAACGTCGCTTACTCAATGAGCAAGTTAAAGGGAAGCAGTTCACCATGAAAATCATGCGCAGGGCCCTGGACGCACCCCTGGATCCCCCGAAGCACCTAGGGCATGGAAAATGTGACTCTTTCAGCAAGAGTATCTTGTTTGGAGTAGCCACTCACAATGCAGATACGATTGCCAAGGAGGCCGTATCTATACTTCGATCTTACAGGTTTACCCCGGGTGACCTTCGAGGCCTTGGTGTCCAGTTGACAAAACTGGAGCCGATTAAATCCGGCGCAGCTGGGCCAGAGAGCAGTCAACGACGCTTGGCATTCCCCAACTTTGGCGGCCCAATTGGGGCCAAAAAGACCGCTGCAGATCCTATCGAGGACTCAAAGAGTCCTCAGAAACCGAGGTCTATTCAGAGCCGAGGAGACGTAGCACAGGACCCCATCGCGGAAGACCCCTTAACACCAAGAAAGCCCAAAGTGCACCCTGCTTTAGCACTAGCACGAGCCGGTGAGAACGATGCAAAGGCAAAAACACCTTTGAATATCATGGGAACTCAGTTCATCCTACCTTCTCAAGTTGATCTCGCGGTTTTGGCTGAGTTGCCGAGCGACATCCGGGCCAAGCTACAGAGAGGGCAGAGATCGAAGCCAGAGTCTAGGCAAGCGTCACCACAGGTCAAGTCACGGAGCAACAGTCCTGCCGTGCTAGAAGAAATACCCTCACAGGTAGACCCGGAAGTCTTCAACGCTCTGCCTGACGACATGAAAGCAGAGGTCCTGGCACAGTATGGTCGGAAGAACGTCCAGCAAACCCGCTTGCCACAGTCGCCACGCAAGGACAGGCTTATTCAGGCAAAGAAAGCCATCACTCCCACAAAGAGAGGTGGCAGAAGCTTGTTCAACAACGCCAAGGAGAGACAACAAGATGCTGCAGCAAACCGCTTACAGACGAACTTCCTGTCGAATAAGGGGGCTGGAAACCCTGCTGAGGAAGAGCCAGAGGAACTGGACCAGGAATTTCTCGCGGAACTACCAGAGGACGTCCGCAGAGAAATCATCGAAGACCATCGCAAGAAACGACTGGCTAAGCGATCCGGGCTCTTGTTCAACGCTCCTGCTCGGCGGCAACAAGGTGGAGACTTGAGCGACTCTCTACCTATTGGACAAACCAAGCTGCAGTTTCCGGCACCACCACCCAAGGTCAACTTCATGGGCTCAGCCGTGAAATCAATCCAAGAGATCAAGGATATGCTCGAGGCCTGGCACGACGGGACGCGGTATGACGGCCCCCATCAAGATGATGTTGTCGTGTTTGAGAAGTATCTCTCAAAGGTCGTCTTAGAGGAGCGGGACATTCACAAAGCCTCAAAGCTGGTGCATTGGCTCGATTGGTTAGTAGAGGAGGATGGCAGCGAGGGACGGGGCAAGCAGGGATGGAGGAAGACCATCGCGGATATCAAAACGGAGGTCCAAACAGCCGTCAAGGGCAGAGGCTTGGGTCCTCTAAGATTTTAGGGTTAATTGCACAGTCCACGAATTATGACACGATGCCAGTACTGCGGGATACTTAAAGCGCATCCGCAAAAGGCACATTTCGCGACGACAGAGTTGATTTTTCTTCTAGGCCTCATTTGGGTGAGATGTGCGCAGTAGCACAATACAACGACCCAACTGGGACATTCTATACGCTGAAATCTAAGGGTATCCTCCTGATATGAATAATAACGTACTTTCGTGTGATCTTGCAGCCCTTGCGCTATGCTATTCTCCCCAAGAACTCCTTTCGCCAGAGAAGACCAACATCAGAGCACCACATACGTCACCAACGCCGCCGCGAGCACCGCGCCCCAGGACGTCGCCGTGGCCGCCAGTCGGGCGTCGGCGGTCAGCTTGTACACGCTCAGCTTCAGGGCGCCGCCGCAGACCATGCCCTGGTTGCCGTCGCAGGGCAGGTTGCACTCGCTGTCGTCAAGCTTGACCGAGAGGCCCGAGATTCTCTGGGCGCACCAGCACTCGCTATTTCATGCCCTGTCAGTCGTTTCGCTCTTGGGTATGACCGCTCTCCGCAACTAGAAGCCGGGAGTGGTTTGGCGGAGGGGGGCGACTCACCGAGAATACTCGACGCCGGCGTAGGTGTACTGCTTGTCGGCGCCGCTGCTGCAGAAGCTGAGGCACAGCGGCACCGTCATGTTGCCCTGGAGGACGCGGGAGGCGCCCCCGGACAAGGCGCGCTCGCGGGTCGAGTTGGCGATGTCGTTGGTCTCGTTGAAACAGCCCTGGTACAGGTACTTGTCGGAGCCCGTGTAGATTTGGAGCTGGGCCGCCGCGAGGGGCGCGAGGAGGGCGAGGAAGAGCAGGGAGACGAGACCGAGGAAGCCGTGGCGAGCCATTTCGGGTTCGTGGGGTCGGGTGAGCCGAGTCGAAGCTGGGGAGGGCTGTGATGGCGGTCGTCGGTAGAGTTGTGAGCAGGTTGCGCCTCTTCTCAGCTTCGAGGAGTGAGATTGTGGTCGTGGTAGATTGAGAGCCTTGTTTCTTGCAGCGAGCTGTTGGTCGGGCTTATCAAGAACCGCCGTCTTCACAAATGGCGCCGATCGTGGACGGTCTACAAATTCAAGGAGGGCTGGCGACGGGTATGGCGCATTCTCACACGGGTTAGAGAGCAAGAGAAGTCCTGAAATTAACGGAACAGCGCAATGGCGGAGGGGCGGCGAGCTAAAGTAATATTCATCCTGTGCGGGCGGGCAGCGGTGCGATCCTCCAAATAGATTTTGCTGACTTTCCGTCCCGGCCACTGGCGCGACCCTCGCTACGCCCGCGATGAGGCGCTCCTGGAGCTGGCCCAATCGAGGTGTAGGCCTGGCCCGGACTGCAAATCACCGCCGCACACGTTCACACCCCCTTCGAGGTGAAGTGCAGTAGCTCCTTCGATAAAGGCTCGATGCAATAGGAACGGGCTTAGCGTGGGCGAGTCCGCGGCGCGGTTCGAAGCACCTCCCGCTTAAAGACGCACAGGGAGGGGCCTTGTTCGGAGGTTCAGAGGCCCCCACTGCAGCTGAAGTTTGGGCGCCGTTCTAGACCGATTTCAGTCGAGTCTTTGAGTTGAGTAGAGGATGTGGTCCGTGTGCCGTGGCACGCCGGGCGCCATGTGGGAGTTCGCCGGCCCTTTTTTCCGTTGCGCAAAGCAAACTGGCTGGGTTCATGTTTCCCATCCACGAGGTTGTGAATCAAGCTTTTCGATGTCTCTTGTCACACAGCGCAATCAAACCGTCTTCTATGGCGTCCTGATGTCGTACAATATTAAGATAACTACACTACTTCATCTGACACTCGTGTGAGTCATGTTTCGGCCACGATTCTCCAATACCAGCATCCAGGGACCTCATCTGGACGCTTGCTTTTTCTCAATACAATCCCGTCGGAAGCACATCTCTTTGTTCTTTGGGGAAGTTTTTTTCTGTACAGGTCTTTCGAAAACTGCGCTTGTCCAAAACTCCGAGGCAAGTACGGGATGCCGTCAGCTCTTGGTGGTTTCACACACCCTTCCAGCGTGACCTCGTTCGAAACCAAGTGGCTCTAGTTTGCTTCCAGTACATATTCCAGAGCAACAATTCTGCCGCGCTCTAATGATTTTGTTGGGTTGGAGCTGCCTTCTCTCGTTCCATTACGAGTGTCTGTGATAAGCCTTGGTGGCAGCCAACATCTCAGCATTTTCAGCTCATAGTCGGCTTTGTATGTTTCTTTGTTTCGTTGAGACTCGTGTACTGCGGAACGTCTTTGTTTTCCTCTTCCATCGTGATAAAGTCAATTTCATCGTCGAGATCATCTTTATCATAATTCATCACTTCAAGGTTAGAATAATCCAGCCAAATCTTGGGAGGGTCAGCGGGCAACTTACAATGCACTAATCTCTAGACCCCCAAAGATTCTCGCCTTCAACGTCACCTCGATATCGAGATTCAGTCCCAGGTGCACCGCGAAACCCCTGCTGTCCCGGGACCCATCCCCCACCCCGGAGCGCTTCTGCCGGGCCGGTTGCATCCCGCGGGGTCTCCGCCTTCTACGGCTGAGGTTCTGGCTGATCTTTCTCAAAAGGAAGTCCCTCTCGAAGTCTGTGTCAGAAGCGGACAAGTCCGTCGGCCCTGCTAGCACAGCTGGGGGCGGCGGGACCGGAGCCTCGTAAGTCGTCGGCCCGGTGTTTGCAGGTCGTTGGCTGTTTTCCCCCATATCAATAAAAGACGTCTGCTCGACGGGCAGGGATTCGTCAAAAGGCATCGGGGACCATATATATCGGTTATCGGCAAAGGGTTCGACGGAGCCGTACATCTCCTTCGGAAGCCACACGGTGAGACTGTCACGTTTCGACATTTTACTGTTTATGTTCTTTGAAGCGAAGCGAGTGAGGTGTGTGAGCGAGTGAAGGAACAATAAGAAAAGAAGAGCGTATGTAAGAAAGCAACAGGCTGACGAAATAGTTGAACACCCCTTTGAAAGCGAAATACAAAAAAGGGGAGCGAGCCATGGCTTCTAGGTAGCAGGATCCCCCTCTCGTCATCCTTAGAAACCGACACCAACAACAAGCAAACACAATCTTGGCAGACACCAGATCTCAATGGTGCCCTACGCTGAGGCTGCCCCGATGAAATCATGGATGGGGCCGGGTTGTATTCGCTTCGGGTTTCGTGAGCCCGGAGCTGTCCAAGAATCGACCGAGATCTGCAGGCCAATCGTTGTGGGGACCCAACGGTTGCAACGGTGATGCGAGTGCCAAAACCCGGATTTTTGGCATCCATTTTGGTGGCCCCTCCGGGCGCGAGCACGCCACTGATGACATCCCAACACCACATCCTCCCGGGGAGTTCCATTTTTCCTGGCCCATTCGATCGGGTTTGGATGCCCACCACGGGGAATATCGACGCTGGGTTACTAATTTTGGAAACGGCCCAGGGGCTTGGTGCCCCCGCCTAGCTCGGAGGCTGAAGGACGCGCTGAAATGAAGTTTGGATCTACAGAGGACCGGTTCAAAAGTTCTGGCCAGGGTGAAGTACAGAATCACCTTGCCAACACTATCAGTACCTAGGGTACACAATATCCGGATTAATTCGCTGTGATACTTTCGATTCAGCGGCTACATGGCCCTGAAAAAGAAATAAATAGGGACTAATCCTTGTCCCCTCTGATAAGACTTCGTACTGGTTTGTATAGTAGTTATTCCGGGTCCACAACTACTTGGAAGCCTGGCCAAAACTTTTGAACCGGTCCCCTGTATTCAAAATGGGAATTACCAAAGAATCATCTCGTCTGTGATGTGGCTGTATTGTTCTTAGTTCAAATCGGAGATGCAAACGCGTAACGGATTCCGGCAAAGAGCTACTTAGCCTCTATCGTATACCTATGGGCACTGTCTAGTTCATTTGCTACTGGCTTCGCAGTTTATAGGCTTTATCGGTCTAGAGCAATATAAGAAAGGAAACCTGTTATAGAAGTCTTGTCCGCCAGCGCAGAGACCAGTGATACGCAGGCTTTCTGTCCTTCCAGGTATAATTCTGACGTCGCTGGTTTTGGTGCTTCACAGCCACGCACGTGCAATGGCAACTTTCCTAGGCTCGATAGCCCAGGCCACCCACCAACCCATAGTCATAACTCTCTCCCCATGGCTATACGTCTGAGTATTCTGCTGGGTAACAATAGGGGTAATTTCAAGGCGTAGATGACATCGAACGTCTCTTTAGAGAACTAAAGTACGTCAGCAGGCGCGTTAGTCATCAGACGGGCAGTAACGTCTATCGTCAAGCTCTAGATAAATCATGCCCGGGTGCACCTTCTTTCGTGACCCCTGAGAGATGATTCTAGAAGGCCTGCAAAGCACCCGGTGGTATCTCCAACATGCAAGCCCGGTGTGGCTCGCAACACGTCATGATTAGATTACACATCGTTTGGCCTGCCACGAAACCAGAGAAGTTGCACCTCTCTCACACTGAAAGCTACAATGGAAGGCTACGAAACAATCCTCTGATAGCTACTTAATATGTGGTCATATTACGTGTAAGGTGTCTTCCAAAATGATTATGGTAACCTAGTGAATACCGTTCACATCCTCGTCGGGGGGAGACCATACCTATACCCATTTAGAAGTAATGAGCACTATGATCTGAGCTAACATGCCCTATTTTTCATATACATAAAATCACATGTAAGATTTCATCTAACAAAACCAATAACAAGCGCATCGGGGTGAGCACAACGTCATCCCTCTCAGAGCCCTGGAGAGCTTGTTATCTGGTTGCACCCAGCGCACCGATTAAGTTGAGTTACATTCTTTCTGGTCATCAGATATGTACCACTAGACAGACGCTTTTTACGTACCATTAACCCTTATAGGGGCTACGAGAAGAACCTCGTATACGAAATTGCGAGCGAATACGCATACCCTTTGCAAGATCCTACGCTCATCCAAGTATGATTAGCCCCCGGACAAAATCAAAGTAACTGGAGTCCATTCTTCAAAGTATGGTGCATTCATAGGCGGTGTATCAAGAGTAGAAGTGATGCATGAAACATAAATTGCCAATGTTGTCAAGTTGATGACGACCGTAACTGATCGATAGCTGTATGGTCACCAAACTCAGACGTCAAATCTCAGTTCGGTCCAGGCTGATAATACATTCTTAGACCATTTTCACGGAAGACCGTCTCTGGTCTTCTGATCGAAGCTTTCGAATAGAAAAGTAGCTATAAAGACATAAGCTTCTGTCTCCCCTAGGCGAGTCATTAGCATCTTCCGTATGGCAACTACGACTATGGCCTCCATTTGACCTTGACGCAAATCAACCAAGATTATTAGCGGGTGTAATTTCGAGCATCGATATACCAAAGGTAATATTCAAGCATCTTCGTAATGTTCGTTCGTATGCCCCTCAGATCCAAAGTTTCTCTGCAACGGGCCAACTGCCGTTGAGTTGAAGTACCTATGCATCTTCACCTGTCAGGTCGCCTAGTAACAAGGGCACTGATGCGAGATGGTCAGGTCTGATACAATTGGACTCGGGCTGCCTAGCCATCGAATCTGTGGAACTTCAAATGCATTATCAGTTGCAACATTATCAATTCATCCCTTGGATTGACCTTGTGATTGGGTTCTATTGAGTTCCAAAACATGACAGGGCTCCAAGCAACGCCTCGGATCCTTGCTATCTTGATGTATCATGTTCGACAGGGCCGAAGTAAACAACTCAGATATACTCGCAGTGAACGAGCAGATAAGCTTCTTTCGGCACTAACAGGCCTATGCAACGGAGACTTTTAAATTAGGACTCCAACTAGGTCACTTAGCGCGCTGATGCTCGTTCGTAGCTGGAAGCGAGAATTCAAGCTCGACGTCAGCCTTTGAGGATCTCTGTCCTGCATACCACTTCGTACTTGAGGTAGTGCTTCATCGAGCGCCAGTCTGCGCAATTCTGTCCACGGATACCGGTTGAAAAAACAAAGGGACCTAACATCGAACAGTGTGTCTGATCATTTCGCACTTGAGGAACACTACCCTTACATGTATCCGGAATCCACCATTCCTAACGATGAGATGACATAAGGGAAAAGCCTGGTTGATCCGGCAACCTCGCATACTGCGTGTTTCAATATCCTGTGTTCTAACATGGCAATAACATCCAAACCATGAACTGTGGCTTCCCTCTAGACTACACACTTGGCATTGCTCTGTCATGCGAGGAAGATGCTGAGGTTGGCCGAGGTTGGAATTGCTATGGGGCCCGGCACCTCGGCCACCACCCGTATAGATAAACACTCTAACCCAAGGCAGGTGGGACTCTGATCCATTTAATCAAAAACCGTCCAACGCGCGAAATGGCTCCGAGGTTGCAGTTGGTGCGGGATCTGACTGAGTTGGTCCGCGAGTCATCGTTGTGGAATAACTAGCTTCCAAATTGCATGGCGTCTGCATTATCATATTGTGCCAGAGTTCCCTTCGGTCCACATCTTTGTCTGCAAAGAGGCAACCCACCGTAGAGTTGTGTAATATAACATCACCCGACTCGGGTTCCCCCGTGAACTCGTATCTGGCGGCAGTGTTGGCCCATTCAATGTGAACAGAGGTGCATTCACCCCATGCTCCGCCGCCTATCATATCCTTGTATACAGGGGCAGTGAAGAAACGAAACGGAACCGGACCAACGTCCGCGGTATGCACGATGGCCCGTTGGTCTCCTGTCTACCCCAGCCGGCCAAGAAGAGGGGATTACCCGGGATCGCCTTTCCTCGTCACATAATAATTGAGAGCCCCAGCCGCTCACCTTTCTATCAGTATTCTTCTTTAAATGACCGTTTGTGGATACCAACAAAGCAAAGAACAACAGTGGCCCAACACTCAGGCCGGTTTACAACTGTTCTGGCTAAACCCAGAGACGTACGACATGTCTCAAGATAACCAAACAGTCGTGATTGACGTGGACCAGGAGGTATTTGGAACTGAGATTACTGACCTTTTGTTTCGCTTAGAGCTAACCAGACTCGCAGCAGGAGCCGTTGGAGCCTCAGTCTGATGCTCAATCAGAGATTGGAGAAGTAAGTTTAAATAGTTGTTTGTTCCAGAACCGATGTCATTACCACATGTACGCTAGGAAACTTGAAGAAACCCAAGTCGCTTACTTTCGTATACAGAGTATCGCTTCGTCGAGCACGAGCCTCCGCGAGTCTATTCTTGAGTATCGTCTGGAGAATGGCAGGACTTACCACAAGTACAAAGATGGCGGTGCGTTGACGTTTGCTTTTCTCACGAACTGCTCTAACTTTGGTTAAGCATACCTCCTCCCGAACGACGAAAGAGAGCTAGAAAGACTAGGTATCACCCATCCAACTAGGTACCCATCGTAAGTTGTGAACTGACAAGGCACTTAGACTTGGAACATAGCCTCTGGCTCCTGGTGAACGACAACAGGCTAGGCATGGCCCCGCCATGTCAAAAAGGAGCTAAAGTTGGTCGTGTTCTCGATGTAGGGACCGGCACGGGTATCTGGGCTCTCGATTTTGGAGACGAACATCCTGAATCTGAGGTCAGTTTTACCCTACCCGAATAACGATGCTCTTTCCCCCACCTTTCTCGCATATGGACTTGTATAAAGACTGATTCGGCATGCATCACAGGTTATCGCCATTGATCTCTCTCCAACTCTGCCTGCGTAGTACGTACTTTATCCTCCATTTTATAGTCTACCTTGGAATTGGGAATACTATTCCACTATCCGCACTGACCATGTTTCTATAGTGTGCCTCCAAATGTCAAATTCGAAGTTGATGACGCCGAAGACCCATGGACATACTCGCGCCCTTTCCAGTATATCCACAGCCGTATTCTGTCGTCCGGCCTAAGCGACTGGAAGAAATACTTACGCAAGTGCTACGAGTAAGTTAGTTTCTATTCATCCTCTTGCTGGCCTCCGTTGGAGTACCACCTATTCCTAGCCGCCGCTGCTGAAAGAGAATGTGCTGACCCGAGCCAATGTAAAGCAATCTCGAGCCGGGCGGATGGGTTGAACTGCAAGAGGTTGACCTGTACCCGACGTCCGACGACGAGACGCTCAAGCCTGAGTCTAATCTGATTCGATGGTGCGACCTGCTTCAAGAAGCATCAAACAAATTCGGACGTCCCTTTTTCAGAATTGCTCCGCTCAAAGACGTCATGGTAGACGTTGGATTCGTGGACGTGTCTCTGACCGTAACAAAGTGGCCGTCTAATGCTTGGCCAAAAGACCGAAAATGGAAAGAAATTGGCATATGGAACGGCGAGAATATGATGAATGGCCTCGAGGGCTTCTCCATGGCAGCATTGACGCGTGGCCACGACTGGACTCGTAAGGAGGTCAACATATTCCTCATCGACGTACGCAAGGAGATCAGAGACAAGAACATTCATGCGTATTGGCCTGTGTGAGTATTCCATTTGATATGTATTACTACATTCTGGATTTTCGTTGAGGCTGACAAGAACCTAAACGCTAGCTATTTCATTACTGGACGCAAACCTAGGGAGGAGGGAACTTCTACATAGCCAGCTCTAGCTTTCCCTGTCGGTTCGTCAGAAAATTTGGTGACTCAAAGGCTCATATCTAGACTAGAATCAGTACAGCCGCCTAGAAAAGCAGAGGGATTAGGTGTGACAGTCTCGTCTCGGATTTGCGTCTTAGATTCTTCTTTTCTTGCAAATTGCTTCTAGCACCTCCACGCTTGACGCAGTCAGTTCCATCTACATTTTCTGATCCAAACATTGTGACCTTATAGGCTCTGAATAAATGTACACTTATTGGATATAGCACCATCATACATGTTTAGCGGAAATCCTCTATAACGAACTGAGGCATCCTTCATACCTGTTTCTTTTGCCTTGAGAGGGAGTAACGTCGCTGATATACATACCGTAACGTAACATCTTGTCCTGGTTGGTTTTCTCGGCTGATTCACATATGAGACCAATGTTGGCCGAGTCAACGTCAACAAATGCATGCAATGCATTCACCCCATCTCCCATCACTTCTCACATCCTTGTATGCGGGGTGAGCAGGGAACTTGAGATGGGTCGGAGTCCACGGGATGCATACAACTGTTGGTTCTACCGCTCCCATCCGGCCCCCTATTACACGAAGAGAGAAGGTGCGATCGCTTCTTACTATAAGTAAACATGCGAATGTCCAAAGTCTCTTGGGGATCCTGTCTCCGTTTCCGTAATTAACCGATTGTGCGGTGCCAACCTAAGAATGGGGTTCTCAGTTGTTATTCGATACCGTGGTGTAACACTATCGCGACACGAGACGACTGAAACCAAAGCCAGTAAGGCTCAACATGTCTTAAGGCAATCAGCCTATTGTGATCGACGTGGACCAGAAAGTATGCGAATCAGGATATCGTAGCTCTACTCCCGCCAAGTGACGAATAATTGACAGGAAATCAAAGCAGGATGATACTCTGTCAGAGGTTCGAAATGTAAGTACACATCCTTCCACGTCAAGATCACTACCTTACTCCCGAGAGATACGTCAAATTGCTGACCAATTCACTCCGCATAGAGTGTCGTTCCATCCAGCACGAGTCTCCTCGAATCTCTCCTAGAGTATCGCATGGAGAATGGCAGGACTTACCATAAGTACAAAGACGGAAGTGTGTCCACCCACTCTACTTGTGTCTGAAAAATCGACTAACGCTAGGCCAAAGTACATATTTCATAATGACGAAAGGGAATTGGAACGACTACGTAAGTCTCCTCAGTCACCACATGTGCTTGACATCATGCTTTTCTCGTTTACTAGCCAAACATCTAGACTTGATACATGCCCTGTGGCTTCTCGTGAACGATAACAAGCTCGGTCTTGCTCCACCGTGCCAAGATGGTGCAAAGGTTGGCCGTGTTCTTGATATCGGCACTGGTACCAGCATTTGGGCTCTTGATTTTGGAGACGAGCACCCTGAGGCTGAGGTAACTGCACAATCCATCCCACCAGTTGCTATTCCACCCCACTTGGTTTCTTGCTAGGTATTATGATGACTGACCTGCGATCCTCGCCATTGATCTCTCCCCAGCACCGCCTTCCTAGTACGTGTTTCTGCCTTAACGACGGATTATTATATCATAAATGGTATTGACATGACGCTCTCAGCGTGCCCCCGGACGTCAAATTCGAGATTGAGGATGCAGAAGAACCTTGGAAGTACTCACTACCATTTCAGTACATCCACAGCCGGGTTATCACGTCTGGAATCAGTGACTGGCACAGGTATCTGCGCAAATGATACAAGTGAGTTTTCGTTTTTGTTACTTGGAATAAGCCCGGGCAAATATTATTTAAAACAACCTCTTTAACAAAATCAATGCTGATCCTCAATATTTTGAAGTAATCTTGAGCTTAGTGGATGGGTTGAAGTACAAGAAATCGGTCTTTACACAGCCTCTGACAACGGGACACTCAAGCCCGATTCTACCCTGATGAAGTGGTGTCACCTGCTACAGGAGGCTTCAGATAAGCTTAAGAGCCCCTCTATACGGATTTCTACACTGAAGAAGGCGATGCTGGACATTGGGTTCGTTGATGTATCCCTAAATGTGACTAAGTGGCCAACGGACGCTTGGCCAAGGGACCCGAAGTGGAAGAAGATTGGCATTGGAACTCGGAAACCATCCTCAGCGGCATCGAAGGGTTTTCTATGGCCGCTTTAACACGCGGCCATGACTGGACCCGAGAGGAAGTGGACGTATTTCTAGTCGATGAGCGGAAAGATCTGAAGGATAGGAATATTCACACATACTGGACGATGTGAATATACCGTACTACTATTTTCCTGTTTTCGATGAGACCAATGAGTGTTGATCTCAAACACCCATATACTTTATCACCGGAAGCAGACCCGATAAGGCAACCGCTCCTTATACAGCTGCAGCTCCCCCGGGTTGTAACCGAAGTCTGCTTTTCCTCCAGCTCCCGCCAGTGACCGGCCTCAGTTTCATCTTCTTCACAATGGCATATGGTGTTTCCTAAGATATACGCTGCTGTTTTGCGTTGGCGAACGGCAAGAGGTAGCAGGTTCTAGGCCAGAAGAGAACATTTACGAGCGGTGTTCTATGTAGACCTTTCGAAGTATTCTTTCTTATCGGAGGAAGTACGGGGCAAGACGCCACGATTTTCAATCCATCCGCGAACACTAGTGAACTTTGTTCATAGAGAACTATTTTTCACACATAATTTCGGCCTTATTCCGATAGGAATTGGCGTTTATCGCAAATAAAAACTCTGCATCCTGCACCTTTTGACGAATGCATCATCCTGCTGAGTGGATATGTAATACCAGAATTATTCTAGGCCTTCCATCGGCAGGCCTTAATCTGCCTAGTCTGGGTTTTGGAATCAAGCATGTCAAGGTGTTGTGGGTCATCTCAAATTCTGAATGAAAGACCGCTTTGGAAGGTGAGCAAAGGACCAGAAAGGCATACTCCAGTCTTGCCTTGCAAGACTGTCTTGTAAGCAAATAGAAGAATCAATATGGAATCGCTTTCATCTACATTTACCCCAGGAGCATTTCATGGGTCTGCTCGAACACATGGTAGTTTCAGTTCAAATTGCATTCATGATCTCTGCGCCAGAAGTGGCTCTCCGGTCTGCTTGCCCACAAGGCCACTTTAATGACTGAAACCGGGCGTCCAATCTCCAATGTCATCAATTCTGCTTCCTCAAACCAGCATATACGACCACACATATTGGGAAACTCGGGAACCCGTATGATGCTATGGATCATCTAATGAGGGCTCCCTTTATTACGTTATTAGTGACAACTAGCGAGAAAAGCAAGTCTTCTGTCGTGTGGCACCTAGAACGCAACAGTCCTCTAGCTAATGGACTTGTTGCGGACTGTAGTACTTACAGCCTTGACGACATAAAACTGCTTAGTTAAGCCATACTATATACATCTCTCAGTATGGATGTGAGTAATGTGCTGAGATAGTGTACCTGGTTGGGGGTTGGGCTTCGGCCTGCAATCGTAGTACGTGCTCCTTTGCACAGGCCATACCATTGACCATACTTTTTTAAGAAAGTTAGGTTAACAACGGAGTTAACGTGTTAACGAGCCGGTTCCGGAAGTGTGACTGCTAGTAAGCGGCATCTATTCAACCGGGCCTAGGTGGATTGCTGCTCGTTGCCGGTTCCCGGTCGCCGGGGCTCAGCTTCAATGCGACCCCCGTTCGGCTATGAAATTGAGTCCAATCATATGATCCGGTCACTCGAATACACCGCATCTTCTTCGATAGTCCTATCAACCTCGGCATTAGAAACTGACGGTTTTTGGAAATGTAGGATACTGCCGGCTACGTAGGTGAGGACCCAATATGGTGCATGTGTTAGGGCATCAATAGGACGCCCAGCGAAGCCGTCGTGCAAAGTTCACTCCGAGTTAACAATAGGAACCAAGTAATGCATAGCGCAGTGCAGTACTGATGGAAAGTTTCTAGTGCGGAGGAGTGTCTCAACAGCACGCACTGATTCCCGGCTGACCGGGTAGCAAGCTTTGTCTTAGTCGTCATAGTACAAGGACAATCAGCATCATTAATCCAGTATGCACCGCGTTTCTATTAAAAGGGACCTTTCACAATGCCACACTAGTTCTTGTATCTAGCATATGCCTAGCGTAACAACAATTGCTGATAACATCCTTTCCTCCATTCCCTTAAGAGTGAAAACATCATGCCCTCAGATCTCTCGATCATTACAACATCTGAGGCATGTCCTGGTTAGTAACTCTATAGACATGTCCCAGACGATGAACTAATATATTCAATAGCTATAGGACCCTACGTATGTTTCTAAATCATTTATCTGTAACGTGGGAGGGTTCTGACTGTTATCCGTAAAGTCGCAAGCAGTGGCCGCTGGACCCTACATCTTCCTCTCTGGTCAAATCCCTATCGACTCACAAGGCAACCCTCTTGAGGGAAGCATCACCGACAAGACTCATGCATGTTGCAAGAGTATTAAGGCTGTTTTAGCGGCGGCAGGCAGTGACATCAGCCGCGTCGTCAAAGTCACGGTCTTCTTAGATGACATGACAAACTTCGCTGAGTTTAACTCGGTTTACGCTACTTATTTCACCCACAAACCTGCTCGAAGTTGTGTGGCAGTTAAGACGTTGCCGAAAAACTTGGAGGTGGAAATCGAGCTTGTTGCCTTGGCTAATTCTCAGAGCTCTCGCCTATGAACATAATCCCTCTTGGCTTGTTAGTAGGGCATTGACTGTTACGTACTCCACATAGTTTTATGAACTGTTCGTTTGCCAATTTTTGCACTCAAATTTATTATTCAATATTCTTGATTAAATGCGAGCGTTTCAATTTTTTAGGCGTCCCGGTGGCTGCCAGTGGACATGCTGCACTACACACGAGGTGCTTAAGTGGGCTGTACCAAATGCCTGCTCAGACAGGCACTCATACCTCCGCTGCAGGCAATTAACCCATCGGCATGTAAACAGAGATGACGAATATTTCATTTTACATACAGCTAACTAGTGAAGTGTGCGAATTAACTAGTATATAGTCTTCAGGAGGTTTTTAGGCCTCGACACAAGACAAAGTACACCACCATCTTCTTTTCATCTGACGTACGTAACCATTGAAGTCAAGAGAAACCGTAAGCAAGAGAAGCTTCATTGATCCCATGCAAAGTTTCATAGGCGTCTACTCATCGTCGGCAAGCTAGTCGCTTGCCATGTATCTGTGATGCACTTAAGCTGAATAGAACGCACATCATAACGTGACGATATCCACCTCTCAAATTTCTCATAGATTGCTCTTCCACAGTTTCTTCTCACATCCCATAGCTTTTGTGAGCTCCACAACTCTCAAGGCGACGCCGTAGCTATAGGTATAACCAAGAGTGTTGAAGCCGTATGCATGAACCACATCACCCTCTCGTTCCAGCCGGTATCCCTCTTCTCTACTCGGCCGGAAGCCAACTAGGTCTGCCACGACATGTTTCTCCAGGTCTAAAGACTGGTATTTGTTGTTCGTGATTAGGTTCATACGTCTCATGATATCGGATCGAATTGCGGGATCAACTTTGCCGTCCAAGTTTCCCTTCTGACTGACTCCGCCCATAATCACGGCTCCAGAATACATTCGTGGAATATGGTAGGTGTAGTGCGAGCCCTGGAACATTATCATCTCATGGGAGTCGCTCTCAACCAGCAGCGTCTGCCCACGAACTGCAATCACCTTTCGATCATTGGCCAACTCAAATGCCCCCAAGCCAGTCGCGTTGATGATAACTTTTGCTTGGAGTACCGACCTTACCTCATCCAGAGACTTGACTTCAGCTCGAACGAACCGCACACCTCTCTTCTCAAGGACATTCTTAATCCAAGGAAGAAATACGGCAGGGTTTACCGTCATTGTCTGATACTTGAATCCAATCTTGGCGCTCGCAGGGAGATCTTTAGGCAATACGCGGCGATATTTGGGAACCAAATGCTTGTACCAGATTGTCGAGTCATCACTTCGATCGTCGTAGTACTCGGTACAGTCCACTACCTTTTCGCCATCTTCCGGTCAGTATGGTAGTTTGTATTTCCAGTAACAAATACGCGCGATAGCAGGTCTGATTGAACGCACCTGTACGCCGCTTGTTGGGTCGCGATGAGCAAGTTCCCAATAAAATTTGAATGCTTCAGTCTGGAGATCATGACCTTTGCTGTCTGGGTATGGCAGAATGCCAGCACCTGCCCTAAGTTCCATCAGGTACCAAGAACAAATGGACTTTGACACGTATGACGTAATACATACCAAGGGCTTGCCCATCTTTGCGAATCATCTCCAGGTAGTTCTCGGGCGACAATGCCGACAGAAAAGCCGGCGTCGGTAAGAGCAAGAGCCGACGTGAGTCCGATAACTCCAGAACCAATGATGCCAATCTCCATGTCAGACTAAATTCTGCACAAATGATGATATTGGAAGCGACGATGTAGATGACTGTCAATAATAATAATCCAAATCGAGAGGATGCAATGTGACGTGTTGAATTGTGACAAGGTGAGGCGTCGTTCAAGATGTTGGCTTGTTTCTATCCCAACCCCAAGGGCAATGGAGAGTGAGCTTCCAGACTGAGACCCGTGAGCAGATCCTTCTTGCAACAAGGCTAAGCACTGGTGAAAACTGGCTGTTCTATAACAAGAAAGTCTATTTCCTCAAGTATGTTTGGGCCAGTATGATGCACCGGCTTGGTGGTCTAAAGCCACCCCGGTTTGGAAGTTAGGACTGGAAGCCTGCCGGACCGGCCGGCAGAGGTCGACGAGCATCCCGTTTTTCTTATCGTGTATAGTTGTAGGTCGCCCATTCGCAATTGTAAGCCCTAGGCATATTCTAGCGATTAGTCTTGAAGCATAACTTCTTAGACCCACCACAGTTGTTGCGGGATACGTGGTTTCTCTCTCGGGTTCCGAGGGCAGCCGGAGGCGATCCGGTCCACCCTTGAGTATCAGTTCTGGATCTAACTCAGCAATTCGCAACATCGGACGTAATAACAGTACGAGCTAGCTTGTTATCCGTTACCACCGGGCCGGCGCAAATCTGTCAAGATCGCTCTCACATGTGACGTATTACACAGTACATCAGTCTGGGACGTGCATGTCTGAGACGACTACTTCAAATTCTTGACACCTCCTGCACAGCCTCTCTAGTTTATCACAGAGTAGATTTGTGGAAGTAGGCGGGGTAGTCGTGTGCTTAGAGCCGGTATCCGGTTCTGGATCCGGGACTACTCAAACTCCACTGTAATCTGCGGAATGATCTTTGCTGTTGTTGCAAATGCTTCTCTTTTTCGCGCGCTCTTTTAATACTGACGCTTACTGCCATTGAAGATTCAAACAGGGTGGATTAAGTATTGAAAAACCACAAGATTTGATAACATGCCTTCGGTACTGTAGAGGAGAGCCACGAAGAGGCCAGAAAATGATTGCGTGGCAATCCCATCTTTGGGATGTAATTTGGACATGACTGCTAGTACTCTGTTCCGTTGCAGCCATCACCGAAATGTGCATAATAGACACTATGGTCTAATGCGGGCGTAAACTAAGTCTGCCAGAGTTATGCCTATATAGGGATTGACCATTCGCTACATAAAGATGGGTACGTCCATAGCCACTCTCTTTGTCATGCTTATCAAGCTATTCGGTTAACCACCTCCCTCCGCTGCCTGACACGATTTGTGAGGGGGTTTCATAAAGTTCCGACTGATAAGGGCTTGAAAGGACGAACAAGCTGAGAGAACCAATAAACCAGTCTTCTCTTACTCTCAATACATAACCATTGTCCGCTTGCAGAGAGGAGTACCTTCTTCCAGTCGCTAAGTATGGCTGAGATACTTCGACTTTATGTTAAAGCACTAGCAGTAGGGTGTCTCGCCCTCGGCGCATCAGGCCATGCTGCGAATGAACAGAAAACGGTTCACCAAGACCAAACCTTCCGAGAGACGTCCATTTATAGCCCTGCACCCAATGTGAACCGTCTAAGTAGGCAAACGGAGCCCGAATTTCACATCTACGACAACTTTGGCAAAGAGGCGCCCATGCCTGGAATAGCAACATTTGCCCACCTGAACTGGACCAATTGTTTCACTCCTGAAAGCGATGGCACTTTTGACATTGGAATTGTCGGCATGCCATTCGATCTGGGCGTAAGCTATCGACCCGGTCAGAGATTTGGTCCTGCCGCCACGAGAACCGTTTCGCAGCGCATGGGACCTTATATTTCCTACAGGTGAGCATACTTTCACTCTCGAATCAACGCAGACATGCTGACACTGGTTCATTGCAGCATGGCTCATAACATGATGAACCCCTTTCGGAATTGGGCAACCGTCGTTGACTGCGGCGATATCGCCAACTCTCTATTCGACAAGCTCGAAGCGGTCCACGATCTGCAGGCTGGCTTGGGCAGAATGGCTTCCAGAGTTCCCAAGACAGCAGAGAAAGGCGACAGCGTACGACTCATCACCATTGGCGGCGACCACACCATCAGTAAGTCACCTTGCTTGAACAGCTCGGCCAGACCCAGCAGGATGAGGCTAACAGTCTTGATTTAGCCCTGCCGTCTCTGAGAGCCCTCTATCCCGTTTGGGGAGAAGTGGCAGTCATCCACTTTGATGCCCATATCGACACGTGGAACCCGCGACAGTGGGGAGGCGGCATCAATAAGTACGACGAGATCACGCACGGGACGCTGTTGCACTTTGCCCATGAAGAGGGCTTATTGAAGAACGACAGCAGCATCCATGTCGGTACCCGTGCACTGCTCTTCGACGAGACCGAAGATCTTCGGCATGATGCCGAGTGCGGCTTCCAAAACATCTTGGCTACAGACATGGACTCCATTGGGGTTGGAGCCATCGTTGAGCGCATCGTCGAAAGAGTCGGCGATAGCCCAACTTACGTAACGATCGACATTGACGTACTTGACGCGGGTAAGTGGTCCATGCCATAGTTGTTCACTAAACCCTGGGACGTCTTGACTAACCCTCTCAACATTAGCTTTTGCCCCAGCCACGGGATGTACGGAAATCGGAGGATGGACTACACGGGAGCTAGCAGCAGTCCTTAGAGGTCTCAGTGCCGCGGGTGTTCATATTATAGGAGCAGATATTGCTGAGCTGTCACCAGTCTATGACAATGTTGCACAGACAACTGCTACGGCGGTGGCGCAACTCGCCTTTGAGATTTTGGCCTGGATGGTTAAAGTCCCGGTAAAGGCAAAGAAGGGTCGAGTGGAGCTTGAGCTTTAATTAAGAGTTACGGGTGTTTCAAGCCGAGGAAAGGCACTTGCGTTTGAAGGTTGCATAGTGACTGTCACAAGACAATACGGCGCAGCGTAGTGTGACGGCTTGCCACAAGGCCACCAGGTTCAAGGAGCTGTTTTAACTCGTGATCCCCTGTTGGGCAAGGAGAGGCCAGGGATTAGAGAAACCAAAAGAGTTGGGACTTGGAAGTTTCTTGCTGCACCGTCGGTAATACAGCCGTGCCGTTGCGCATGAGTTAAACTAGGTCACCACATTTGACTAAGCCACATGGATTAAAGGGCAGCCTCCAGCCCCTTTCCCGAAACACTTTAACATGTTGAGTATATTGATTTGCTAAGGAAGAAGAGAGCTTCGTTTTGACTATAACTCAAATGGAGCGTTCCTACCTCAACTACTCGGAGATTGCTTGCTAATTGTTAAGTTGGGTACATGGGCACTCTTGGTCCTGTTGTATCGCTGCGTGTATCTCTGAATACATACGCAGAACTTCCATATCTCTGCGTCGTCGTGAAGGCGATGATCCTAGCCGTTCTATGGTCTTGTAAATAGGGATCATTTGAACTTAACGTTTCCCAGCCACAATCGCTGCTTCACAGGTACCATGATCCACATCTACAACATAAATGGGATTAAGTTCCAAGTCGAGTACTTAGCAAACAGTCCATATAGATGCATCAGGGTGTTGGATATATGTTCTGTGATATCTTTCGATACGGTTTCATTCATCGTGACATATTTGGCCATCGACTGTTGGCTGACGGGCAAAGCGATCGAGACATTACAGCCAGGCCAGACCACATAAGTCCAACATTCAGTCTAGAAACAATGAAACAGTCAAAGGTGCATTACAGACAGTAATATCTGGTAAGAAACATCTTTCCTGTGGTAGAGCCCGTTTAGAGGCTACCGGTCTTTGGTTACTAATAGCAGCACTTAATGGTTGTTTCTGATTTGAGAAGAAAGTGTGAGGACCGGATTAGTAGTCAAGTCGGCGATGACCAACGAACATCTAGTGCTCCAATACTTTGATCTCTTTGACACGATCGTGGGGGTGTCGTTTTGCTGTGGTGGGCAACGCGTGACCCTTGAACCGCCTCAACTCCTCGCACGACGGCGGAGTAAGTCCACGAGAGACTTTCTTTTTGGGCTTCTCTCATGAAGTACACTACGAAGAGCAAGTGCTGTGCTCAATTTGACACTGTCAAGGCGTCAAGGAGGAGGCAGCAGCATAGATCACAACTCGGGCAGAAGACACACAACTATGAACTGTGTTCAAGCACAAGTCAAGTTACGTGTGTTGCAGGTCAGAGTTAGGCACACACGTTTATTAAAAATACTCCAAGCAAGTAAATGACACTTGTCGTCTATGCGGAACCGTCTGGGTCCAAACAGTCACCACAGAGCTATGAGGGGTCTCCCTGATGCTCATTAAGAGGACACAAAGACGAGGGCGCAGCCTTGACCACCGCATTTGTAGCTTAGAAATCTGGTCTCAACAAGTCCTGCGAGGTTGAGTGCCTGTACTGGACTCAATGACACCGTATCCAGAGGTCCTGAGCTTAAGCTCTCATGTAAATTAGCATAGAGACAATGGCGCTCAGCTTCCAGAGCGTCGCCTTGCTTTTCTTCGTCTTGCACAAACCGGGACGACGAGTGAGTCGGCCGGGAACCTCAGAGCCATAGACACAAAGTTTCTTCACCTCAACTCGCCCCAGCCGGCACGGAAGGCACAGAATAGAGACGAGACGGCGTCGGAGTACTCGCCCGGGCACAGCAACACCACGGTCCCGAACCTGTCCATCCCGAGAGCGAGGCAAGACGCGCTACCGCACTACAGCAAGCCCATCAGCAGCCCCGATTCCAAATGGCCGCGTCTAGGTCACCCAACCCGGCCCACGAAATCGCGAACCTGTCGCGACGCGTTCGACAACATGGTGCTCACGACCCGGGACACCTCCGATAGTGAGGAGAAACGCTCGTTGCCCCTGACGATCACCAAAAAAAAGACCTGCCCAGCCTAAACCACTTGCAAAAGCCTCACGAACAGACCACACCCTCAAAGAAAGAAAAGACCTAGCCATAAGCCCGCCTGAAACCACACGGCGCCATCTTCAGGGCTGGCACCCCAAACCGAGCCAGCATACGTAACCGGAAGCCCTCAACGGTTTCCTTTGTTCTCCAACGCCGCCAGAGCTTCAGCCCCAAGGGGGTTGGGGGGGCCGAACAAGGAAAGAAAAAAAGGTTGGAAACGAGACAGAGAGGCCCGCCCCGAGACTCGCGGGTCTCACACGATGCAAAACCAGCCACCGGCCGGCAGAGCAAAACCGACGCGGTCTCAAAGCTAGATCTCCTACCTCCTCCTCCTCCTCCACGATGTTAGTGCGTCGATACTTGGGACGAGGCGATTGGGAGCGGGACAGAAAATAAGGGTTCCCCTCCGTCGTCGCGGGTCTTGTGGCTGACTCGTAGGCCATCCCATACCAGCAGGACCGAGAAGCGTCCGTCACGCTCCGGTCCAGAACCTACAGACCACGATGGAGAAGCCATTTGGGAGCCCCTCTCCGCAGCGTTGCCCGTTCACACCGTCCCGGTGCTCAGACGGACTAGTCCAGAGCGATGCCCTTCTCGCTCTACGACTGATCCGGACGAGTCAAGGTCTTTCCAGGCGCATCTTCGGCGGGGCGCTTGACGGCGCCGGTCCCCGGGGAAGCACGCTCGAGCATCCCCTCGACGACGCGGGTCAGCAAAAACTATCGCACGATTTCAAATCACCCAGATCTCACCAGACTTGTGTACCATCGCCCATCGCCGCCAGCCTATAACGCAGTGATAGCATCGAGGGCCCGAGCCACGGAACGGCGGATAGACTGACAGCAGTGCCAGCTAAGGCATTTCTTTGGATCGCGCGAACAGACACAGTCGCAGTTAAACCGCGCAGTATTGCGTCCCTCCCCCCCCTCAGGGATCCCCTAGCTTGTCAGTGTCATCCCATCGCCTTTCCGTCATGTGACACGGACGCCCGTCGAGTCAAGCAGGCCCAGCGGCGCCTGGCGCGTGCGCACAAAGTCGCCGGGCGCCCGCCCACCTGCCACTATCGTCCGTTTCGAGAGACAGGTCATAGCAGTTGCGAGACATTGGTTGTAAGCGGGAGGGAAAAGAAAGCAACGACCGTGGAAAAACTCTGTCATGGGCGGCGCAAATCCTTCCCGTGCTCGAGAGAGGCAGGATGCGCCCAGGACTGAGAGACAGCGTGCGGGGGTTCCATTGGGCGGCACCACGCGGATGGGAAGGACGGACGCCCGGACGGCAGTGGTGGCACGGCGGCAGACGTATGTTTGTGTGCTCTCGGCGGCCGTAGCTTCACAAAAGCAATGTTTGCTGCACCCAAGCATGCCGACAGGAACAGTGGGATGCGATGCCATCATGACCCCGATACTCATGCTGGTGTGCCGATGTTATTCCCCATGTACCAATGGAGTCTATCCCACGTGAATCTCTACTTGTGATCAACTACATAGTATTGGTTGAGCAGCCCGGGGTATCATGATCTCTCCGCGTCGTCGGCAGAAGGGGGATGACTGCATATGCAGCCTCAAAGGTGAGGATCGACGGGATTAGTACACGGGCTCGACGGTACCCGATTTCTGATAGTCGGCGGTGAGCACCGGTTCGAGGATGGGCATGACCTGATGATGCCCTCATCTCTTCCGCCTCTCTTCTCCGTTAGGCAGGGGACTGGCCCCGATACGACGCAATGTTCCCCTCTTCCGCATGAAGATGGCCCCATCTCAAGCTGGCAGAGCCCCATCCAGATCTTCAGCTAGAGACTGGCGATCCCAATTTTGACCCAGGAACATGCCATTACAAGACACGCCGCTAGCAGCCCAACTACCCTGATCCCCCAAAGTTAGGCACGCAGAGCTACATAGTATCAACGTGGTCGGGTTCAGGGTCCATGAAAGCGTCCCTGAAGATAGAACTTCGGGGAATATGTCGCTGGGTCCGAAGAGGGACCGGTGGATGCGATTTGCGTGCGGTTTCGAATGCAAATCGCCTGGCCTGGCCTAGAAAATGGAGGATAGTTGCGACTAGGTAGTACCGCGCCAGTCTTGTTACACTCGCCCACAATATCTTGCTGTATGTAGTGTACGTGATTCTCTTGGTCATCCTTACCAAGGCCCTGATCGTCATGAGCTTGTGGCGACAACACGCATCAAGCGGAGCAGGGGAAACTAGCTCGCTGGACGTTGTTCTGGTCGAACCACTCGGACCGGTGGAAGACGTCCCAGAAAACGCTGCCTGGGCAGATGCGAATGCAGTAATGTCTGCCTGAGTCTCGACCTGCATCACGCAGCTGGGCCAGCTGCTGTTATGCAAAGCTATGCAAATGCAATCCACAGTTTCGTCCAAGCCTGCCCCGGGTAGAGACACCGATGAACCCCGGACGCCCGGAGAGGCAGCCGGTTTGCTAGAAGGGTGCAAACCCGTTCCTGGGACGCAAGTTTTGCTCCTCGCGCTTGAGCCTTGACTTGACCTGTCACTTGTTCTCAGCGAATCTGCCACAAAAAACAAAAAACGAAAAAAAAAAAAACCCCCAATTCAGCGGCTGAGAGGGAAATCCACCCACCCACACTTTCGAGATTCAGAAACACGCCGCTTCTTTTTCTCGAGCGTAGAGGCTGGATGCGTGTGTTGCCTTGCACCTGCATGAGTGTACCATCGCTCCCACATGTTTGTCAACTCTTTGCAACCTTGAGAGTTTAGCCAGCCCTCCAACAAAACATCTCTCAGCAATCTTTTCCCGCATCGCAACACTGCAATGCAGGTTTGAGGATTGTGACCAATGCACCCCGTTGTCGTCCATCACTCGGCAGGATGCATCTGTGGTTGTTCCCTCCCCTCCCCAACTCGCCCGTCCTAGACCGCATGTTTCAGGAAATCCATCGGTTTTGGCGTCGCAGAGTGACGGCATACTCAGTTGTTTCCTAGGTTCATATGCGGGCTCTGGTGTCTGACCAATTGACGGTTGCGAGCTGTAATGTGGCTGGGGCCATAATTGCTTGCCTACAGTCGTCGTGGTCGTAGCCCGTCTGCAGAGACTTGCAATCCCAATCCTGATGTGTACGGGCATGCTTCTTTCGTTCCTCGAAAGTCTCAATTTCCGGCGCGCCTGCCAAGCAAACATTGGTTGCCGGTGGATGTGATTTCTCTCACCGTGCGATATTGAAGACATCCTCCCAAGCTCTTGGTGCAGTAAATTGCTCGGCGCTCATCTAGGGCTGCAGTCCTCCCCCCGTCTGGGAGCCGAACTATTGCCAGCAGGTTCCCGTCGAGACATTGTTTGCACGTCGCCGTCCATTCAGGTGGACGTGTTGACGCATTGATTGTCGGTCGTCTTCCCGTATCCAAACTTAATGACGCAAAGTTGAGATGATGAGATTTTCAACGCGGTACAATACTTTGGGTCTATTGACCGCTGACCGCGGAACCGTCACTAGTTTAGTTAGATAGCCGAATGCGCTAGCTTTGACTGAGGTCAACCCCGTCTCGCCTCTCTCTCGCCTCGACACACGTGTTCGGTTCTTGTCCGGTTTCCGCGACAAGATAGTCGAACGGGTTTGGCAACATAAATTGTTCACATGACAAAGGCTGGGTTTGGGATTTGTGACGCTTCAATTTCCCATTCTCCACGCTAATCACTTCTAGAAGGTTGAGAAACGCCGGTAGTTAGAGGCAGGGAAATGAAATTATCTCCCGTTCGTGGACCCCACGAAAGATGGGAGCCTTTCTGGCTCAGGTTTCGGGGCCTATCGCGCTTGGCTGTGGATAGCTGGCGAACCATCGGCGGGACGAACGAGAGGCCTGTCGGGACCCTTGCTTGGTCTGCTCCCACGTTGCTTTCTTGACCATCGTGAATGGGTCGTGCCAATGGCGAGCTCCGGCTTGTTAGATTCGAGAGTATCTAAAACCATCGACGGAGCAACGTGACACTCACAACCCCACCGCATCGACTTACGATATGGTAAGAGCGAATTACGGTTTCGGCAAGGCAAAAAACTTCTGTAGAAGCCTTTGCCAAGATTGAGATACGGTTTGAGGAATGGCGCGATGGTCAGGAATGTGAATTCGTGCCGAGCAATGGCCGATGTTCTGGGTGTCGAGATGCCTCCGTGACTCCATTGATGTGCCTCCGAAACATCCTCGAACATGTTGAACATGTTGGCGTCGAAAGGACTTCGGCTTGACTGCCGTATCTTGTCGATTATCATATAGGCCCGCCGGGTGATATGAGCCGGTGCCCTCGCCTTGGGTAGTCTGATACTTGAGTGACAGAACCACTTCTTCTAGAATAATGGAAGGACGCACACGCAGCCACGGCCCATCCCGTTCTGGGGTTGTTGCTTCATGCTTCCCTCCTTCATCCGCTTCACGTCTCTCGTTGTTTCCAAAGGTCCGCACAAGGCGAATGCGTCATGATAGCACCGGGTGCCCGAAACAGGCAGGTCACTCATACCTAAGGCTATGCGAGATGCTTCGTGATGGAACCCAGCGTCGGAGCGTGCGGGCCCTGAAACCTTCTCGAAGGTCTTGGGAGGCCCACGAGCTAACGACCGCGGGAATGCCCATTGGCCGCTGCGGAGGAAGCCCTTGCTTTGACCGATGTGACGGGGCACCCCTGACAAGACATATTGGACTTCCCCACCGAGAAGCCTCAGAATGACAGCTCCCAATGTTAGCCGGCTTCTCGTAAGAGTGTGGTTCTTCAGCAACAAGCGAGGGTATTGGCCGACTCAACAATCCTCTCCGCTCTGTAACGCCATGTACCCACAGTACCATAGCATGTAGAAGAGAGAGGACAACGAGCGGATAGAGATGCTCGATGCAAATTCCGGCCAGTCATACTCCCCTGTCCAAGTATCATGCTCTTGAGTGGCGTGGTTTCTCGTGTGAACGAAAGAGCAACACGGATAGCATTGGGGCACGCTGCCTTAACCCAGCCCGCCGGGTAGAGGTTAGCGAC